TTTTATTAATCCTAATTTGATATGCAATGGTGGTTGAAGCACATTATTTGGCTGTACAAGGGGTAAATACTTTACGTTTTTTTGCCCAGGAACTAACGATGCACGCGTAGGCCATGTTTTTTTTATATAGTGATTAGTTCTGTCTCGGCTATCCCATTCACATAAAATTCAGCAAAACTTTGTATAACCCAGCTGAAGTCCAAGTAATAGTGCAACAACTTTAAGATCACCGCAAAAGTTTCATATTTTCATAGGTTTCTTTCATATTTGCAGCATGGGCCAGAGGTACAGACAGAAGCTTATTTCCATTATGCAATAACACTGCTTTTAGACTTGCTTTCGAAGAATCAATGAATAAACGCCACTGAGAGAGATCAAAATCTATGTCCAACATTTTCATAATCTCATTTATGTTATTGCAAAACACCAAATCTCCATCCTGAGAAAAATACGTTCTGAAGTGTTGATCACGGTTTCGAAAATAGCTAACTTTTGTATTATGATGTAGCAAATTCCATTCTTTTAGACGTGATCCTAATAGTTCTGACTGCTTTTTTGACAAATTTAAATCCCGAACCAAATCATTTAGGTCTTCTTGAGTTATCAAATGTGGCTCGTTTACAATTCCTTTTAACTCAAAATCATCGTCCTCGTCAACACATTCACCTGAAGTGGACGGTTGTGAATTGTTCTCAACAGACGTAGTTGCAACTGGTATTAGTTCTGGCAATTTTTTACAATGAGAGACTGGTCTTATAGCCGAAGATAAGTTAGGGTAAATAACTGTGGTTTTTTTCTTGTAATTTATACCTTTTATGTCTGCGAGACAAAAATAGCAATCTGAAACGTGATCTCGCTGTTCAGTCCATATCATGGGTACAGCAAACGGCATAGGTCGTGCACCTTTCTTCCAGTCAGTTAAATTTTTCACACACGTTATGCAACAGACATGAGTGGCCCAGGATTTGTCTTGATGGGCGACAGAAAAACCAAAACATTGGTGATAACACTCCAACACAAGATTCGTAAAATTTCGTCGTTGTTTTTTGAATGTTAGTTCTCCGCAGACATAACAAAAAGAGTTAGGATCATTATTACACTTCTTCGACATATTCACAGGGTTAATAAATCACAAAAAAGTGTTCAAATTCAACAACAAATATTTTTATAAGGATTTACTTGTAAGCGTTTCTGTTAATTTACTGCCGTAGTACTAGTTATGAGTATTACCGTATCACAACAAATATGAGGCTAATAGACATATGACAGCTGTCATATAATAATGAGGGTAGACTGATAAAACAAAATTAGCTGTCAAAGTTCGTGTGGCAAAACCAGTGTTGACCAGTGTTATTCGTAAGAAAATGGTCTCTTAGAAAAAGCCGACGAGCCACTCACTTACTATTTGAAAAAATCAAGTAGACTGAAAAAATTAGTGTTCGCAACTTTTAGAAAATCTTTTAAATGACTGTAAGGTCGTTTGTAATTTTCCCGTGTTACTCGATCAAAAAAGAAGCGATTTACAGGATTCATGGCATTCTAGATCGAAAAATAAAGTCGACCTTATTTGTCAAACAGTGGCAAGTGAGGCGTTGCCGAGTTCAGAATGCCATTCTCGATCCAAATAAGTAAAAATATATAGGGCGTCCCATTTAAAAATCGAGAGTTGGAGCCGTTTCCGGTCAAACCGGAAGTACGTCCAAGCACGTGAATGTGTCAAAAAATGTAAATTCATCTATAATACTCAATCTCCAAATTTAGATTTTCTATCTTCAAGAATAAAAAAGCTATAGGGGTAGGCCACCTTGGAGAATTACACGGTATAAAATTGTAATTATATTTGAAATTAAAAAATAATATCACTGAATTTACAGACCTCGTAGTGTTTGTCAAGACTTTGGAAAGCTTCTACTCTTTATATTATTCAAATTTATTTGGAAAATATTTTTGAAAAAATAAAGAATACTGCTGACAAAAACACAACAAAAAATACACTTGCATAGCGGGCGTACGTATTCTTTCACCATGAAGACATCGAAAACATCACAAAGTAACAAAAAAAATGGGATATAAATAAAACAGTCAACTTTGCGAATTCGACAACCATCTGAAAATGAACGTGATGATTCGATTAGTATGAATATAAATAAAATTATATGAGGGTATTATTTGTATGATGATTTGTCTGATTGCAACAAAACATTGTGAGATCTGTTTGAAATTTCAACATTTCATGTTCCAAAAGCATTCTAAAATATTTTTTAGGTAGTAAGTAAGTATACAGGGTGTTTCAGTTTATTGTTGCATAACTTTAAGATTCCATAGAACTTTTAAAATTAATGCATAAAGTCTATATAAACATGGGTCGAAAAATGCGTGGCTTCCGAAATACAGGGTGTTTAAATTTACTTTCTAAAATAGTTTTTTTTAAATATTTCGAACAATATTTGATGTATAACAGTGAAAATTGTTATAACAAGGGTTTTTTGGTACGACAAAACGAACCATGGGCATAGTTTCACTGTAGCCGCTAGAGGGCGCTCTCTACTGTACCTGTAGTGTATTAAAATGACCGAAAATTTGTTCTTAGTGCAATTTTTTGCTTTTTGAATAAAAAAACTGATTCTTCGCACTTTTCAACATAAAAAAGATCTCTTGTGAATTTTCGTTATAGTTAGCCGTTTTTAAGATATTTCGATTTTTAAGGTTCGAAATTTAGTTTATTTTACCTGTTTTTTTTTTGTAAGTTTTATAAAAATGCCATTTTTATTCTCCAATCAAGAGTTAGCTTTGTAAATGGAAACGCAGATGAAGCAAACAGAGAATACGCACGAAGATTTCCAAACAGACGACATCCAACTCGCTCAGTATTTGTAAAAGTGCATCGCCAAATAATTGAAAATGTTCTTAGAAATGACCATAGACGTCCTTACCATTTGCAACCTGTGCAAGGAGTACAGCCAGGGGACGGAGAACGAAGAATCACATTTTGTCAGTGGATTCTTGACAGAACTGATAATAATAGGGAGTTTTTAGGTAACGTTTGATGGACCAATTTAGTGTGAACGTGTGGATTGGTATCTACCGTAATCGACTATTTGGACCCTACCTTTTGCCTGCAAGGTTAAATGCTGCGACCTTCTTGGAATTTTTAAAGGCTGAACATGCAAATATGTGGGATGATGTTATGTTAGATTTAAGAAGATTGGTCTGGTTCCAGCTTGATGGTTGTCCAGCTCATTATTCGAGAATAGTTAGAAACTGGCTGGACGAAAATTATCCAGAAAGATGGATCGGCCGTGGAGGACCAGTCGCCTGGCCTCCACGATCCCCTGACCTAAATCCATTAGATTTCTTTGTGTGGGGATTTCTAGAAGAAAAAGTGTACCAGATTCCCGTAACCACAAGAGATATGCTAATAGAATCAGGAATGCATGTGATGAAATAAGGCCTTATTTGAATAATGCTATACCACGTTCGATTATTCGTAGATGTGAATTGTGTATGTTTGTCCTAACTATCCAATAGCATTTTAGTTGTAAATAATTAATTTAATTTGTTAAAAATAATATTGGAAAATTAAACAAATTAATATTGTTTTTTGTGTTTATTTGGAGTTAGGAATTATTGCTGTGTTTAAAAACACAATCTAAACGATCATCTTAATTACTTGTAATGCCCAAATCGAAAATGTAAAAAAAATATTATTTTCCCTTAAATAATTAAAAATGCATCGAACCTTAAAAATCGAAATATCTCAAAAACGGCTAACTATAACGAAAACTCACAGGAGAGCTTTTTTATGTTGAAAAGTGCGAAGAATCAGTTTTTTCATTCAAAAAGCAAAGAAATGCACTAAGAAAAAATTTTCGGTCATTTTAATACACTACAGGTACAGTAGAGAGCGCCCTCTAGCGGCTACAGTAAAACTATGCCCATGGTTCGTTTTGTCGTACCAAAAAACCCTTGTGTACCAATTTTCACTATTATACCTCAAATATTGTTCGAAATATTTAAAAAAAACTGTTTTAGAAAGTAAATTTAAACACCCTGTTTTTCGGAAGCCACGCATTTTTCGACCCATGTTTATATAGACTTTATGCATTAATTTTAAAAGTTTTATCGAATCTTTAAGTTATGCAACAATACACTGAAACACCCTGTATATTTTGGTGTACTTAAAATACTCTTCCACTATTTTGAAACAGCCCTAACCACAATCAATCTACTGGACTCCATTGTTCACAAAAAAATGCTTTTGGATCAAGAAACGTACCTGTAGTCTACAGAATAAGCCAGCTTTTTTTTCTAAACTATAGCTGTTTACATTACCTTCCTAAACAGCGTTTTCAAAATGAAGGATTTACGAATTGAATCCTGATAGAAACAAACTGGTGTAAACATCAACTGTATTTATATTTTTTTTTGACATTTTCTCATCATCTTTACACAGAGTGATGCACAAGTCGTGACCAAAAATGAAACATCATACACAGAACCGCGTTTTAAGGGGGGTCTTCTATGTAACATTTTTTTCTCCAGGCCACTTGTATCCGTAAGATGCTGGTGTTTTTGAACATTTATTGAAATAAAGCTTTGATTATCTAATTTGTGGCGTACTATTTTTATTTGGAAAGATAATGCCACTAATCCCATGAATCCCCGCTACTGGTGCACGTTATTTTCAAGTAAAGACTTTTGAATACGGACAATACTTAGGTAAATCCACATACAAAATTTTAGTTCTTTCTAGTTGACTGTTTTGAAGATATTTAAAAAACGTTTTTTATTTTTAAACTTCAACACCCCGTAATGCGGTCCTATTTATGATGTTTTATTTTTGGACACGACTTGTGAATCACCCCGTATAAGCGGATCACATTTGACAGTTTACGAGTTTTTCCTGAATCATTCTGCATATATCAAAGCACTTCCACTGAATATAAAATTTAATATCAATGATTAATTAACGAAAGTTCAATAAAATGCACTTAATTTACCAGTTGTTAGGGCGGGAGTCCATTCTTGTTCGCCTGTGACACCCCAGAGCAAGGTTGAGTTTTTTGTAGAATACTTCGGAACAGTCGACGTGTTGTGGCTGGTGTTATGCACATTCGGACGTTTTTTCACATCTGTAAAACAATTTCAGTACGAAACTGAAACAGAATTTTTATTCGCCAAGTTCGTACTCACATTCTTGTAACGCCTGCAATGCCCTAAATGATCCTATACCGCACCCAGTATCTTTGCTCAAGTCTGCATCTTGACTGCCTCTATCCCTTTGAGCAGGGACAGCCTATAAGAAGCGTATTATTAGGTCTACCAGAAAGAGAGAGTAAAGTAATAGTAACTGGCAAATCGTTGTTTTCAATGGAGAAAAGTGGAAATTTGCTAATGTCCAAGCCATCTCAAAAAAGGATCTAAGACCGACCCTAACAACTACAGGCCTATAGCTTTGCTCTCTGTTATAAGTAAGGTGATGGAGAGGTGCATAAATCGAGAGCTTCTCGACTACCTCGAAGGTTACTACTATGCAAAGGATGGAACAAGTTTTTGAAGATCGGTCTAGTGGTGGCGAAGCTAAGGGCAAAACACGAAAAAAATAAAAAAACCCTTAAACTTCGTTTTTAACGTTGACTGTCACGTGCCAAAACCACATAACCTTTTTGTACTACAGCAGACGCTTGATAACGTAAACACGGTATAATGAAAACTTGCGCTAATGTAAACACAAACTTCGTTCTATAGGATCAAACGGAACGCGCGATAACGTAAACAATGTGTACGCTCGATAACGTAAACAACTCTCGGCGCACGGAAACCGCGCGACGGTAAAATGCTGAAGCCTCGATGATTTATGTCGGGCGTCGGGGGGAGTCCCCGATTTATGATGTAGAGTGTAGGGGATTCACCTCTGCGATAAAATACGACAAACTCGGTCAGTCGTATGATCGTTTAGGATACGTTTATACGTACGTATGTATTTCATTTTTGAACTTAAGTGAATACATTGCACGCGTTAATATATTTTACGACTATGGCATCCACATCCTATAAAAGAAAGTGTTTAAAGTTGAGTGAGAAAGTGAAAATCATAGACGAAGTTGCACTAGGTGCGGGAGTGACACAGTTAGCAAAAAAATATGGAGTATCGAAAGCAACAATCTGTAAAATTAAGCGTATGAAAACTCAAATTTTACAAAGAACGTGCAATACATTTGGAGGCCAGGGAAAAAGAAAAGCTTTAAAAAATGCGAAGGCACCTAAAATGGAAAATTCCCTGTATAAGTGCTTTTTAAAACAACTGGAAAATCATGTCCCAGTTAGTGGCAAAGTACTTAAACAGAGAGCGAGACTGTTAAATGACAAACTGAAAGAAACTGAAAATTTCGTAGCTAGTGATGGCTGGCTACAACGATTCAAAACAAGATATGGAATTCGACTGCTGTCTATATCTGGTGAAAAATTATCAGCACAACCACAATTAGTGCAACCATTCAAAGAAAAATTGATGAAAACAATTACCGAGCTAGATTTAAGAATTGAACAAATTTACAACGCAGATGAAAGTGGCCTTTATTGGAAAATGTTACCAGAGAAAACCTATGCTGCATCATTTGAAAAATCTGCCCCGGGAAGAAAGCCGGAGAAACAACGAATAACGTTTCTAGCCTGCACTAATGCTAATGGTTCACACAAAATAAAACCACTGGTAATTGGGAAAGCAAAAAATCCGCGCTCATTTAAAAATGTTAATTTTCCTGTTGATTATGACTGTTCAAAAACCGCTTGGATGACTAGCAGTATATTCCTGAAATGGTTCCACAGGTGCTTTGTCCCTCAGGTATGACAATCAATTATCACAAATGCTCTATTCATAATTTGAAGATGTGTTTTCAATTTGTAGGTAAAAGGTTTCCTAAAACAACAGAAGCTTCCAATAAAAGCGTTGTTACTATTGGATAATGCACCAAGTCATCCTCACGAGCAACAACTGAGGAGCAGGGATGGGTCAATTTTCGTCATGTACATGCCGCCCAACGTAACACCGTTAATTCAACCGATGGACCAGAATATAATAAGACTCACCAAACTATACTATAGGAAGTTTCTACTTTCGTTTGTCTTATCAAAGAATCCTGAAAACTTATCTGAGGCTTTAAAAAAGTACATTACGAGAAGCTGTTTTAGATTTACATATGGCCTGGAATGAACTTAACCAGCAAACAATTCAAAAATGTTGGAACAATCTCTTTTGTACCAATAATGAAGATGATGAAGAAGACGATGTCCCCTTAAGCGTAATTAGAGAACGTTTGCGATCCAATAATGATAATGTTATTAGTGTGTCATTGGATGTTGTTGATTTATTGAAAACAGTGAATCCCAACATTGTTTGTACTCCTGCTGATATTAATTTATGGAACGAAGATAAGCAGACGAATGATGCTGATAAGGAGGAGAATATGGACAGTGAGGATGATGAGAACGATCCCATTGAAGTCAGAAGTGTAGTGACTGACGCGCAAGCTATACAAGTTTTTAACCAAGCTTTAGATTGGGCTGAAAGAAAAGAAGTATCATACACGGATATTTTAGTTCTTCATAAATTACGGGCGCAGGCATTGGAAGACAATGCTAAGCGCAAATTTACGCAGACAAAAATTGTTAATTATTTTTCTTCTAATTAAAAAAATACTTATCGCTGTTAGAATATTTGTTTATTTTGTTATAAATAGTATGTATTAAACGTTTCTTTTAATAAATCAAATATTATATAAATCAGGTTCGCTAATGTAAACATTTCGATAATGTGAACCACACTTGGATTAAATTAGTTTACATTATCGAACGTCTGCTGTATTTTGATCACTTCCTAGCAATTTGAATGTCTCTTTATTAATGGTAGAGTACCCATTCCTAGGCCAACGAGTTTCTTCTGGTAAATTTCACAGTTCATACTTCACACGTATTATATCTTGCTTTCTCCAACCTGATGACATTCGTAGGGCTACGAATCTTGTCCATGAAGTGAGAAACGCGCTCCATGAATTCCGTAATGAGCAATGGAGCGATTTTCTGACGGGAATGCTTGATTCAAGTATTCCTCTCTGCAGGGTCGCAAAATCACTCAAAAACGGAAAGCGAGAACAACTCCCGCACATCCACGGTCCTTAGAAGAGAGGATTAGGTCGAGGTTTTCACTGACGCCATGTAAAAACAGTTCTCTCCCATCTATGATCTTGATAATGACCTCGACGAGGAACAACACATTGTAAGATCCGTCAGGAGATATTTTAGGGCCAACGGCGTTAGCGGAGGCACTGTACCCTCTTCAGAAGAATCGTCTGAGGCTTCGCATAGCACATTAGAGGAACCCTCCGAGGTTTCACGTTGCACCCCAGCGGAGCTCCTAGGTCTTATTAAAGACCTCAAGGTGCGTAAAGCACCTGGGGAGGTTCAAATCACCAACAAGGCGCTGAAGCTGCTCTCGCCGAAAGCTCTGATATATTTGGTGACAATAATCAAATCCATGCTCAGAACCCAGCACTTCCCTGCCGGGTGGAAGACTGCTGAGGTCATCATGATTCCCCAAAGAAGGTGGGTTCGATATTTCCTCAGGATTACCGTCCCATTAGTCTGCTGTCAGTTCCTTCTAAGCTCGCCGAAAAGGTGATTTATCGCCATCTTGAGAATTTTTCGTCAAATCACCACGTGATTCCTGATATTCAATTCTGTTTTCGGTCCGAGCATAGCACCGAGCTACAGGCAGTCAGGCTGGTGGAAGATGTAACCAGAGGGTTCACCCTCAGCAGGAGTCCTGGCATCTTGCTTTTGGACGTCTCAAAAGCCTTTGACACGGTGTGGCACGCGGGCCAAAAGGGTTTTCCTTTTTGGCTTCTAAAATTACTAAAATCCTTTCATGAAGGAAGGAAGTTTCGGATCAAAATTAACAATGTTTTGTCAACAACAGGACCAATCCTTTATTGGCTTTTTATCCATGATGTCCCTTGCCACAGCAACGGTGAAGTCTACCTCTATGCTGACGACACTGCACTTGTCGCCCAGTCGTGTGCTGGTCATCTGCTTCACGATGGGTTGCAGAGTGAGGTGGAAGAAGTACTAGAGTGGGCGGAACGGTGGCTGATTAAAATTAATCATTCGAAAACGCAGGCTATTTATTGTACCAAAAAACGTCGCGACTCCCCAGCAGAGGCTTCTGTAGACGGCAATCGTGTACCATGGACAAATTCTGCCAAGTACCTCGGAGTCACCCTTGATAAAGGTATGATCTGGCAGAAACATACAGCAGCCTTGAAAACAAATTGCGTTTCGGAAACTACATCCTTTGTTATGTATGTAGATCCTCCAAATTGAGTTTGGTAAACAAAGTTCGCCTATACAGGGTGTTTCAGTTTATTGTTGCATAACTTTGAGATTCGATAGAACTTTTAAAATTAATGCATAAAGTCTATATAAACATGGGTGAATGCATGAAATTTAGTTTCTTTTACCTGTTTTTTTTTTGTAAGTTTTATAAAAATGCCATTTTTATTCTCCGCATGCAGTTCGGGAAAGAAATTTTCAGCATGAATTTAGTGTGAACGTGTGGATTGGTATCTACCGCAATCGACTATTTGGACCCTACCTTTGCCTGCAAGGTTAAATGCTGCGACCTTCTTGGATTTTTTAAAGGCTGAACATGCAAATATGTGGGATGATGTTATGTTAGATTTAAGAAGATTGGCCTGGTTCCAGCTTGATGGTTGTCCAGCTCATTATTCGAGAATAGTTAGAAACTGGCTGGAAGAAAATGATCCAGAAAGATGGATCGGCCGTGGAGGACCAATCGCCTGGCCTCCACGATCCCCTGACCTAAATCCATTAGATTTCTTTGTGTGGGGATTTCTAAAAGAAAAAGTGTACCAGACTCCCGTAACCACAAATAAGGCCTTATTTGAATAATGCTATACCACGTTCGACCATTCGTAGATGTGAATTGTGTATTGAACAATTGGGTTTACATTTCGAGCAACTACTTTAGATTTTGTATGTTTGTCCTAACTAGCCAAGAGCATTTTAGTTGTAAATAATTAATTTAATTTGTTAAAAATAATATTGGAAAATTAAACAAATTAATATTCTGTTTTTTGTGTCTATTTGGAGTTAGGAATTATTGCTGTTTTTAAAAACACAATATAAACGATCATCTTAATTACTTGTAATGCCCAAATCGAAAATGTAAAAAAAATATTTTCCCATAAATAATTAAAAATGCATCGAACCTTAAAAATCGAAATATCTCAAAAACGGCTAACTATAACGAAAACTCACAGGAGAGCTTTTTTATGTTGAAAAGTACGAAGAATCAGTTTTTTTATTCAAAAAGCAAAAAATTGCACTAAAAAAATGTTTTCGGTCATTTTAATACACTACAGGTACAGTAGAGAGCGCCCTCTAGCGGCTACAGTAAAACTAAGCCCATGGTTCGTTTTGTCGTACCAAGAAACCCTTGTATACCAATTTTCACTGTTATACATCAAATATTCTTCGAAATATTTAAAAAAAACTATTTTAGAAAGTAAATTTAAACACCCTGTATTTCGGAAGCCACGCATTTTTCGACCCATGTTTATATAGACTTTATGCATTAATTTTAAAAGTTCTATGGAATCTTAAAGTTATGCAACAATAAACTGAAACACCCTGTATAAGATGATTATTAGACCAGTCATTACTTATGCATGTGCGGCTTTGTGTTTTCTTGCCAAGACAGACATGCAAAGTCTTCAAGTACTGCAAAGTAGAACTTTGCGAACAGTTTGCAACGTTCCATGGTATGTCTCAAACGAGACAATACACAGAGACCTTGACATCCTTACTTGAGAGGTTATGTCAAGCTTCAGGCGCAGCGACGTTATAGTCAAGTGGAATCGCACAGCAACCCTCTGTTGCGCGACTCAGTGGACTACACGGTGGAGCAAGCTCGTAAACATTCAAGGTCACGGCGCGAACGTTTAGTAAACTTAAAATTTGGCTCTAACAAAACCGAATCAAAATTTGTTTAGTTCACCTCAAAATTAATCCGTGTACCAAGTCAAAAAGCCTAGGTGTTTACTCTTAAACTAAACACTTCTGTTTTTCTTTACTCTTCTCCTTTTTTTTTCTCTTTCCCTTTCTCCTCTTTCTTGACATTGTCTGGTTTCTGGGCAACCAGGACTGACAGATTCGACTAACGTACATTAGACAGTGACTAATGGGCAAAGGTCCTACGCACCGCCCAGACAAACAAATGACGAATAGTATCTTCCTTTCTCAGTGATTCAGTATTGTGTTGAAAAAAACTCTGTGGTTTTTCTCCGTTACTTGGAGATATCACATATCTTCTTTAAGGCCACTCATTGAACCTTCCTTTATAAAGTTAGGTGTCTCGTGTCAGTCACTTTCCTCCTGAGATTGAGGTGTGAGCGCCACTTGTTTAACCTCCAGATTCTGGGACATTAGGTGCCGAACACCAGTTTGCGTAGTAGTACCTCTTCATATTGTACCTTGCGTTTAGTTTTTTTTTTGGTTTGGGTGCTACCCCGTCCATTTTCTTATGGGATTTTAATCGTCAGCGTTGGAAGACACTGCCGAGAACCACCACACATCAGTTTTTTTTTTTAAATAAGTCACACATTTTCCCTATATCTGCCAAGAAAACAGAAATATGAGAGATTTACTTCACACAGGTCAAAGATTTATCGTACCTAAGTGAACTTACATTCCACAACCACGATTCGATTTCGCTTCTTGAAACGATTTGACTCACCTCCTTTCTTTGAAACGTCCAACGAAGGCGTATGAAGTATAGAGTTAACCTACTTGATTTTTTTATGTTTTTAAGAAAATTGATTCAAGTCACCTGGTAATGATGCTGTTGTATGAGCACACCGGTGGGCCCTTTGGGAAATATGTGAGTCCATCGCCTTCTGTTAGAGGTCAGTTTGATAGTAACATGAGACGGGTCGAAAGGGTTAATTAGAGCTCTTGATTCAACTGGTGGCGAACCCTCGGAACCTACTACCATGCGTGAGGGTGGTGACAACTCTTTCTCGGGTACTCCATCTGTATGGAAATTGACATTTATATAAGACATAGATATAGTAATAAACCTAAAATTAATTCATAATATCCCATCATCTCAGTGTGTATTCCGGAAAAATTGTTGTGTATAGCACCATAATTATTCACCATCTTTTATATTGTATAACTATATTGTTTACAAGTTCTACAAAATAAATCTATGAGAACCATTTCGAATAAAAACAAATACTAAGGTGGCACATCCCTGTTTTATATTTTTTCAACTATATGTTTGCAGCAGTATTCTAAATCCTTTTCATCTCATAATTTCATAGTGTATATAGAGATGGCTAAAAAAACCCTGCTATGAAAGAAGCACGAAATTCAAATCCATGGCGTCGATACCTATTGCCGTTTCCGCGATCCTGATACAGATATATCGGCTTTTGAAAATCATAGTATCGTCCAGACTCTTTTAGTAAAATTGGTGGGCGAGGAGTTGCTATCAGGATCACAGAAACTCGAGGAGGTATGCAGATTGTACTGTGCTCCTGATATGAGATAAGAACGAAATTCAAATCCGATCCGGATGCATATCTATAGGTTTCTGACAATCCTACTGGCGTCCAGACTATTCTCGTAAAATTGGTGGGCGACGAGCTGCTATCAGGATAGCAGAAACGCAAGGAGGTAAGGAAATGGTACTCTGTTCCTGCTATGAGATAAGAACATAATTACTACTGATCTCTGGGTTTCTGAAAATGGCAGTGCCGTCCGAACTTTTCTAGCAAAATTGGAGGGAGACTAGTTGCTATCAGCATCACAGAAACACGAGGAGGTTTGCAAATGGTACTTTGTTTCTGCTATGAGATTAGAACGATATTCAAATCCATTGCGTCGATAACTCTTGTCGTTTCTGCGATCCTGGTACAGATCTATAGGTTTCTAAAAATCGCATCGTCGTCCAGACTGAACTCTGCTTATGCTATTATTTTGGCGCCAAATTTTAATATCTGGCATCTATGCTCCTAGTCGTTTCTGCAATCCTGATACAGATCTATATGTTTTTAAATATGGCACTGTCGACCACAGATCTTCGGTAAAATTAGTTATCAGGGAGGAGGTAAGGAAATGGTACTCTGTTCCTGCTATGAGATAAGAACATAATTACTACTGATCTCTGGGTTTCTGAAAATGGCAGTGCCGTCCGAACTTTTCTAGCAAAATTGGAGGGAGACTAGTTGCTATCAGCATCACAGAAACACGAGGAGGTTTGCAAATGGTACTTTGTTTCTGCTATGAGATTAGAACGATATTCAAATCCATTGCGTCGATAACTCTTGTCGTTTCTGCGATCCTGGTACAGATCTATAGGTTTCTAAAAATCGCATCGTCGTCCAGACCGAACTCTGCTTATGCTATTATTTTGGCGCCAAATTTTAATATCTGGCATCTATGCTCCTAGTCGTTTCTGCAATCCTGATACAGATCTATATGTTTCTAAATATGGCACTGACGACCACAGATCTTGTTATCAGGTTCACAGAAACGCGAGGAGGTATGGAAATGGGATGAGATAAGGACATAATTCAAATCCATAGCATCATTACCTCTTGCCGTTTCTGCGATCCTACTTCTGATCTCTGGGTTTCTGAAAATGGCAGTGCCGTCCAGACTTTTCTAGTAAAATTGGTGGGAGGTTTGTTGCCATCAGCATCACAGAAACACGGGGAGGTTTGCAAATGGTACTTTGTTTCTGCTATGAGATAAGGACGATTTTCAAATCCATGGCATCGTTACATCTGGCCGTGCCTGCGATCCTACTTCTACTATCTTTTTGTCAAAAAATGCATTTTTTGTGGATTTTACTCTGCATTTTATCTTCAATCGGGACTTGTTAACAAATATAAGTACAGCTCTGAAATTGTGCGTGAATATTCCTCTTTAATGGAAGAATGAAACAAGTGATTACTTTTATTCTTATCACTTTCCCTTTTCGAAAAATCTTGGATTTTCGTGAAGCCTCGTCTCGCAGCAAGTTGAATTTTTAAGAAAAGCAAAGATTTTTCGAAGAGAAAAGGTGTTAAGAATAAAAAAGTAATCACTTGTTTCATTCATCCATAAAAGTGGAACATTCAAATACAATTTCAGAGCTGTACTACAAGTTCCGATTGAAGAAAAAATGCACAGTAAAATGCACAAAAAATGCATTTTTTGACAAAAAGATAAAAAGATTGTTTTTTAGCCATCTCTATACACATCATGAAGTAATGAGCTGAAAAGGATTTAGAACACTGTTGCAAACAGGTAGTTGAAAAAAAAGCGAAAAAAGGGACGTGCGATAAGTCTCTCTTAGAAGAAATGCAGTAGTTAGATTTTATACTATTTAGTTCTCATTTTCATATGAAAAAAAAAATATTTGTTACCATCACATCTAGAAATTTTCACTTCACAAAACTAAATAGTCATTATCATAACTACGAAACTAAAGGCAGTATAAATTATCATGTGCAAAACAGTAATAGTAACTTAACCAGCCAAAAAGAAAGTATTTAAATCTAATGAATTGAATAATGATATTAAAGTGTTTGAAATTAAAAAAATCACCTTGAAACACCCAAAATCCATTGCAATGTACTGTTCATAGACAAGAATGTAAAATTACAGAAAACTGATTCAAAAATTGTCCAAAAGAATAATTTTACAAAATCAACATTAATGCTAAATAAATCTTCAACAAACAAAACTAAGTCACGTACTTTTAAGTCCTAGAAAAATGAAATTCTACCTATAGAAATATTGCGACGTTTTTCTGAATAACCCTGTTTATATTTCTGGTTTAAACAGAGAGAGTTCAGCTTCACCAGCATTAACAGGATTAAAAAATATTTGGATCTTACCACCATTTTTTCTGGAATATGTACAAACCTTCACCATGCGGAGAAACGAGAGGGCTATATGTGGCAGAAGGTATAGCTATTGGTTCGGATCGTGTATGGGAATTCGTCCTGTATATGTCAGGATCTGACATTTTCCTGCGTTGGCCCTTTGCTACCTCTGAGGAATCCAACAGACTACCTGAGCTTCTTTTGTACCTTGTTGGTGCTTTGTGATGGACCACACTAAAAATAGAGACTAGTTAGGGAACTGCCAATGCTATAGAAATGTCAAAAAGCCACACGCCTAAAATTTGATGGGAATCTATGATGTTGCTCTTTTAATAGAAATCATAATTAAAGGGCTTGAAGCAATAAGAAACCTAAGCTACATTGACTTGATTTCGAGAAATCCAAAATTATACGTAAGTTTAATGTAAAACCTGAAATCACGTTTCTTGCTTAATCTCGGAGGAAATGCTACAAAAGGTTTACATTTTAAGGAACACAGATTTGGTGACAACACAATAGAATAAATATAAAGCATTTTCGAAAATACTGTGGCTTGGTGCCTTATTGGAAAAGGTTCCAAGGGTCATTTAAACATACACTACCGTTCAAAAGTATTTGAACACCTGCATATTTCCATTTAAAATCATAACAACAAAAAACTGAAGTCAAAATTTTGCTCACGTTATTATAACGGGTTGTCCAATAGGGACGCAGGAAAGTAAACGTCAATTTGACATAGACGCCATCTTTGTTTTCATGTCATTTTGTTAGTTGAATGTTTACCATTGATCGCTATGGAGTCGTATTCGATTGAAGATCGCATTAAAGTTATTCAAGAGCACTACAAAAATGGTGCAAAAATAAAAAACACGTTTCGCGCGCTTCGTGAACATTTCGGTCGCAACAACTGCCCAAACGAAACAACCATCGGTCGTCTGGTGAGTAAATTCGAGGCAACAGGTTCTGTGGCAAATCTGCCAGGCTCTGGCCGGCCAAGGAGCGTTCGCACACCGGAAAATATTGCTGTTGTGAAGGAGAGTGTGAGAGACGATCCGAAACAATCAACAACGCGTCGATCCCAAGAATTGGGCATTTCGAGAACCAGTTTGCTCCGCATTCTCCACAAGGATTTGAATGTACACGCCTACAAGATCCAATTGACGCAACAGCTTGCGTTGGGTCGACCATTTTTCGCGCCGAACGTTCTCAGATTGGCTCCTTGAACACCGCCAAATTGATGCCAATTTTTCATCAAAAATCATGTTCAGCCACGAAGCGCATTTCACTTTGAATGGGACGGTAAACAAGCAAAACTGCCGCATCTGTCGAACGAAAATCCCCGTGAGTATCAAGAGCAGCCGATGCATCCTCATAAAGTGACTGTGGTGTGCATTGTGGTCAAAAGGCATCATCGGACCTTACTTTTTCGAAAATGCGGCCGGGGACGCCGTTGCCGTCAATTCTGAGCGATATCACGTGATGATAGAGGACTATTTTTTGCCGCAACTTGAAGGAATGGATATGGACAATGTTTATTTCCAACAAGACGGTGCAACATGCCACACAATCAACGTCAATATCCACCGATTGCAGTCCTTCTTCGATGATCACGTGATTTCGCGCAGAGGAAATGTGCCATGGCCACCAAGATCGTGCGATTTGACTCCCTTGTACTTCTTTTTATGGGGATATTTGAAAAGCAAAGTCTACGTCAATAAACCAGCCTCAAGACAACATCATTGCCAAGATAAATGCCATAGAACCGACCATGTTGCAAAATGTCATTGAAAATTTCGACCATCGCGTGGACGTCTGTAATGCCAGTCATGGTGAACATTTGAGTGATATTATTTTTCATACATAAATGGTATAAATGAACCTTCAAAATAAAGTACCCAACTTGATTTGAATATCAATCTTTCTTGTTTTATTGTTTTCTGGGTGTTCAAATACTTTTGAACGGTAGTGTATTTTGTTGATAGGTGTTCCTTGATAGTCTTAAAACAACACACTTCATTACTTCGGACATTGACAACTACACCGCGGGTGCTTTTTAGACGGAAAAGTGATTTCTTATTCAGATGTGTGTTTATTCATGTTTGTACACAAAACTGCTTACACAAGTCAAAAAAATTTTAACAAGAAAAAACAATACAAAAAATAACACATACGTGGTTTGTAAATTAAGTAATGAGACTGGCACCGTAGCGTTCGATCTGGAAACACTGGAGGGGAGACAGCGGAACATATGACAGGGTTTGACTTATTTTTTTGTCATTTGATCTTTTGGTCGTATTACCTGGTTTCTGCTGAATGGTGTGGCGGCGGCATTTGAAACACCTGAGCATCGTAAGCATCATAATCGAAAAACGTATTGTGAATGTATTCTCCTTCTTGAAGGAGCTTTGGTTTCGGTGAAGATTCTCTTTTGATATTTCCGTCGGGAAGTGGGGGTGGCAGTTTGATCCTCGGTACAAAAGTAGAATATGGAATTTTCTTATTGGTCGAGTAAAATGATAAATTTATCCAATGAGGCATCGAGTAGTCGTCAGGTACGTTGAGATGAGTGTCTTTGTTATGAAACTACAACAGAAGAACATAATGAGATAGTAATAGTCTATATATAGTCTAATCATAATAGGGGATATACAAAAAATGGATGTATTAATTGGGTACACCAATTTGTGTGGTAAAACGTTTTATTCGACAACAAAGAATGAGAAAACATGTTCTTGGGATTCAATCAATGGCAAGAACAAAAAACTCTTTATATACGATCTTTAGGTATTTCTGAGACCCATAAAATGAGACCACACGTGAAAAAATCCGACCACTAGCAAAAATGTTATGGCCGAAAACCGAGGCAGGTTTTGGCACTTGATGGTTTCTCGCAGATATTTGAAATTCTTCAAATTCGTAGGATTCTTACTTCTAAATAACCACAACAAAATTGGAGTAGATTGATCAAGTAGTTTTTGAGAATTAATAATTATTCATCGCAAAACACCTGTTTTCCGGCCATCGCTACTAGTTTATAGCAAAATACACTAGTTTACATTGCCGATATGAATCGCAAACTATTCCGGAAGGTAAATGCTATTTTTATGTAAAAAAAGGATGAGTTACGTTTTTTCTTCTAAACAATTTCAAACATTTCGTATTTGTAAGTAATTCGCAACTAACAAAAGATGATAGACACATCCGGATTGTTTTAAAATGTGTATAGTAATGTTTGTTTTTCAAATATCGTAGCGCATTTGTTCAATTACTCACAAATACGAAATGTTTGAATTTGTTTAGAAGAAAAAACGTAAACTTTGTTTTATGCATAAAAATAACATTTGTCTTTCAAAATGTTTTGTGAATCATATCAGCATGACAAACACGTGTATTTTGCTATTGAATGCTCTTGAAACGAACCCTGTTTATTGCTCAATAAACTAATAGAGATGGCCAGAAAACCTGTGTTTTGGGATGAACAATTATTAATTCTCCAATACTACTTGACCCATCTACTCCAATTTTGTTGCGGTTATTTAGAAGTACGAATCCTACGAATTTGAAGAATTTCAAATATCTGCGAGAACCATCGCATTACCAACAGGTGCCAAAACTTGCCCCGGTTTTCGGCCATAACATTGTTGCTATTAGTCGGATCTTTTCACGTATGGTCTCACTTTGTAGGTCTTATAAATACCTAAAGATCTTATATGAAAGGTTTTTTCGTTCCTGTCAACACTTTCGATTGAATCCCAACAAACACGTTTTCTCATTCTTTGTTGTCAAATAAAAAGTTTTCCCACAAAAATTGGTGTACCCCATTGAACAACTTGCAACAATAAAACCAGAGCTTTACAAATTTGCTAATCAGTGGCGGCTCGTGCCAATTCAGTGAGGTAGTGCCAGAATGGAAGCCATAATTTTGAATCGATTCAAAATTGTAAAGAATAACTTATAACTTACCCCTGATAGTTAGTGGTCAAAGTTCTTGAGGTTCAATAAATCTATATGTCCAAAAAAAAATCAAAAATAAAACTATTTACACACGCGCACCAAATTATAAAACAAGTGTGGAGAAGTACCTATAACTTCAAAGTTTTCTATACATGAAGTCCATTCTTCTTTCTTTTTTGGTAGCAAAGTTTTCGATTACCTTATTATTAAAATTTTCAATGCCACTAACAAAATGTTTTTCTGCAGACAGCATTCCTAAAGCACTAAGCCTTTCTTCCTTCATTGTGTTTCTGAGGAAAGTTTTAATCCGTTTCAGCATTGAAAAAGAGCGTTCTGCTTCAGATGTTGACATCGGTATAGTGATTAAAATACTTAAGAGCTTAAGAGTTTCTTGAAACGTACAATTTAATCCTTCCTCGTTCAATAAAATGGATAGTGGAACAGCTCCAGAAGTAGTACTCAATTCTTCTCTCTGATATAATACTTGTAACTCAGTTTTAAGCCTGTTTTTGTCTAAAAATGAAAATTGTGTGCATGTGTCATTTAAATGTGCTTCAGGAAACTGATGTTTATAAACAGAAAACTTTTCAGACACAAATAAATTAGAAGCAACTAAATGCCCAGAAAAGTTAAATCTTGTTCTTATTTGCGATAATACTGCATCGCATATTTCTAACGCTTCCCGTTTTTTGCTGCCTTCTTCAACTTGCCTTTTTTTTCTTGCCGGTTCATCAGTTTCTCTCTGCACTCGTTCAATCTCGTCAATAATGCTATCCATTTATTCTCGTATAGTTTGAATTGCTGCTTCAAAATTCTCTAAATCATTTTTGACCTTAACAGAATCGGTGCATACTTTTTGTAATTGGTTAAAGACAATTTCAACATGTGGCATTATTTTATGGAATATACTTAGCCAAAATACAAAATTTGTATCTTGCAGCTTTAATTTGTACCCACCGGCTTGATTAATCGACGAAGAATCGCGTGAAGTACTTTCTATATTGTCCATAACTTCAATCAGGTCTTTCCTATTTTCATAAACTGTATGAACACCTCGTGACTGAAAATTCCAACGTGTTTGGGAAGATCTTGGCAATCTGCGATTAACTATTTCATCCAAAATTTTTGTTCTTTGAGGAGACGTCGAAAAAAAAGAGCACAATCCAGATAAATTATGGAAAAATATTCTAGCCTGCTTATTGACAGAGCATGCGCTTGTCATAATTAGATTTAACTGGTGTGCATAGCAATGAACATAATTTGCAAGTGGATAAGTTTCCTTAATAATCTTTTGAACGCCATTCAATTCACCACTCATAACAGACGCACCATCATAGCTTTGAGCTATTAATTTGTTTGGATTTTGATCTATTAATGGATTTACAACATTTAAAACGCATGCAGCGATTGATTTGGCATCGTGTCCGTCGGGGACGTAAAATCTCCAAAATCTCTCAACTGGTTGTCCTTATCTGAAAATAATAACTAACTGAAATTCACAGGCTACGTCAGTCGTTTCATCGGCAATTACTGCAACAAAAGGAGAATTTGCAATCTCCTTCTTAACTTCTTCATGATAAACATCTAGCATGCACTCAAGAAGCTCGTTTTGAGTTGTTTTTGAGGTACCCTTGAAAAGTTTGGCACTTTGAATATGGACTTTCAATTCGTTGTCTAATTCGGCGCTAAAATTCACCAGCTCCTTAAATATGCCTCTGTTTTCCGAATTTTCCTTTTCATCGTGACCCCTTAAGGCTAACTCAAATGCTCCACAAAACCTTATACAATTAATAATTTTATTCAATACATATCGATTCTTATCCACTTGATTATTATGTTTAATTAGATCATTGCGATAAGCCGAATTGAGTTGAGTCCTTATATTTAATTTACCAAGAATAGAAAAGCTAAAAACATTATTCATATGGACTTTAGATTTTTCGTGGGTCTTCATTTTATCCCATATATGTATAAGATCATCTGTACCTTTTTTTGACCAAGTCTCGTCACCTCCAAATAGAACACATACAAAACAAAATAGTTTATTCGTTTCTTCACAACCACATATCCAGCTGTTTTTATCGTACACATTTTTATTAAATTTGCGACAGCGCGATTTTTGTCCGCTACCACTTTGTTTCTCAATTTTTAAATCGGGTATTGGCCGTCCTAATTCTTTAATTTGCAGTTTTTGATCCAGCGAAAAACCACTAAATGAGTTTTTTAATATCCCGATTTTATTCATTTTCACTAGTTTTAATAAAACAGTAAAAAATATGATCACAAAACAGAGCAGTTCATTAACACTAGACGTACTAAAACAAAAACGTTATTTCTCACTTTTCAGGTAAAAAAAGACCGAAATCAGCACTAGACGTAATCATAACGAAACGACCGACCGAACAAAAACACCGCCGATATCATTTGATAACGAATTACGACTGATGATGTGCCTGGCACAAATTATACTTGTCTTTCGCTATTCACCTCATATAAAAATGTGTATTGTAGCGTTATCTCTGTCGCTCGTATGCGATGCTGGTAAAATTTCTCTCTTTTTATTTGGGCCGGCCCGACATTGGCACAAGTTGATGACGTCAAGGTCAAGGCATGCTTTATATCTCGTCGCGTGGTTCGGGTGCTTGCGGTGTTGTCACGTTGTCAGTGTTGTCACTTCATATAATTTATACCAAAAAAAAAAATGAAAAAGCAAAAAATAAAGTAAAACATTGAAGATTGAAAAAAATATTCTTTTTGAAGAAGACAAGGTAGTGCCATGGCACCGTGGCACTACCTCACGAGCCGCCACTGTTGCTAATATGATTAGACTGCTAGTGGACGGACATCAGTCAATAAAGTGATAATAGTCAACACACTTTTTTCGGGCACGAATTTTTTATTTGAAAAAAAACGAATTATCCATTGGAAACGTTGATCATTAAGCTATCTTTTTCCATTTTCGCCATTTTTTCTACGAATTTTTTTTAGAAGTGTAAAAAAGTAAAATCAATAGCAAGCCAATTTAAAAAAAAAAATTCTTGTTTGACGCAATAGAAGGCTTTACTCAGGTCACAGAACCAAACTGTACTGCCTTAAGTGAAAAGTCTCCATCACACCTGACCCGACCAACGATTGCGTCAGTCATTTTTGTTTGCACTTAGACCATACTGATTGTCAGAAAAAAATGTGTCTCGAAGAATTTATTCTACGATGCATTTTCTAATATACTAAGTGACATATAAATCCGAACACCCAGTTTAAATGGTTTTATTTTAATAAAAGTTGGTGAATGTATTTATCTTACTGTAAATAACAAGTGAAAAAATTTTCAGCCTTATCAGTTGGACATTCCGGTTTTTATACTGCTTTTTTTTTAATTCACTAACACTCTAAAAATGAATATTTCAGCCGCAGTAAAGAATCAACGTTGGCGGATTTTGGTTCTTGACATCCTTTACGATCGGTTACGATGCCTAGAGTACGGAGACCTGTACGATTTCGTCAACTTAGTGAGTTTGATAGGGGCCGTATAGTGGGACTTCGGGAAGCTGGACTTTCTTTTCGGGTAATTGCAGTTAGAGTGCAAAGAAGTGTAGACACTGTGGTTAGGTGTTGTCAGGCATGGCTTCGAGAAGGCCGTACGCAGAGAGCAAGGGGCACTGGACGCCGCCGTAGAACAACAGACCGTGAAGATCGCCGCCTAAGATTATTGGCCTTAAGGGACCGTTTCTCCACTACCAGGTCCATTGCAAATAAATGGTTTGCAGAACACGGAAGACCTATTGGCATGCGAAGTGTTTACCGACGAATGAGAAGTTTTGGCTTGTTTTCATACCGGCCACACTGGGTCCTCCCTTTAACTCGAGAACACCGACGTAATCGCCTTGAGTGGTGCAGACAACGGTCACTCTGGGATCAGGAATGGAACAGTATTGTCTTTAGTGACGAGTCTCGATTTTGTTTAGGCATGCATGTTGGTCGTGCCAAGGTTAGAAGGCGACGTGGTGAAAGGAGGAATCCGCAGTTTTTTGTTGAAAGACATGTTCATCACACTGTTGGAGTTATGGTTTTGGGGTGCTATAGCTTATGGTTCCAGGTCACCTTTAATCTTCATCAGAGGTAACATGAACGCGCAGCGTTATATCCACGAAGTTCTAGAACCCCATCTTTTACCCTATCTTGACACCCTGGCAGGTCCAACTTTCCAACAAGATAATGCCCGACCACATGTTGCAAGAGTCACAATAGACTTATTTCAACATAATGATGTCACATTGTTACCATGGCCACCAAGATCTCCCGACTTATCCCCAATTGAGCACGTGTGGGATATGATGGGTAGGAGATTGCTCAATTTGCAACGTCCTCCTCAGACTCTAGAAGCACTTCGAGAGGAGTTGGTGGTTGCCTGGAATGAGATACCACAGGAGGACATTGACCACCTGATCAGAAGCATGCCTAGGCGCATTGGAGAATGCGTAGCACATCAGGGTGCATCCACACATTATTAAAGGTCAAAGGGCTTTAAAGCAGTGCAATCATTTTGAAATTTTTATCATTTACTTATTATGCTTCATTAAGTACTTATACAAAATTTTATTAAAATAAAACCATTTAAACTGGGTGTTCGGATTTATATGTCACTTAGTATATTTCAGCGATAATTGGTAAAAGAGATATTGGCCTGTAATTTTCTGGGAATGTAGGATCATCTTTTTTGAACACTAGTTTAACAAAATCCAGCTTGAGACAATCAGAAGAGATGGTAATGAGGTTAGCAGGTAATAAGATGACTTGGTTTATTGTTTTTATTAATTTCACGTTCAGGCCATAAACGTCACGACTCGGTTTATTCTTTAAATTATCGATTACGACACGTACTTCTTTAAATGTTACTCCTCTGAATGAAAATACAGGACTATCTACATTTTGAATATTACTGATAAGGTATGTATGAAATATTTGACGCTTAATATTACCTTTAGAAGAGGAACAGCATGTAACGGTTGTTCTCCAACGCAAACTAAATCGCTACCAACACCATTATCAATTATTCTCTGCTTGGTGATATTTGTCAACTCTCGGTCAACTTCGAAAACGCCCACTCCTGGAGTAACTACAATGCTAAGTTGACCGGTCCTGTCAAAACTGCGATCCAAATAATGCTTTTCGAAAACTAAAAAAACAAATAAATGTATAAAAATGCATCTGAAGGCTGATTGTAACGTTACCATTCAATGACATATTCAACACTTCCAAAAAGTTCCCTTGAGCAGCTGTACTATTTGTAGCATCAGGTATTTTTATATTTGGTCTGGAGTGATATTCTAGAACGAATTTGAGATAGCTTTGGAAAATCCTCCTCAGCTGGACTAGAATTGGGATCCAGTCGTCATACCTCTCATTCTGCACAGCCACTCTGTGAAAAAATTTGTCTTAACGAACATTGCTCACGAAGTACCCTTTGCAATTTTCCGTTTGACATTCCTAATATAGTGTGGTCTGATTTCAAAACAACAAACCTATAAAAATCCTCATAATATCTGCCTCTGTAATCCCTCTGCAAGCATTCTCTCATATGCTGCGGAAATTCCTCCAAACTGACCGCCTTATAGAACGTTCTGGAGAACAGAACTATAGTAACCTCATGGTTACTACCATTCTTCTTCCATTTCGTTAACATATCCGCTAAAAACCCATTCACAGCCTTTTCAAAGTAGAGATCACCGTAGATATCAAAGTCCCACATTTCTGACGACATTTGTAGAAAAATGTAGACCATAGCGGTGGATGATCTAAAGACTATTTTAGTGTCATCCGTGATAACGCCGCATGCAACTCTCTCGCCTTGGGCCCACATCTCGTACACCTGACATCTCACTGCACCGCCACAGAATTCTATTTTTTTGTTCATGTACACACAAGAATTCACCTGAAAAATAGTTTAGTTTTCAGTTTTTTCAGATTCCAAATGATTGTTTCATTATAACTGGAGAGAAATTATTATTACTGGCGTCTCATTGTTTAGTACATGGTGGATTCTCATCAAAATTAAAGTGTTCCACCATTACGCCTGTATCAAAGGTTTAACATTCTGAGATATACAGGGTTATGGGAAAATAGATACGGAGCCGGTGGGGGGGAGATAGTACAAGCTAATCTGAGTCGATTTTACTATAGGAACTACTGTCCGAAAATTAGCCGTTTTCGAATTATACTATTTTTAATATTTTATAAAATTAACGTCCTTTATACGTTAACCAAGTCATAAAACTTGAAAATTGGGTGTTTCATTTGATTTTTTTTTTGGTTTACTATAAAAATATTCCCAAATACGAAAATTGATACTCAAATGTACATTATTGACGTTATCTCATGGAGTAAGCTTCAAAATAGTTCAATTTTCGTTAAAAAAATCTTCGTTCATCTCAAAACTCAATTTACTAGAAACAATCACCTACAAATTTTTCGTGCAAAACAATTTTAAAATATCCACGTTTCATTACCTTTCAAATGAGGTATCAAAGTCACAAACCGGTTTAGAAATGACAAAGATATGAGTGAAAGAAACAGGTAGAGCCGCGAACATAGAAATAGTGTGATAAGTAAGACTAGTACCCCCCTCCCTCCATCGCTTCAATCTGCTCTTGCGATTTGTTGCAATCGGATGTGTTTGATTGCTCGCTGTTTTGATATTTCTAACGGCCTTGCTCTTGTTGGACCTCCGTGTGTGATTCTTTTCCTGACGACCTAGACCCTGTTTTCTGTGATTCCTTACGACTTGGCTGCTGTGTGACTTCATTGTTCGTTGATCTACCCATCGATAAACAATGGCTGATGAACAAAGGAGGCGGCCGTTCAGTTTCGAAGAATATGCCGATATCCTTTTCTACTATGGAGTTGATTGAACTTCTTAATTACGAGTTTATTCATTTAATTTTAACACGAGCATCTACGCGGCTCTGAAGATGGAAACATCCACACGTTGTGTATCGTTTGTTCTAAATAATATTTTGCCAACTCTAGCTCATAGTCTTAGCGCTATGTTTATTAGGTAACAAGTTTCTACAAAAAAACATTGTTATTTGTTTTTTTATTTTATTTCAGGTAGACCTCTACATGATGTGGAAGAAGAAGAAGAAATATTAAATATTTTCCAAAGAGACCCTACTCTCTCTACTCGCGACGAATTGATAAATGTCAAGTCATCGTTGCTTGTCAGAGCGGTCCGTGGGACCTTAGCTCTTCAGTCACAGTGTCAGTTTGTAAGTCTGTCAGGTCTGGTAACCCAGAAACCAGACAATTTTACGGAAAAAAGGGGAGGAAAGGAGAGAAGGAAGAACGAGAGCAAAGGGGAAGAGAATCTTTTAGGAGAGGCAGCGTTTAGGCATTGTGAAAATCACTTCACAGATTTTGATATGGTCTAGAAATATTCGATTTTTTCTAAAGATTTTGTCAAAATGCTCCAATTTTGATTACAGTGCGAGCCGGGGCCTTTTGTGCTTGGGAACTTGCTCGACTGTGTAGTCCACTGACTCACGAAACAGAGGGTTGCTGTGCGATTCCGCTAGGCTATAGCGCTGTTGTTTAATGTAGTCCTTTAGGTAAGGGACATTGAGGTCTCTATGTAGAGTTTCGTTAGAGACATACCATGGGGTGTCAGCAATAGTGTGCAACGTCCTGCTTTGCAGAACCTGCAGATTTCGCATGTGTGTTTTAGCAATAAAACACCAAGCCGCACATGTGTAAGTCATTGCTGGTCTTATGACCACCTTATAGAGTCGATCTGGTTAATCAAACTTAATTTTGAACGTTTACATAATAATGGGTAAAGCTGTCAAAACATAATTTGGAATTTAGTTTTTAGCGCTTCTATATGGTTCTGCCATGTCATCCCTTTGGTGAGAATGACACCAAGATACTTAGCGGAGGATTCCCATGGTATACGAAATACAAAATCATTTAATGGAGAAAATTGACTTAAACATTTTTATCAGGACTTTTTACTGTATTGACATTTAGTTTAATTAGATTGTTAGTATCTTGTTTTTGCAACAAAGTAGTCGCAGAATGAACCTTTATCCACTTGTGTCTTCAATTGTTCTATTGTGAAATTCACTATGTTCAAGAAGCCTTACATCAGTGATCATTGATGTATGAAGTTATGATAGAATCTACTATATAATAATCATGTGACACTTTCATTAAGTTACATTAAAGTATGTGAAATTATGCTCAAGTAATGGTAGGAAGTGGCTGCATAAAAGAATTTACTCACCAAGCTGTTTTTCAGCCTCCACATTTCAGATCTACCCATGTATTGGTCTTTGAAAGTAAGCTCAATAGAATCTAGAGCCACATCTGTTGGGTTCACCAATCTGATATTCACATTTTTGTATGTTTGGAGACCAAATGCAGTTGCGATGCTTTGTTCCACACTTACGGTTTCTCTAGTTTGTAACAAATCGTCAGAAAATGATTTGATTTGAAGGAGGAGTCTAGGATATTCTTCCTCTGATTCTGTTTTGTTTTTGCATTTTTGACTCTCTTCTTCAGGATGATAGATTTCAATGATGTCATTCTTTTTTGCTTCTGGGTAGTCTTTTTGGCTGATTATTAAATCTTCCTCTGATAAAAGAATACATTGAATACGAGTGATACATTTATATTAAAATACCTACCACTAAAATTTTTATGATGCACTTTTAAACGAAACGACTTCATTTCTTTGTTTCAAAGAATTGTTGCATTATTGAAGCCCACCCCACGATAAGACCATGGACTTTGTTTATACAATCATTTATAAATAAACCTATCGGGATTAATAAGCAAATAATTGTATGCCATAATCAAAACACAAATAACCACATCCACTTAACCGAAAACATTGTCTAATGTCAAAAGCATATGACGCTGGTTCTTATCTAGCGCTACTACTGGCAACACTGACTAGAGCAGTAATTTGTAATCCTAATATTCGTTAAATAACTTCTCACTCTTTATTTTATTCCATCTCTAACATATATTTAACTGGTGGACTTGACTAGCCACTATGGCCAACACTGATTCTAGATATGATTTATGCTCTAAATATTCGATAAATGATCCGCTTTAGCCCATCTCGAACATTTATCCGATTGGTACTTTTATCTATTTGCTATTGGCCATACTGAGTAAAGGTGTTATCAAATAATGACAGTGACGCACATGGTTGCCACATTAATTAAAACTACTAGATCCTAGGACGTTTTACAAAATCGACTGTCTTCGATGATTAAAAGGACACCTCAAAGTTTTGAAAAAAACTGTTATATCTATAAGTAGATGTTGTCACCGCTATTGACCTAGAGACATCTACGTGTGACATGATGGTATAATCCAAATATGAAGAAGTAAAAAGTAGTTACGTTTGTTTTTCTGAACAGGTACAGTTTTCGTTTGTCCATCTCGCACCAGCTCACCGCTAGGTTTTTGAACCCCATTTTTCACCCATTCGTCAAACATGAAATGCCTTGACAAATGTTTTTTCAACTTAAGCAGATGGGAATCACACGGTGCCAAGTTCGCACTATACGGTTGGTGGGTGAAGATCTCCCCATCCAAATTGCAGAAAAGGAACCGTTTGAGAATCCATAAACACTAGCTCAAAATTATTCTTTCTGGTTCCTGGATTGTGTGTCGGAGTTTTTCCAGTGTTTCATAGTTGAAATAACACAATTGGCCGGAAAGCGATTCATTTCAGACACTGAAGTGATCGATGAGGTTCACTGCATTATCAAGACCCTGGCGGAGATCTGGTTTGACATGGATATTTAAAAACTGCAAAACAGAACGAATGTTTAATAATGCACCAGTTATTGAAAGCTAATCATTTTTGTAGTTTTAAAACGAAAGTACATGTGCAATACCCCAAGCAGCGTTGCCAACCCCATCCGAGAGAAAAACTGTATATTATAGGCTTGAAAAAAATACAGATAACTGTAGAATATTATTTAAAAAACTCTACAGCTTTCCATTTACAGTATTTTTGACGAGTATCTATCGCGGACCAAAGTCAAAAAGTGACAGTTTTGTATTGCTTGAGCAAATTCTTTTTGAGCGATTGTTGGCCTTGAGTGGCATAAAAGTGATAGAATTTCCATTCAATTTCAATGCCAACCAGAACCACAATCGCTCAAAAAATTTGTTTTTTACATGCATAATCAGCAAGTATATATTGACAACAAATGGCGCACACGCAACGAAAAACTACAGTTTTTAAGCCCGAACTGAAAACTTGGAAGATTTTTGAACAACTAAATCTGCAGTTAAAACTGTAGGGCTGGCAACCCTGCCTCCAACAAAGATTGGGAGCTGGAAAGAGGCGTTGCTAAATACCAACCAATGACGACGCAGAAACGACGATAGCCGTACCGACGCAGAAACGACGATAGCCGTACCGACGCTATACGCTGCGAACGCGCACTTTAGTCGTCGGTTGGCGTGACTGGAGGCTGCTTCGTCGAGACCTCCGTGTAACGCTCTGCTTTTGTTAGACTCGTCATGTGGCGTCCAAAGTAGTCTTTGTCGGCGATTCCTCACAGTGTCGTCGTGTCGTGGCGGTGGTTTAAGTGATTTTGTGAAAATGTGTTGTGGTTGTTCATAAAAGGCGAATGGTGTATTCACGTTGGATATTGTGTCTTCTTGCGATCTTTCTGAGGAAGCTGTGTATGTCTTCAAAGCAAACTAGGTAAATTAACAATTGTTCTCTAAAGTTATAAACGTTTTTATGTTAGAAGGGATTAAAGTTCTGAGAAACCTTGAGGAAGTCGAATTTCAATGGTTTAAATCGCGGTTAAAATGATCATCCTTGAGGCTGTCAAGTGTCTAAATTAAATCGCACCTTACCCTACAAGACTCCCAGGAGTATTTTAGGGGATTAGTATATCTGAATGTATCATTACTTAATTGTTAATAACGCGAGGCGCTGATGCGCGTTATTAAAATTAAATAGCAGTGCTTCAGAATACGTCCAAAATACTCCAAGTTTGGTCACGATAGGTGGACGTTCACCTTTTTTTTTTCATACAAAGGCTGTGACATTCATCTTTTTTGTCACTGCACGGCAAATTTGGTATAACTACGGAGCGTCATTGTTTTTGCGGGTTTCCGATACCTTATGGGATTGCTCTGCGTTAAGACTACATGTTGCCGGTTCTAAATACAAAACGTTAAACTTGTGACATTCATCTTTTTTCCCCTGTACCCTTCAATTGTTCCATCCGCCTTTCCTGTCCAAAATGTGAGAGTGATAGTTAATAATAATAACGCAATACTTGTATACTCATGCTGTTTCTACTTGTTCCAGGGACTAGAGCAGTTTGCTGAAATGTAAGTGCATTTAGGGTTTTCTTATTGGTGTAGGGTTCACAGCCCAACAGGAGCGAGAGCTGCGAGACTACCAACCTGCCCTCGCCCAGCCAGGGTGCCCCATTTAGATAGTTAGGGATCACTAGGAAAAAGCGTCCGTTCAGTATAAAAGTCAGGAAAAACGTTTGAGTCAGATAACTCCAAATAAGCGGTCGTGAATAGCGAGTATCTAGGTAAATGTTAGGGAATTTTATTTGGGCACTCTGGGATGTGGGGGCACATCGAGGGATACAATCGGTTCATCATGCCCTTGCTGAGTATGCAGGGGTGCATCGAGGGATGCAGACGAGACATCATGCCCTTGCGCAGAGAATGCGGGGGTATCAGAGGTAAATGTGTTTTTATGAATAAAACTTCTATGCAATATATTTTGATAATTTATCGACATATTTTGAATACCCTTACCTAAAAACCGAAGTTATTGCCAGTGGCTTATCGTTGGTAACTATTACCTCCGCGAACTGCGGAGACGTACAAGGGGTATTTTCCATGTGCGTACGAACCAGTTTTTATAAAAGGTGTCAATATATTATAGCGAATTATTTTATGTATATTCATTTATTTAGCCAGATATTGGAAACATGAGTACAATATAATGGAAACTATGAAAATAGTTCTCGGGTAACCTTTTTATTAGATAAGAAAAAGCTTTTATAGCCGTTCGCATGCAGAAACGCTCGATAGAGTTTTCCTATCCGCTTTTCCTGCTCAACGTGTGACAATGAAAGTTTTAATAACATAGTACTGCTGTTTCTACTTTTTACAGGGACTATGGCAGTTTGCTGGAATGTACGTGCATTTATGGTTTTCTTCTTGGTCTTCACAGCCGAACCGAGTGAGAGCATGGTTTACGAAAGTGGCGGACGACTCTTTATACTGCCCTCGCCCAGACAGAGTGCCAGTTCGGTAGAAAAGTTAGGAAAAATAAAACGGTTGCAAACTTTGAAAGTAGAGAAAATCTGAGTATATAAAACATATGTTTCAGGAAAAACGTTTGCATCAGAGAACTTCAAATAAGTGGTCGGGCGTAGATGTTAATTTGTTTTTATATTTTATATAGGACTTCTGTGTAATAGGTTTTCTCATAAAATTTAATGAAGTATTATTGGGCTTGGTTATTGCCTTCAACTAGCAAAACTGTGATACACTTCAACGATTTTTTTGTGTAAAGGTTCATCAAGAAGATGGAAAAGTGAAGGGAGCAACTCCTCTGGGTCCATAACCGAGATGTTACTCAGGAATTCAGGATTTAGAAAAACACTGCTAGGTATTAATATGTTGTTAATGCAAGTACACACAAGTATCATGATATGATGCACTCCAACTGCTATATTAAAAACGATTATTACTTTTTACAAGCAATGTGTGAAGAAATGTTTCGTGGTTAACCATTTTCAGAGAGATGTCTTGGAAAACACGTGGCTGACGTAAAATTGTCCAGTGTTTCTGAGGAATGAGATATGTGAAAGTTCAGGTTTCATAAGTGTGTCTGTAGATGCTAAGTAACCAGATAAGAAGGTAGTAGTGGTAGTAGTAGTAGTAGCAGTAGTAGTTCTGGTAATACTTAGTGATAGTAGGGCTAGTAGTAGATCATTATGGGTTTGAGGCAAGATGCCCCAGCATGGAAGGTTTTTTTGTAAAACTATCGTACTCACTGCAGGCTGTGTCCCGCAAAGGGCTCAAAAACTATATTTGTTGTCTATGATTATTTATGCTTTAAAGTCGTAGCGCAAGTGTTTTTCTTAGTTTGTTTCAGCTTTTAGGTGAGAATGAGAACATTCCGTATTTTAGGAATGGTGATGAACAATGATAAATATTGATGATGATATATTTATTATAATTTTAATTTTAGCTTACATTTGGTACCTATTTACTATTTCTATTAGGTACATATTTTACGAAAATATCTATTTTTAGCTATAATGTGATTGCGCATTTCTTATTTTTACGTATGTTACAGAACTGCTGCCCAAAAACTTTCAGTTTTTCTTTCAGATTCATAGCTCAAATATTTTTATCAAGCTTTGGAAGGAGTACATCCCCAATTTCAGGAATGGCATACGTTATAGACACTCCCGAGCGTGATAAACGAGATAATGAATATTGATGATAATGATTTATACAGGCAACTGTTCCAAAAACTGTTCTGCCTGGACAGCTGGATGAATATTTTATTGGCTATACACGAGTCGGGTAAAGATAGAGGTTGATAGGAATAATAGAAATATTAAGAATGATTAAAGGCCCGATTTATAGTATGCTGCAATACATGAAAACATCAATCAAACGAACATCAAAATTTTTACAGGGTAAGCATTGAAGAGTATAGCATCAAGAATGTTGGTTTTGAGCTTCATTAACTACTGAAGTAGGATCTTGGAAACGTTCCCAAGAGATGTATTTTCTAAACTTACCCTAAGAAGACCAAAAGCTTTCCACTCAAGCTATACTTAAATAAATACAGAGTCAACCTACTTGATGATTCAAAATAAGCAGAGGTGTTATTTAAATGGGAATACTTATGTGAACTCTCTTTGTAGATAAATCTGTGGATAGTAGTAGTATGGCTTACTGTCAATATATTGATGAAGTTTTACGGAATACAGCCAGGCTCCAAGCAAAAACTTCTAAAAATGTTCACGATTTTCATACAACTTGGAGAAATTAAGGGACATATTTGAGGAACTAACACGATGAGGCAAAAAGTTATATGGATATCAATTGAATTGATAATCGAAATAATGAACAGGTATTTTTTACATAATCTTGAACTTATTTATTCTTCATGTTTCACTGACGTCTTATCCGATAAGTCAATCTTGTAAGGAAATATAACGTCTGAAACCTATTGCAAAAAGCAAAATTTATTTTTCTAACAACTTGTCAGAAAGAAGCACGAGTGTTGGCAACAAAAATCCGAGTCGAAGACGAGGATTTTTGCACCTGCATGAATGTTTTTTGTTAAATAAATATTACTTTGCATTGTGTTTTTTCGTTTCTTTTCACAGGAAAAAATTAAAACCCCAAATGGTATTTGACTATTTCATAAGCACAGATTATTCTGCATACACATTGCTTACAAAATTAATTGACAATAAAATCGGAAAAATTGTTAAGAGTCGTTTTCTGGTGTCTTAGGAGACCATAATTACTTGTCATCAATCAATCATATTGCAATTTTTGGTGACAAGTTTTGCCGCGGGTAAACTCGCAAAAACTGATGACAGGTGCTGTCATACAATTCTTCCATCTAGAAATCATTTGTAAGTCAAAATTGCGCGTTTGTGTTTGGTAGAAATTAAGATGAGGGAAATAGTCGACATGAAAACCACATAATAAAAGTTTCAGATGCTACATTAACCAAAAACTGGTACCACAACTTGACTTGGGAATGTTTGTGGTGGCTGTGTTAAGAAATGAAAAAATTTTATATTTTGGGTTGTGATACAATTTACATTCATAAATAAAATTTCTCTGACTCGAATACAAAACGGTTATAGCTTAAAAACTGACGCTCGTAGAAACTGTTACTTCAATACCACTTTTTTTTTTAGGTTGATAACTGAGGCATGCTGGTGGATTATAGATTTTCGATTGTACAAATGAACCCAGAATTGTGGAACGACGTGATTTTTCTTCACGTGATACAATTAATCTGAGCAGTGACGGTTGAGGTTTTCTAGGGGTTTCCCTCGCCCAAGTGCGAATGCAGTCACCAAAAAAACATATTCCCCTAATAGATAGTAGAGAAGATGAAAATCATAGTTGTTCTATTAGTGATCATGTAATTTTAGATCAAATGGATATTAAATATATTTATACAGTAAAACTTTGTTTTTCTTCAAAAAAGAAATAGGCAAAAAGTATTTTATCCTATTAAAGCCCTGTTTGTACAGGTGTCATCACCTGTCAGTGACCGTGTCCAAGATCCCACCACACAAATTCCGCTCATTCTGCTACGCTATATAGACTAAATTCACATGGCCGGATCCCAGACACAGTCACCGACAGAGGTTACCGACCACCCGCGTTGCCAACCCCAACCTGCTTGAAAAAACTGTAGAATATTATTTAAAAACAGTATTTTTCACGAGTATCTGTGGCAGACCAACGTCAAAAAGGGACAGTTTTGCATTACTTAGGCAAATTATTATTTTTGAGCGGTTGTGGTTCTGGTTGGCCTTGAGTGACATAAAAATGACAGAATTTCCATTCAATTTTTTCTAAATTCACTCAAGGCCAACTAGAACCACAAACGCTCGAAAAGAATTTGCTTTTTGAAGGCATGATCAGTTGTCCTTTTTTGACATTGTTCCGCGATATATACTCCGACTTAACTTAAATCAAGTTCTTTTCGCATGCGGTTCCGATTCTGGTTGACTTTGAGTGACATAAAAATGACAGAATTTGAATTGAAATCTGTCACTTAAGGTCAATCATAACCGCTTCAAAAAGAATTTGATTTTAAGTAGATTTTACGTATAATTCGATCTGGTAAGAGCGAGCTATTGTATGGACTTCCGACTTCGTAGTAAACAAAACAGATTACGCGAGCATCTTAAACGAAAAACTGTAAAATTGAACTGAAAACTTGAAAGATTTTTGAAAAACTAAATCTACAATCAAAACTGTACTGTTGGCAACTCTGCCGACCACTGTACAAGCAAACCGAAAACTGGCAGTTTATAAAAGTGTTCAGTCATAGCAGCATAGACGCCGGGAGAGTATTTTTTATTACTAGTGGTCTTGGCATTTTCGGTCTGAATGGGCCCCAAATTCGGTTGCAGCGACCCAAAAAACGTGTCTGGGCTCACGTTCCTGACTGAAATTTTTTGTACATGGTACCTAAATATTAAAATGCTAAACATGCGGTTCAAATGTCCTCTATCGTACACATTTTGAGTCGCTAAAGTAAAATCCGATGTCACTTCATATGTATCTAATCCCGTTTAACATGTAGATCTAATAATTACTTAGCGAAAAATTGCAAAACTATACGTTTTTTGCGACTTTAGGGTGCAAAAACCCCATTTTTATTATCGATGACTACATGTGAGCGGAACTTTGTACAAGTAATTTGGGGCGCTGAATATAAGCATCATAGAAAAACACTTCTAAAGGGTCATCGGACCTTTATTTGGAGTGAAATTGGTAATGCACTTTTAACTCGGGGTTACCCGTGAATGATAGCACTAAATTGCCATCAAATTCGTAATCTACGCACACAATTTACCTAGAAAATGAGCTCCCATCTAGATAATAGACTCGCAACAGTTTTTTATTAGACGTTTCTTGACAAAGTGGAATTCTTGCCATTATTTCGAAAACGAGAAAAAATTAAAATGCTTTAAGTGCTGTTCAAATGACGTCTATCGTACGTATTTTGGGTTACCAAAGTCGAATCTGATGTCATTTCACATGTATCTAATCCCGTTAAAAATGTAGATCTAATTATTTAGCGAAAAATTTGCAGAACTATGCTTTTTGCAAGTTTTTGGTACAAAAAAATCCATTTTTCTTATCGATGGCTATGTTACATAGGAGACCCCCCTTAAAATGCGGTCCTATGTATCATGTTTCATTTTTGGTCACGACTTGTGAATCACCCTGTATAACTTATCATATTGAAAACATTCCAAAGTGCCAAAGGACCCGATTTGGGTTGAAAAATTTGTAGTGAATCCTAGAACTGATTTGACATCGAATTCAGAATATAAGCACCGATTTATTTAGAAAACATCCTCTCAGAGCTGGAGATTTTTTATTAGTCGTTTTTAGCGACACAAAAAACGTATTCGTTGAGCTCTCGCCGGACAGACCCATTTTTTGCAGTGTTTCAGATTGTAACAAAAGACGTCGGTGATATTAAAATCTGCTTTGTCTTCCATGCCTTACTGCAACCAGCATTACGGAGCGTATGTTTTGTAAACTCTAGAGATAGTGACAGTGGCAGACCGCAACCAACATTACAGAACCGTGCGTATTCGTAACTAGCAGAAATTAGCTTACTTTTGGAAAATGATAAAAAAATAGGCTAATAACATTTTAAGATATAGACTTGAAAGTTTTACTACCCACTCAAACCATAGTTTAACTTTATTACAATTTGATAATTTAAGTTAAATTACACAACAGCTATAGGAAAAAAATGAACATTGAAATGAAATGAAATATTGATTTTGTGGATTACATTTCAATGGCTCTAGAATTTTAGATAAACAACAAATAGTTGCAGCTGTTTTCATTCACCTAAAAAAAGCTTTTGACGTAGTAAGCATAGACATTTTTGGATAAATTGTTTAAAATGCGATTTTCAAGTCACAACACTGAAAACCGAGATCAACATAAATGTACCCGGGAAATTCAAACTATACGTACCAATTTAGGATCTAGTTTGCTTTAAGGTTGGCATTCAAATTTACCAAATATGACGTAACTGCTTTGAGTGAAAGGAGTATATTTTGGGCATTCTTTATCATCTCTTTAGTTTTGAGGTTAACGCGTTCAACATTTTCAAACAAATTGGAACATACACAGGTATAGAGTCGAAAATTTAGTATTCAGTCTATTATCGATATCAAAATAGAAGTCCAATCTTATGAAGAAGTTGTTTCATGCTATACGAAGGAAGCTAACCAACTGCACACCTCATTATGAGTGAATCTAGACCAAACACAGGGCAAAACCCAAAAAAGCAGAATAAAAAACCAAGTAAAGACCATGTGCTACGTAAGCGGCAGCCTAACAAGCCTGAAAGGGGTGACCATATTTTATATATAAGTACAAAGACTGATATTAAGGTGGGGACATGGAAGTTCTGTTTTCGAACAGTGCATAACATGTATTTGTTTGTAGGCGCACCTAGAGAAATGCAACAAATTGATAAGTAATAATGAAAATGAAATAATATTGTATTGCTTAGGGGCTGCTATCCAAAGAGGGATATTATTAGCAATGAAAATATGTGAACGGCATGTTACTTACAAAATACATGCAAACACATTTTCAACAGAACTTACAGGTATACTCGTGGTGTTTAATGCTTAAAATTTAATATCAAAATCTTAATGAATATGGTATATTTTAGGATAATGTGACTTGATCAGTATTTTCAGTGATCTGTACCTACAGCAGCGGACAAAAGATTGGAAACATTCTTAGTAATTTTTGAAAAGTGCGCTAATTTTTTATTCTTTATCATCAAGGACTATTTTTTTCATATATTTTGCTCACAGTCTTGAGGATACAAATCACAATTTGTGTTTGCTGTGGTATTAAAATACTTTCATATTACTTTATGACCGAAAATGAGACCACAAAAGTATGGGAACATATTTTTTATTACAAACTCTACAAAAAGATTTGAAAAATACTGTTTAGTTAGATTTGGTAGCATAGCATAGTCCTTTACAAATTTTGAGGTATGCTTGGGGTCATCATCTTGCTGGAATTTCCATCGTAAAGGCAAAAGGGAGCATGTGTTCACTAAGAACATCATTGTACAGTTGTTGGTCCATTTGCCCAACTATTTCAACAATTGGACCCTTTCCAAAACAGCTCCAAACCATGATGTTCTGACAAAAAACTTCTCGGCTCCCTCTTCCACGATTCTTTTGAAAATCTGTGTGGCTGGCATTCAAGGATTCATCATGGGACAAAAGTTTAATGTAGTGATCCAAAACATAATCGGTTTTTTTCAGTCTCCCGCAGCTGGGCCGCGTTGCTGTTGATCCGTATTCTTGACATTTGTTAATAATTTTTGAAATCGTTCCTTTGTTCATTATTAATCTTTGAGAAGTATCAACATTTGTGTCTAAATAGTTCAATTACTTTGTCTCTTAATTTTTTTAAAATTCTTTCACTTTTTCCATTCTCAGTGACGTTAATATTTATCGCACGCAATATCAGAGTATTGCAGAACGAATAAATACGGCAAAAATTGAAATGTTTCCATACTTTTGTCATTACAAAAACTGTGGTATTTAAAAAAACGCGTGTTTTCATTTTAAGAGAATTTGAATATTGATAAGATAAACCTTGTATCAGTACTGGAGCCAAAGGTAGACTTTGATAATTGTATTATATGTTCCTTCACAATTTTAATTTAGGTACATGAAATAGTACAAAATAATGTTAATATTTTTTCCAAACTTATGTTTGTTTTTCTAAATACCCTTACACATCCATAATGACTGACATCTTGACTGCACAGTTAATAAATTATCACATTCCAAGGTAAATACTGACAGATCATAGTAAGAGTATATACTGATCATGTGACATTTGCCTCAAGATGTGCTTACACATTATTGTATATTTGATCATTAAATCCTACATTCTCATATACTGGTCTTTTCTAGATGACTTGGAACCAGCAACTGATAGTGTAGATTATGAAATACAAAGAAGAATTAATTCAGCTCTTAGGATAAAGATCTTCAATTCAATTCCCAATGAAGACTTACCAGCAAAAGCATCAACTGAATGACATGTTAAAAAGTTTTGTGTTTTGGTTATGAAACAGATAAAGCAAGTTTGATGGGCAGAGCAATGTTTGAATTAACTTATGTGTGTATGATTTGCATATCTGATGCATGTACTTTTAATTTAAATTATGCTCAAATTACATTAAGAGACTGTATTATAGATATGTTTTTGTATAAATAAATTGATGAAAATAATGTTTTTTTAATGGACAATTCAGCAAATACAAACAAAATAAATTTTGGAGTGTATCTCTAACATGGTGAATTTGATTTTTAGCTTGGCCTGTAACAGAATCTTAGACCATAATTTTCACCAATTTCCAGAAGTTTGATTAATTTGGAACTTCACACACGTATCAAGGACCAATGACAATGGAATAATTTTATAACAGTCCATTATCCTTATTAGGACCGCCAGAATTGATACATTCTTTTATAGATCTAAGAAGTGCGTTCTCACCTTGTTCATTGCGAATGTTGCCGATAAACACGCTTGTTCCTCTGTTAATAATTTAAATTTTATTATAATTTTATTTTGAGGTCACCATCTACTGCTGTAATATAAACTCTTTGTAATTGAAAATTAATTTCTACTTTTTCGTTCAGTTAGCGTGTTTTTTAGTTTTTTTATTTCATTGTAATCCAAAATTGCATATTTGTTACAAGACTCAAACCTTTGAGGTATAGCGCTATATTACTATAATATATCTTGCCTATTTAAAAAGTTTATTTCTCCCAATTTTGTATATGCTGATTTTTGAAATCGGATAAATGTTCTTGACAATCACATTCAGCTCAGTCCTGTCCTGCCTGAAATCCCTCCCCTTATCTACGACCTTAACACACGGTTGCCAAACTGCACTGTCGCCCAATTTCGCGAATGACATTTTCAATGAGCAAAACATTTATAAAAAATCATAACTAGTAATAAATTAGAAATAAGTAAAATTTCACTTAAAAATCAGCTTGGGTTCTCTTTTGGACAGTAAATTACGACATATTTAGAACAGGGTGAGGCTACGTAAATCTGGCAACATGGGATGATGTCATTCTGTTTCTGAAATCCTAAAACGTCATTTCTTGTAGCAAGCCTCTTATCTGTTATGAAAATACTAATTTATTCCTAGAACAAAGGCTAGAAATCTTTACATTCCTCTTGCTTTGTGTATTTTTTCACCTCAACGCATGACTCATTCGACCACCTGAAAGAAACAACTTCGCATTGTCGTACACAAACCCGTAAGTATCATTTCATTCTCTTTTTACCCACTATTTTCAACCTTCAAGTAGTAAATACGAGTTTCGTTTCTTTCCAGAGTTGTATGGACATTAGCAGTGAAGTATACTACTTCCTGTTGTGTTTAGTGTTGTTACCAGTGCATCTATTTTTCACCCTCTGGAGTTGGTTGGGTTGGGAACTCTTCAAAAACAACTGAGATGAGTCAGTTAAACAATAACGAAGAACAGAAAAGCAACATTACCAACATGAAGCGCAACCTCACATTGGACTTCAATCAGAAGAAGAATCTTACGTTACCACTGTCCAATAACCAGGTTCTGTCCTCTCCAGACTTAAAAATGCTAAACGTAGGCACCCCTGAGCTGGAAAGCATGATTTTGAGCAATGACCTGCCAAACACGCCCACCCCTTCACTACTATTCCCTCGTAATGTCACAGTAGAGCAAGAAAGATTTGTCGGCCCCTTCGTTGAAGCGCTCAGCCATTTACACAACAGCGGTTCGCAACAAGGCTCTGACAGCAACAGCAGCACCATTTACAACGATTCTTTCATACCTCACATCAAGGAAGAGCCCCAAACTGTACCTAACCTCAATCAAAGTCCTCCTACTTCTCCAGTTGATATGGAGTACCAGGAACGTTTGAAGCTGGAGCGCAAAAGACAAAGGAACAGATTGGCTGCATCGAAATGCAGGTCAAGGAAGCTGGAAAGAATTTCAAAGCTAGAGGATAAAGTGAAGCAGCTGAAAAATGAAAATGTAGAGTTAGGATCTATGGTAAACCAGCTTAAAGAAACTGTTGGTCTTTTGAAGCTGGAGGTTATGGAACACCATAAAGCAGGTTGTACCGTTATAAATTATTAGTAGTTGTATATTATTCGGTGCTTTATAACAAAGAAATGCAGTATAAGCCAGTGCATCAAATTTACATTTATGAATATTTTAATGCATATAGAAATTTTACTCTATTCGGCAATATTTAGTTATGTTGGAAGTATTTAAAGACTAACAACCTTGCATGGTATGTTTTCATAACTCCTGTGGCTAGATTTGGATTTTTTCAATAGGTAACAATACAAAGGACATGAAATAATACAAACTAGATAATTATTTTATAGTGTTATTTACAAATCAATAATTTGCCATATTAAAAAGTATTCATCTGCCAGTGCATAATAAGTGTAAGATATCTTTATTAATATTTATTCTATTGGAAGTGACAATATGAATGAGAAGTGTATTTGCACATGGGCACACAGAAACATACTCTAGGCTTCTGTTAAAAATTCACTGATATTTTTATAAATATATTGGCAACTTAAATACCCAAAAACTGTAAAAAGGGAAATTGTTAAGTACTTCTTATGGTGCTATATAAGATTTCAAAAAATACTAAACTTCCCTATTGTAAGCAATGTATTTTATGATTAAGGTGTTATTTTATAGAGAGCTATATATTTTTTCCATATTGAGATCATTCTGTCAATAATTGCGATATTATGCAGAATTAAGGGTATTTGGTACATGAACTGATAAGTTTTTGAGTAATTAGAGAGGCTATTATTTACTAATGTTTATTGAAAATTACAAAGCTCTAAAAGATCCAGTTACTGGGACATAATTTTTTTGTTGTTTAGCTGATAAATATTATAACTTTTCTCTTTGTAATGAAAGTACAAAATAAACATGCATGATCAGTCAGTACAAATGAACAGTTCATACAAAAATAGTCTAAAAAAAGAACTTACCATCATCCTAAATAGTAATATTGTGTGAAACGTATAAAAAAATTGGAATATAAAAATGGATAACTAAAAAACTATACCTTTTTTGGAACTTAGCTTTGTAAAAGATCTGTTACACTTACAATTTTTGAAATGACTGCCAGCATTTGATTAGAGTAATAGTAACTGCAAATCAATAAATAGTTGGGTTTGGGAATGCCCCTTGTTCAAGTTGATTTGAAGTTTATGATATCTGATCTGTATTATTATATTGTCTACATTGTATCATTTGCATTACAATTTTCAATAAAAAAAATTAAATAGTTACCCCAATTACCCAAAAAAATTTGTTGCTTTATGTAACAAACACCCTGTATATTGTATTTGCAAGTTAGTTCATCAGGATATGGCAGAATGTATGCTTTGCTAATGTATGTATTTAATATAGCTATTTTCTTATTCATAGATATTTATTATATTATAGTTGTAAAGATATTTTGTATAAAATCAGATTATATCTAAATAAAAATGTATTTGTATACTTGTTTGTTTTGATTTGATTGGTGACTGCCATTTTCAGCTGTAATATGGACTTCCTAAAACTAGGTAAGAATGCTTCAGAAAAGAGTTGATTATTGTTGAAATGTTTGTCAAAATCCTTGTTCTTCAACTCGCTCGTTTTTATTGGAGTACAGTTATATATATATTTTTACCTACCACCCTCATATATGCCAAAGGGTGGCCATCATATATAATAGAAGATACCTACACTTTATAGAAGCAAATCTACTTGCTAGTATTTTTCCTACGACCCCCGTATCAGAAAATGTGGTATTCGCTTTATGCAACCAATAATGCAAAGAACAATGTCAATAAGAGAAACCAAGATGAAAAAACGTAGACAGAAAGAATGAAGATAGAAATAAGAATGGCGCATGCTTTTTGAGTGACGTTTGTAATACCGGGTGGTGGGAGAAGCGACAAAGAGGAACGCGGAGAGAGAAAGAACAAGAACGCTTGCACTAGGAAAATCATTGCAATTTTTGACGATTTTTTTGTGTTTAATTAGGAAAATAGTTGAGTTTCTAGTGTATTTTGTGTTGGTTTGTGACCATTCGTGAAAAATGGCATCAGACGAGGAGATTGACGAGTCTTTTGCCGGTAAGTTTTGTTTTCTTCCGTACCGTGGTCGTGCTGTAAACGTAAGCCGCTTTCAAATGTGTGTTTACGTTTTAAAATACTCATAATGAACCTGATTTTTGATTGAACACACTAATTAGAGACCGTGCTGAACGTTAGGAAGTGCAAATTTATCAAAATCTACGAAAAATTGGTGGAAAAACGGCGTAATTATAAAATGGTAATGAGGCATATTAGCTAGCGGGGGGAAGGGGGAGGTGGATTTTCATTATTTTTGTGACAGAGCGCGGGCATATCCTGACCCTTAACAAAATGGAGGATATCAAACAAAGAGATTGGCAGATTGCAAATTATGTAATTTGATGTGAAAAGCGATATATGCATTTTGGGGTTAGAAAATTCGTATTTTCCCTCCGGAAACACGAGGTCAGATGACACTGACCATTGTCCACATGTCTCAAGCGATGTCATTCTGACCCCTTTGCGGTTTTCAGGGGACGATGAGGCCCCTGAAGACACCGGCAACGAGGGGGCCGGTGATCAGGTAGACAACGAAAACGATTCCGAGGATGCAGCCCCTAAAGCAGTAAGTACAGCAAGTTTAACCTTATCTTAATGTTTACGTTTTTTTATAAGGTGCATTTCATAAATTGTGCTTTTCTTTTGTTGGCAAGTATTGTTTGTAGAAGAATTTTGCAAGGTTTCCAATTTAACAATTTTGAGTTAAAGGTATGTTTACCCTAAGCCATGTTTGATCTTTTGATCTATGTATCTCTTGAGGTAAATAATGGGTCGCTTGGGGCGCCACATAGATCCTAGCATCAATTTGATGTTCAATTTGGATTCTACACACTTGTACCCTCATGTACGAGCCCCTTCCCACTTCAGTTGGCCCACTTCAAGGTTTGTACCAAAATATGCCTTTATAAACTAAACATGACAAAACTATTTACTTCTAAAACAATTTATTTTCTCAATAACATTTTAGATACACTCTAGTCGTAAAAAATACATATTTGAAATCACTTAGACCTACAACTAATAGAACATCTGAACAAATAAACAATGTGCGAATAAATGCGCGAAGTTAACAAAGCAACAATTGAAAGATTACCATTGAGTAACATCACCTTTATTTTTTATTACGGCTGAAATTCTTTGGGGCGTAGTGTTAACCAAAAAATTGGTGTAAAACAATCCCATATTTCTTGAAGCTTTTGCCTCAGTTCGGTGATTGTACGAGCAGGATGTTGTCGTAGAACCCTTTTCATCTCATGCCACAAAGTTTCAATAGATGACAGATCTGGACTGCTAGAAACCCATTTGAAAAGTGGTACATTATTTTATTCCATCCATTTTATAGCTTTTTTGAGGTATGGCACGCTGCACCATCTTGCTGAAACACAAAATCTTGGCCGGATGTCTAACATTCTTCCATCACTAGTAAAAGCGATTCTTCTAAAATTGCCAAATATTTGTTTGTATCCACATTTCCATCAATAAAATGAAGTTTTCCTACTCCTTTTGATGACATACTGCCCCAGAGCATAATGGATGCTGGAAATTTCACTTTTCTCTTCAGACAGTCAACGTGGAATGCTTAATTTTTTTTTGCGAATAACTCTACTGCGACTGTCACCAACACAAACTTCGAATCGGGCCTCATCACTCCATTGTATTGCGCCATTGTCCATTGTCTATGTTCTTTAGCCCATCTAAGCCGATTTTTCTTTTGCAGTGGAGTTAATAGTGGCTTTTCTTTGGCCTATAAACAAGTTGTGCACCTTTAGGGTTTTTACTTCACTTTTTTTATAAGAAAACATACCTTGCAAGTGCTAAATCCTAGTTTGTGAGCCTCTCTATGAGTTGTGGATCTCGAAATTCTCCTTCAAACAGCGTCACTCCACAGAGCACTTAATTGTAAATAATTGGCACGCCTGTTTTTCACGATTATTCTTCTTAATGCTCTTTTGTGATATTACTTTTTTTCACATATCGTGGCTTAATATTAACTGAACCAGTTACGTTATATCTTCTAACAATATTTCTCACACTGTACCACGATAAGTCTAACAAAGTTGCATTTTCTGAGTTTGATTTCCCAGAATTAAAAAATTTAATTATTAGTAACCGAATTTTCTCACTAATAACCTTTCCTCTAGACATTTGGAAAACCCAACTACCCAAAACTATGTTAAACGTATTCTGACAGCTGTGATTAATAAAAACAATTGTCATGGCTTTTATTTTCACAGCCAACTATGCGTTATAGACTTATTTTGCATTGAAATGAAAATTGGTTGATATGCTGTAATTGCAACATGTTATTTTTATGCTGCAAATTTGATTAGGGAGTGATAAGGTGTTTTCTACTATATATTATCAAAATATTCATTGTTAACATTTTAAACTTATAACACCCTCCTACATTTTTATTATTTGTGTTTGATAAGAAAAAACTAAGGTTTCAATAGTTGGGCCAACTGAAGTGGGAGGGGGCTCGTACATGATTCATTTAACTTCAATGCCAAAATATTACTCAATGTCTTTTGTATTATAAAAATTTCAAGTTTCCAAATAACATAATTAATCTAGATTCAAAATTTGAGTTTTTCTATCCAAATATTAAGATATAATTCTTGTAGAATAACATACATTATTGAGCTTATTTCTTAAATAACTGTATTGTTGTCTGACCTGAGGTAACTATCTAATTCAACACCAAGAAATCTAGTATTGTTAGACAATGTGATCGTTGTATTTGTAATTTGTTCTACAGTGACTTGTTTGAAAACACATAGCAAAAGTTTTAGTTTTATTAAGAATTAGCCTATTATTATAAAACAGGTTTGTACACTGTCCCTGTTAACATGCATTTTCAGGATTTGTAGAAGCTATGTGTCATATGCGTACTGCATGTCATTTAAAAAAATACAAACAATGTGGGACCTAATATACTGCCCTGAGGCACCCCTGTTTTAACAATAAGCTCATTCTAAATAGCTGTACCATTATGTCCTAATAGTTTTACCTTTTGCCTGTGATTGCTGAGGTGTGACTCTATCCAAGAAAGTGCTGGACCTCTAATGCCATATCTTTGTAATTTTTCGCAACAGTATATTATGTTCTATTACTTTAATAATCCTATATTGTTTATTTTTTCCTTGATCTTAATCCACTTGATTTTTAAGGATGAAGATGATGACTATGAGCCTGAGGATGGAAGAAAAAAGAAGAAAGGTAAAAAGAGGAAAGCAAAAGGAGAAGAAAAGAGAGCAAAGAGGAAAAAGAAGAAAAAGAAAAATGATAGTGGAGAGGTAATTTTTTTAATACTCATCTGATCATCAAAATTAATAAATCAATTATAGGAAAGTGACTATGCTGAAGAAGAAAATGCTGGTAATGACTCGGATTATGTGGCTAGTAGCAGCAAGAGAGGAAGAAAAAAGGGATCTACTAAACATCAATCTACACCATCAACACCTGTTCCAAGTGAATCGTCAGGTGGTGGAGGTAATTCTTAGAAAATACAATATTTAAAGTGATGACCTTGAGACATTACTTGAGGTAAACCTACAATTGTATGCTTCATGTCCATATGCCATTGCACATTCAGATGAATCATTTCAAAAATAGAAAATTGATAACACATACTGCAGTGTTTTGATGAATAGTTGTCGAGTTGTATGTGATTTAGTGGCAAAAACACTTCAATTTGCCAGCCTCATTTTGAAAGATGGTGAATTTTCACTCAAGGGCTATAAAATTCTGATAAAATGAGATATTTCATAAAAATGTTCCAAATGGCATCCTGCCACAATCCACTTTATGTAAAAATACAGTTTCATCACCTTGAATTTCGGCTGCCTAACTTAAGCTGCTCTGAAAGTCAGTGGTGGTGAGAATAACCTATTGTGTTTCAAGACTTTCTGATAGCTTTTGATATTTATACACTTGTGAATGCATCCAATGAAATTGATAGACTCAATATGTAAAATTTTTCAAATTTCTTTCTCCTATTCAACAGGAGCAGCTAGCAGTGGAGGTGTATAACCTCATCTGTCTAAAGTTCTTCATGAATTGAGTTCATGACCAAATTTCAAAAGTGTAAAAAGTGTACTTTGTGGATCTCTTCATGAAATAAGAACTTGTTGATGTAAAACGGTTATGAGACGAACACAGTGACCATGACTTTTCCTTTCAGCAGGCATGCCAACGATCGAGGAAGTTTGCTCGACATTCGGCTTAACAGACGTCGAACTCGACTACAACGATACCGAGTTCCAGAACCTGACCAGTTACAAGTTATTCCAGCAGTACGTGAGACCACTTCTGGCCAAGGAGAACCCGAAAGTGCCGATGTCCAAACTTATGATGCTGGTCGCGGCGAAATGGAGAGAGTTCTCCAACCAGAATCCTAATCTGCAGTCCGAGAACGCCGAATCGTCGTCGTCGGCCGCGCCGTCGGAGGAAACGCCGAGAAGGCCTAGGGCTTCCAAGGAGGCTGCCGCAAAAATTGTGGAGGTAGGATATTCTATGTTTGTCATTTTTATTCGTCGACTATGTGTTCCCGTCACTGTTGTTTAAAAACAATTTCAGCAACAATCTCGCCGACTTACTCCAGACGATGAAGACAGAGATCTTCGAAAGCTTGAGTTTAAGTTATAAGAGTGTACGTTTGCAATACTTTACCTTCTACCCAAAGAAATTCAAGGATATTTCTCCTAACAGTCAAGACAATTAGCTATGAATACTATATATATATATATATATATATATATACAGGGTGACTTCGAAGTTGAGTCATTTATTTTAACAGTGAGTAGATCTGATCAAAAGAAATGTTTTTTCCTTTACCATTTTTCTGGTAAAATTAAAGTAACAAAGTTATAGCCCTTTGGAAGTTTGAGTACCGCCCTGTCTCAATAATAATATTATGTGCTCGTGTTTGGCAACAACGGATATAATCCGCCTTATCGGTTCATCGCATCGGAAACAAAAAAGCGAAAGAATTTGGAACGATGTTTTTACAATTATTTTATTCAGTTGTATACAGTCAGTGTCAGTCGGTAACGCGTGAGTGAATAGTGGTGTCTGTTGCGTGGCTCAAACGAAATAAAAAATGGCACACGTTTATGCGGATCGGTTTCCCAATCGAGTGCAACCAACCCCTCGTGCCTTTGTTAATGTAGTACAAGGGGCTCGTGAATCAGGTGACTTAAGACCTCACAGGGGACGGCATGCCGGTGCTCCAAGACCTCACGATCAAATACAGGTCCGCACTGAAATACTTGTCGGGAGGATACTTTATAAAACAAGGTAAAATTTTTTTTTTTTTTTATTTTTACACACATATTTTGGTTTATCTTCCTTCTACAATCATTATCTGAAAATTAATGACTCAACTTCAAAGTCACCCTGTATATATATATGTAGATGTGGATGTGGTAGCATCATGTCTGAAACACAATACAGAGAGACGTCAAAATCTGTACACTTACTGGTTTAATTTAATGTTTCAAATCTAGAGCGTCCAACATCACAATGCCAAGCAAATTTAAACGAAATGAAGTGGACTTTGTGCTGGTTGTCAAACAACAAAACAGTGAATTCTTCATGATTATCGATGTTGCATTCACTGGGCATTTCTTGATTTTTTTTTCAGGCTGAATCTGAACCTTATGATGAAGATGAAGAAGATGAGGAAGACGAGGAAGAGGAAAAACAAAAGAAGAAACGAGGACCTAAAGGGAAAAGAGGAAGAAAGGCGTCCAAAGTACCTACTCTCAAGATCAAGCTTGGGAAAAGGAAACGCGGCAGTTCGGTAAGAAAATTACAAATATTCATGCATGGGATTTTGGTATATCAATATGAACTGTTGGGCAGTAACATATTAAAAAATTCAACCACGCCACTGGTTGCGGTTAGATGTCGCCTTGAATACTCGAGGTCCTTGTAGCTTGGCTCAGAGGAAGTAGTGCTGTAACCAGCTCTGAAACCTGACTGATGTAGAGGAAATAAGTGATTTTGTTCTAAAAACTCCACTAGTCGTGAGTAGACAGCTCTTTCGAGTATTTTTGATAGAAAGCATAATAAGGTAATTGGCCTGAGATCCGAATATTGTTCTGGATGATTAGTTTTAGCTATTGGAATAATAATACCATTTTTCCAACTGGCAGGAAAGTAACCTGTTTCAAGACAGACATTAATAATGTGAGTGATATGGTCTATGGTATCAGGCAAACATAAGCAAACCATATTTAAAGTTAGACCATCAGAGCCACATGTCATAGACTTAATGTGAGTGATTATATTGACGATGTCTTGCTGAATAAGGAGTTTAAAAGCAAACAGAGTTGTATCCGGTGTATGGCGTCTATCGCTATAAGAGTTAGAGACACTATCAATCAAATTTGGATAAGCTGCAGCTGGCTGGGAAATTGAAAGAAAATAATTATTTAAAATGTTAGGCTCAAGGAGACTGGGAGGTATCGCAACATGTTTCTGGGCTACCACATTCATCCTCCTCAGGTGTTTCCAAGCTTGACTAGAGTCAAGATTCCCAAAACGTGACATATATGCTTTTTTCTCTCTTCTAAGCGATGCAAGGGCATAATTTCTCAAATCTTTGTAGCTGGCCCAATTCTGATCAGATCTATGTATGTAAATTCTGTAGATATTTCTTAATCAGTCCTTTTTTGTTGCCGTTTTTGAAGGACGAAGAGGCAGACGCTAGCCCCGCGGGAGGCTCCGACAGGGACTCCGATGCAGAATTTGAACAGATGCTTCAGGAAGCTGAAGATAAAGAAAAGAAAAGCAAGGAAGCTGCAGCAGAAGCTGAAGGCGAGGATGAACCTCCGGCGCCAAGGAGGAAGGCGAAGACCAAATTTGGAAGCAAAACCAAAAGAAGGAGGAAGGTAAAAAGCTTTTGCAGAGTAGTAGACTCACCAACAATAATAATTTTGAGAGATACTCACTTGAAATTAGATTACAATTTTGAGATAGCTTTTCTTAGATTGTTGATGTGTATTGTCCTAAATTGATTCATTGATGAATTATGACATACTTGTAATGTCTACACATTATATTTATTAAATTTATTACAGCCAAAGAGCGGCAAGAACGAAGAGGAACCCTACGAACACCAAGATTACTGTGAAGTATGTCAACAAGGTGGGGAGATTATCCTCTGCGACACCTGTCCGAGAGCCTACCATCTTGTATGTCTCGAGCCAGAATTGGAGGAAACACCCGAAGGTAAATGGAGCTGTCCTCATTGCGAAAATGAGGGAGCTCAGGACCAGGATGATGACGAACATCAAGAATTTTGCAGGTACTTTTATGATTCAAGATGATTTAACCGGGTTTGATGTGTCAGTTGGAAGGAAGCGGTTGCCTTTGCTCGCAAAAAATTGTATGAATCGATGGAAGTTGTGTTTGTTGAATGACATTTTAACCGGAGCGTGGATGTGACTACAAAGTTCTATTAAATAGATTTGGGCTAGCCTCATTAAGGCGGTACGTCCCTTTTTTAGATTTTTTCAACCTCCTGTTTGCAGCAGTATTCTAAATCCTTTTCATCGGATAATTTCATTGTGTGTATAGTGATAACTAAAAAACAATGTTATCATTTTTTTCATAGCATTTATTGTGCATTTTTTTTTCAACTGGAACTTGTTAACAAATATACAGTAATGGACAAAAGTATATAGACAAGTGTGCTGTATTTCTTTTTTAACTTGTTTAATTAATACACCAACCTGTATACATAATACGTTATAGCATAATACTCACTTATACATAAATAAATTCATAAGACTCCCTTCAATAAAAAATTAATTGAAAAAACCGGAACTATGAAGGACAAAATATAAAGACAAAGCAAAACAATTATAGAAAAAAGAAGCAAAGTTCATTGAATTATAGAAAACCAACCATATTTGTGTTAATATTTTGTAGCATAACCATTATTATCAATCACCACCTGGCATCGTCTCGGCATAGATTGTAGAAGCTTGTTGATATAAGATTCATCAATCTGTCTCCACTTTTGCTCTAAAGCGGCAAAAAGTCCTTCCTTGTTTGAATAATTTTTATCTCGTATTTGCTTATCTAAGTATTCCCATCGATTTTCAATGGGGTTTATATCGGGAGACTGTGAAGGCCATTTGAGAACTGGAATTTTTTTATCCAGAAAGATTTTCTTTGCGAGATTTGAAGTGTGCTTCGGGTCATTAGCTTGCTGGAAGATTGATCTTAAAGGCATATTTTCTTCCATATAGGGTAACGTGACATGCTTTAGTATGTCTGTGTAGGCAAGCTTATCCATAATGCCATCTATTCTGTGTAAAGGTCCCATCCCAAACCCCGAAAAGCACCCCGAAACCATAACAGACACGCCTCCATGTTTGACAGTGGGCAAAGTGTACTTGGGGTTCAATCTTTGTCCACTAGGACGTCTGATCCAAACATATTGAACTTGGATTCGTCACTGAAACATACCCTTTTCCAGTCACAGATGCTCCAATCACTTCTCTTAGAGGCTTCTAAGATACCTTTATGTTTATATTTGTTCAATATTGCCCAAACTGCTTTACACTTCAGCTTAAAATTTTTGGCAATGTCGACTTGACGTTGACCATCTTTGTATAATAATAATAATAATAATAATATTTATTTACTCTAAAATACAGGGAACATGAAACGAGTAAATAAACATAATATATCCATAGGAGGACAACGCCTGTGCATGGATCATATGTATGTTGAATTGCAAAATATAATAAAATAGAGAGAAAAAAGAAATTATTGGTAAGAATGGTAGAGCATTTATTGTGTAATATTTGAGATTATTTTATTAATTTGATTTCTCCCAATCGTGTTAATAAATTTTTTTAATTTTTTTTGAAGCTTAATGTATTGCGTAATTGTTTTAAATTATTTGGTAAATGTTCGTACAATTTTGGAGCTATATACAGGTGACATCGTTTCATTAGGGATTTGTTTGGTTTAGGAACATTTTTTGCGCGTAATTTATATCTGGTTTTATGATTATGTTTAATTATGTCGTGTTCACTAATAGTTTTGTGATAATGAGTGATGGTATGTAAGAAGTAAAATTGTTTAGTATCATATACTTGTGCATCATTATATAAGTCATTAGTTGGGTATAATTTTGATTTGCCTAACATTGATTTTAAAATTCTTCTTTGAAGTACATCTAAATCGTTAAAGTATGTCGTGCATGCAGCACCCCATACTACTATACCATATGTTATGTGTGGCTCGACTAAAGCTTGATATATTATTCGTAGATAATATTCAGTTAATATACCGGTTAGAAATTTTATTTTATATGCTATGAATCTAATTTTCTTTAGTATGTGAGAAATATGTACATCCCATCTCAAGTGGGGATCTAGATAAATTCCTAAATATTTTGTATCATTAACTCTATTGATTTTTATATTTTTATCATTTACCTTAAACCGAAGGTGGTTATATTTTGGTAGATGATTAGATAGTGATGAAAATGGTAAAAAATGAGTTTTAGTAAAGTTAATTGTTAATTTTCGGTTATTAAACCACTGAATAATTTTGCAAAAGTCATTTTGGATAATATCTTTTAAGTCGTTCCAATCCTTACCTTTATAGAGTATAGCAGTATCGTCTGCAAAACTGACTATTTTACCAGTACTGTTAATTTTGAATATATCGTTTAAATAAATATTGAATAACAGAGGACCCAAAATTGTACCTTGTGGATCACCACATTTAACAAACATTTCTTTACTATACGAGCTTAATAATTTTACTGATTGCGGTCTATTTGATAAATAATTTTCCATTAACGTATACATCTTTCCACGAAAACCTATTCTTTCTAAGATTTCCAAAAGTATATTGTGGTTAACTGTGTCAAACGCTTTTTGTAAGTCCACAAATACGCATATCGATGGTACTTTTCCATCTATGTTTTGGGTTATTTCATCTACTATACTTAATACCCCAGTTATGTCTAAGCTGCTTTACTGTTTTATACTGTTTTATCCTTGTCTTGAATCCATAACAAAAACCAGATTGCAGAAAATTCAAAATTGTTGTCGTTTTGTTTTCGGCCTTCGTAGGTATAGCCATGTTACATCCAAGATCTGTGAGCTGGGGTGGCTGAAGCTCAGTAATCTTTTCAAGTTTCATATGTTGGTTTTTGTACATAAAACAGTCGTTACCAAGAGACCTATTTACCCTGCAAATAAGTTAGTTCCGCGTAGGAATTTAATTTCAAGAAGGTTACGTCAATATTCCTCTTCACTACACCTCATTATATCAGAGATCTTTCACGTATAATGCTGTTGAGCTTTACAATTCAGTCAGTGCGGCTAACAAACAAGAAAGTTTACTCTCTTTTAAGAAATCAGTTGGAAAACAGCTATTGGAAATGCAATCGTCTTTCAGTGTTTGAGTTGTTGGTTTGTTTTATTTTTATGACACTTTATTATTATTATTATATTAATAGTTCAAGTGTGCATTTGTTTCTTTTTCTTATTATTACTATTGTTTGTTTGTGTATCGAGTTTAACTGTGTTACTCTTTCGTACACAGTGAGGTTAAGTGTAAGAGTAGCCATTTGGCTAAACTTCGCCTCACTGATGTATGCTGATTAATAAAGACATTTATTATTATTATTATTATTATTATCTGTTGTAGATTTGCCCGCTATAAAACCATATTGATTTGAATTTATAATTTTGAATTTATTAAGAAAATTAATCATTTTATTAAGGAGTAATTTCTCAAAAACTTTAGCTAAACTTGATATAAGTGAAATAGGTCGATAGTTAGTGACGTCCGTATTATCATTAGATTTATAGATAGGTATGATGATTGCTGTCTTGAAAGCTGATGGAAATACTCCAGATTGGAAGGATTTGTTAATGATATAAGCAAGTGGTTCTGTTATTTGTTTGGCCAGTATATAACTCAATGATCTTAGTTTTCACATTGAAAGAAATTTCTGGACCAGGTGGCATGGTCTTAAAATCACTCAACTTATTCCACAATACTTGATGAACACAAACTAATCCTCTTCTGACACGAAACTGTACTAAACTAATGTTGAAAAGAATTCGTCTACATATTTTTGTTCCTCATAAAAAAGTGCTTATATTCAGACTTGTATTGTGTTCATAGCATATAATGTAAAAACAAGGAATTTAGTTTTTCTAATAATAACGCATTTGTTTATGGAGCAAGGATGTATGAATTCGTTTTCTAAAGGTATTTAGGTAAATATTCATATTTGTCCATTACTGTAAGTACAGCTCTGAAATTGTGTATGAATATTCCTCTTAAATGGAAGAATGAAACGAGTGATTACTTTTGTTCTTATCACTTTTCCTTTTCGAAAAATCTTTCCTTTTCTTGAAAACCTAACTTGCTGCGAGTCGAGGCTAATTTGGACTGGAATTAGAAAATAGTGTGAATTTGCCTCTTGCCTATCCTATATTTGAAGTCCTGAAGAAAAAACTGATTATCGTAAAACAAAACTAATACAACGACTAGATAGAGCTAAAAACGCGCTTATAAAAAAAAGAGATAAATTATATAAAAGAAAGATTAACCAACCAGAAGGCTTAACTATCATCTCTGAATTTAAAAACATCAAAAATAAAATAAACAATAAAATACGTGCTTTGAAGAACCGTTATTTCCAAACTAAATGGAGCTTAGCTGGAAACAATGTAAAGAAACAATGGGCTTTTATAAACAGCATAATAAAAAATAAGGAGTATAAAGTAAGGATTGATCAACTAGTAACTGAAAATAACATTATTAACACTCAACTTGATATTGCAAACAATTTAAATAAATACTTTTCTCGGGTCGGTGGATCAATTGTTGAAAATTTGGAAGCAGAGATTCAGCAGTTGAATGAGTTTATTTCTGTTGGTGAGGTTCACAACGAAGATTCTATTTCGATAACATTGACTAATAAAGAAGAGTTGTTGGAAGTTGTGAAAGAACTAAAAATAAACTCAGCACCTGGATATGACGGTATCACGGTTAAGGATGTAAATAATCTTGGAGAATACTTAATACCTGTTTTAGTACGATTAATCAATGAAACTATACAAAAAGGAATATTTCCATCAGAATTGAAAATAATTAAAATAACCCCACTTTTTAAGTCGGGAGATATTAAATGTATGAACAATTACAGGCCTATTTCAGTGGTGTGTGTATTCTCTAAGATTATAGAAAAATTAATAAAAAAAAGAATGTTATCTTTCATTGTTACTCACAATATATTGATTGATGAATTTCAATATGGTTTTATAACGAACAGTAGCACACTTAGTGCGGTTGTTGATTTTGTGGACTACATTTCAATGGCTCTAGATAAACAACAAATAGTTGTAGCTGTTTTCATTGACCTAAAAAAAGCTTTTGACGTAGTAAGCGTAGACATTCTTTTAGATAAATTGTTTAAAATGGGATTTAGAGGTGTTTCGTACAGCTTGATTAAGTCTTATTTATATGACAGAAAACAGTACATAAAGCTTGGAGACATTGATAGTGAATGGTTATCTAGCACCTATGGAGTACCACAGGGGTCAGTTCTTGGTCCTCTGTTATACAGTCTTTATGTACTGAATCTCAAGTTGGCCAATCTGAGGGGAAGATATTTTACCTTTGCAGATGACACTGTACTGGTATATACTGGAACAGACGAAATTGCTTTAACGAATCTTATTAATGATGACCTGAATAGTTATCTTAAATGGCTGTTTTCGAATAGATTAAAAATTAACATTGAAAAAACAAAATACATTATATTTAAACAAAAAAATAAGATAGTTAGCAATCTAAATATTAACATAAATAATATAGCGCTAAAAAAAGTGTCAAGTATTAAATATTTGGGATTACTGATAGATGAAAGTTTAAATTGGTCACTTCACGTAAATGGAATTTGTGATAAAATAGTTTCAATGCTATCTGCCTTATATAAGAGTCGAGATTATATGTCCAACAAAAGCAAATTTCAAATTTATAATGCCTTCTTTCTTACACATTTTAGGTACCTCTTGCCAGTATGGGGTATGTGCGGTGAAGTTAATTTTAATAAAGCTCAAGTTTTACAAAATAAAGTTCTGAAAATATTGTTTAATTTTGATTGGCTTACAAGTTCTAATACACTTTATTCAAATTTAAATTTAAACAAATTAAGAGTGTTATTGGAGGTGGAACAATGTAAACTTGTTTATAAAATTATAAATAATCTACTAAAAAGTAACATAAATATTAGGTTCTACCATAACGTGCATGATCACCAAACAAGATCACTAAATAATGTTTATCAAATTTCCACAAGAACTAACATAGGTTTAAAAAATCCGATCACAGACGCAATTAAGAAATTTAATAATTTACCTCATTGTATAAAAGATTCAAATAACTATAGAAGTTTTGTTAGAGAATTGAAAGATTGTAAAAATGTTAATGAATTTATTTGTTGAAATTATGAGCAACAATGCAGTGTACCTGTAGTTCATAGATATTAATTATTGTCTTGTTATTCTCGGGGCCAGTGTTTGCAAACACTGATTAGGGAATTATTGTTAAAACTGGTTATACTTTTTGTATTATTATTATATTAAAATGATATATAAAGTCAAACTATTATAAATAAATGTTTGTGTAAACTACTTGATTTAGCAATATTCGGTGGGCTGTACTTTTGGACACTCCCTTGCTTGCTTCTATTTGATGTAGAGCGAGGTACTCGAGTCTTCTTCGACTGCTTCCAGTACGGCGTCCTCGTAAGGAAAGGAAATTATTCCTTCACCATGCGCTTGAATTAGGAATCGTTCCTCACATTCACAAAAACTCGGTGATCGGGATGACCAGGGGTACTTCTCACGATAAAGCCTAGCTGCAGCATCCTAGCAATGCAAAAATTTAAAACCGTAGTAACGGAAACTAAAAGATCAACATAGGGTGCAGATTTTCCCGATTTTTATTTAAAGCCTATAATTTGAAAAGTACTATTGTATATCGTACTTTTAGAAGTCTTAAAAGTATCCTTAGTGAGTTATGCTATTAGCTATTTTTTTTTTTGATAATATATCGAAGCAGCCGCTCAGGCAGAAGCCTAAATGCCGGAACACCGCAGCTGCTATGATGATCCCAAAGAAATTTTGTTAATACGATTTTTGAACTGCCTAAGGTTAGTAGAACTGGGAAAAGCTTCCTCTCGTAGATTGTTCCACAATCTCGACATCATAAAATATTTGTTTCTGGACTCGACGTCGGCTTGTCTTTTCTCTACAGTGGGGTTTTGTAAGAAGTATAAGTGACATATAAATCCGAACACCCAGTTTAAATGGTTTTATTTTAATAAAATTTTGTATAAGTAGTTAATGAAGCATAATAAGTAAATGATAAAAATTTCAAAATGATTGCACTGCTTTAAAGCCCTTTGACCTTTAATAATGTGTGGATGCACCCTGATGTGCTACGCATTCTCCAACGCGCCTAGGCATGCTTCTGATCAGGTGGTCAATGTCCTCCTGTGGTATCTCATTCCAGGCAACCACCAACTCCTCTCGAAGTGCTTCTAGAGTCTGAGGAGGACGTTGCAAATTGAGCAATCTCCTACCCATCATATCCCACACGTGCTCAATTGGGAATAAGTCGGGAGATCTTGGTGGCCATGGTAACAATGTGACATCATTATGTTGAAAGAAGTCTATTGTGACTCTTGCAACATGTGGTCGGGCATTATCTTGTTGAAAAGTTGGATCTGCCAGGGTGTCAAGATAGGGTAAAAGATGGGGTTCTAGAACTTCGTGGGTATAAAGTTGCGCGTTCATGCTACCTCTGATGAAGATTAAAGGTGACCTGGAACCATAAGCTATAGCACCCCAAATCATAACTCCAGCAGTGTGATGAACATGTCGTTCAACAAAAAACTGTGGATTCCTCCTTTCACCACGTCGCCTTCTAACTCTAGCACGACCATCGTGCATGCCTAAACAAAATCGAGACTCGTCACTTATCCATTCCTGATCCCAGAGAGACCGTTGTCTGCACCACTCAAGGCGATTACGTTGGTGTTCTCGAGTTAAAGGGAGGACCCAGTGTGGCCGGTATGAAAACAAGCCAAAACTTCTCATTCGTCGGTAAACACTTCGCATGCCAATACGTATTCCGTGTTCTGCAAACCATTCATTTGCAATGGACCTGGTAGTGGAGAAACGGTCCCTTAAGGCCAATAATCTTAGGCGGCGATCTTCACGGTCTGTTGTTCTACGGCGGCGTCCAGTGCCCCTTGCTCTTTGCGTACGGCCTTCTCGAAGCCAAGCCTGACAACACCTAACCACAGTGTCTACACTTCTTTGCACTCTAATTGCAATTGCCCGAAAAGAAAGTCCAGCTTCCCGAAGTCCCACTATACCGCCCCTATCAAACTCACTAAGTTGACGAAATCGTACAGGTCTCCGTACTCTAGCCATCGTAACCGATCGTAAAGGATGTCAAGAACCAAAATCCGCCAACGTTGATTCTTTACTGCGGCTGAAATATTCATTTTTAGAGCGTTAGTGAATTAAAAAAAAAGCAGTATAAAAACCGGAATGTCCAACTGATAAGGCTGAAAATTTTGTTGTTATTTACAGTAAGATAAATACATTCACCAACTTTTATTGAAATAAAACCGTTTAAACTGGGTGTTCGGATTTATATGTTACTTAGTATAATTATGTAAGGTAATAAGTGCTAATATTATTATAATATAGACCGTATTTGTATTTTTTAGGGTGTGCAAAGACGGAGGAGAGTTACTTTGCTGCGATTCGTGTACTTCTGCGTATCACACACATTGTCTGAACCCACCTTTGACAGATATCCCTGACGGAGACTGGAAGTGCCCCAGATGCGGATGCCCTCCTCTTATCGGCAAGGTTTGTCACTATTTTTTGAGCGAATTTTGATTTGGAACTATTACCTACTTTACCTACTTTGACCATTGGAAATTATGATGAAAAAAACTAACCGTAACGAATCGGAAATCGTTGTATTGTTCGACGCAGACTTTGCTTATTGCCTGCTGGATCTCCAGACTTGTACCTTCTAGACTGTTGTCAACGGAACGCTCCGAAAGTGATCATACTTAGTAGAACGTAAAACGCACAGGCATTTTTGCGAGATTTTTGAAATGAAGCTGTTGGTTTTCAGGTGGCCAAAATTTTGACGTGGAAGTGGGTGGAAGATGAACCGAAAAAGAAAGACAAAGAAGAAAATGCAAAGAAAACACGTCACAGGGAATTCTTCGTAAAATGGCACGAGGTAACGTATCAACCTTTCTTTTTTGTTACAGGAATCAGTGGGTAATAAGTAAGATGTTCGGCCTTGGTATCAATGCTAAATTGTTTTTAAGATTATCCAGTTTTATTTACGAGTGAGACTGATATTTCTTTGTTTTTCCGCAGCTATCCTATTGGCACTGCAGCTGGATCACCGAATTGCAACTGGACGTCTACCATCCGTTGATGTTCCGTAGTTATACGAGAAAGTACGACATGGAGGAACCACCGAAAATGGAGGAGCCACTTGACGAAGCGGATTCCAGAAGTACCAGGTTGCTTAAAATGGGCGGAAATATGAACGATGAAGAGCTGGAAGAGAAGTTCTACAAGGTACTTACTTTGTTGATAAATAGTAGTAGTAGAAAGATTTATTTAGCACATTTGGCTACATAAACAGAATAATTGTAAACAACTTAGAACTAGTAAATTCAAGCCATGTGGTGTATGATGTAAATGCTGGGCAACCTATAATTGTAGATTTAACAAGTGATTTCTCAATTTTACTTTAAATTTTGTCAAAGTTTTCTGGTCTTTTATCTCCGAGTATAATTTATTATATTCAATCAACCCTTGATGGAATACAGATTTGTAGCATATGTTATATGTCATTAAATGGAAGTCATCTTTATTTCTGGTATTACGTAAATGATGGTCGACATTTGATGATGTTAAATTAGTTAGACTTGATGGAAATATATTATTTTTTACTTTATAAATGAATATCATCACAAGATATTTGATAAAATTTTTTACATTGAGCCATTTTAATTTGCTAAGCATTTGCCTAATTGGAGTATATTTATCTTTATTTAGTATTATTCTCATGCACTTATTTTGTAAAATTTGCAGTCTTTCAAAAATGGAATTATTTGCTAAATATAGAATAGTCGAACAGTACAAGAAATTTGGAAGAATGAAGGTATTATAGATAATTTTTCTGCTATATAATAATAATAATAATATTTATTCACTCAATGTACAAAGATAACAAACAATATGAGTAAATAAATATAAAATCAAAACAGGCCCAATAGAAGGCATCGCCTGTACATGGACCAATAAATTTAAGTTGAAACTGTAGAATGCAAATGACAAAAAAGGACAAAAATTATCTACAGTAGATTATGTATTTAGTTGATGTTCGTATCTGAGTTTATGAATTTCAGTCCTAGATATAGAATGTAGCCACTTTTTTAAATTTCTTTTGAAACAATTTCCGAAACGTAAATCTTTTAAGTCTTTAGGTATAATTTCATAAAATTTAGGCGCTAAATAGAGATATGATCGCTGCATTATAGATTTATGCGGTTGAGGAACTACTGTGCCACGAATTTTGTACCTGGTATAATGATTATGTTTAATTTTTTGGTCGGTGTTTACAAATTTATGGTAGTGAGTGATACTGTGTAAGAAATAAAGCTGTCTTATATCATACATTCGAACATCTGCGTATAATTTTTCAGTGGGATAAAGTTTCGGTTTTTTAAATATCATTTTTAGAATTCCTTTTTGAAAAACATCTAAATTATAGATATGTGAGGAACATGCAGCTCCCCATGCTAATATACCATATGTGAGATGAGGCTCAATCAGTGCATGGTATAATGTTCCAAGATATTTTTCTGTCAATATATTCCCAAGGTATTTAATTTTGTAGGATACAAATCTAACTTTCTTTAAAATATAATTGACATGGATGTCCCATCGTAAGTGAAGATCCAAGACCACTCCAAGGTATTTTATGTTGGGCACTCTATTAATTTGCATTTTTTGATCATTAATATTGAAGGAGAAATTTGTGTAATTTGGCAGATGTCTAGCATAAGATCCAAATGGTAAAAAATGTGTTTTAGAGTAGTTAATGCTTAATTTTCTACTGTTAAACCACCGAATAATTTTGATAAAATCATTTTCAATTATATTTTTTAGATCAGACCAGTCAGTGCCTTCATATAATATTGCAGTATCATCTGCAAAACTAGTTATTTTGCCAACACAATTAATTTGGAAAATATCATTTAAATATATATTGAATAACAGCGGACCTAAGACAGTTCCTTGTGGGACACCACACTCAATATACATTTCTTTACTAAATGATCCTGATATCTGCACAGATTGTGGGCGATTTGACAAATAACTTTCGATAAGTGAGTACGCGTTTCCTCTGAAACCAATTCTCTCCAATGCTTTTAATAATAATTTGTGATTAACTGTGTCGAAAGCTTTCTTTAAATCAACAAAAATGCAGATTGAAGGGATTCTGTTATCAATATTTTGATGTATTTGATTTACAATTTTAGTTATTGCGTCCGATGTAGCCTTCCCTTCTGTAAATCCATATTGGTTTTCACTTAAAATTTTGAATTTTGTGAGGTATCGAATCATTCTAGTAGATAAAACTTTTTCAAAAACCTTTGCTACACTGGATATTATTGATATTGGTCTATAGTTGTTAACATCTGTTTTTGTTCCCGATTTATGTATCGGTATTATATTACCTTTTTTTAAAATTGAGGGATATATGCCAGATTCAAAGCATTTGTTGATTAGGTAAGTGAGTGGTTCTGTTTTGTCCTCGGCTATAATTTTCAAATGCTCGCCTTTAATACCATCGAACCCAGGACTTTTCCGATTTTTTAAGGATATAACAGTGGTGTATACTTCACATTGCTCGACTTTATCCAAAATAAATGAGTTCAAAGTTCTTTTTGGAGGCTGAGTATTTTGTACATTTGCTTGTATATTACTTGCTAAATTTTCGCCTGTCAGTAAAGAATTGTACAAATTCATCGCATATCTGTTGAGTATTTTTTAATACTGTTCCCGATGTTGTATTTAACTCAGTGACACACTCTTTAACTTTTGTTTCCCAGTAATCTCATCAATAGTTGTCCAAAGCCGCTTAGGATCATTTAAGTTATTATTCAATTTATTTAGGTAATGTTTTCGTTTGGTTTGCCGTACAAGCTCTATAAATTTATTTATTATATGAACTCAGACATCCAGAAACTCTCGATAAATATCCCACTTTACTACTAATCTTATTTATAACTTTTTCATAATGAATATCAAAAATTAATCGAGTCAACAAAAACCCCCAGGTATTTAAAATTTTCTACGAATTTCAATATCTTCACCATCAATATTCAGTTGAACATTTGTACATTGCTTTTTTCCGATTAACAAGGCTTTCGTTTTACTTGCATTTAATTTTAGTCTATTAGATGCTAACCATTTTGAGACAAGCTTCAAGTCTTCATTTATATAAGAGATACCAGATTGAATATTTTTAGTACTTATATAAATCATAGTGTCATCGGCGAAAATCTGAATTTTGCATTTTTTGACTATGGCAGGTAAATCATTTATGTATAAAATAAAAAGAAATGGTCCCAGGATACTGCCCTGTGGAACGCCCAATGTATTTTCAATTTTTGATGAAATAGTGTCATTAACTTTTGTAACTTGCATCCTTTAAGACAAATAATTTCTAAACCAATCTAAAACACTTCCTGTTATACCATATGCCTTCAATTTACCTAACAAAATATCTCTATAAATCGTTTCAAATGCCCTCTTCAAATCCAAAAATACTGCTATGACAACTTCTTCTGAGTCCATGGCTCTTCTCCAATTCTCAGTTACCAACTGGAAAGCTGTTTCTGTGGAATATTTTTTTCGAAAGCCTGCTTGCGCCTCCACTAAACTTTTGTCTTCTTCTATAAACTGCATTAATTGGTCATGCACTATGGACTCTAATAATTTTTCAATGTCTGGTAACACATTTACTGGTCTGATATCGCTGCATCTTTTAGAATTTTTTATTTTGGGAACTGGTGTTATTGTAGAGCATTTCAAATTTTCAGGGAAAGAACTGCTTCTCAGTGAACAATTGATCCAATTTAATACAGGATATCCCAAAATTTCGAAACAGTTTTTCAGCACGTTTTTAGTAGTGATTTCGGCACAGTTGTTATTTGATTTTAAACTGTTTACTTTTTTTCTTAGATAATTCAATGGTCACTTGGGAGAATTTTTAGAAGCGATAATGTTTGAAATTTTGCGTAGACCTTTGATGTACGCCCTAAAACTCTCGTGTCAAGGTTTGAAGTTTTTCAAGGTCATATGCCGCAAACATTACACAAGTTGTAATCTACATGTCTCTTTGTGTTTTTTTTTAATAAAATTCACAGTTCAGTACTTGAAATTATCCGTATAACATTTACGACATGAAGTACAAAGGGTACGTATTGACAGTGTAAAGTGCTGACTGTGGCATCGTGGTCACGTACTGAGATAAGGGCAGTCTTACTGTAAAACTTTACGCCTGGTTTAAGCATAGAAGAAATGACGTTTGCATTAAAGAATGATGGTCCACATCGTACGACTTTATTCAGGTGGTACAGAGTATTCCAAAGGGGTACGCGGATGTCTTTTAAGTTTTGCATATGAAAATAAAACAACACAGTAGGTAGTTTTACTTTATTGTTTTCCGAAGTATTCTCCACGAAGACTAATACACATCTGCAACCAATTTTCGAAGCACTTATCCCACTCGTTTGCTGGCAGAACCAAAACGACATTTTTGAATGCGTCAACTGCTTCTTCTGATGACTGGAACCTTTGACTATGCAGTCAGTTTTTAATTTTTGGGGAAGTAAAGAAATCGTTAGGACTTAGATCGGGAGTATATGGAGGATGGTCCAATAATTCCACGTTTTCTTCCGTTAAATTCTGCCTTGTTTTTTGGGCTGTGTGCGAGCTTGCATTGTCTTGGTGGAGGATGATTCTTCTTTCAGGGTTGATTTTTCGAAGCTCGGTGATGCCTTTTGGCAAACAAATGGTGGTATACCAATCCGCAGTAACAGTTATTTGCTCATTAAGAGGAATTGTTGCAATATGACCCGCTTTTGACACAAATGTCGAGACCTTGTTTTTCGAAACACTTCGAGAACGGATGACTTTTGTTGGCTTTTCTTAACGTTGGAACACCCAAACAGCCGACTGTCGTTTATTTTCTGGTTCATAACAGTAAATCCACGATTCATCAGCACTAGCAATGCTGTACACATCTTTTGAGTTTCCGGAATTGAAACGGTGAAGCGTTTTTTGACACCTGGCTGCTTTCTGCTCTTCAGTCAACAGGTGGGGTATCCAACGAGAAACTTTCTTACTCCTAATTCTTCATGTAATATTTTCTGAATTTAGCTCTTTGAGATCTTCAAGGACGCCTCAATCTCGCGATATGTCACATGTCTATCTTAAATGATGTGTTTGCGCAAAGCATCGACATGGCGCTTCGTTGCCGAAAACAGACAGTACCTCAGCAAGGCATTCTTGTTGCGATAATTGTCTCTGAAAGTTGTAATAAATTATGGCGCGAAAATGTTCTCGGTTGAGTTCCATTTTTCTAATGACTTGGTGACACATAAAAATTCACTGTAGTGAGAACACTGCACGTATTGTTGTGAAACTACTAAAGAGTGAGGTTAAGATCCAGTACTGACGTTCGATCCGCGCGGCCTACTATGTTTCTATATGCAAAACTTAAATGTCATCCCTCGTAATTTCACTCGGGAGGACGCTGAGAGGGAAGAAAGGCCGAAAACGTTAGTAACAGAGCAAAACATTACAGCTATGAGGAAAGTGCTTGATGAAGACCGGAGAGTGACATACCAACCTTCATGCACCAGCAATTCATTCAATTCTGCATGACGATTTTCACGAAAGGAAACGTTGTTCCCTCTTGGTACCGCATAGTTCGACGGAAGAGCAAAAGACTCGTCGTACGACTTGGTGGCAAAATATGCTGAAAATGTTTGATAAGGGGTAATCTCGGTACGTGAACAGGATCGTGACAGGTGACGAGAGTTGACTCTATTATTACGATGTTCCGACCAAGGCTCAAAACAAAGTTTGGGTCTTTGATGATGAGGACACACCCACAGCTGTCAGAAAATTCCCGGTATGTCAAGAAAAAAATGATAGCTGTATTTTCCGAATCGAGCGGGATTTTGGATAGTGTTGTTTTGGACACACAGAAGGAAGTCACAGCTGAGTGGCACATGAATCAGTGCCTGTCTAGAGTCTATGAAAAACCTGCAGCCAAAGTCGACAATGGACACTTGGTACCTCCACCATGGACTGGACTAAAACTTATTGAGCACCCTCCTTACACTCCAGATCTCGCTCCCTGTGACTTTGCACTGTTTCCCACGGGAAAATGAATCTAACAGGAAAACGGTTTTCTAGCGATGCGGACCTTCTAAGCGATTGGGTCGAGTGTGCCGCACTCAAGGGTGAAACTAGGCAGAGCTGGTTTAAGGACTGGTTTTGGCGGATGGAGGAGTGTATACTTTATCTGAAGTCACTTTAAACACTGTGAAATACCAGGTGCGTTTTATATATCTATATTTAACACGCTCTGTTGCTGCAAAAATCGCCAAATTTCGCAGCAAATATCCCCCGTATAAGATCAAAGGCAGTTTCACCGGTCCACGTGGAGTAAAGCACGCCTATGCGTGGACATAGCCAATGGGAAAGCGTGTATTTCAGAGCTCCGAACAAGTGCAGGTGGCTACTGAAAATTGAAACAGTTTAGCCAGTGCCGTGTAGCGGTGAATAAACGTGTTTTCTTTAGTCTGTCCGTGTTTTTTCATAGATTTTATTAGTTTGTGTTTTTGACTTTTGAATACTCAGTTTACTTGTTGATTTAATTGTTGTGTTGATTGTTCTTGTGTGTCCTAAATATGGCTCTTTGGAGACCTTGGGAAAATACTCCAAGCCACGAGGAGATGGTTGATGAACCTGTGCAGGCAGAATTCTTTCATAAAGATTTAGAGGAACAGACCCAAAGAGTAATCCTAAATATGTATGATTGTCTAAAAAACGAAAATCCAGATTCCTCGCAAAATCAAATTTTAAACAGAATTTGTATCCTGACAAAAATCAGTCGGTCTACCATTTATCGGGTTTTAAAAAGGGGAGATGTAGTCAACCATTCCTTCCACAGAAAGCGCATAGGGCAAAAATTAAAAAGAATAGACGTGGGTTTTCAGGAAGATATTCGTCGTATAATATACAGATTTTATAAAGAAAATTTGGTGCCCACGTTGGAAATGATACGGGATAAATTAAAAGATTATCCTGAAGATTTTTATAATTACAAATGCTTAGACTCACTGCACTGTATTGTAAAACTGTGTGGTTTTCAATACAAAAAATTAGATAAAAGAATGGTGATTATGGAGTCGTCTCGAATCGTTGAATTGCGCCAAGAATTTTTGCACAAAGTTAAAATCTATAGAGAGCAGAAAAGAAATCTGATTTACCTGGATGAAACGTGGTATGATACCCATGATGTTGTGCAGTACGGCTGGGTTGACGACAGCAACAAGTGCATTTTAAATGCACCATGCAACCGTGGAAAACGAATCATTATTCTCCATGCTGGCAGTGAAATTGGATTTATACCTAATGCCTTGCTGTTATCTGCCAAAAATATCAAAGAATCATGTGCCGACTATCATGAGGACATGACCTCCGACTTATTTGAAAAGTGGATAGAGCAGCAGTTAATACCAAACATTTCCCCAAATTCAGTGATTATTATGGACAATGCGCCATACCATTCCCAACAGAAAAACAAAATTCCGAATACAGGCACAAAAAAACAAGACATTATTGATTTTATGAAGGATAAGGGAATGGAAATACCACAAAAATCAACCAAAGCCATATTATTGGATCTTATTAAAAGACAAAAATTTGAAAAAGAGTATGTTGTTGACAATCTGCTTCAGCAAAATGGCCATGAAGTATTACGTCTACCTCCCTATTACTGCATTTTTAACCCGATTGAGTTGGTCTGGGCTGCTTTAAAAAAAAAGTAAGAAAACATAATCAGACCCCTCAATTAAGTGAATCGCTATTGGCCACAATAAGAGATGCAGTATCTCATATTGCTGCCACAGACCTATGGAAGCAGTGTTCTAGGCATATTATTGAAAAAGAAAATGATCATTGTGTTTTGCCTCCTATAAATCCCGTTGTAATTCCTCTACAAGATGACTCTAGCGACAGCTCCGAAGGCGAGGATGATATATAAATAGGTACCTATAATGTAAGTCTTTATATACGTTTTTATATACCTACCTGCTATGTAAATATTTGCCTATGTCAAACGTTGGAATTCTGTAATTTTTCAATTTCTTAACTTTCAGTCAACATAAATTAAACTCCCAATATAAGTATTTTTTATCCCAAATCAAAAAAATAAGAAGATAGTAAAATCCATTTATTGTGATATAAAAACATTATTATTATCGTTCTAAATAAATGACCACACGCCTATGATACGTCATGAAATTACAAAGGACGCGCCGACCAAAGGTTTTTATGCTATTTCAAGTGACTTCAGATAAAGTATACTGAATGTGGCGGAAATTACTTTGAACGAAGTCAATAAATAAAGCTGAAACATCACATTCTATCGAGCTTGTCTCACATCAAAATCCATTTTAAACAATTGAGCGTTTTTTCCAGTACGGCGTGAAACCGGAATGGCTGATCCCTCACCGCGTGATCAACCACCGCACGATGCGGGACGGTCGTACCTTGTATCTTGTCAAATGGCGCGAACTGACGTACGACCAGGCCACGTGGGAGGAAGACACCGACGAAATCGTCGGCCTGAAACAGGCCGTCGAGTACTATATGGACCTGAGGAGTGCTTGTATCAGCGGGTCAGCCGGTACTAAGGCCAGAAAGGGCAAAGGCAAACGGTTGGGGAAGGTGAAGGAGTTGGCTGACGATGACGAGAAGCCGCCGTAAGTACTTTGTTTGTTCTGGATTTATTTAGCATTAATGCTACAATAGCAAATGTTACCAAAGATGCCATGAAATTATTAGTAGGAGACTTAACTAAAAATATTGATAACAATCCAACACTGGCTTATTCTTCGACTTACAAAAAGCACTTGACACTATAGATGATGAGAAACTATTGAGTAAATTAGATCACATGGGAATTAGAGGTACGCCACTTAAATTATTTCAAAATTATTTGCATAACAGAAAACATAAGGTTAACATTGAAAATATACTTAATGAAGAAATGACTGTAATGTATGGAGTTGCACTAGGAACAATACTTACGCCCCTTCTTTTTAATATATATACAGGGTGTCCCAGAAGTCGACGTCAAGCCGAAACCGGGTGATAGGCAAAGTCATAACAGCTATCAGAAAAATATTTAAAAAATTTTTATGTATGTGTTTTGAAAATTATAGGTCTTTGAAAAAGATATAGAAATTTCACACCCTAAGGCAGTCTGTCAACTCCTGTTACTACAAATATTAACTTTTTTTGGGTTTTATTTTTACAATGTACTGATGAATAATGCATCTTCAAACTGGTGTCTCAACCTTACTGCCAACTTTTCTCGTTCAGAAAAAATTGCCACTTATTTCCCAACCAAGTATTCCAAAGTAAAACTGTGCTCAACTTTAACTGGCTGTACTGGAAAAAAATGTACTACGAGAGTTTGGCAAGTAACCTTAAAAGTTGGCGCATTTAATAACGATTCCAATATGATATAACACTTAGAAGATTACTCGTTAACTTATGCACAATTTTTATTTGAAAAAAAACTGATGAAAATTTTTCAAAATTTCCTAATTAAACAGCGATTATGGAAACGCACAACCTTTACAGCAAATTATCAAACTGTTTTCCTTCAGCCGCAATACACGCTCGACATCTTCTTAAAAAAGATCGGGTTATTAAACGAGCGAATCCACGGTTATTAACAAACTCAGCTGCTTCCAATAGTCTTTGCCGTAACTCAGCTACATTTTGAATCGGCTTGAAATACACTGTTTCTTTTTCAGTTCCCCAGTAAAAAAATCTAAAGGATTCAAATCAGGTGATCGGGCTGGCCACGGTATTGTACCACACCGCCTTATCCATCTGCCTGGAAAGTTTTGATCGAGATACTCTCTCACTGAGAGTGCATAGTGCGCTGGGCAGCCATCATGCTGAAACCGCATGTCCCTGTAAATACTCAGTGGCACGTCCACCAATAAATTTTGTACATGATTTTTCAAAAAATCCAAATAAACTTCAGCAATCAAAGTCTCTGGGAACTCAAACGGACCGATTATTTTACCATTTAAAATTCCTGTCCAATGGTTTATCTTGAAGCGATATTGAGATTTATCTTCTCTCATCAAATGTGAGTTTGCTACGTGCCACTCGTGTAAGTTATGCAGGTTCATGTACCCATCTTTCTTAAATGTGGTCTCATCCGACCATAAAATTTTTTCAAAGAACTGTGGATCTTTCCTGTATCTTTCTAACATTGTGCGACAAAAAGCAACTCGGGGCTCATAATCCCGGGGCGGGAGAGGTTGAACACGCTGTATGTGGTATGGATGAGGCACATCACTTACTTGCTGTTGCACACTTTGATACCGATCAGTACTCCTTCGTTTACTGCGCATCTTTACATGTTCGTGCTTGTTGATTTCGTACTGTTACTAATTTTGGATTCGTGAACTGGACTGTTGATCGCTTGTGATTTGGATTTGGACTATTTAATTGCTCTTCAAAACAACATTTGCTTTCCTTAGACTATCTTTGATAGTGTGATTGTGCAGTGCCGCTATGTCCCTGTACACCGTACAAGAATATGCTAACATGCACCTCATTTATGGGGAATGCAGATGCAACGCTAGTGCTGCAGCGAGACTTTACTGTGAGAGGTACCCGAATGCAGCTCGTCATCCAGATCATCGAGTGTTCACAAATGTGCACCGCTTACTGTTCTTAGAGGGCCAACTACCAAACCAATCACACGGCGAGGGAAGATCTTTCCTTCCTTACGAAGACGTGGTGCTAGGAGCTGTCGAAGAAGACCCGAGCAGTGCGTGCAATAGAACTAAAAACAGGTGTGCCCAAAAGTACAGCCCATAGAATCTTGCAAAAAAACGTGCTCCATCCATATCACGTACAGCGTGTTCAAGCTCTTCTGAGTCCCGAGTTGCTTTTTGTCGCACAATGTTAGAAAGACACAGGGAAGATCCACGGTTCTTTGAAAAAATGTTATGGTCAGATGAGACCACATTTAAGAAAGATGGGTACATGAACCTGCATAACTTACACGAGTGGCACGTAGCAAACCCACATTTGCTGAGAGAAGATAAATCTCAATATCGCTTCAAGATAAACCATTGGACAGGAATTTTAAATAGTAAGATAATCGGTCCGTTTGAGTTCCCAGAGACTTTGACTGCTGAGGTTTATTTAGGTTTTTTGCAAAATCATTTAGAAAATTTATTGGAGGACGTGTCACTGAGTATTTACAGGGACATGTGGTTTCAGCATGATGGCTGCCCAGCGCACTATGCACTCTCAGTGAGAGAGTATCTCGATCAAATCTTTCCAGGCAGATGGATAGGGCGGTCTGGTACAACACCGTGGCCAGCCCGGTCACCAGATTTGAATCCGTTAGATTTTTTTTACTGTGGAACTGTAAAAGAAAAAGTGTATTTCAAGCCGATTCAAAATGTAGCTGAGCTACGGCAAAGACTATTGGAAGCAGCTGAGTTTGTTAATAACCGTGGATTCGCTCGTTTAATAACCCGATCTTTTTTAAGAAGATGTCGAGCGTGTATTGCGGCTGAAGGAAAACAGTTTGGGCATTTGCTGTAAAGGTAAATCATCATCAGCAGCATTTTGACGCCCACTGTTGTGCAAACTGTTATCCTTAAGGGTCCTTGTGCGTTTTCATAATCGCTGTTTAATTAGGAAATTTTGAGAAATTTTCATCAGTTTTTCTTCAAATAAAAATTGTGCATAAGTTAACGAGTAATCTTCTAGTGTTATACCATTTTGGAATCCTTATTAAATGCGCCAACTTTTAAGGTTACTTGCCAAACTCTCGTAGTACATTTTTTTCCAGTACAGCCAGTTAAAGTTGAGCAAAGTTTTACTTTGGAATAGTTGGTTGGGAAATGTGGCAATTTTTCCTGAACGAGAAAAGTTGGCAGTAAGGTTGAGACACCAGTTTGAAGATGCATTATTCATCATTACATTGTAAAAATAAAATCCAAAAAAAGTTAATATTTGTAGTAACAGGAGTTGACAGACTGCCGTAGGGTGTGAAATTTCTATATTTTTTTCAAAGACCTATAACTTTCAAAACACATACATAAAATTTTTTTAAATATTTTTATGATAGCTGTTATGACTTTGCCTATCACCCGGTTGCGGCTTGACGTCGACTTCTGGGACACCCTGTACATATATATGTATATATATACATATATATATATATACGATTATATATATATATATATATATATATATATACAATTGATTATTAATTGGGAAATTGGCAAAATTTTTTGGCCTAGTAAACTCTTTTAACGGTAATCTCTAGCTTTCGGCACGCTATGGTGCCATCATCAGGAGCTAAAACACAAATATGAAGTTAGCAACCAATACAGAAAAGATTTAAATTTTCAGACAACTTACTCGTCGCTGAGGTTGCAGCCCAATGGTGTTTCAAAACGATTTCTGTCAATTAAGTAGTTTTGTAAATTTTTGAATACAGATCCTTTAATTCGTAGTGATTTAGTTTTGTAATTATTTTATCACTGTCAATAGTTTCAAACACCCTTCTGAAGTCCAAAACACTGTTGCTGTATGTTTCATATTGTCCATACATCTCCAGTATTTTAAAACCATTTGTATTGCCGTTTCAGTTGAACGTTTCTTACTGAATCCAGCTTGATATTTGGTTAAAATTTTATTTCCCTCGCTAAATTCGATGATCTGTTCGTAAATAATTTCTTCAAAGACTTTTTCAACATCGGGCAGAACATTTATTGGCCGCATATTGGTGTACAACTCAGAATTCTTAACTTTCGAAACAGGAGCTATGGTAGAACACCTCAGTTTTGTTGGAAATTCGCCATATTTCAAACAGTAATTTATCAGGATTAATATTTTTGCTCCAATAATGTCAAAACGTTGTTGTTGTTGTTGTAATTCTCTTATTAATAATAACGTGTAACTACAACCACAGCGCCACGTTACAATTTGTTGTGTACTGATTTGTTGTTTTTACAACGTTGAATAGATGTATATGTTGTCATGTATAAAAAATAACTTCTCTTTCCAGCCGACGTTACACGCCTCCCCCAGAAAAACCCATCAGCGACCTGAAGAAAAAGCTGGACAAACAACCGAGCTACCTGGACGAACTCGGGCAACTGCACGAGTACCAATTGGAAGGTCTGAACTGGTTGAGGTACTCGTGGGCAAACGGCATAGACACCATCCTGGCCGACGAGATGGGTCTGGGCAAGACCATCCAGACCATCGTGTTTTTGTATTCGCTCTATAAGGAAGGACATTGCAAGGGCCCGTTTTTGATCAGCGTACCTCTGTCCACCATCATCAATTGGGAGAGAGAGTTTGAAACCTGGGCGCCAGATTTCTACTGCATCACTTATGTTGGTGAGTATAGGTGGTTTTTTGAGGAAATGAAACATGGTATACCGCCATAGTTTGAGACACAGAATTTGAATGAAATGGCTATCCAAGAATGGATCCGATAAAATGAAATGAAGCTGAACATTTGCATGGACCTTAAATAAAAAAAACTGTATTATTGTGGAGGGGTGGCCCGGTGGTTCCCTCTCTCTATGCAATCCCCTCTATGCCCAGTTCGAGCCGGAGCGGTCTGCGAGTAAGTAGGATTTACGTGTGATTGTTGAAAGTAACCCCTTTTTTATCTGCCGTCGGCATGGAGCTCTCTCTGATCCAGGAACGGGTCGTGAGATTTTTGAGTGTTTGGAACAAGTTTATGGAGACAATTCTCTGAAGGAACCAACCGTCAACAAGTGGTTGAAAAGGTTTCGGGAAGGCCGAGAATATGTGAAAGATGACCTAAGCTTAGGACGCCTCTCCACATCGAGCTCGGAGAGAAATGAGTAACTTGAGATGTTATTAGGATGATATTTCTGAGCTAAATTATAAAACGTTAAAGTTGAAACCAGGCTTCAACTTATCTGTCATTCTGTGTTTATTTCAGGTGACAAGGACTGCAGAGCAGTAATCAGAGAGAACGAGCTCAGTTTCGAAGATGGAGCCGTGAGTAGAGGCAGCAAAGCGACTAGAATCAGATCCAGTACGGTGAAGTTTAACGTGTTGCTGACCAGTTACGAGCTGGTTTCTATCGATGCGCCTTGTTTGGGTTCCATCGATTGGTCGGTGCTGGTCGTGGACGAAGCGCATAGGCTAAAGAGTAACCAGTCTAAGGTAAGGGTTTCCCATATAAGCAAAGTACGACAAATGATCTTGACGCATAAGATGTGATCGGCATTTTCATTTTTTTATAACTCACCCAGCTAGGCTTGTTGAGAAAAAAGACATGCTCTTTGCGTTTTTCGATTTATTTAGGTCATCCAGAAACTGTTTTATTGTATCACAAAGGTTTTTTTCAAGTATTTTACCCGCATCTGAAAATTTTTTAGTTTTCGTGTTTTTTTCAATTTAATATTTGGCGGAAAATATTTTTTTAGGCTTTAAATTTTTTATATATTTTTGTTTGAAAAGCCAATTGACCCACGTTGCGATGAAAAAATATATATGATGTGTCTTTATTAGATGTTGTTCATGAATCTTTTCAAAATTTTTGAGAGGTAATAGTGGGTAAAAAATTCAAAATCTATTTTTTCATTTTTTGAAAAAAAAATTTTTAGAAAAGTGTCAATTGTATTTTTTATCATTATTCTGGAGAATAGAGGTTTCAAACGAGTTCAGAAACTGTCGTATTGAATCACAGAGGTTTTTCGATTTTCTATTTCAAATATCTCGCCCGCATTAGAAGATTTTTTAGTTTTGCTTGCCCCAAATTAAACGTCTTCGAAACACGCATGAAACATGGTTTTTTCAATATTATTTTTGGCGGAGAATTTTTTGGGCTTAACATTTTTTATATTTTTTTGAAAAACCTATGTTTAAAAAAAATATGTGATGTGTCTTTAGTAGATCTACCCTTCATGAATTTTTTCATAATTTTTGAGGAGTGAAACTCAAAATCTATCCCTTATTCGCTGTTTTTCGTGATTTTTTAGAAAATATTTCCAATTTTATTTTTTCAAGTGGTTTCAAGTTAATTTTGGATTGATAAAATTTAAAATGAACAGTTAAAACATTTTTTTTTACTGAAAAATAGAGGCAAATTTGTTAAAAATGTTTTTCCGGTTAATTTTAAGTCTGCCAACTCCCAAAAGTTATTTGAAGCCCATATTCTTTAGAAGAATAAAATATGTAGTAAAATTGTAACTTTTTTTTAGAAAAAAATATAGAAAAAAGCAATAGATTTTGATTTTCATTTCATTTCAAGAATTCATGAAGGTAGATCTGCTAGACATTTAAGTTATATTTTTTTCATGATAACGGACAGTGATGGACAAAAGTATATAGACAAATTAATATTGCGCTGTATTTCTTTTTTAACTTGTTTTATTAATACACCAACCAACTGTATACATAATTCGTTATGTCATAATACTCACTTATACATAAATAAATTCATTAGACTCCCTTCCATAAAAAATTAATTGAAAAAACCGGAACTATGAAGGACAAAATATAAAGACAAAGCAAAACAATTATAGAAAAAAGAAGCAAAGTTCATTGAATTATAGAAAACCAACCATGTTTGTGTTAATATTTTGTAGCATAATCATTATTATCAATCACCGCCTGGGATCGTCTCGGCATAAATTGTAGAAGTTTGTTGATACAAAATTCATCAATCTGTCTCCGCTTTTGCTCTAAAGTGGCAAAAAGTTCATCCTTGTTTTAATAATTTTTATCTCGTATTTACTTATCTTAAGTATTCCCATAGATTTTCAATGGGGTTTATATCGGGAGACTGTGAAGGCCATTTGAGAACTGATATTTTTGCATCCAGAAAGAATTTCTTTGTATGATTTGAAGTGTGCTTCGGGTCATTATCTTGCTGGAAAGTTGATCTTAGGGCATATTTTCTTCCATATAGGGTAACATGACATGCTTTAGTATGTCTGTTTATACAATCATATCCATAATGTCATCTATTCTATGTAAAGGTCCCATCCCAAACCCCTAAAAGCACCCCAAAACCATAACAGACCCGCCTAAATGTTTAACAGTGGGGTTGTTCAATATTTGTCCACTAGGACGTCTAACATAATGAACACCATCTGATCCAAACATATTGAACTTGGATTCGTCACTGAAACATACCCTCTTCCAGTCACAGATGCTCCAATCAAGATGCAACGGTGCAAATTGTAATCGGCCTTACGTTTTTTCCTCGAGATTAGCGGCTTCTTCCTCGGGCGACGTGCAAATAACTTCAAATCATTTAATCTTCTACTTATAGTTTTCGTAGAAACACTGACAATTCCTTTTGTCTCGATTTCGGCTTTTATTTGTCTTGGGGTTTTAAACGGGTCTTTGGACGAAATTACTTTTATTAATCTAACTGATCTAGCATTTAGTTTTCTAGGCCGACCGCTTCTCTTAGCGGCTTCCAAGATACCTGTTTGTTTATGTTTGTTCAATATTGTCAAAACTGCTTTACGCTTCAGCTTCAAATTTTTGGCACTGTCGACTGGACGTTGACCATCTTTGTATAACTCAATGATCATAGTTTTTACATCGAAAGAAATTTCTGGACCACGGGGCATGGTCTTAAAATCACTCCACTTATTCTACAATACTTGATGAAAACAAATTAATCCTCTTCTGACACGAAACTGTACTAAACTAATGTTGAAAAGAATTTGTCTACATATTTTTGTCCCTCATAATGTAAGAACAAGGAATTTAGTTTTTCTACTAATAACGCATTTGTTTATGGAGCAATGAAGTATGAATTCGTTTTGTAAAGGTATTTAGGTAAATATTCATATTTGTCTATATACTTTTGTCCATTACTATATGTAAATATTTCAAGAAACGGGGAACATAGCTCTTATTGGGTATTATCGTCAAGCCCATATAGAGGACCAATGCCACAAAAAAGGGGGGCGGCACGGCGGTGCATGCAGCATCAAGGCCTTGTAATGTGCTCAGCGTTCAAGAGTCCGCAAGATTGTTACGTAAAAAACATATATAGTGTCAAAAAAACCGAAAAAAAGTCAACTCGCTAGCTAGATAGTTCCTAGTGTGCACATAGCTCATTCCGCGTTTACTCGCTTTGAGCGCTGTGAGCGTCACCAAAAGCGCCATCTACGGACGAATCGCTCAACGACACGACAAGCTCATAGGTTAAATAGGTGTTGTTGAAAAAAATTGTAAAACCTAAAAAAATGAATTTCCCGCGAAAAATTTTTGAAAAAAATTGTATTTCATGGGTGCCTTAAAGACCTTTAATCTGGCGCATGCAAAACGAAAAATCTTTGTGATTCATTAAACCTAAATAAAAAAAAATGGGAAAGAACACGATCTATTAGCTGTGCCAGACCGTTGTTTATGTGTTGTCTTTGCTGAAGAGAGGTTATGTTCAGAGTTATAAATTTTCCTCGTTTTTTTTTTGCGTTTTCAAAAAGTTCAAAATCGGGAAATTACCAGCGTGCCCGCGTTGTGTCTAATTAAGCCACATCACAGAAAAATTAGGCCTTGATTTGTATTTTATACTTGACATCGCAAAACAAATTTCTATAAAATTGAAATGACTGGAAAAAAAATGTAAAATGAATAACCTTTTCACATTTCATAAATATTCCTGTCTGAAGCCTATTTTGTCGTTGCATATGTAATCTCCAGGATGAATAAGAAAAACTGGATGCGCACTAATTTATAGCTTTGCATACATCTCAAGTGTAAGTGTATTTGAGACAAACCATGGGAATTATCATCAACACAGATTGTTAGCATACAACTTAGACTTCCGAAAATGCCATCTCTGAAGCAGGTGTTACACCATGATAGTTCAAGCGTCATGACGTTTAGGCAACACACACAACTACAAAACGTGTGCACATCAAGTAAAAAACAGCTAGTTTCAAGTAGACATTTTATAGGAAAACCTACATATTACAAAAACACTGTCAGTGTCACTTTTCAAGATACGCCGACTATCAATTGCCAATTGAGCAACTGCTCGGATCACCGTCGCTTTGGTGTGATCGCTTGTATTTGAACACATATCGCCAGTCACTGTCGGCCAGAGCAGTCTCTTATATGCTTTCATTAGCAATAACAAAAAAAATCTTCCTTCCAGTTCTTCAAAATTCTGAACAGCTACAACATCGCTTACAAACTCCTCCTAACCGGCACGCCGTTGCAAAACAACCTCGAGGAGTTGTTCCATCTGCTGAACTTCCTGAACGGTCAGAAGTTCAACGACCTGGCAGCCTTCCAGGCGGAATTCGCAGACATTTCGAAGGAAGACCAAGTGAAAAAGTTGCACGAAATGTTGGGACCGCACATGTTGCGTCGTCTGAAAGCGGACGTGTTGAAAAACATGCCGTCAAAGTCGGAGTTTATCGTTCGAGTGGAATTGTCGCCGATGCAGAAGAAATATTACAAGTATATTCTGACGAGGAACTTCGAGGCGTTGAATCCTAAAGGTGGTGGACAACAGGTGAGTTGTGTTGGTGGCTACTTTTCAGTTTCCGCAAGTACCGACATTCTTGTCTATTAAAAATTATACAGATTTGCTAGTTATGCTATTACAATTTTGCAGATGAAAATCTAAACTGCCTCTAGTTTCGTTGATGACTATTTAATATTGTGAATTTTCCTAAATAAATTATTTTTTAATTTGAATATGAAAATGAGAACTAAATAACATATAATTTTTTCACATCTTCTAACATAGACTTAATCTTAGCATATGCTGCATCAGTATAAAAAAATATTTGTTTTTATTTAAAATGATTCTCATATCTTTATTTGTAGAATTTGTAATTTTGAAAATATGATTTTATTTGCTGTAAACTGAATGGTTGAATAATACAACAAATGGGGAAGAATTAGTGTTAAACAGCACATTTGTCATACTTTTTTTAAGAGTTTTTTTGTCAACTTTGAATCCATTTTTTCCCAGGTGTCCCTATTGAACATCATGATGGACTTGAAGAAATGCTGCAACCATCCTTACTTATTCCCGGCGGCTGCAGAAGAGGCGCCAGTCGGTGCTCACGGTGGTTGGGACGTTAGCCATTTAACAAAAGCCTCAGGAAAGCTGGTGTTGCTCCAGAAAATGCTGAAAAGGCTGAGGGATCAGGGCCACAGGGTGTTGATATTCTCGCAGATGACAAAGATGTTGGATATCTTGGAGGATTTCTTGGACGGGGAAGGGTACAAGTACGAGAGAATCGACGGTGCTATTACTGGTGAGTGTGAAAAATATTAGACGACTGTCTCTCGGGCGCGGGCCATTTCTTAATAGGACAAGACAAAGTGGACAGGTTTTTTAGCGTCTTAACTTGCAACTTTTTTTAAACGATGTCGTTCAATCTTGCATGGAAGAAGCCTATTTTTTTGTAAATACTGATGGAAAAGCAAAATGTTTAATTTGTCACACGGTATTGAGGCCAGCCCTTCTAAGTTCTGAAGAGGTAATTATTAATTTATTCGTCGTTGATTATTATTAATGGTGTCATAATCCAAGTTATAGTGTTGCTTTGAAAATCGCCAAAAGTGGGAGACCGTTTACTGACGGTGCACTTGTCAAATAATGCTTAGTGGAGTGTGCAGAAATATGGTGCCCATCTCCTGTAAGCAACTTTGAGACAATTAGTAAGTATGTCCTAGCAAACAATTTCTTGTCGGATACTTGAACTTGGTGCAGATTTAAAAGAACAACTGCGGGAAAATGTGCCCATTTTGTGCAGTTGTTTGTTTCAGCTCTCGATGAAAGTAAAGACATTTCTGACTCAGCTTAATTAGCTGTTTTCGTTAGAGGTGTCGAAATAGTCTACTGTCACCGACGAACTACTAGACGTTATCTCGTTCAAAGATACAACGGTCGGAGAATATTTTTTTGGTGATGTAGAGGACACCATGAATTACATGGGTATACTACTCAATAGTTTGCGTAATGTTGTTACTGATGGAGAGCCAGCAATGTTATTGGAAGCACAATGTTTTACTGGGCGAATGAAAATAAAAGTACGCGACGCTGGGCTACCTCCGATACCATCGATACACTGCATATTACATCAGGAACAACTATGTGCAAAAACCTTCCACAATTTCAAATCTATACTAAGTGACATATAAATCCGAACACCCAGTTTAAATGGTTTTATTTTAATAAAATTTTGTATAAGTACTTAATGAAGCATAATAAGTAAACGATAAAAATTTCAAAATGATTGCACTGCTTTAAAGCCCTTTGACCTTTAATAATGTGTGGATGCACCCTGATGTGCTACGCATTCTCCAACGCGCCTAGGCATGCTTCTGATCAGGTGGTCAATGTCCTCCTGTGGTATCTCATTCCAGGCAACCACCAACTCCTCTCGAAGTGCTTCTAGAGTCTGAGGAGGGCGTTACAAATTGAGCAATCTCCTACCCATCATATCCCACACGTGCTCAATTGGGGATAAATCGGGAGATCTTGGTGGCCATGGTAACAATGTGACATCATTATGTTGAAAGAAGTCTATTGTGACTCTTGCAACATGTGGTCGGGCATTATCTTGTTGGAAAGTTGGATCTGCCAGGGTGTCAAGATAGGGTAAAAGATGGGGTTCTAGAACTTCGTGGATATAACGCTGCGCGTTCATGTTACCTCTGATGAAGATTAAAGGTGACCTGGAACCATAAGCTTTAGCACCCCAAATCATAACTCCAACAGTGTGATGAACATGTCTTTCAACAAAAAACTGTGGATTCCTCCTTTCACCACGTGGCCTTCTTACCTTGGCACGACCATCGTGCATGCCTAAACAAAATCGAGACTCGTCACTAAAGACAATCCTGTTCCATTCCTGATCCCAGATTGACCGTTGTCTGCACCACTCAAGGCGATTGCGTCGGTGTTCTCGAGTTAAAGGGAGGAGCCAGTGTGGCCGGTATGAAAACAAGCCAAAACTTCTCATTCGTCGGTAAACACTTCGCATGCCAATAGGTCTTCCGTGTTCTGCAAACCATTCATTTGCAATGGACCTGGTAGTGGAGAAACGGTCCCTTAAGGCCAATAATCTTAGGCGGCGATCTTCACGGTCTGTTGTTCTACGGCGGCGTCCAGTGCCCGTTGCTCTTTACGTACGGCCTTGTCGAAGCCATGCCTGACAACACCTAACCACAGTGTCTACACTTCTTTGCACTCTAACTGCAATTGCCCGAAAAGAAAGTCAAGCTTCCCGAAGTCCCACTATACGGCCCCTATCAAACTCACTAAGTTGACGAAATCGTACAGGTCTCCGTACTCTAGGCATCGTAACCGATCGTAAAGGATGCCAAGAACCAAAATCCGCCAACGTTGATTCTTTACTGCGGCTGAAATATTCATTTTTAGAGCGTTAGTGAATTAAAAAAAGCAGTATAAAAACCGGAATGTCCAACTGATAAGGCTGAAAATTTTTTTACTTGTTATTTACAGTAAGATAAATACATTCACAAACTTTTATTAAAATAAAACCATTTAAACTGGGTGTTCGGATTTATATGTCACTTAGTATATTAGGGATGTAGTAATAACATGTGTCAATTTCTGCAGAAAGCAAGTTCTCAACCACGGCAGTTTAAAGTATTTTTAAAAGACCTGGAAGCAACTTACGGTGACATACCCTTTTATTGTGTTACGACCTGGTTAAGCTGCGCAAAAGTGCTAAAGTTTTTTTTTTTGAAATCATTGACGACGTTGAGATGTTTATGCAAATGAGATTTTTACGACGCCATCTTCAGTGCTTTTCGAAACAGAACCGTCGCAGTTCCAAATGGAGCTGATTAAGCATCGATGTGATACGATCCTTAAGGATAGATACTACCACTTCAATAGTAATTTAATTTATTTTTAATTTTCCCAAAATTCTTGCACTGGCGTTGGAAACTTGCTCCATGTTCTGTAGAACGTACTTCTGTGAGCAGATGTTTTCTTTAATGAATTCGAACAAAACTAAAAACAGGTCTTTGTCCTTAGAGGCGATACTTAGAATTTCCACTGCTCAAGCCATTGTACCAAATATTAGAAAACTTGTTGAATCGAAACACTGTCTAAGATCATCTTAAGAATAAATGTGTTTATGTCGAAATTATGCATTATTTTATCACCCGCGCGTTGAACGGTTTTATTATTGTTGGTTTAAATAGGATCAATGATGGAAACATTACAAATTGCACTGGTCAACACTGGTTTTGCCACACGAACTTTGACAGCTAATTTTGTTTTATCAGTCTACCCTCATTATTACATGACAGCTGTCATATGTCTATTAGCCTCATATTTGTTGTGATACGGTAATACTCATAACTACTACTACGGCAGTAAATTAACAGAAACGCTTACAAGTAAATCCTTATAAAAATATTTGTTGTTGAATTTGAACACTTTTTTGTGATTTATTAACCCTGTGAATATGTCGAGGAAGTGTAATAATGATCCTAACTCTTTTTGTTATGTCTGCGGAGAACTAACATTCAAAAAACAACGACGAAATTTTACGAATCTCGTGTTGGAGTGTTATCACCAATGTTTTGGTTTTTCTGTCGCCCATCAAGACAAATCCTGGGCCCCTCATGTCTGTTGCATAACGTGTGTGAAAAATGTAACTGACTGGAAGAAAGGTGCACGACCTATGCCGTTTGCTGTACTCATGATATGGACTGAACAGCGAGATCACGTTTCAGATTGCTATTTTTGTCTCACAGACATAAAAGATATAAATTACAAGAAAAAAACCACCGTTATTTACCCTAACTTATCTTCGGCTATAAGACCAGTCTCTCATTGTAAAAAATTGCCAGAACTAATACCAGTTGCAACTACGTCTGTTGAGAACAATTCACAACCGTCCACTTCAGGTGAATGTGTTGATGAGGACGATGACTTTGAGTTAAAAGGAATTGTAAACGAGCCACATTTGATAACTCAAGGAGACCTAAATGATTTGGTTCGGGATTTAAATTTGTCAAAAAAGCAGTCAGAACTATTAGGATCACGTCTAAAAGAATGGAATTTGCTACATCATAATACAAAAGTTAGCTATTTTCGAAACCGTGATCAACACTTCAGAACGTATTTTTCTCAGGATGGAGATTTGGTGTTTTGCAATAACATAAATGAGACTATGAAAATGTTGGACATAGATTTTGATCTCTCTCAGTGGCGTTTATTCATTGATTCTTCGAAAGCAAGTCTAAAAGCAGTGTTATTGCATAATGGAAATAAGCTTCCGTCTGTACCTCTGGCCCATGCTGCAAATATGAAAGAAACCTATGAAAATATGAAACTTTTACTTGAAAAAATAAATTACAGTACATACATATTCCTTCAAAATCTGCGGTGATCTTAAAGTTGTTGCACTATTACTTGGACTTCAGCTGGGTTATACAAAGTTTTGCTGCTTTTTATGTGAATGGGATAGCCGAGACAGAACTAATCACTATATAAAAAAACATGGCCTATGCGTGCATCGTTAGTTCCTGGGCAAAAAAACGTAAAGTATTTACCCCTTGTACATCCAAATAATGTGCTTCTACCACCATTGCATATCAAATTAGGATTAATAAAATTTTTTGTGAAGGCAATGGATCGCAATGGGAGTGGATTTTTGTATCTAAAAGAAAAATTCCCTAAAATAAGTGATGGCAAAGATAAAAGAGGGTATTTTTGTTGGCCCTCAAATTAGGGAGTTAATAAAAGATTCAAGATTTGAAGAAAAATTAAGCGATTTAGAAACATCTGCATGGAAGGCTTTTAAAAATGTTGTTGCAAATTTTTTGGGTAACCACAAGAGTGACAGCTACAGAGAGTTGGTTAGCGAGCTATTATTGTCATATCAAGCATTGGGTTGCAACATGTCACTTAAGATCCATTTTTCAGACTCGCCCCTGGATTTTTTTCCTGACAATTTAGGGGCTGTCAGCGACGAGCACGGTGAGAGGTTCCATCAGGACATTTCTAATATGGAAAAGCGGTACCAGGGCAAATGGAGCCCAAATATGTTAGCAGATTACTGCTGGACAATTAAAAGCGACCAACCAGAAGCTAAATATTCAAGAAAATCTTAGATTATTAAGTCATTTATAAAAAAAATAACTTTTGATTTACGAGATCTGTGTTTTTTCTTAATATTTTAAATTACTCAATAGAATAAAATACTTGTCTAGCAAATTTTTTTAACTGTTTATTTTTTCTTACAATCACCAATTAAAGTAAAAAATATCAAAAAAGTCCGTGTGGCACGACAAAGTTAAAATTTTGTTGACCAGTGTTGTTAATCTTTTTTTTTTTCAGGTAATCATCGACAAGAGGCCATCGACAGATTCAACGCCCCAGGTGCTCAACAGTTTGTGTTTTTGCTGTCAACCAGAGCCGGCGGTCTGGGTATCAATCTTGCGACAGCTGATACCGTTATCATCTACGATTCTGACTGGAATCCCCACAATGATATTCAGGCGTTCTCTAGAGCTCATCGAATCGGACAGTCTAACAAGGTAACAAAAATATAACACTAAAGAAATAGGTCAAATATAATTTAGGTTTTTGCAAGCTTCAACTTTTATACATAACTTTTTTTTTCTAAAACGTCAAGCTGAAAAGTTAAGAGGTGGGTAGCTTCTGTACGACGAATTTTATTGTGTTACAGGTAATGATATATCGGTTTGTAACAAGAAACAGCGTGGAAGAAAGAGTCACTCAAGTGGCGAAAAGGAAAATGATGTTGACTCACTTAGTCGTCAGACCTGGTATGGGAGGGAAAGGCGCAAATTTCACCAAACAGGAGTTGGACGACATTTTGAGGTTCGGTACAGAGGAGCTTTTCAAAGAGAATGAAGGTAAGTCACATTTTGATAAATCGTCTTTACCCAAATTTTTGACGAATTGAGCAACTACCGAACATACAGACAGCTTCATATGGTATCCGGTCCCGATTAAATCTGACAAAACTTTGCTGAATGATAGTCTTCATTGTCTATACTATAACTATCTAAAACTGTAATGACTCATCGATGTTCACGTGAACATCACTTGACTACCAGTAGTCGGCTGTTCATAGGCGGGGTATGAATGTTTAACATGGGTGAACTAGATTTGTCACATGCTTAATACAGAGTGGTTTGAAACATATTGTAAGTCAAAAATTTGGGAATTACCTTTATTCATCGTCGCTTCCACTTACATCTGACAGTAATAAACTGTCGCTATCGCTTTCCTCGTTGAAATTGACTATAACTGGCTCTATGATGGTGTCGATGTGGTGGTCAAGCTGCCACATTTTTGTTTCTTCCTTCACAACATGACGGATAGCATTCTGCCAAGCTTCGGGCGTTATTAGCTGTATGGAAGTCTCAAGTAAAACCTTAACGTCTGGTAATTTGAAGGTTGTGTTATGGCGCGCAATATAACCCTTCACTTGAGCCCAGATGAGCTCTATTGGGTTCAGTTCACAGTGGTAGGGCGGTAACCGCAGCACAGTGACACCACATTGACGGGCCATCTCATCAGTCACGTAACTAATGTTCGCAGGTTTGTGTTGTTTAATTTTTTCATACAATTCCGCTTTCACACATGAATCGTCAAACGGGATTCCTTTTTCGCGCAACCATTGCTGCATGTCACTTTTTCGAGATCCCATAGTCGGTACACGTTCGGCTCGACGACTATGGTAGGAAGCATTATCCATGACGATCACAGAGTTGGGCTCAACTCGCTGAAGTACCCCTTGAAACCAGCTCTCGAAGCAGCTGGCATTCATTTCGTCATGGTAATCACCTCCTTTCTTAGAGACGAAAATCAAGTCACACTCTTCTAAAAAGCCACTATCGCTACCAATATGAGTTACGATCAATCTTTGACCTTTCCCTGACGGTCCACGAAGACCTGTTGACAAACCTTCAATGCTTGCTTGTCGGTTACTCACTACGTTTTTGTCTATCCAGGTTTTTTTAACTGTGTGACCTGCATTTACCCATGTCTCGTCCAAATAATAGATTTTTCTGCTTTGTCGCCTATATTCAATCATTTCGCGTAGGTATTTTCGACGCCAGGCGACTATTTCAGGTCTCTCTATCAATACTGACTTCCGATTACGCGTTTCGTAACGAAAATTAATTTCGTGCAGGGATTTCCTCATTACCTCGACGCTCATTTGGGGTATAATTTCATTTTCCTTGATCGTTGCATGTACAGCCTTGAGGGTTGGTATCTCATTCCTAAAGAAGAATGAATGTACGGTTCGCCTTAACGCCATTTTGCTATCGTCATCCAATTTAACGGCCTTTCGTCCCTTCAAATTCAACTTTGGATCAGTAGTAGCTCCAGTTTTCTTCTTTTCATGCACCACCCTGCGAATGGTCCACTCTGGAACGCCTGTCATACTTTCACAACGCGCGAGTGCATCTCCCTGCGACATAGTTCTGTTCAGATAATTGAACACGTTGAGCACGATTTCTTTCGCCGCGTCCCTCTTCAGTGCTTTACGAAGCCGTCTACTTGTTCCCTGGCTTTCAGTACCTCCACTCGTGCCATTTGTACTCTCCATGGTTAAGTATAACCAAAACAGTAACCACAGAAACCACAACAATAACAATCACACAACAATTCTTATAAAAACACACAATATGCGATCGCTCAACGAAACACGTTCCAATGCGTTGCCGACGCCTATGAGTCTGCCGGTCGAGGCGCGTCTTTGATTTGATTGGTTCTACCGGCGGAGAACAATCAGCCATTATTTCCATCTCTGTCTGTGCTGTTGACCACCGCAAAGCCACAGAAACGACATATGTCGTACGCTATACGGCTGTACTGGAAGGAAGCCGGGATCGAGCAAAATGCAAACGAAAATTTTAAATTATTTCCATGACGCCCCCAAATAGCTGCGTCGGTACCTCGGGTTATACATCTTGACAGTAGGGATATTCGACACGATCCTATATTTAGAAGTATCGATACTTTTGCTTCTCATACCCGATATTTTGCATCGATATTTATATATACGACACTTGGGTGTATCGATACATTTCACGAGTATCGTCATCTTTCGATCCCTTCTGCGTCAGAAAGAGTGACTAACTTCAGATTGCTTTTCATCTTTGTTTCCTTCCGCTGGATATCGATAATTTTGTTCCACTATTTTAGAGTATCGATACTTCCTAAAACGATAAGAATCGATACATAACGATACTTTTCGTGGATCTAAACATCACCAATCTTGACAGCTTGTCGTTCTTGTCAACTGGGCTGCAGGGTGCGGTGTTGCCTTTACTGTCTTACATTTTGCTAAAATCTTATGACAAATAAAAGCTTCAAATGAAATATTGACGGATATGCATAAAATTTAGAATGTAAATTCATATTGCAAATTTCAGATTGTCTATTCATGGACTTGAACAGGATTTTTCTGTATTTTTACCGAAAAGAGAATAGGCGGAGAGTACTAGCCAGTTCAAAAACATCCGTCCTTTGTAAAAGTGTTTCTCACAACTTTGTGAATTCAATCGCTGTAATTTGTTTCATTTAATTTTCATTGGCCAATAAATGTTACGGTATTCGATAAATTTGACCGGGATCGATCTTTCGGATTCCGCCCTCTGACAATACCGGTTTTGAATTACACTCTTCTTCAAAGCATTTTTTTTTTCTCAGGCAAGGAAGACGAAGCAATCCACTACGACGAAAAAGCTGTAGACGAACTCTTGGACCGCAGCAAAGAGGGTATCGAACAGAAAGAATCGTGGGCGAACGAGTACCTTAGCAGTTTCAAAGTGGCCTCGTACCAGACCAAAGAGGGTGAAACGGAGGAAGAAGTCGATACCGAGATTATCAAACAGGAAGCCGAGAACACCGACCCCGCTTACTGGATCAAACTGCTGAGGCACCATTACGAACAGCAACAGGAGGATATCGCGAGGACGTTAGGAAAAGGCAAGCGTGTCAGGAAGCAAGTGAACTACAACGACGGAGGAATGACCACCGAATCGCGGGAAGATACAACATGGCAGGAGAATCTCTCGGATCACTATTCGGACTTTTCGGCGGGGTCAGACGAAGACAAGGAGGACGATGACTTCGACGAGAAGAACGACGGTGATCTGAACCGGAGGAGCCGTCGGAAGATGGAACGTCGCGATGAAAAAGACAGACCTTTACCGCCGCTGTTGGCTCGCGTGGGCGGCAATATTGAAGTGCTGGGATTCAACGCTAGGCAGAGAAAGGCGTTCCTGAACGCTATCATGCGATACGGTATGCCGCCGCAGGACGCGTTCAACTCGCAGTGGCTCGTCAGAGATTTGAGAGGAAAGTCGGAGAAGAATTTCAAGGTGAGTTGTTCATACTTTGTGATTTTATAATTGAGGATTCTTATATATTTTTTACATTTCAGGCGTACGTTTCATTGTTCATGCGTCACTTGTGCGAACCTGGAGCGGACAACGCTGAAACGTTCGCTGACGGTGTTCCAAGAGAAGGCCTGAGCAGGCAGCACGTCCTCACTAGGATCGGTGTGATGAGCCTTATCAGAAAGAAGGTGCAGGAGTTCGAGCACATCAATGGCGAGTACAGCATGCCAGAGGTACTATTATCATTCATAGTTATACCACCGCCGACGTCAACTACGAGCCGTGATGAAAGAAAGGCAACACCAACAGGTTATGTTTTCTCAGCGTTTTGAGCGGCGGGAGTAACACTACCACCTACGTTGCCAGATTTCTTTGTTCACGGCTCGTAGTTGACGTCGGCTGTGGTTATACGTTCAAAGGTAACATAAAAAGGTTCTGTCAGCATAAGTGCTGAAATGACCCAATACGAGGGATGTCTTTTAAGTTTTGCATATGGAAATAAAACAACACTGTAGGCAGTTTTAAATGACTTTCGAAGTATTCTCCACGAAGATTAATACACATCTGAATGCGCTCGAACCAATTTTCGAAGCACTTATTCCACTCGTTTGCTGGCAGATCCAAAACGGCATTTTTGAATGCGTCAACTGCTTCTTCTGGTGACTGGAACCTTTGACCACGTAGTCTGTTTTTAATTTTCGGGAAAGTAAAGAAATCTTTAGGACTTAGATCGGGACTATATGGAGGATGGTCCAATAATTCCACGTTTTCTTCCGTTAAATACTGCCTTGTTTTTTGGGCTGTGTGCGAGCTTGCATTGTCTTGGTGGAGGATGATTCTTCTTTCGGGGTTGATTTTTCGAAGCTCGGTGATGACTTTTGGCAAACAAATCATGGTATACCGATCCGCAGTAACAGTTCTTTGCTCATTAAGAGGAATTGTTGCAATATGACTCGCTTTTATCACAAATGTCGCCACCATCTTTTTCGAGAACGGAAGACTTTTGTTGGCTTTTCATCACCTTGGAACACCCAAACAGTCGACTGTCGTTTATTTTCTGGTTCATAACAGTAAATCCACGATTCATCACCACTAACAATGCTGTACACATTTTTTGAGTTTCCGGAATTGAAACGGTCAAGCGCTTTTGACACCAATTAACCCTGGCTGCTTTCTGTTCTTCAGTCAACAGGTGGGGTATCCAACGAGAAACTAATTTTCTTACTCCTAATTCTTCCTTACCTGTAAATGGTGATGCAGTCTTCTTCAAGCATTTTTCATACTGCAGCAACGTTTTCGTCTGTTGCTGACGTTCCTTCCCTCTCAGCATCCTTTGGAATTCTCTGTACCACCTGAATATAGTCGTACGACGAGGACAATCATTCTTTAATGCAAACGTCATTTCTTGTAAGCACTGGTCTAAGCTTAAACCACGCGTAAAGTTGTACCGCAAAACTGCACTTATCTCTCTATTTCAAAGATTTTTATCTATTCCTAAGTTATAATCACTCGGTAAGGAGAAGTCATTTTATAAATATGCTTTTAGGTAATCAAGAAAACTATAATGGAACAGAACAAAATCAGCAGCTCCACGCCTACCACAGAAGTAGAAACTCCGAAAAGTGCTACCACGAGTACTAGCGCTACACCTGCTACTAGTGCAGCCCCCAGTCCTGCGCCTACACAGGTATTCTAACAGTTTAAAAAATCTAAAAAGTTTCTGGGATTTATCAGATAGCTTTATCAATGTCCCTGATGGACGTGAAAACGCTGCTTTCCTTCTTTATTTTATAACATATATCCCCTAGCACTGATGATTTCTAATAAGGATGAAACTTCGCCATCTACGATTAGTTGCAGGCCGGGAAGCAGATGAAATTGGAAATTTTAAGACTCTATCAAGATATTGACAGAAATTTAAATAGCCCCCTAATTTCAGGTCGATATAGATAAGGATACCGAAAAACAGGAAGTAAAGGAATCGAAAACGGAATCTGAAGAAGGTGAAGATAAAGAGAAAGAAAAGGAGAAATCAGAAGAAGCGAAAGACGCGACTCCTAAAACAGAATCTACAGAAGGCGAGGAAGCTAAGACAGAGGTACGAATTTTTTATAATTTGTATATGTTCCTACAGGTGGTAATTCCTTAAACAACCCTCACACCTATGGAAAATAAAACAATTATTTTGAACCTTTTGAATCCTGAGAAAAACATGGACCAAAAACTGAATTTCCATATTGTATTTTACTAATCAATTATTTGTATACGTAAAAAATGCTTATAACGGGTGATTCTTTAAGAGGTATAGGATTTGATTTTCAAAAAAAAAAAAAACACAAAAAATCTGAAAAAACGATTAAATCTTATTTGAGTCGATAGAACGGTCGATATAATTTAATGTTTAAAGATTATTTCATGTAAATGTTGGCCGCGGCTCCGCTTTGGATGACCCATGCGCAAGGTCCAATTTTGGCACACTCTCTCCAACATATCGGCCGGTATCTCACGAATAAATGCTTCAATATTGGCTTCCAGTGCGTCAATCGTTGCTGGATTATCCCTGTAGACATTAGCCTTAACATGGCCCCACAAGAAATAGTCCAACGGCGTTAAATCACACGATCTAGGCGGCCAATTGACGGGCCCCAAACGTGAGATAAACTGTTCACCGAACTCGCCTCTCAATAGGGCCATTGTTTCGTGTGCGGTGTGGCATGTGGCACCGTCTTGTTGAAACCACATGTCAGCCAAGTCTAGCTCTTCCATTTTGGGCAAAAAAAAGTTTGTTATCATCGCACGGTAGCGCTCGCCATTCACAGTTACGTTCCGGCCATTGTCGTCTTTGAAGAAGTACGGCCCGATGATGCCACCGGCCCATAATCCACACCAAACAGTGATTATTTCGGGATGCATTGGTAGCTCTTGCAATGCTTCTGGCTCGTCTTCACTCCAGATTCGGCAATTTTGCTTGTTAACGTACCCATTCAACCAGAAATGAGCTTCGTCGCTGAACACAATTTTTCGTTAAAAATGTGAATCTTCCTCCAACTTTGCCAGCGCCCATTCACCAAATTGGAAACGTTGTGGGAGGTCGTGTGGCTTCAATTCTTGCACCAGCTGTATCTTACAAGGTTTTACACCCAAATCCTGTCGAAAAATTTTCCACGGAGTGGAGTAACAGAGGCCCATTTGCTGCGAACGGCGGCGAATCGACATTTCACGGTCATCACTAACACTGGCGGATACAGCCGCAATATTTTCTTCAGTCCTCACTCTACGTCTGCGTGTTGGTGTCCAATAATCTAAACTGGGTTCGAAATTTAGTCACAAGCTTCCGAATAGCTCCCTCAGTAGGCCGACCAAATTGCCCATAAATTGGAAGCAGTGCTCGATGCACTCTCTTAACCGAGCATGAATTTTGATAGTAAAATTCAATAATTTGCAAGCGTTGTTCGTTCGTAAGTCGATTCATGGTTAAATTATAGACCAAACTAAACAAGTTTGACAATGACACAAGACACGATTCACGCGTCATCTGTCAAAAACAGTGTTGTCAAAAAGATACTAGCAAAAAATCACCCATTACAACACAATGTTTGAGGATTACACAAATGTTGGTATTAGATATGTCCGATATTCTACTTAAATCACTAATATATGTTCGCTTACCTACATATCATTTCAAATACATTTAAATCAGTGCAGGAGAAATACTGAGCCCAACCCCCTCTATATTTCTACAAATTTGAAGATACAATATGTATGATGTCTTGTATTCACCATCTCCAGGTTAAGGCTGAAGATTCCGACGTGAAATCCGAAGAAACTAAGGAAGAGAAGCCCGAGGCCAAGAAGGGAGATGACGAGGAGAAGAAACCTGAGAAGACTGAGGAGCCCGAGAAAGAAGAGCCTAAGAAGGAAGAGGAAGAGAAAAAAGAAGAAAAGCCGAAGGTTGAAAAGAAAGAGGACGACGACATCGTCTTGATTGAGGGTGATGATAAGGTATGCTTTTTTATTCACATTTTTTCATGATTACGTTTGTTGGATACCTCTCAATTGGTTGCGGTAAACTTGTTCATATCTGTGACAAATTTTTTAAGCAATTTCGTTGTTAATGACTCACTATGTTTTGTACGGAAGCATTCTGCTGCTTTGGGAATCTCTAGGTCAACACAAAAGTGATTACGTATTACGGAAATCTTGTGCTGGACGGATGTTGAATCTTGTTCCTACGCAGCGCAGACTCGACAACCTTGTTTTCAGTGACGAGGGCCATGTTCACTTAAACGGTTATGTGAACAAGCAAAATTGCAGACATTGGGCACCAACGAACCCAAAAGAGAAGCAACAGCTACATAGTCCAAAGGTGACTGTTTGGTGCGCCATTATTGGGCCGTATTTCTTTGAAGATGAAATCGGTCATGCATTGACACTTTTTTTGCTCCTATTGTAAGAACAGAACGTCGATTTAATGGTTTTAACAGGACGGGGTGTTTCAGATTTTGCCGAAGAAACGGCAAACATTAGGGCGGAATGGTATTTAAGAAATAAAACCAGCCGAATTTATGAATATGTTGATAGTAATACATTTTTTCTTTTCATTAAGTTTGTATTTTTTCCTTGAATCAAAAAGTGAACTTACCCACTGGATTTTCCGTATTAGTTGACGGTCAAAGGTTTCTCATGTATTACCAAATTTTGATTTTCAGAAGGACAAAAAAGATTCGGATAGCTCCTCAACAATCTCGGACGCCTCTAAGAAACGGTTCATGTTCAATATCGCCGACGGCGGTTTCACAGAGTTGCACACCTTGTGGCTGAATGAAGAAAAGGCTGCCACTCCCGGTAGAGAGTACGAGATCTGGCATCGTAGGCACGATTATTGGTTATTGGCAGGTATGTTTGGAGCAGATATGTTAGTTAAAATCGTCAAGATGCTAAATACAGCAGACGCTCGTTAACGTAAACACGGGAATAAAAACTTGCGCTAATGTAAACCCAAACTTCGTTCTATAGGATCAAACGGAACGCGCGATAACGTAAACAGTGTGTACGCTCGATAACGTAAACAACTCTCGGCGCACGGAAACAGCGCGACGGTAGAATGCTGAAGCCTCGATGATTTATGTCGGGCGTCGGGGAGTCCCCGATTTATGATGTAGAGTGTAGGGGATTCACCTCTGCGATAAAATACGACAAACTCGGTCAGTCGTATGATCGTTTAGGATACGTTTATACGTACGTATGTATTTCATTTTTGAACTTAAGTGAATACATTGCACACGTTAATATATTTTACGACTGTGGCATCCACATCCTATAAAAGAAAGTGTTTAAAGTTGAGTGAGATAGTGAAGATCATAGACGAAGTTACACTAGGTGCGGGAGTGACACAGTTAGCAAAAAAATATGGAGTATCGAAAGCAACAATCTGTAAAATTAAGCGTATGAAAACTCAAATTTTACAAATAACGTGCAATACATTTGGAGGTCCGGGCAAAAGAAAAACTTTAAAAAATGCGAAGGCACCTAAAATGGAAAATTCCATGTATAAGTGGTTTTTAAAACAACGGGAAAATCATGTCCCAGTTAGTGGCGAAGTACTTAACAGAGAGCGAGACTGTTAAATGAAAAACTGAAAGAAACTGAAAATTTCGTAGCTAGTGATGGCTGGCTAGAACGATTCAAAACAAGATATGGAATTCGACTGCTGTCTATATCTGGTGAAAAAATATCAGCACAACCACAATTAGTGCAACCATTCAAAGAAAAATTGATGAAAACAATTACCGAGCTAGATTTAAGAATGGATCAAATTTACAACGCAGATGAAAGTGGTCTTTATTGGAAAATGTTACCAGAGAAAACCTATGCTGCATCATTTGAAAAATCTGCCCCGGGCAGAAAGCCGGAGAAACAACGAATAACGTTTCTAGCCTGCACTAATGCTAATGGTTCACACAAAATAAAGCCACTGGTAATTGGGAAAGCAAAAAATCCGCGCTCATTTAAAAATGTTAATATCCCTGTTGATTATGACTGTTCAAAAACCGCTTGGATGAGTAGCAGTATATTCCTGAAATGGTTCCCCAGGTGCTTTCTCCCTCAGGGATGACAATCAATTATCACAAATGCTCTATTCATAATTTGAAGATGTGTTTTCAATTTGTAGGTAAAAGGTTTCCTAAAACAACATAAGCTTCCAATAAAAGCGTTGTTACTATTGGATAATGCACCAAGTCATCCTCCCGAGTAACAACTGAGGAGCAGGGATGGGTCAATTTTCGTCATGTACATGCCGCCCAACGTAACACCGTTAATTCAACCGATGGACCAGAATATAATAAGACTCACCAAACTATACTATAGGAAGTTTCGACTTTCGTCTGTCTTATCAAAAAATCCTGAAAACTTATCTGAGGCTTTAAAAAAAAGTAACATTACGAGAAGCTGTTTTAGATTTACATATGGCCTGGAATGAACTTAACCAGCAAACTATTCAAAAATGTTGGAACAATCTCTTTTGTACCAATAATGAAGATGATGAAGAAGACGATGTCCCCTTAAGCGTAATTAGAGAACGTTTGCGATCCAATAATGATAATATTAGTGTGTCATTGGATGTTGCTGATTTATTGAAAACAGTGAATCCCAACATTGTTTGTACTCCTGCTGATATTAATTTGTGGAACGAAGATAAGCAGACGAATGATGCTGATAAGGAGGAGGATCTGGACAGTGAGGATGATGAGAACGATCCCATTGAAGTCAGAAGTGTAGTGACTGACGCGCAAGCTATACAAGTTTTTAACCAAGCTTTAGATTGGGCTGAAAGAAAAGAAGTTTCATACACGGATATTTTAGTTCTTCGTAAATTACGGGCGCAGGCATTGGAAGACAATGCTAAGCGCAAATTTACGCAGACAAAAATTGTTAATTATTTTTCTTCTCATTAAAAATATACTTATCGCTGTTAGAATATTTGTTTATTTTGTTATAAATAGTATTTATTAAACGTTTCTTTTAATAAATCAAATATTATATAAATTACGTTCGCTAATGTAAACATTTCGATAATGTGAACGACACTTGGATTAAATTAGTTTACATTATCGAGCGTCTGCAGCATATAGAGCCAGCAAAGAATCTTTCTGCGACAGGAGAGTGTGAAATTCAAATTTTTTAATCCCCCTTGAACGTTCCTCAAGGAAGCGGTATGTTATTGTTTCATTGTCTTCAAAGAGAGAGCTTTTCTCAAACGCCACTCGAGTCTCAAGGAAGGTCTATAAAACTGACTTACAGTTTTTTTCGTAAATGTTCAACCTCCCAACAGTATGCCAAGTTTTGTTCATTTGAAGGTACCGGGGAGGAAAATGGAAATTTTGCTTCGTGAAACTTTGAAATTAAGAATTTTGTAGAATATTTAGCAGTTATTTATTGACAGGTATTGTGACGCACGGGTACGGACGCTGGCAAGACATCCAAGCAGATGCCAGATTCGCTATCATCAACGAGCCATTCAAAATGGACGTTGGCAAAGGGAATTTCCTCGAAATCAAGAATAAGTTCTTGGCTAGAAGATTCAAGGTAATATTTATTGAATGAGATAGTTGTAGTAAAATTAATAGAACGTGTAAATTGTGTAAAATGCATCAAACATTCTTCATCGAAACTGGAATTTAGCGTAATACTCTTGAAAATTGAAGCAGAAATCAAATGATGTTGACGTTTGACTTTTACTTTACCAATATATACTAAATTCTGTTACAGCTTCTGGAGCAGGCATTGGTGATTGAAGAACAACTCAGGCGTGCAGCATATCTCAATCTTACACAGGATCCTAACCATCCTGCAATGTCGCTCAATGCTAGATTTGCAGAGGTGGAATGCTTAGCGGAATCCCACCAACACCTCAGCAAGGTGATTATTGTTTCCACATATGAATCTTTTATTTTAAAGTCATTGGCGACATCACTGAACTGTGTCAGCACCGGCCACTATATTATTCAGATATCTCCTCGGAGCTAGAGATCGTATTTATATTTAAGCATATTTTTTTTAATTTCAGGAGTCGCTGGCTGGCAACAAACCTGCGAATGCCGTTCTGCACAAGGTGCTCAATCAGCTCGAAGAGCTTCTGTCAGACATGAAGAGTGACGTGTCCAGACTGCCTGCCACGTTGGCTCGTATCCCGCCTGTGGCTCAAAGACTGCAGATGTCGGAGCGGAGCATTTTGTCGAGGTTGGCGGCAACTTCCAGTTCTAACACACAAGCGACAAGTAAGTAAAATATAGCAGAGAACTGTCGTTTCTTTAGGGCTGTGTTACCAAGGTGAAAAATTTGATTTTCAAACTGACAATTCTCTTTTGATGCCAGACTAAATTGTGATCCACCGAAACCAAAAAACCAAAATTGGATCTACAGTAATGGACAAAAGTATATAGACAAATTAATATTTATTTAACTTGTTTTCTTAATACACCAACCTGTTACATAATTCGTTATAGCATAATACTCACTTATACATAAATAAATTCATTAAACTCCCTTCAATAAAAAATTAATTGAAAAAAAACTGGAACTATGAAGGACAAAATATATAGACAAAACGAAACAATTATGGAAAAAAGAAGCAAAGTTCATTGAATTATAGAAAAGCAACCATGTTTGTGTTAATATTTTGTAGCATAACCATTACTATCAATCACCGCCACCGAAGCTTCTTGATATAAGATTCATCAGTCTGTCTCCACTTTTGCTCTAAAGCGGCAAAAAGTTTATCCTTGTTTGAATAATGTTTATCTCGCATTTGCTTATCTAAGTATTCCCATAGATTTTCAATGGGGTTTATATCGGGAGACTGTGAAGGCCATTCGAGAACTGGTATTTTTTCATCCAGAAAGAATTTCTTCGCTTCGGGTCATTATCTTGCTGGAAGATTGATCTTAAGGGCATATTGCCTTCCATCTATGTAAAGGCCCCATCCCAAACCCCGAAAAGCACCCCCAAACCATAACAGACCCGACTCCATGTTTGACAGTGGGCAAAGTGTATCTGGGGTTCAATCTTTGTCCACTTGTCTAACGTCCAAACATACTGAACTTGGATTCGCCACTGAAACATACCCTCTTCCAGTCACAGATTTTTTCCTCGAGATCAGCGGCTTCTTCCTCCGGCGACGTGCAGATAACTTCAAATCATTTAATCTTCTACTTATAGTTTTCGTAGAAACACTGATAATTCCTTTTGTCTCGATTTCGGTTTTTATTTGTCTTGGGGTTTTAAACGGATCTTTGCACGAAATTACTTTTATTAATCTAACTGATCTAGCATTTAGTTTTTAAGGCCGACCACTTCTCTTAGAGGCTTCCAAGATACCTTTTTGTTTATACAGGGTGTCCGCAAAGTTGGGGTTTTCCTTTTCAGAAACAACTACCCTTGAAATAACAAAGGTAATGTGTAGTGAAACGAGGGCGACCAAGTAAAAAAAAATAAAGAAAAAAGTACTCACTCTCCAGTTGACGAGAAGGGCTAAGTACGTCTCTGCCCGAAATCATACCGCTCCAACAGAAAATGAAATCAGCTGATGCGCTACCGAGCAGACGCAGGCAAACAAGGAAGGCAAAATGTTGCGTAAAAAGTCTAGGTATTGCATCCCGTCCAATCGATTTGGGAGAATAAATGGTCCAATGAGCATACCGTTCACCATGCCAGCCCAAACATTCACCGAAAATGTTTGTTGAAAATGTGCCCGACGGACAGCGTGCGGATTTTCTACTGACCAAACATGAGTGTTGCGAAAGTTATTCACCCCATTACGCGTGAACGTAGATTCGTCTGTCACCAATATGCACTTCAAAAAGTCCGGATTATTGTCATGTTGATGCAACAACCACTCACAAAACCGCACTCTTGCTGGAAAATCGTCAGGTTGAAGGGCTTGTACACGTTGGACGTGAAACGGATACAGCCCCTCTTCACGCAGCGATTGCCACACTTTAGTTTTTGATACTTGCACTTCTCTAGCCACGTCTCTAGTGCTTGTTGTTTTTTGAAACGCAATCGATTACACGGGTTCGTTTACCTCTACACGCGTGACCGTAACCGTCGGTTGAAGGTTGCATACTGACCTGACACACTGACCCCGACCCAGTTCTGTCGTCGGGTTGAGCTAGTGTCCTAGTACCAGTTGGGGACGTCGCGAGTCGCGGCTACAGGACGGTATTCAGATATTTTTGATGTTGCAGAGCCCTTTATCTCGGTTCCCTTAAGACATTGGTGTATATGGTACTAAGAAAAATTGCTTATGTTTTCAAGATCTACACGTCGTGTAAAGGAAAACCCCAACTTTGCGGACACCCTGTATTTGTTCAATATTGCCCAGACGGCTTTACGCTTCAGCTTAAAATTTTTGGCAATGTCGACTTGACGTTGACCATCTTTGTATAACTCAATGATCTTAGTTTTCACATCGAAAGAAATTCCTGGAGCACGCGGCATGGTCTTAAAATCACTCAACTTATTCCACAATACTTGATGAACACAAACTAATTCTCTTCTGACACGAAACTGTACTAAACTAGTGTTGAAAAGAATTTGTCTACATATTTTTGTCCCTCATAAAAAAGTGCTTATATTCAGACTTGTGTTCATTGCAGATAATGTAAAAACAAGGAATTTAGTTTTTCTACTAATAAGCATTTGTTTATGGAGCAATGAAGTATGACTTCGTTTTCTAAAGGTATTTAGATAAATATTCATATTTGTCTATATACTTTTGTCCATTACTGTATATTGATAGTAAACTAAAGTTCGACGATCACTATGAATAGATTATTTCAAAAACGTAAAACTTGTAAGTTGTCTATCTGAAGCTTTTAGGGCCCTAGGGGATCACACAATTTAGTTTAGTATCTAAAGAGAATTGTCAGTTTGATATTCTGATTTCAAATATATTGCGAACCCCAGATTTGTAACCATTAGAGATTGTACCTTTTGGGGTTTTTTATTTTTTTGTTATGTAGCAATGAAAATGTCTTTACCTGAAATAGTGGGTGAGGAAAATGCCAGCGTAACTAACAATGGTTGTCTTTCAGCTGCTGTGATGAGCCAGTTCCCTCCTGGTTTCAACGCCGGCAATTTGCCAGGTTTCGCGGCTGCCGCTGCAAACTTCTCGAACTTCAGGCCACAGTATTCGGTGCCTGGACAACCACCTGCAGGTTTCCCATCATAATGAAAATGTAAGTTGTCGTGACCCATGTCCGTGCAATTTTTCTCAGCGAATAGCAACTATCGGATGGAACTGCAAAGATATCGGTTCGCGTTTGATAGCCCAGTCGTTATTGTGACCGCTAGTGGCTGACGATTCTGGCGGTATATCTAAAGATGCTGCCCGACAACATATAGCAAACCATGGGCAGCTGTTTTGTGCTTTTTGGTAACTCATCAGCATGGTCCACCAGAAAACTTGCGGATGAGTCGCCAAAAAGCACGAAACAGCTGTATATAAGGCTCGCTAGCTGAGGGTGAAATACTGACTTGTTCGTTATATTGCTACTGAAGTTTTGTAAAAGAAAGTCTATACTTCCTCTAGTAGAATAATTGTGGCACTCATTGTTCAATACAATAAAATTTTCTAAGTGATTTGGTAGAGTATGATTTTTTAACTTGAAAATGAAAACCAATTAGGCTATGAAATTTTTGATAATTTAACCATTGTAAGTTCTTTCAGCATAAAATTTATTCTAGTATATTTATTTTTATTTAAGATGATTCTCATAGCTTTATTTTTTAATATTTGGAATTTTGAAAATACAGTTTCATTTGCAGTGAACAAAATAGTCGAACAATATAACAAATGAGGAAGAAATTTAATTTACTGTCTACGTTTACCAGCCTACGTCCCAGAAGTCGACGTCAAGCCGAAACCGGGTGATAGGCAAAGTCATAACAGCTATCAGAAAAATATTTAAATAAAATTTGTGTGTTTTGAAAATTATAGCTCTTTGAAAAAAATATAGAAATTTCACACCCTACGGCAGTTTGTCAACTCCTGTCACTACAAATATGATCTTTTTTGGATCTTATTTTTACAATGTAATGATGAATAATGCATCTTCAAACTGGTGTCTCAACCTTACTGCCAACTTTTCTCGTTCAGGAAAAATTGCCACTTATTTCCCAACCAAGTATTCCAAAGTAAAGCTTTGCTCAACTTTAACTAGTTGTACTGGAAAAAATGTACTACGAGAGTTTGGCAAGTAACCTTAAAAGTTGGCGCATTTAATAAGGATTCCAAAATGGTATAACACTTAGAAAATTACTCGTTAACTTATGCACAATTTTTATTTGAAGAAAAACTGATGAATATTTTTCAAAATTTCCTAATTAAACAGCGATTATGAAAACGCACAAGGACCCTTAAGGATAACTGTTTGCACAACAGTGGGCGTCAAAATGCTGCTGATGATGATTTACCTTTACAGCAAATGCTCAAACTGTTTTCCTTCAGCCGCAATACACGCTCGAAATCTTCTTAAAAAAGATCGGGTTATTAAACGAGCGAATCCACAGTTATTAACAAACTCAGCTGCTTCCAATAGTCTTTGCCGTAGCTCAGCTACATTTTGAATCGGCTTGAAATACACTTTTTCTTTTACAGTTCCCCAGTAAAAAAAATCTAACGGATTCAAATCTGGTGACCGGGCTGGCCACGGTATTGTACCAGACCACCCTATCCATCTGCCTGGAAAGTTTTGATCGAGATACTCTCTCACTGAGAGTGCATAGTGCGCTGGGCAGCCATCATGCTGAAACCACATGTCCCTGTAAATACTCAGTGGCACGTCCTCCAATAAATTTTCTAAATGATTTTGAAAAAACCTAAATAAACCTCAGCAGTCAAAGTCTCTGGGAACTCAAACGGACCGATTAATTTACCATTCAAAATTCCTGTCCAATGGTTTATCTTGAAGCGATATTGAGATTTATCTTCTCTCATCAAATGTGGGTTTGCTACGTGCCACTCGTGTAAGTTATGCAGGTTCATGTACCCATCTTTCTTAAATGTGGTCTCATCTGACCATAAAGTTTTTTCAAAGAACCGTGGATCTTCCCTGTGTCTTTCTAACATTGTGCGACAAAAAGCAACTCGGGGCTTATAATCCCTGTGCAGAAGAGCTTGAACACGCTGTACGTGGTATGGATGGAGCACGTTTTTTTGCAAGATGCTATGGGCTGTACTTTTCGGCACACCTGTTTTTAGTTCTATTGCACGCACTGAAGTACTCGGGTCTTCTTCGACAGCTCCTAGCACCACGTCTTCGTAAGGAAGGAAAGATCTTCCCTCACCGTGTGATTGGTTTGGTAGTTGGCCCTCTGAGAACAGTAAGCGGTGCACATTTGTGAACACTTGATGATCTGGATGACGAGACTGCATTCGGGTACCTCTCACAGTCTCGCAGCAGCACTAGCGTTGCATCTGCATTCCCCACAAATGAGGTGCATGTTAGCATATTCTTGTACGGTGTACACGGACATAGCGGCACTGCACAATCACACTATCAAAGATAGTCTAAGGAAAGCAAATGTTGTTTTGAAGAGCAATTAAACAGTCCAAATCCAAATCACAAGCGATCAACAGTCTAGTTCACGAATCCAAAATTAGTAACAGTACGAAATCAACAAGCACGAACATGTAAAGATGCGCAGTAAACGAAGGAGTACTGATCGGTATCAAAGTGTGCAATAGCAAGTAAGTGATGTGCTTCATCCATACCACATACAGCGTGTTCAACCTCTCCTGCCCCGGGATTATGAGCCCCGAGTTGCTTTTTGTCGCACAATGTGAGAAAGACACAGGAAAAATCCGCAGTTCTTTGAAAAAAATTTATGGTCGGATGAGACCACATTTAAGAAAGATGGGTACATGAACCTGCATAACTTACACGAGTGGCACGTAGCAAACCCACATTTGATGAGAGAAGATAAATCTCAATATCGCTTCAAGATAAACCATTGGACAGGAATTTTAAATGGTAAAATAACCGGTCCGTTTGAGTTCCCAGAGACTTTGACTGCTGAAGTTTATTTGGATTTTTTGAAAAATCATGTACAAAATTTATTGGTGGACGTGCCACTGAGTATTTACAGGGACATGTGGTTTCAGCATGATGGCTGCCCAGCGCACTATGCACTCTCAGTGAGGGAGTATCTCGATCAAAACTTTCCAGGCAGATGGATAAGGCGGTCTGGTACAATACCGTGGCCAGCCCGATCACCTGATTTGAATCCTTTAGATTTTTTTACTGGGGAACTGTAAAAGAAAAAGTGTATTTCGAGCCGATTCAAAATGTAGCTGAGCTACGGCAAAGACTATTGAAAGCAGCTGAGTTTGTTAATAACCGTGGATTCGCTCTTTTAATAACCCGATCTTTTTTAAGAAGATGTCGAGCGTGCATTGCGGCTGAAGGAAAACAGTTCGAGCATTTGCTGTAAAGGTAAATCATCATCAGCAGCATTTTGACGCCCACTAATGTGCAAACAGTTATCCTTAAGGGTCCTTGTGCGTTTTCATAGTCGCTGTATCTTTTTCAAAGACCTATAATTTTCAAAACACATGCATAAAGTTTTTTTAAATATTTTTGTGATAGCTGTTATGACTTTGCCTATCACCCGGTTTCGGCTTGACGTCGACTTCTGGGACACCCTGTATGCCCAAATATTTAAATGATTCGATTGACACAATTTTTCATGATTAATTGTCAGATTTGTCGTATTTTGATCTGAAGATTTTCCTTTTAGCATATATTTTGTTAGTGTTTATTCACATTTAACCAATTTATTACGTAATTCATATCATTATTTAACAGCTCTATTGCAGTTTCAATGACTTCATTTATTATATATTAATTTTGTAATAAGTTGAATACTGAACCTTGAAATCCATACTAACATCTTGTTTTGTTTCAGGTGTTGTATCTTGATCTACAAACGCAAAAGTGGTTTCATTTCCTTGCTCACGTTCGACTTATTCGTTCGTTCGGTGTCCTTACACGGTTTCGTTAGTTTGATACACGAAAAAATCTAGTATGAACTTAATTTATTGATAAGCATTATGTGTTTTCATGCCAGCAACAATTCTTTCGCTCTTTTAAATTGTGATCTTTTCTATTTTATTTGGCATGTGAGAACACAGAATGCCTCTTTAAGGTAGCAAAATAGCAATAGTATCCAGGAGTTTGTTATTAATTAAAAGGCCGTTGTAATTGATTACGTGATCATTTTATAAATTGATGTTTACTATTCCTTTAGTAAACGTAATAGAAATATTTTTTTTCTCAATACCTCATTCCTTCCTTTCCTTACCTACCTAAAAAATACTGGCGACTTTCAATGACCAATTTGGAGAAAAAGTTCGAATTTGAAAATTTTAAAATAATTTGAAGAATTTTGAAAAAGTATTGGAAATTTCGAAATCTGAAGAATTATACCAAAAAAACGAAGTTCTTGATTATAAAAGTAGTTTTGTTTTTTTGTGACTAAAAATTCAGAAAATAAATTAGTTTTAAAAAATGGTTTAATAGCAAATCAGCTAAAAAGTAGAAAATTATGTATAGGAGAGAATAACAACAATTTGGTAACTACAAAAAAATAATATTTGAAAATCGATATTTTTTAAATCCCGTTCGTATTTCTTTTAATTTTTTTTCAATATGTTGTTTTTTTATTCTTATTTCTAGATTTCTTCTTTTATAAGACTCATTTCTCCAGGTATCACGCACTTTGCAGCATATCATTTGTATATTAAAGCTTTTAGCATATTTTTAATAATTTATTATTTACAAATATATTACATTATTCTTTGAAAACTCTATACAATGAAAATGTTAACAAGGTTAAAAATTCCATAAAGGAATCTAAGCATCCAAGAAGCATTTACGTAATGTTACAGACAAATACTTCATTCAAGATGAAACAATGAAGCACTGCACTTTATAGCATTTTTAATTTTTGGTTTTAAAGCTCTGTAGTGAAGATTCTAATAACAGATAAGCTGGATTTTTTTTTGCAACTGGTGCATTTTACTATGGTCATCGTACACTAAATCTGGACAATAATAAGCTTTTTCAAGAAATCAAAAATACTGACGTTTCGATATTCTCTACATCTTTTGTTCATATATAAAACATGTATCGCTTCTAGAATGCTTATAGGTTCCAAGAACAATACATTAAAATCTATAGAGATAACAACAAATCGTTATAAGGTGTGTCAGGCTGATCTTTTGCCTTCTGGAAGTTATCTACAAAGGTTTGCCGTTGTGTCTCACTGCTAAGGTTCCTGTAAAAATCAGCGCCAGCTATGCAGAGCATCGTTTTGTCTTCATATTCATACCTGCAGTGACAAAAATAAAATGGTTAAAACAGTTTGGCAACCCAGAGAAGCTGACTTCTCTGACCACAAGATATCCGTCGTAATTGACACCCACAAAGTCAACGCGGGTGTTCCACAGTGACCGGCCTTGGCTCCGACATTGTCTTACATATCAGGTGTCTTTAAGCAGCCGTGGTGCCCCGGTGTTTCGGTTTCTGCCTATACTGATTCAGAAAAACGCACTTAAAAATGTTTAACTAATGATTCTTACCTGCCAACCCTCGTCTGTACGTAAGGAAAATATGATCTCAACCAAGGGTTCGCGCTGGCACTGAGAAAGAAGCAAGTGAGACACCACGTTGCCATGCCGATCGAGAAGGACTGCGTGAAATTCGATAGGCTAAACACCACCCAATCTTGAAGCAAAGGAAGTTGGTCCTTGAGAATTGCACTTTGGAATAGCTGAAAGAAGAAAAAAATGATTGAGCTGCAGCATTCTTTGAATTTTTTTAGTCCGACGCAATTATTTCACCGAAAAAAATATTTCTCTGCATAATGATATTCTCATATAAGGTCATTGTTATGATTATGCAGAGAAACTTTCACCAATTTGAAGGAGTCTGATTCACTTGAAAATTTGCCTAGGTGTCAAGGGCCAATGACAATACAAATCGAACCTGAATATTTATAAAGAATGTAAATTTTAAAATTTGGACAATAATTGAAAAATTCGGAAATTTGGAAAATAATTTGTAGATTTAAAAATTAAAAAAAAAATGGAAATTTTGGAAGTCAATTTCGATTTATTGTCAAACAAAATATACCGAGAATCGAAGCTATTGGATATAAGTACTTTTGTTGTATTGAGACTATTTTCTACTTTTTTGTTCAATTTGTCATTAAACCGGATTGAAAAAATGGACTGATGAAATTTACTTAGAAATGATTGTCGCAAAAATTACTATTTTTTTGAGAAAAACGAAATTGATTTTTTCGACTAAATTGTGATTTTATAGTAAGAAGGAAATTTGCATAGGTATCAAGGTCCGATGTGGAAAAAAATTGATTTTAAAATTTGGACAATAATTGGAAAATTCGTAAATTTGGAAGATACTTTGAAGATTTGGAAATTATGAAAAAATCGGAAATAAATAAATTTGAAAAAATTTGGAAGTAACTTTCGATTTAGGGCCAAATATAAAATATACCAAAAATCGAATATTGGATATAAGCACTTTTGTTGTCGTTTAGAGGCCATTTTCTACTTTTTAATTCAATTTGCTATTAACGCGGATTGAAAAAACGTAGAAATGATTGGAGCTTTCTAGAATAATTTTTATTTTAAGTCAGAGTCGCAAAAAATCACGATTTAAAAAAATTAATTGATTTCTCCGACATTAAATCGTGATTTTTTTGATTTTGTTCAATTTGTACAATGTTTCTTTAAATATGATAATAATGAGCTTTGAAGTCACTTATTTTAAATTATTTTACGAATATAAATCGAATTAAAATTTTCTAAAATTCAATTTTTTTTTGAAATTCGAAAAAACTACTTTAAAATTTGGTCAATCATTCGAAAATTTTCAATAAATTGGAAATTTGAAAGTAAATTTGGATTTATTGGCAAATATAAAATATACCACCCTATGGGTTATAAGTACTTTTGTTGTTATTTTGAGACTATTTTACTTTTTAGTTCTATTAAAGTGGATTGATCAAATTTACATAGAATGACTGAGGATTTCAAGAATAACTTTTAAAAAAAAAGGGAAATCAGTAAGTATCGCAAAAAATCCCGATTTTTTTTTTGAAAATAATGAAATCTGATTTTTCGACTAAATCGTGTTTTTTTGATGAGAAATCAGTCAGTGTCGAAAAAAAATCCTGATTTTTTTGTAAAAAACTGAAATTGACTTTCGTGTTTTTTTATTATGATCAATTTGTTGTTTTACCTTAATAATGAACTTTGAAATAACATATCTTCATTATTTATCGAATTTGAAAACTTAAAATAAAAATTGAATTTTGGGAAACAAATTAATTTTAAAATTTGCTATTAAAACGTGTTTTTTAATTTTTTAAACTATAATTTATTTTAAGTGAAAACCATGCATCGGATTGAAAAATCAACGGAACAAATGATTGGGATTTGAAGAGTAATTTTTATTTTAAGAGAAACCAGTCAGTTTTACCAAAATCACAATTTTTTCGAAAAAAAAAATCAAAATATCTGATTATTTTTCGATTAAATTGTGATGTTTTCATTTCGATCGATTTATACTGCTTTTTCCTTAAATATGGCAATAATGAACCTAGTTTAAGCTTTGTAATATACTAAGTGACATATAAATCCCAACACCCAGTTTAAATGGTTTTATTTTAATAAAAGTTGGTGTATGTATTTATCTTACTGTAAATAACAAGTGAAAAAATTTTCAGCCTTATCAGTCGGACATTCCGGTTTTTATACTGCTTTTTTTTAATTCACTAACGCTCTAAAAATGAATATTTCAGCCGCAGTAAATAAAGAATCAACGTTGGCGGATTTTGGTTCTTGACATCCTTTACGATCGGTTACGATGCCTAGAGTACGGAGACCTGTACGATTTCGTCAACTTAGTGAGTTTGATAGGGGCCGTATAGTGGGACTTCGGGAAGCTGGACTTTCTTTTCGGGCAATTGCAGTTAGAGTGCAAAGAAGTGTAGACACTGTGGTAAGGTGTTGTCAGGCATGGCTTCGAGAAGACAGTACGCAAAGAGCAAGGGGCACTGGACGCCGCCGTAGAACAACAGACCGTGAAGATCGCCGAATAAGATTATTGGCCTTAAGGGACCGTTTCTCCACCTACCAGGTCCATTGCAAATGAATGGTTTGCAGAACACGGAAGACCTATTGGCATGCGATGTGTTTACCGACGAATGAGAAGTTTTGGCTTGTTTTCATACCGGCCACACTGGGTCCTCCCTTTAACTCGAGAACACCGACGTAATCGCCTTGAGTGGTGCAGACAACGGTCACTCTGGGATCAGGAATGGAACAGTATTGTCTTTAGTGACGAGTTAGAAGGCGACGTGGTGAAAGGAGGAATCCACAGTTTTTTGTTGAAAGACATGTTCATCACACTGTTGGAGTTATGGTTTGGGGTGCTATAGCTTATGGTTTCAGGTCACCTTTAATCTTCATCAGAGGTAACATGAACGCGCAGCGTTATATCCACGAAGTTCTAGAACCCCATCTTTTACCCTATCTTGACACCCTGGCAGATCCAACTTTCCAACAAGATAATGCCCGACCACATGTTGCAAGAGTGACAATAGACTTCTTTCAACATAATGATGTCGCATTGTTACCATGGCCACCAAGATCTCCCGACTTATCCCCAATTGAGCACGTGTGGGATATGATGGGTAAGAGATTGCTCAATTTGCAACGTCCTCCTGAGACTCTATAAGCACTTCGAGAGGCGTTGGTGGTTGCCTGGAATGAGATACCACAGGAAGACATTGACCACCTGATCAGAAGCATGCCTAGGCGCGTTGGAGAATGCATAGCACATCAGGGTGCATACACACATTATTAAAGGTCAAAGGGCTTTAAAGCAGTGCAATCATTTTGAAATTTTTATCATTTACTTATTATGCTTCATTAGGTACTTATACAAAATTTTATTAAAATAAAACCATTTAAACTGGGTGTTCGGATTTATATGTCACTTAGTATACATACTGACAATATTACCCACTTGTTCAGGACTAGATTTAAATTTCTTGATTTGTTATTTCAATTATTCGCTTCGTTGATTAACATTGATAAAATCATTTGATTTAAATCATCGCAACCTTGAAATACCAGCAGTGTCTGTCAAAATAGGCAGGTGAAATTTGCCAGTGGTGGAATTAAAAAAAAATGACTCTTGATACATAATTCGCGTATCCTAAAATTCACTGAAATATCTAAGCGGTATTACAGATAATAATATATGATTTATTTTTATCAACTTTACCACCCTGTATCTCAAAAGTTAAGACGTTTAGGCCAAAGGGTTTTTCTTAAAATGGACCCAAAAATAATGGACTTGTTAAATAAATATACTTTAACTTAATGTGGGCACGAAATTTGACCATTGATATTTTTCGAGAAAGTATAGCGATACGATTAAAAAAATTGAACAAAGAATTATATAAAAAGCAAAATATCAATATTAAAGCATTTTACTACTACAGACCATAAAAAAAAAACAATCAGCGGCCACATAAAGGCAACATACAAAAACGTGACCAACCGCCTCAACACCCTGTATATTTACCTGGAAAACGACCCTGCTGAGAAGCTTAGGGTGTGGTTGCTGCGAAGACAGAAATTCTCCGATAACTTTCGTGAGAATATCGGAAGGCGAAAAAAAATCTTCTAGAACGATCGGAAGGACAGAACACAGAATTTCCACTTCGTACACGTAACCTTTCTTTATCCTTTCGAATATCGACGACATTTTTTCTATTGTCTGCACTAACTGGTCGGGATTTACCTGAGCATTTGTCAGAGATTGGGAACTCTGCAGCTGATTTGTACAATCTGAAAAATTCAATCAAACTTTGAGTTTAAATATAAACGGAGAAACTGAAAAAGTTCATATAACAAATGTTACGATCGGGGTGTATAATTTTAAGTTGGCAAACTGATAGGACATTAAGCGAAAATAAAGATAGGTTTCTAGATTCTAATATACAGAAACTAAGAGCATGAACTTTTATTACCTGTATACATATATGATAGTAATAATTGTGTTCCTAAAAGAGCTATGGAAGGATTATCGTGTTTCATCATTTCTAAAGCTAGTTTCGAATACTGCTTTCCAAATTTTTCTAAATAATTTGTACTTTTTACCACAAGAAGTCGTTCTAGGCCCTGCAAAAGAAATATTAAAGATCTTCGATGTAAGAAAGTGTTACTTGATGTAATAAGTTCTACCTTAATAATAGCAACATGTAACAAATCCGAGGATCCAGCTAAAATGCTGAATGCCGTTGAAATCGTAGTTGCTACAAAGTTCTGGTCTAGGTTCCTTTCATCTACATTTTCAAGTAAGTAGAAAGCTAACGACCACACTAAACTGGAATGTTCCTGAGATTTCTTCAACACGCTGAAATAAATAAAGAAGGTTTATGTTTAATTCACAACTTTAAGAGGCAAGTTCGTGTTTAAAAAATTGAACTGAAAATAAGGTAGCTTTTCAAAACGTTACTGCGAAATTAAAGAGACCACAGTCGGCCAACCAAGGGCATTTTAATTTTACATTTACCCAATTTATGATTTTAAAGCAGTGTCTATATTTTCATCTTATATGCATATTAACCATCTGCAAATATCTGAATTTTACAATTAATTTTCAATAAATGTCATTAATGTATAAAATAAATAGTGGACCTAGTTTACTACCTTGTGGTACACCAACAGAAATATTTTTTGAGCTTGATAATGTAAATTTTGAATAGAACGATCATTTAAATCTATAGTGATGCAATTTTGTATTAATTTATCCCTGTCAATAGTTTCCTGTTGTCCATACATCTCCAGTCCTCTAGAACCATTTGTATTGTCTTTTCGGTTGAGTGTTTCTTACTGAATCCAGCTTGAAGTTTGGTTAACTTTCGAAACATGAGTCATGGCAGAACACTTCAGTTTTGTTGTAAATTCGCCAGATTTCAAACAGTAATTTATCAGGAATATTCTTGGTCGAATAATATCAAAACATTCATTAAGCACCCTTTTACAATGTCGTTGACACTTTCTAAGAAATCCCCATCGTCGAACATTAGATAATTTTGGTATTGTAATATTTTTTCTTTTCATCTCATAGAACTGCTACAGATTGGTTTCTTGATCTTGTATATTCTAGCCAGTAAAAACATTCATGAGGCTCTTCAGCCCTCCTTATTGGCCGGACTTGAGTCCTTGTGACGTTTTTCTCTTCCCGAAGTTGAAAAATCACCTCAAGGGAACTCATTTTGGAACATTCGAAAAACGACAGTGCGTGGATTCAAAAGGAAGTTATTTTGAGTGAAATAAATCGGTTTCAACACTTAATTTACAGACCCCTTATTTCGGCAAATCCTCGAAGCTGAGTATCGTTCATATTTAGTTGCCGCTAGGCATGTTGTGTGTGGTTGTGCGGCCAGCAGTTTTGAAGAAATTTTATCGCCAGACCCACGTTGATGTTTTGCGATATCATGTTATAATACTTACTTGTTAACATTTAAATTAAACTGTACATATTCCACAGCCAAAGGTACGATAACTTGCATTTCTTCTGACATGCCACCTATGGTGATATTGCTTAACTTGCACCCTTCCAAAATGTATAGAAGACCGTACAATGATGCTATCCTCGACGATAGGTAGGGACTTTTCAGGTACAAGGTTAACATCTTCTTCACTTGCTCATATACTTCTAATTCCTAAAAAGAATATAGATTTGAAAATCGAAGGAAAGTTTTAAATCCAGTTTTTATTAAAATTAAATTCGTTTTCTCAAAGCCGTAATGCAAAGTGGAATTTTTTATGATGTACTATTGAATATCTAGCTTAGCTACACCAGCCGTTTTTGATGTAAAAAATATTTTTAGACTTTCGTTTTCGGGTGTAGATGGATATGAATTCTGAATTCTTGCATGTAGAGTGCTGTCCTCAGCAAATCTGTGGATCGAATTGATCGCATAGGAAAGGAGGTCGTTGATATGTAATATAAACTGGGATGAATACGAGAACCCATCAATTACGAACTTTTTTTCATATTACAATTGAGTCAGCTCTTCAATTTTCCTGATATTCTATAACAAACATCATCAATACATAGTCATACTTACTGGTGACAAAACGGCAACAGCTTTACAAATCCCAGTGATTAAATACTGATGGAGCAACTCATCTTCTACAGTGTGCAACTTGGATAATTCAAGAAACACGTCTAATAACCAGGAAAATTGAGCTTTGTCCATAAATAGATCCGATATGATCAATGTTGAACGAATAGCTTCGTGTAGAACCATTATATGAGTTTTTGCCTAAAAAATAATTCGGATTAAAACCCAGCTATTTGATATAGGTTTCTTAATAGGAATGTTTCAAAGTGCTATTTAAGAAAATTTTCATAACGTATGTTGGAGGTCCAATGCATTTATTTAGACACACCTGCGGCTTCATCAATTGAGTAAAATAATCGATCAAAAACTGTAGACACGAATTAATATCCAACCCACTCTCTTCCAGCATTTTCTTTCTACTTCTATACACTTCACTTGCTATACAATAATCTTCGCTATCTTTGCTCCCAGTGACGATTAAAAAATATTTTACGGATACTTGACCATAACCGTATTTGTGGCTCAATTTCTCGAAGTTCCTTGGATTGAAGATGTTCAGCGTGTATTTTTTATTGCATAGATCACATGAATTTTCACACTTGCTCTGCATACAGTCTTGGACTACTTTCAGTTTTTTTATACTGGAAAATAACAAAAGAAGCTGTAACACTTTTCACAAATATTACTGTGTTTCCAGGTACAGTAATGGACAAAAGTATATAGACAAATTAATATTGTGCTGTATTCCTTTTTTAGCTTGTTTTATTAATACACCAACCTTTATACATAATTCGTTACAGCATAATACTCACTTATACATAAATAAATTCATTAGACTCCCTTCAATAATAAAAAATTAATTGAAAAAAACTGGAACTATGAAGGACAAAAATATACAGACAAAGCAAAACAATTATAGAAAAAAGAAGCAAAGTTCATTGAATTATAGAAAACCAACCATGTTCGTGATAATATTTTGTAGCATAATCATTATTATCAATCACCGCCTGGCATCATCTCGGCATAGATTGTAGAAGTTTCTTGATATAAGATTCATCAGTCTGTCTCCACTTTTGCGGCAAAAAGTTCATCCTTGTATGAATAATTTTTATCTCATATTTGCTTATCTAAGTATTCCCATAGATTTTCAATGGGGTTATATCGGGAGACTGTGAAGGTCATTTGAGAACTGGTTATTTTTTCATTCGGAAAGAATTTCTTTGCGAGAATTGAAGTGTGCTTCGGGTCATTATCTTGCTGGAAGATTGATCTTAAGGGCATATTGTCTTCCATATAGGGTAACATAACATGCTTTAGTATATCTGCGAAAAGCACCCCCAAACCATAACAGACCCGCCTCCATGTTTGACAGTGGGCAAAGTGTACTTGGGGTTCAATCTTTGTCCACTAGGACGTCTAACGTAATAAACACCATCTGATCCAAACATATTGAACTTGGATTCGTCACTGAAACATACCCTATTCCAGTCACAGATGCTCCAGTCCACATGCAACCATGCAAATTGTAATCGGTCCTTAGGGTTTTTCCTCGAGATTAGCGGCTACTTACTGGGGCGACGTGCAAATAACTTCAAATCATTTAATCTTCTACTTATAGTTTTCGTAGAAACACTGACAATTCCTTTTGTCTCGATTTGTCTTGGGGTTTAAACGGATCTTTGGACAAAATTACTTTTATTAATCTAACTGATCTAGCATTTAGTTTTCTAGGCCGACCACTTCTCTTAGAGGCTTCCAAGGTACCTTTTTGTTTATATTTGTTCAATATTGCCCAAACTGCTTTACGCTTTAGCTTCAAATTTTTGACAATGTCGACTTGACGTTGACCATCTTTGTATAACTCAATGATCTTAGTTTTCACATCGAAAGAAATTTCTTGGCCACGCGGCATGGTCTTAAAATCACTCAACTTGTTCCACAATTCTTGATGAACACCAACTAATCCTCTTCTGATACGAAACTATACTAAACTAATGGTGAAAAGAATTTGTCTACATATTTTTGTCCCTCATAAAAAAGTGCTTATATTCATACTTGTATTGTGTTCATTGTAGATAATGTAAAAACAAGGAATTTAGTTTTTCCACTAATAACGCATTTGTTTATGGAGCAATGAAGTATGAATTCGTTCTAAAGGTATTTAGGTAAATATTCCTATTTGTCTATATACTTTTGTCCATTACTGTAGGTAAATGCAAGATACAAGAAATAACACTGTGATACCTGAGAAGCTCCGATATAAAGAGTATCCCAAAAGTCAGGGATCAAACTAAAGGGGGCGATAGATATTTTCAATCAGAAATGTAGGGTCCGGCAAAAGGAACGGATTTTTTTGAAATGCGTAGTACTCTCCGCCTATTCGGGCGAGAGTGCCGTTTGACTTGGGCGTTCCTAGCATTTTTACCAGTAGACATTATGGAGCAGTGGACGATTGAGCACCGCTTTTTGCCGTACGACAGTTTTGTCCGACAATGAGTCAATTACGGCTGTAGAGCGTGAGCTTCGTCGCCACTTTCAATATTCATCGGACTCGAGCTATTCCTTCTCGAAACACCGTCCTTCGTTGGACTCAATCACTTCGCACACGTGGTGTACTGATCAACAAAAGACCACCTGGAGCTCCACGGACGGTTTGAACCACTGAAAGCCCTCCTTCGCAGTCCGGGTCGATCTGCTCGACAACATGGTGCTGAACTTCATCTCAGTGAGGCGTATTTTGCATATGGAACTCGACTTTCACCTTTACACATTGGTCAATTGTTGAAGCCTGGAGATTACGCACAATGACTGAATTTCGCACGTGAGATGGAAGCACTGATCGAGCAAAACGGGAACCTCTTTTTGTTCATGAGTGATGAAGCTTACTTTCATCTTAAATGGCATGGCCAACCAGTGGAATTGCCGTTATTGTGATAATGAAAATCCGCGACGGTCACATGAAAGACTGCTGCACACCTCAAAAGTCACGGTTGGTGCGCTATATCGCAAACTTGCATCATCGGCCCTCACCAACTTCTTTCCACCTGAATTACGAAGACGGCGTGTTCCATTCCACATGTGTGGTTCCAACAGGATGGGGCGACCGCCCACACAGCCATAGCAATGAAGTACGTTATTCGCCGTCTCTTCGGTGGTCGCCTTATTTCCAGATTTGGTGATATTCATTGGTTTGCTCGGTTCCCAGATTTATCCATCTGTGATTTTTTCCTATGTAGTCTAATCATATTAGACGAAAATATCCCTGGTTTCCGAAATAATGGTAACGTCTGGTTTTATTGCTGCAAGTTGTTCAAGGGGGTATTCGAAACATGGATGCATAAAATGGGTACACCAATTTTTGTGGGAAAACTTTATTCGACAACAAAGAATGAGAAAACGTGTTTTTTGGGATTCAATCGAAAGTGTTGGTAGGAACGAAAAAACTCTTTACGTGAAAAGATCTGACTAATAGCAAAAAGGCCGAATTGTTCAATTACTCACAAATGCGAAATGTTTGAATTTGTCTGGAAGAAAAAAAACGTAACCTTTGTTTTTCGCATAAATATAACATTTATCTTTCGGAATAGTTTGTGATTCATAACGGCAACGTAAATACGTGTATTTTGCTATTACATGCTCTTTGAACGAGCAGTGTATACGAGGGATGTCTTTTAAGTGTTGCATATAGAAACATAGTAGGCCGCGCGGATCGAACGTCAGTACTGAATTTTAACCTCACTCTTTAGTAAACTCAAATTCAAAGTGTTACAACAATACGTGCAGTGTTCTCACTACAGTGAATTTTTAAGTGACACCAAGTCATTAGAAAAATGGAACGCAACCGAGAACATTTTCGCACCATAATTTATTGCAACCTTCAGAGATAATTATCGCAACAAGAATGCCTTGCTGAGTTACTGTCAGTTTTCGGCAACGAAGCGCCACATCAGTCGACAATTTCCCGTTGGTATGGAGAATTCAAACGTGGACGGGTGAGTCGTAGCGACGATTCGAGAGTGGGTGCCCCAAAAACGACAGTCACCCAGGAAAACGTCGATGCTGTGCGCAAGCTCATCATTGAAGACAGAAAGCAGCCAGGGTTAATTGGTTAATTGGTGTCAAAAAAGGCTTGTCCGTTTCAATTCCGGAAACTCAAAAAAATGTGTACAGCATCGTTAGTGGTGATGAATCGTGGATTTACTGTTATGAACCAGAAAATAAACGACAGTCGGCTGTTTGGGTGTTCCAAGGTGAAGAAAAGCCAACAAAAGTCATCCGTTCTCGAAGTGTTTCGAAAAAGATGGTCGCGACATTTGCGTCAAAAGCGGGTCATATTGCAACAATTCCTCTTAATGAGCAAAGAACTGTTACTGCGGATTGGTATACCACCATTTGTTTTCCAAAAGTCATCACCGAGCTTCAAAAAATCAACCCCGAAAGAAGAAGAATCATCCTCCACCAACACAATGCAAGCTCGCACACAGCCCAAAAAACAACGCAGTATTTAACGGAAGAAAACGTGGAATTATTGTACCATCCTCCATATAGTCCCGATCTAAGTCCTAACGATTTCTTTACTTTCCCGAAAATTAAAAGCAGACTGCGTGGTCAAAGGTTCCAGTCACCAGAAGAAGCAGTTGACGCATTCAAAAATGCCGTTTTGGATCTGCCAGCAAACGAGTGGAATAAGTGCTTCGAAAATTGGTTCGAGCGCATGCAGATGTGTACTCATCTTCGTGGAGAACAATAAAGTCATTTAAAACTACCTACCGTCTCGTTTCATTTCCATATGCAAAACTTAAAAGACATCCCTCGTATAGAGGCAATCTATTTGAATCATTTTTTATTTGAAAACCAATGTATAATAATATGACGAATAATGACTACCATAACGTTTACACCCTGTATATAAAAAATCGTCATGTATTTTTCAAAAAACTTAAAATCATCGTGCATGGCTACTGAAGGGAGACAGTTTGAACATATATTGTGAATTTAATAAATACATGGGAACTAAAAGATCATCACAGGGTGCGGATTTTTCCGATTTTTTTTAAAGCCCATGAAAGTACATGACTTTTGAGACACCCTGTATAGTATCATAGAAGCATACAAGTAACCAGTACAATACATAGTAACGAATTCATTACCACCCTTTAGCCCAGACTTGACACCCAGTGACCTGTTCTACATGTTAGAGAAACATTTGTAATAATTATTGGGAATAAACACTTATTCGAAGCAACTTTTATAGTATTTTTAAAAACAATGTAACTTCATAGGTTTGAAAATCTCACCAAATATTTTCATTAGGTATCTCTTCATTCCTGGACACGTGAACACATTTGAAAACGTTTGGATTTCCTGCTTGTGAACACGTAAGGGTTTGTAGGAGCAGTGACGAGATAGCTTTGATAGCTAACGCTGAAGTATGAGCTGCCTCATTGAATTCTATGGAGTCTAACTCTTCAGTTGTTGGTCTACACAACACGCTTAGCAGGCACATCCACGTTTCTTCAAATTGCTGCCGGGAGGTCCAGCCAAGCAAGGTTATTCTGCAATACAAAATATAAAAAGGTTTACTCTGCATTTCGCAGGCAATGTCGTCATCGATTCATCAAATAATATGTTTGCCGCAAGTTAGCCTCTATTAGAAACAAATTGAGTATGCATAAGAAATGAAATAAATGGATCAAGACATATGTCGTTTCTGTGGCTTTGCGGTGGTCAACAGCACAGACAGAGATGGAAAGAATGGCTGATTGTTCTCCGCCGGTAGAACCAATGAAATCAAAGATGCGCCTCGACCGGCAGACTCATAGGCGTCGGCAACGCATTGGAACGTGTTTCGTTGAGCGATCGCATATTGTGTGTTTTTATAAGAATTGTTGTGTGATTGTTATTGTTGTGGTTTCTGTGGTTACTGTTTTGGTTATACTTAACCATGGAGAGTACAAATGGCACGAGTGGAAGTACTGAAAGCCAGGGAACATGTAGACGGCTTCGTAAAGCACTGAAGAGGGACGCGAAAGAAATCGTGCTCAACGTGTTCAATTATCTGAACAGAACTATGTCGCAGGGAGATGCACTCGCGCGTTGTGAAAGTATGACAGGCGTTTCAGAGTGTACCATTCGCAGGGTGGTGCATGAAAAGAAGAAAAATGGAGCTACTACTGATCCAAAGTTTAATTTGAAGGGACGAAAGGCCGTTAAATTGGATGACGATAGCAAAATGGCGTTAAGGCGAACCGTACATTCATTCTTCTTTAGGAATGAGATACCAACCCTCAAGGCTGTACATGCAGCGATCAAGGAAAATGAAATTATACCCCAAATAAGCGTCGAGGTAATGAGGAAATCCCTGCACGAAATTAATTTTCGTTACGAAACGCGTAATCGGAAGTCAGTATTGATAGAGAGACCTGAAATAGTCGCCTGGCGTCGAAAATACCTACGCGAAATGATTGAATATAGGCGACAAAGCAGAAAAATCTATTATTTGGACGAGACATGGGTAAATGCAGGTCACACAGTTAAAAAAACCTGGATAGACAAAAACGTAGTGAGTAACCGACAAGCAAGCATTGAAGGTTTGTCAACAGGTCTTCGTGGACCGTCAGGGAAAGGTCAAAGATTGATCGTAACTCATATTGGTAGCGATAGTGGCTTTTTAGAAGAGTGTGTCTTGATTTTCGTCTCTAAGAAACGAGGTGATTACCATGACGAAATGAATGCCAGCTGCTTCGAGAGCTGGTTTCAAGAGGTGCTTCAGCGAGTTGAGCCCAACTCTGTGATCGTCATGGATAATGCTTCCTACCATAGTCGTCGAGCCGAACGTGTACCGACTATGGGATCTCGAAAAAGTGACATGCAGCAATGGTTGCGCGAAAAAGGAATCCCGTTTGACGATTCATGTGTGAAAGCGGAATTGTATGAACAAATTAAACAGCACAAAACTGCGAACATTAGTTACGTGACTGATGAGATGGCCCGTCAATGTGGTGTCACTGTGCTGCGGTTACCGCCCTACCACTGTGAACTGAACCCAATAGAGCTCATCCGGGCTCAAGTGAAGGGTTATATTGCGCGCCATAACACAACCTTCAAATTACCAGACGTTAAGGTTTTACTTGAGACTTCCATACAGCTAGTAACGCCCGAAGCTTGGCAGAATGCTATCCGTCATATTGTGAAGGAAGAAACAAAAATGTGGCAGCTTGACCACCACATCGACACCATCATAGAGCCAGTTATAGTCAATTTCAACGAGGAAAGCGATAGCGACAGTTTATTACTGTCAGATGTAAGTGGAAGCGACGATGAATAAAGGTAATTCCCAAATTTTTGACTTACAATATGTTTCAAACCACTCTTTATTAAGCATGTGACAAATCTAGTTCACCCATGTTAAACATTCATACCCCGCCTATGAACAGCCGACTACTGGTAGTTAAGTGATGTTCACGTGAACATCGATGAGTCATTACAGTTTTAGATAGTTATAGTATTACCTATCCTCAACAGTCTCCACTCATTTGACAACATTGCGGCACGAATGTTATGACTATAAAACTGCCAGCAACAGCGATTACTTCGCGAGAGGTTTCTTTTCGTTCGACGTGGGTACCGAAAACACTTTGTCATTCCGAGTCTAACGGGCAAATATACCGGGTGTTTTCAACGTTGAGTCACTTATTTTAACTGCTTGTAGCACTCGTCAAAAGGAGTTGATATACCAAAAAGTTGCATAGTAGAAGATTAAAAATTCTAAAAAACAAGACAAAAACAGACTTTTTGATATTCTCGACCACTGCCGTTTTTTGTTTACTACTCTTATCGTTTATCTAAATTTGGCAAACTTGTGTTATTGTATAGAGCGCTTTTGGCAAAGCTGAATTAAAATTCAACATAGATTTAAACTAATCCTAGTAATTTCTCCTATAATATACAGGGTGTTTCAGTTTATTGTTGCATAACTTTAAGATTCGATAGAACTTTTAAAATTAATGCATAAAGTCTATATAAACATGGGTCGAAAAATGCGTGGCTTTCGCAATACAGGGTGTTTAACTTTACTTTCTAAAATAGTTTTTTTTAAATATTTCTAACAATATTTGATGTATAACAGTGAAAATTGGTATACAAGGGTTTTTTGGTACGACAAAACGAACCATGGGCATAGTTTTACTGTAGCCGCTAGAGGGCGCTCTCTACTGTACCTGTAGTGTATTAAAATGACCGAAAATTTTTTCTTAGTGCAATTTTTTGCTTTTTGAATAAAAAACTGATTTTTCGCACTTTTCAACATAAAAAAGCTCTCCTGTGAGTTTTCGTTATAGTTAGCCGTTTTTGAGATATTTCGATTTTTAAGGTTCGATGCATTTTTAATTATTTATGGGAAAATAATATTTTTTTTACATTTTCGATTTGGGCATTACAAGTAATTAAGATGATCGTTTAGATTGTGTTTTTAAACACAGCAATAATTCCTAACTCCAAATAAACACAAAAAAACAGAATATTAATTTGTTTAATTTTCCAATATTATTTTTAACAAATTAAATTAATTATTTACAATTAAAATGCTATTGGATAGTTAGGACAAACATACAAAATCTAAAGTAGTTGCTCGAAATGTAAACTCAATTGTTCAATACAAAATTCACATCTACGAATGATCGAACGTGGTATAGCATTATTCAAATAAGGCCTTATTTCATCACATGCATTCCTGATTCTGTCTATTAGCATATCTTTTGTGGTTACGGGAGTCTGGTACACTTTTTCCTTTAGAAATCCCCACACAAAGAAATCTAATGGATTTAGGTCAGGGGATTGTGAAGGTCAGGCGACTGGTCCTCCACGGCCGATCCATCTTTCTGGATAATTTTCGTCCAGCCAGTTTCTAACTATTCTCGAATAATGAGCTGGACAACCATCACACTAAATTCATGCTGAAAATTTCTTTCCCGAACTGCATGCGGATTTTCATGCGACCAAATATGTTGATTATGAAAATTTACCACTCCACGTCTAGTGAAGCATGACTCATCGGTCCATAAAACGTTACTTAAAAACTCCCTATTATTATCAGTTCTATCAAGAATCCACTGAAAAAATGTGATTCTTCGTTCTCCGTCCCCTGGCTGTAGTCCTTGCACAGGTTGCAAATGGTAAGGACGTCTATGATCATTTCTAAGAACACGGTGAATATGGCTTGCTGAAATTCCCAAGGCACCAGAAACTCTCCTAACGCTTGTGGTCGGATCTCTATCAAACTCACGCAGAATCATACGGGTAAATCTGCGCTGACGAACATTTATGTTTTGATCCCGTAGGAGATTTCCAAAACCATTTTTAATTATTTGGCGATGCACTCTTACAAATACTGAGCGAGTTGGATGTCGTCTGTTTGGAAATCTTCGTGCGTATTCTCTGGCTGCTTCTGCTGCGTTTCCATTTACAAAGCCATACACAAAATGAATATCCGCTAACTCTTGATTGGAGAGTAAAAATGGCATTTTTATAAAACTTACAAAAAAAAAAACAGGTAAAAGAAACTAAATTTCGTGAATTCACAATTGCAAAAAAACGTTTCAGGTTTCAACAGACAATAAAACTAACTAACGAGATAGTGACTTTTTAACGTTATTTTATCATAAAAAAATCGAAATATCTCAAAAACGGCTAACTATAACGAAAATTCACAAGAGAGATTTTTTGTGTTGAAAAGTGCGAAGAATCAGTTTTTTTATTCAAAAAGCAAAAAAATACACTAAGAAAAATTTGTCGGTCATTTTAATACACTACAGGTACAGTGGAGAGTGCTCTCTAGCGGCTGCAGTAAAACTATGTCCATGGTTCGTTTTGTCGTACCAAAAAACCCTTGTATACCAATTTTCACTGTTATACATCAAATATTGTTCGAAATATTTAAAAAAAAACTATTTTAGAAAGTAAATTTAAACACCCTGTATTTCGGAAGCCACGCATTTTTCGACCCATGTTTATATAGACTTTATGCATTAATTTTAAAAGTTCTATCGAATCTTAAAGTTATGCAACAATAAACTTAAACACCCTGTATATTGGATCAGCTTGTACATGAACAACTTTGCCAGTTAGTTTTTGTAAAAAATGCACTTCATTTAATTTCGTGAGGTTTAAAGAACGAAAACGTTTATAAGCTACAACTTTAGCAAAAATAGACTGTTTTCAATGAAAAGTGAGATGGATCGAGAAAAAGCGAAAAAAAGTCTGTTACATAAGAATCGTTGCTCCTAAAATGTTCGGCTAAAAAACCTAAAAACTAGAATCTTGAAACTTCAAAATGCTCTTTTTAATGTCCAGATACGACCATTTTTCACCGAAATACAACCAGCACTGAAAAATTAAGATTTTGTTGTTGCTCCCTTAATTTTTTTGAGCAGTGTAGTTTTTTATTGATATTGTAAATCAATATTTCTGTAAGATTCCTCAAAAAGAAAATAAACATTGTCGATATGAACACAGAATAAACTTTCTTTCTTGTGTTATGGCTGCAACCCTCAACATTTCTATTTTGCACCTTAAATAGTAAGCCAAGACTACCCTATTTCTCATACCTGAATATGAACTCCTCTAAAACATCAATTTCTTGCAAAACTTCCATAGGCAAAACACCAACTTGGGTCAAATTGACATTTTCAGGTCTCCAACCCGTTTTCCAAGCCGTGGACGGCAACAAAACGTACGAGTTCCCTAAAGACGCTCTAGAAAAACTAATCACTAGTCTTTTCAGTTTCTCGAACAGAAACTCCGGAATATTCGTTTTGTTAACTCCTTTCTGATGATAGATCCACGTTACTAGAGTGTACAGATTGTGACATGAGTCTATTAGAGTGGAGTTATCAGTACTCTGTGTTAGTTCCTTTAGATAGTTTGGTATGCTTGGCAATGGAACGTCATTCCTCAACAAGATTTCTACAAGGTTGTAGATGCTTGTCACAGACGAGCAATACCACGATTTTTTGCCTTCGTCGCTTAGAAGATCGCATACAAAGCTTTCCTTGAATATGCTGTGAGCAGCTGACAGAAAAATATCCACAGTATGTACTTTTGTGATCGTTTTTCTTGATTTGTGCAAGTAACTGATGTATTCCAAGCAAATCGCGCCGAATATCAAGAACTCTTCCCAATTGTTGATTGTGAATTTTTTAGATTTGGCGCAGGAACAGTCTAATAGCAGAGGAATACATTGGGCTATGCTGCGTAGGAGACTGGAGAAATCTTCGTTTTCGAAAAGTGGGTGCAGTTGATTCGATACTGGGGTACTGAAAACCTGCAAAAGAAAAAGCGGTCAAATACGAAACTTCACTTAATTGGTTTAAAAATATTGTAAAAATTGTAAAATTATCAAGACCAGATACGCTGGATCGGAAGGGGTGGACCAATTGCATGGCCAGCACGGTCTCCTGATCTAAATCCTCTGGACTTCTTTTTATGGGGATACTTGAAAAAACGAGGTATACCGTACTCCAGTTGAGAAGATTGAAGAATTGCGTGACCGAATCACAGTGGCTGCCGATAATTTGAGCCTTCAGGCACAGTAGGAAGGAGGTGTATTTGAATTAGTGCGCCGAAATTGTATTAGGCGCGCCCAAGCTTCAATGGAAACAATTTTGAGCAGCTTTTATAAGTAGGTGAACTGTTAAACTGTATTATTTTATTATCTCGATTTCTGTAGGATCTTTATTACATTTTTTTTTTGAGAATCAATCAACTATATGAAAATCAGTTTCCAGGGGGAAATGTTGCATATACTTTCAAAATTTCACAGCGTATCATTGAATTATCTAAGAAAAAAAGTAAACAGTTTAAAATCAAATAACAACTGTGCCGAAATCACTACTAAAAACGTGCTGAAAAACTGTTTCGAAATTTTGGGATATCCTGTATTAAATTGTTTCAATTGTTCACTGAGAAGCAGTTCTTTTCCTGAAAATTTGAAATGCTCTACAATAACACCAGTTCCCAAAATAAAAAATTCTAAAAGATGCAGCGATATGAGACCAGTAAGGATGCAAGTTACAAAAGTTAATAACACTATTTCATCAAAAATTGAAAATACGTTGGGTGTTCCACAGGGCAGAATCCTGGAACCACTTCTTTTTATTTTATACATAAATGATTTACCTGCCTTAGTCAAAAAATGCAAAATTCAGATTTTCGACGATGACACTATGATTTATATAAGTACTAAAAATATTCAGTCTGGTATCTCTTATATAAATGAAGACTTGAAGCTTGTCTCAAAATGGTTAGCATCTAACAGACTAAAATTAAATGCAAGTAAAACGAAGGCCTTGTTAATCGGAAAAAACAATGTACAAATGTTCAACTGAATATTGATGGTGAAGATATTGAATTCGTAGAAAATTTTAAATACCTGGGGGTTTTTGTTGACTTTCGATTAATTTTTGATATTCATTATGAAAAAGTTATAAATAAGATTAATAGTAAAGTGGGATATTTATCGAGAGTTTCTGGGTGTCTGAGTTCATATAGCAGAAAAATTATCTATAATACCATCATTCTTCCAAATTTCTTGTACTGTTCGACTATTCTATATTTAGCAAATAATTCCATTTTTGAAAGACTGCAAATTTTACAAAATAAGTGCATGAGAATAATACTAAATAAAGATAAATATACTCCAATTAGGCAAATGCTTAGCAAATTAAAATGGCTCAATGTAAAAAATTTTATCAAATATCTTGTAATGATATTCATTTATAAAGTAAAAAATAATATATTTCCATCAAGTCTAAATAATTTAACATCATCAAATGTCGACCATCATTTACATAATACCAGAAATAAAGATGACTTCCATTTAATGACCAAAAAGTATAACATATGCTACACATCTGTATTCCATCAAGGGTTGATTGAATATAATAAATTATACTCGGAGATAAAAGACCAGAAAACTTTGACAAAATTTAAAGTAAAATTGAGAAATCACTTGTTAAATCTACAATTATCGGTTGCCCAGCGTTTACATCATACACCATATGGCTTGAATTTACTAGTTCTAAGTTGTTTACAATTATTCTGTTTATGTAGCCAAAAGTGCTAAATAAATCTTTCTACTACTACTACTACTATTTCGTAACAGTGCATATGTGGTTAAAATTTGTCGGATAAGTTGTGAAACGATATATTATGCTTAAGCATAAATGGTAAGTCCGTAGTTTTTGCAGACAATACCACAATATTCTAGCAAATGAAATTGCGGCAAAAAATGATAGTGATTCACAATCAATCAAACATTGTTGTGACAACAATTACTTGACTTTCAATGTTAATAAGACAAAATTCATGATATTTAAATGCTCCTTTGACTTTATGTTATGTCATCAGCAAAGGAACGAAGAGACAATTATTATCAATTATGTGTTCAACTAAATCGTTCACAAATAACAAAAACAGAAATGGTGACAGCACCTCACCCCGAGGTACTCCAAAGTTTATGCCATTTGGATTAGGATTAGGATTGGTCGAAAAAGCATACATACTATTGTGACTATTTTTTCCAATAGTTTTGAGAAGGCAAACGGTAACGTTGGGCGATAATTATCTAAGAGTTCAGTGCTTCCGTTTTTGTGAACAGGCACCACCACAGCTACATTTGACGAATCAGGAAAGGTACCAATGATAAGTGAAATAAGTATGTGAGTGGATATATTGAATATTGAGAACTTTTCTTGGTAATCCATCAGGTGCACATGCATCCGTATCTTCCAATTCATTTAGGGACTTCATTATCACTTCTGGGGACATCTCATAAAATGCCATCGAGTTAAGAACTGTTTTGCCTTTAGTATAGTTGGGTGCTTTAATATCTACGTGTTCTGTGGTAATTATCCATTCAGCTATGGTTGCAAAGTATTGACAAAAGCAATTTGACTTCCACCAGTTACATGGAATGTAATAAAATATTTTTCATTTCTATACGATATTTATACAGGGTGTCCCAGAAGTCGACGTCAAGCTGAAACCGGGTGATAGACAAAGTCATAACAGCTATCAGAAAAATATTTAAAAAAATTTTATGTATGTGTTTTGAAAATTATAGGTCTTTGAAAAAGATATAGAAATTTCACACCCTACGGCAGTCTGTCAATTAATGTTACTACAAATATTAACTTTTTTTGGATTTTATTTTTACAATGTAATGATGAATAATGTATCTTCAAACTGGTGTCTCAACCTTACTGCCAACTTTTCTCGTTCAGGAAAAATTGCCACTTATTTCCCAACCAAGTATGTATTGCAAAGTAAAACTTTGCTCAACTTTAACTGGCTGTACTGGAAAAAAATGTACTACGAGAGTTTGGCAAGTAACCTTAAAAGTTGGCGCATTTAATAACGATTCCAAAATGGTATAACACTTAGAAGATTACTCGTTAACTTATGCACAATTTTTATTTGAAAAAAAAAAACTGATGAAAATTTTTCAAAATTTCCTAATTAAACAGCGATTATCAAAACGCACAAGGACCCTTAAGGATAACTGCTTGCACAACAGTGGGCGTCAAAATGCTGCTGATGATGATTTACCTTTACAGCAAATGCTCAAACTGTTTTCCTTCAGCCGCAATACACGCTCGACATCTTCTTAAAAAAGATCGGGTTATTAAACGAGCGAATCCACGGTTATTAACAAACTCAGCTGCTTCCAATAGTCTTTGCCGTAGCTCAGCTACATTTTGAATCAGCTTGAAATACACTTTTTCTTCTACAGTTCCCCAGTAAAAAAATCTAAAGGATTCAAATCAGGTGATCGGGCTGGCCACGGTATTGTACCAGACCGCCTTATCCATCTGCCTGGAAAGTTTTGATCGAGATACTCTCTCACTGAGAGTGCATAGTGCGCTGGGCAGCCATCATGCTGAAACCACATGTCCCTGTAAATACTCAGTGGCACGTCCACCAATAAATGTCGTACATGATTTTTCAAAAAATCCAAATAAACTTCAGCAGTCAAAGTCTCTGGGAACTCAATCGGACCGATTATTTTACCATTTAAAATTCCTGTGCAATGGTTTATCTTGAAGCGATATTGAGATTTATCTTCTCTCATCAAATGTGGGTTTGCTACGTGCCACTCGTGTAAGTTATGCAGGTTCATGTACCCATCTTTCTTAAATGTGGTCTCATCCGACCATAAAATTTTTTCAAAGAACTGTGGATCTTTCCTGTGTCTTTCTAACATTGTGCGACAAAAAGCAACTCGGGGCTCATAATCCCGGGGCAGGAGAGGTTGAACACGCTGTATGTGGTATGGATGAAGCACATCACTTACTTGCTATTGCACGCTTTGATACCGATCAGTACTCCTTCGTTTACTGCGCATCTTTACATGTTCGTGCTTGTTGATTTCGTACTGTTACTAATTTTGGATTCGTGAACTGGACTGTTGATCGCTTGTGATTTGGATTTGGACTGTTTAATTGCTCTTCAAAACAACATTTGCTTTCCTTAGACTATCTTTGATAGTGTGATTGTGCAGTGCCGCTATGTCCGTGTACACCGTACAAGAACATGCTAACATGCACCTCATTTATGGGGAATGCAGATGCAACGCTAGTGCTGCATAGAGACTTTACTGTGAGAGGTACCCGAATGCAGCTCGTCATCCAGACCATCGAGTGTTCACAAATGTGCACCGCTTACTGTTCTGAGAGGGCCAACTACCAAACCAATCACACGGTGATGGAAGATCTTTCCTTCCTTACGAAGACGTGGTGCTAGGAGCTGTCGAAGAAGACCCGAGTACTTCAGTGCGTGCAATAGAACTAAAAACAGGTGTGCCCAAAAGTACAGCCCATAGCATCTTGCAAAAAAACGTGCTCCATCCATACCACGTACAGCGTGTTCAAGCTCTTCTGCCCCGGGATTATGAGCCCCGAGTTGCTTTTTGTCGCACAATGTTAGAAAGACACAGGGAAGATCCACGGTTCTTTGAAACAATTTTATTGTCAGATGAGACCACATTTAAGAAAGATGGGTACATGAACCTGCATAACTTACACGAGTGGCACGTAGCAAACCCACATTTGATGAGAGAAGATAAATCTCAATATCGCTTCAAGATAAATCATTGGACAGGAATTTTAAATAGTAAAATAATCGGTCCGGTTGAGTTCCCAGAGACTTTGACTGCTGAGGTTTATTTAGGTTTTTTGCAAAGTCATTTAGAAAATTTATTGGAAGACGTGCCACTGAGTATTTACAGGAACATGTGGTTTCAGCATGATGGCTGCCCAGCGCACTATGCACTCTCAGTGAGAGAGTATCTCGATCAAAAATTTCCAGGCAGATGGATAGGGCGGTCTGGTACAATACCGTGGCCAGCCCGATCACCTGATTTGAATCCTTTAGATTTTTTTACTGGGCAACTGTAAAATAAAAAGTGTATTTCAAGCCGATTCAAAATGTAGCTGAGCTACGGCAAAGACTATTGGAAGCAGCTGAGTTTGTTAATAACCGTGGATTCGCTCGTTTAATAACCCGATCTTTTTTAAGAAGATGTCGAGCGTGTATTGCGGCTGAAGGAAAACAGTTTGAGCATTTGCTGTAAAGGTAAATCATCATCAGCAGCATTTTGACGCCCACTGTTGTGCAAACAGTTATCCTTAAGGGTCCTTGTGCGTTTTCCTAATCGCTGTTTAATTAGGAAATTTTGAAAAATTTTCATCAGTTTTTCTTCAAATAAAAATTGTGCATAAGTTAACGAGTAATCTTCTAAGTGTTATACCATGTTGGAATCCTTATTAAATGCGCCAACTTTTAAGGTTACTTGCCAAACTCTCGTAGTACATTTTTTTCCAGTACAGCCAGTTAAAGTTGAGCAAAGTTTTACTTTGGAATACTTGGTTGGGAAATAAGTGACAATTTTTCCTGAACGAGAAAAGTTGGCAGTAAGGTTGAGACACCAGTTTGAAGATGCATTATTCATCATTACATTGTAAAAATAAAATCCAAAAAAAGTTAATATTTGTAGTAACAGGAGTTGACAGACTGCCGTAGGGTGTGAAATTTCTATATTTTCAAAACACATACATACAATTTTTTTAAATATTTTTCTGATAGCTGTTATGACTTTGCCAATCACCCGGTTTCGGCTTGACGTCGACTTCTGGGACACCCTGTATTTTATCCTTGGCTAATCTCACGAGCAGCGTAATATTTAACTTTTGATTTCAACTTTTTGTGTTCACTTAGCATTTAACTTCCGCTTCAGAAACACTGTCATTGTTTATCGAATCACCCCGTATAGCTTACCTGTTGAGCTTGCCCGATCCTGCTAACAATACTAGTAACATCCTTCACCACGCAATCCACGCTAGCCTTAGCAATATCCGACTCATCATCTTTCCGATTCATCTCCAATCCTAACCGCAAGCAGTCCTTCAAACACGACTTATTGAAGCTACTGCTCGACATGAAGCTGATTATTTCGTTGTACTCTAATTTGCTGAGCAACTCCGCCGTCTCGTCGGCAACGTTTACATCGTCGTACCGCGCTTGGATCTGGGACAGGTACCACTTTTTGTTGATCTTCAGCGTTTTTATGTGCTCCGCGTTAACCGTGCGTCGTTGCTCGAACTCGATCGGCGGAAGTTTGTAGAACTGCGTCAGTTTATTGAGCAGGCTGACGAGAGCTTCGTGCCTGAAAATATAATTATAATTATATCCGTACATAACGTCTTAAATTTACAGCCTTATTTTGCATATGGTAGCCAGCTGTGTCATTTCAACTACTACCAGTGTTGCCAGAGCGAAGTTTAAAATATCCGTCACACGTATCGCAAAATTCCGCTACATGCGCTACGGTCTAAACATTTAAGGGGGGGGGGGGAGGCTTAAAATAAACAACAATTATATTTTTTACATATTTACTTTTTTTTAAACACTGTCTAAAAACCCTACTAAAAATACAAACAGTAACATAATATAATTGCAATTTTTCGTAAAAATAAAAAGTATACCTCTAAAAAAACAAAACTGTCTTTGGTTTAGAATTAGGAACTAATAAAAAAATAGAAACTATCAGCAATATCTTAATCTTAATAGAAAAAAAACAAAAAATAAGAACAAAGAAGAAGCGGAAACGTGGAAATGCCTACGTTTGCTTATCTTATTCACAGTCAGAATCAGAAATTACTTTTTCTTCAGCTTGTTCTTCCTTATTTACATTATATAAATTCTTTTTATATTTGTTTAAATGATTCTCATTAAAACTATAGGATAAACAGCACTGTTTTTTTTATTCCAAGTCTAATTTAATTGTAAGTAGTGCAGACAAAGTTGATGGTATTATTTTATTTCTTTTTTTTTGTTTTGTAATCAAGCATATAAGAAAAAGTTCGCTCAACATCAGCGTAAATATTCGTCATTAAAATTTTCGTCGTTTACAAACGACCAAAATTCAATGACATTACTATTTGTTTTTAAAATTCCCTCTTTCTCACTATCACTAAAATAAATACATATTTTCTTTAGTTCCAAAATTGCCTTTTCGGTTTCAATATGAAGGGCAAATTTTTTTAAAACGGCGTCATGAAAGGTATCACTTATAATAAGACGATTGTTCATCACATCAACCGGTGAGAGAAACTTTAGCTCTGAAAAGAAGTTGTCTTTGATAGGAAATCTTTTAAGGGACTCTGCGACCGATTTTTGGTAAAATGAGACACATTTTAATTTAAATTGTTCGATTGCCGTGTTATTGCAGTGTTTTATTGCATCCATTGTATGCGGACCAACATTCACTTGTTCAATTGGTAATAAGCAGTGAGGATCATTAGGATTTAGATTATATAATTTATCATTTTTAAAATATTCTGGTCGCATAAAGTTTGTACATAGATGACGTACAAATCGCTCACTCTCTATTGATATGATATTGAGCATAACTTTCTCTGATTGAAAGAGAGCATTAAATTGGTTAAAAATGGGCAACACGAATTTAAAAAACATTAAATACGCCTTAACAAATGGATTCTGTAACTCAGTAAGTATTACATTTGCTACAGGATTTTTGGCTTCAATGGAAGCTAATCTAAATAGGCTAAGCAAAATGTCCCACTGATCCAAAACTCTATAAACACATTTGGATAAAGCAAGCCACCTTGTTTTACTAGGGCTTAATTTTGACTTTTTGAAATATTCCTGTAATTCTTCAAGAACACACTGCCTTTTTGGGCTTCTTGAGAAGTAAGAATATAAGTTTTGTAAAAGAGCTTCAACGTTGCTTGGAATCTTTTCAGCTGCCGCCACCGCCACTAAATGAGCAGAGTGGCAAATGCAGCCATTGACAATTATATTAGGATTATCTTTTAAAAGATAAGTTTTTGAAAGATTCGTTATTGCCCATCATAACACTAGCGTTGTCGGAACAGTATCCAACAATATTGGTAATTTTTACTTGATTGGATATAACGCATTTTTTAAAAAGAGAATATAAACCTTTGGCGGTACCTTAATCTGCGTTTATTTTAATTATATCTAATAAATGGGTTTTAATTGAATTTTTATGAATATACCTTACAAGAATGCATAGTAGTCTTGTATTGCTCAGGTCTGTACTCTCATCCAATAAAATAGAAAATGGTTTATTGTCCAATTCTGAAATTATTTCATCTTTAATAACAGGAGCCAGCACATTTTTAATTATACTTATGCATTTGGATCTTTTTAATTTAAGTGAGCTAGAGAGATCTGGGTCTTTAAAACATAATTGACTAACTCCTGTTATATGATCAACAGTTCTAAAACTTATATAATGACTTACAACTAAAAGACTATATCTTAAGCAAGCAAATATTTGCCGTTTTTCCAACTCACGTGCTTCCCGAGACTGACGTTCTTACATTCGAAATTGCTTGTACATTAGTGGCATGCCTTTTTGATTTCGTATGATTCACTAAATCTGATTTTTTAGCACCCATTATTTGATTACAAGCTTTACATTTTGCTTTCAACTTGTCATTTTCAATAGGTCCCAACCAGCCTTTAAATAATGGATCTTCTAGCCATGATGAAGTAAACATTTGTTTTCGTGTCTTTTTCTTAACAGGTTGCTCTGGCTCTTGGTTATCCGCTCTTCTATTTTGTCTGTATTCAGGTTCGGCACGCTCCGAGTCCGACACAGATGCAGTCGAAGTGGATGGTACGGCCACGTTTGGTTTCACCGTTTGTTTTTTAGAAGGATTTTTATCAAAAAAATCGCTAATGGTCTGCTGTCGCCTTTCCATTATTCCTATTTTCCAGAAGAAAAAGCGATAAAAACTAATTTCGCGACTAAGATTTATTTCTGGGTCAAACTATAATATGTTAGATATTTAAGCAGTTTTGTTACTTACCAGTAGATTTAATATTAAAATATGCAGCAAATGATATATCAATAAAATGATCAACACAAAAATAAGAACACTAATATAAACGAACTAAAGAGTATATACCCAGAGCTGAAAAATACAATACAAAACGAGAAACCTAATATTATGCCTGCCTGCTGAGACCTGTTAGAAACGATTAGTATTGAAAGCAGTACGTACGCCATCTGTTATTGAAAAAAAAGGCAAGTGGAATAATTCTCTTCTCTGTTCCTAGATGGCTCAAGCGGCACCAAATGCACCAATTTTATTATTAATGTGATAATAAATCAGACTCTAGCCACTGCCTATTTAGGATTTAGAACGTTATTAACGTTAAAACAGTGAAATAAATATGATCGTTTTGTATGTAATAAATTCCGCTACATTTTGGGCTAATTTGCTCTACCGCCGCTACGCCGCTCTTCTCAAAATAATCCGCTACAAATAGCGGAATTCCGCTACGTATGGCAACACTGCATTTGAACCGTCAATTAAGTGTTATTTGAACTATCAGTCTTGACATTCGAGCTACGATGCTTGTTAATTTGAACTACTATTCCTGTCATTTGAACTACTATTCTTGTGCATTTGAACTACTATCCTCGGACATTTGAACTACTATGATGGTACAGGATGGCCAACTAAGAATGCGAGATATTATATCTGGGAACCTATCTAAATCTATCATAGAGGTTTGCGGCAAAAATAGTTATTACTAAAACAGACATGTCAATTTAAAATTTATCTTCGCAGTGCCGAAAAATGAATTAAATTATCAAATCATAAACGGAGAAACACGTCCACCTGAGAAGGTCATCGAAGATATAGGAACCGCATTTGTCATATTAAATTTAGCTACTTTTTTTCAGTAGTGGTGTTCACTATAGGGTTCTCGATTGTCTCTCAGTGATACCTTGGTGTTGTGATGTGGGTGTCAAGTGTCTCCAAAGGGGAAATTAGGTCTACTTCCAACTCTTCTGAGGGAAACAGGATATCTGTGCAGCAAACTAGGTGAGCCTCGCATACTCATCTACTTGTGGGTAAGGGTTGACAGCCTATGTTTTTTTTAATAAATTGCGCACATTGCATGCACTGAGAGACTAGTCATATACTGAGGTATATCTCAATCGCCAGAACAATATCAGAATCACTTCCAAAGCGACTCATTTTCACTACATAAGCTGATTGGCACTGTTTAAAAACAATATTACAAAATTTAGCTTAGCGGCGTTTTCTGCTGTCCTAGGAGGCCATAATTACTTGTTATCAAAGGTATTGTAATTTTTGGTGACAACAGCTGTCAAATTTTGCCGCGGGTCAACTGGAAAAAATGCTGACAGGTACTGTCATACAATTTTTCCATCTAGTAACCTTTTGTAATTCAAAATTCCGCGTTTGTGATTGGCAGAAATTAAGACGAGCGAAATAGTCGTCATGAAAACCGCTGATAAGTTTCAGATGCTACATTAACACAAAAACTGGTGCCATGGCTTGACTTGGGTTTGAATGTTTATGGTGGCTATGTTGAAAAATGAAAAAATGTTTATATTTTAGTTTGTGATACAATTTACATTCATAAATAAAATGTATCTGACTGGATTACAAAACGGTTCTTACTTCAAAAATGACCCTCGTATAAACCGTTACTTCAATGCTATTTTTTTAGGTTAATAACTGTGGCATGCTGGCGATTTTCGATTCTACAAATGAAGCCAGAATTGTGGAACGACTTGATTTTTGTTCAGCTGATACAATTAATCTTAGCAGTGACGGTTGAGGTTTTCCGCGCCCAAGTGCGAATGCAGTCATTAAAAACCATATTGTCCTTTTAAAAAAGATGAGAAAATTTACCTTCTCACTAACTTCAAATCAATCAAACTCTTCTGTATCCGTTCTAGATCCTCTTTTGATAACAGCTGTTTCACTTCTTCTGGAGATAGAGTCAATAATATTTCCACTTTTCGACTAGCCATATTTGCAGCGAGTCTGGACACGACCGCTTGATGAAAATTCAAGATTTTCGGAACAAGCAGTTTCAAAACGGCCCCGATTTGCGAAGAGTGGCAGTTTTCTATGCTTCTCAGGAATCTCATTTTATCGACAAGCTGAAAAAAGGAGAAAGCTACTATACTTAAAGGTGCTCCGGGTCAAGATTTTCCTGCTGCACAGCTTGAAGTGGTGTGATTTTTATTATAACTATTTACTTAATATATTTAATACAACAAAACTAAAAGGTATCATACAATATAATCAACGCTCATCAAATATAGGTCTCTATACATGCCCTATAGTTGCTGTTATGGAAAAATAAATTTCTTACGGGATCAATATCGCAAATCTGTCGAGATAACTCTTCTATGAAAAGTTTGCTGAGGACGGCATCTCTATGGACAAACGATATAAACTCTTGCGCAGGTGGTTCTTCATATAACATGACTAGAAGTTTTGAGTTTCCTTTCAAAAACTGTACAGCCAGGTTTGTCTCAGTCGAATTTTCAGTCTAAAAGCAAATTGCACATGATATAATAACTTACAAGAAAATCGTTTATATTTGACAATGTTAAAATTGCTTACCAAATAATCACAGAAACAAATTGCAGCTCCCGCTTTGACGATCTCACTATCGATCGACTTCTTGGTCCTAACCCTGAAATATTGAATCTATATCTTTTTGACTATCCAATAAAAACATTTTCATACCTAGCATCCTTTGGATCATCTTCAAATACCATGGAATTCAACTTCTCGTCAAAATAATTGACTGAAGCCAATACACAACACCACTGACAGCTTAATACTGGATAAAAGTTACTTAAACTTAAAAATATCTCACTAATTTCGTTGACCTGTACGATGTTTTGCTGATCACGAGGTGTGTTTTCCATCAATGTACGGATAGCTGTTTTTGTTATCTTCAAATGATTTCCTAAAAATGAAAACATCATAGCATCTAAAAGAATGAAAGGATTTCCTCTTTTGTTTGAAAGCCAACTTAATCTTGAGGGATCTTAGCTATCAGACAAAAAACTGTTCAGCCTTTCAAAGTTGGGAGTTTCAAACATTTTTAATTTATGCTTATTATATGGGAATAGATGAGGGGAATAAAATCTGTTTACCTGATTGAAATATGTATAGACTATGCATCAAAAACGCTGACACCTGCTGCATCAGAAATCCGCCTTCCTGATTCTGAATGACCTCAAAACACTTCTTAGCACTCAGAGATATGATCCTCAATAGAAATCTGACAAATATAAATTCCGCCCGGATATTCTGGAATGTTTCTGCATTGTTATTAACATTTAGCGGGTCCGCCTTGGTTGTAACGTTTTCAAAAATGCTGGCTGGAGAAAACTCGGATTTCAGTTTTTCAATTTTCGATAACAGCGTGTCTTCTTTAAGTGGACTGAGGACGTTGAGAAGTATCTGCACTTTGGCCAGCCAACTGTTGAACACTGATATATCTGCATCCTGAAATAAATAAGACTATAAGAATCTTAAGTTACAAGATTCGTTGAAATGGAAAATGTTGCCCAATGCTTTTTGAAAATAGTTGTAGATTCTGGTTGAGACATTTTAAATAATTTGCCACAAATGCTCATAAAGATATACTTGAAATCACTCAAGATAGTTCAAACGACATAAAAGTAGTGCAAACTGCACACAGAGTAGTTCGAATGCACAGTCGTTCAAATGGCATAGATAGTAGTTCAAATGACACATAGTAATTCAAATGACACAAAGTAGTTCAAATGGAACAGAGATTAGTTCAAATGGCAGAGTGAATAGCGCAAATGGCATAGAGAGAAGTTTAAATGGAACAGGTACACATACAATAACACAAAAAGTTTGCCAAATTACAAGATAAGTAAACAATAAACAAGATTTTATACGGCAGTCGTCGAGAATATCAAAAAATCTGTGCAATATTCTTGTTTTTTAATTTTTTTATCTATTACTATTTCTTTTATTATGCAACTTTTATATAGGTGATTTTTGGTATATCAACGCCCTACAAGCAGTTAGAATAAACGACTCAACACCCTGTATAGTAGTTCAACTGACACAGTAGTTCAAATGGTACAGATAGTAGTTCAAATGGTACCGAGAATAGTCAAATAGCACAGACAGTAGTTAAACTGACATTACCGTCCAAATTACTCAGAGTAGTTCAAATGGCACATATAGTAGTTCAAGTTGCATAAATAGTAGTTGAAATGTCATAATGTAGTTTAAATGGCACAGGGACCAGTCCTAATGACCCATAGTAGGTCAAATGGCACGGACAGTAGTTCAAATGGCACAGATATAGTGTTTGCAGCATTGCCACATGTAAAACAATGCAATTGCAACTTTTGCTTACCCGAGGTGGTTCTTGAAAGAACGTAACCGTGATTTCGTCAAATGGATGGAAGACTTCGGGATTGAGAGCCATTATGAGACCTTTTAGAGCCACAAACTCCTCAGGATTGCTCATCTTTAGTTTGTTCTGTTTGAGTAGCGGCAACAGCACCGAAAACACTCTCGTTGACCAATCTTGCCACTTTTCGGTGTTGTCTATACAATACTTGCTGTCTTCTAAGATCAGCGTTATTAGATCCATCACTTGCTTGTGGCCTGTCAGTCTTAAAAGCATCGATAGCACAACCTAAAATTAATTTAAAAAATGCAAATCACCCACGGAAAGAACCAAGTTTACTAAAATATGATGCAATTTGAAGAACGCAATTTTTTAAGTGAAATTCCTGAACTCGCTCAATAGATGTGTCTTTTCGTACCTCTCTAGTAGTTTCTAGTTCCTTCATATCAGTCGTGTTCGATTTGTTTCTGGTGAGGAAAATGTCGTCTACTATAGGTTCTAAAGCAGGAATACAGTGTGTGGCAGCCGGTTGACCACTGGCCATCAAGCCGTCACAAAGTTGGATAATTTTTGGAACACTTATTATACATTTTGAGTGTTGTTTACTATAAGACAACTGTACGAGGAACTGGAATATCTTTGGTATCAATTCATCAGAATGCCTGAAACAAAAATAGTACCATACACTATTTCAAATGAAAAATCTTGTTCTAAAACTCACGGAATTTGTCCCTCTTCGATATACTCGAACTGCTTCAAAACAAAGTTGATGAACACTTGGTCAGAATCTAGTAAGCAGTAATTCACACGTAGTTGAACTAACTGACTCAGCAACTGAAGTACTTGGCATTGCAACTCCACATCACTAGTTATCGTATATTGCTGAAAAAATCACAAAATATCTTGAAATAATATAAAATAACGTACACAAACTACTAACCCTTAGTGATTTGATGACCATAGGTTCGAAAATTCGGATGTAGGTGGCTAGAATTTTGTCAGAGCTCTTCGTTAAAATTACAGATCGCCTTTTGACATCTTTTCGATGCAAATATCCCATCACTGTGCTGTCATCGTCTAATCCGAATCGGGAAATATTATCCAACAGATATACATGTTGGGTCACAAAGCTGTACGGTTTGTGATACACGTTGTAATGGAAACCTTCAACAATTTCCTACAACAACAAATGTAATGTTGAAAACACGTTCACGAATAAGACAATGCTCTTAAGGCGCCTCTCGAAATAATTTAATTGATGGCTAAAAATATATTATTCCTTAGTTCGTTTTAGGAAGAAAAGTTTATATCAAAATATGTCCTAAACCTCTCAACTTTTGTCCTACTGGGTGTTAAGATTTTAAGAAAAAATTCGTTTTATCATCATAACTTTAATTCTGTTCTACATATTTTCATGAAATTTGAATACTTCGAAAAACAATAAAGTCATTTAAAACTACCTACTGTGTTGTTTTATTTCCATATGCAAAACTTAAAAGACATCCCTCGTAATAGTCATTTTATGATGTAGAATATTTTCCAATATTTCTACCAGTGGCGTCTGTACGGGATGTATACTGGAGATTTAAAAAAAAATGGTACGCCATTGCTATTTTCGAAAATAATACCATTTTTGAAATCCTCATTTATTTTGCAACAAATTTGACCCCTTGACTTTTTTCTGCCCGATGCATCGTTTTAGCGTAAAAAATTAAAACCAGTTTGGCTATTTTAATCAATTGACTTGAATTAAAATTAAACAAAAACACATCTTACCTTCAAATTACCACATGAGATTTTAGAGTTTTGCAATGCATGAAAATAAAAAAGCAAGTTTGCAACTAGCTGACACAAGAATCGTTGAACATGTTTTCCTTCTGCTAGAATGCAGGCTTCAATTCTCTATCTCGTGGATTGGCGAGCCCTTTCAAAAATTCCAGGAGGTTTGGCAAGAAAGTATTTTTTTGCCTTAGTTCCTCTACAGTTGGAACCGGTGTAGTATAAACTAAAGTCTTGAGGTGCCCCCACCAAAAATACTCTAAGCTATTTAAATCAGGCCAAGATATTTGCAGGAGCACCATCATGCATGTACCACATTTCTTCTCTTAATAAAAGAGGTGCTTCCTCGAGCAAAATTAGCAAATGGTTTTCAATTTCAAGAAAATGACGATAGGATAGTCCATCCAGTCTTCCTGGAAGGAAGAACGGTCCTATGAGGAAATCTCCAACTATTCCAGCCACACATTCACAGAAAACTCCTCTTGGTGATGTGCCTCCGTAATTGGTTTTTGGTTTTCTTCGGGCCATACATGATTATTATGGAAATTTCGAATTAATTGCGGGAAAAACTAGCTTGCTCAGTAAGGAGTGCTTTTGTATCAAATAAGGGGTTTTCAGCAAGTTTTCCTAAAAACGCAATGGAAAATCATGCAGCAGTAACGCTGGAACCCTTTGAATATGACAGGAGCATAATAAATTACCAACAAGTATTTCCCTAGTACATGTTTCTGGAAGTTCCTCAATTGTGTTCAAAATAGCTTCCTCTAATTCAGGTGTTCTCACCATGTGATGTGTTCATTTGGAACTACTGTCAATGCTAAGACTCCCAGCTTCATCTAGTCTTCTGTATATTCTAGAAAACATTCTGGCATCGGGGATGATTTAATTGGATAGCACTCTGGATATATCCGCCTAGCCATAAGCGCAAGCCCGTAGGTAAAATGCATATCTGTTAACTCGGAATTTGTAAAACTTGGCATAGTTTGCTTATTTTTTCTTTATTATTGATTAAAGAAACTTTCACAATATAAAAAACTATCACGTTTATGAATACATGTCAAAATAAGACAGCAACTTATTCGATCAAATGTCATTAATTTAAAAATTTATTGCAAAATAAATGAGGATTTCAAAAATATTTTTATTAAAAGCAAAATGGCGTACCATATTTTTTTCTGAAAAATCTCCAGTACGAACGCGATCGTAGAAATATTAAAAAATATTCTATATCAAAAAATGCCTATTGGTGCTTAGTAGGCGCATGTCAAATTTCATGAAAAAGCATCTACTCGTAGAACAATATTAAAGTTATGATAAGACGAATTTTCTCAAAAGTTAAGAGATTTAAGACATATGTTCATATAAACTATTCTTTCTAAAATGACCTAAGGAATCATATCCTGTATTTTTAACCATCAATTAAATTATAACCTGTATCAAGAAACTTACAACACCCTGTAAGTTGGTAATGGTTCAGACCTATATGTATAGAAATTTCTTATGCTATTTCTTCTAAGAAATTAAGCAATTGCAACTCACATCATCTTCCTTCCTATTTGTGCTCAGCTCTGCGATGTTCGCTGCCAAATTGGTTCCAAAAAGACACTTCAATAACTGTTGTACGCCCTCCACAGTCGCTGAAGGTTTTACCGTGAAAGTAGACCGAAAGTAGCTCAGGATATCTTCGGAAACTCTACTGAACTCGGTTAAAGAGCCGACTTCCATCAAAACGGATATGTTTCTTAGTGTTGCTACCATGAGGTCGACGAATGTGTGTGATGATTCCGTATCCAGGGACATCTGCAATCATAATGATATTCAAAGAAACTTTGTTTAGAGCCGCTATCTCTCGTCCAATATTGGCTCTAAGCTGCTCGAACGTCGCCGGCTTGTCGGCATAGACCAATGATTTAATGTAGCCCCACAAAAAAGTCTAGACGTGTTAAATCATACGGCAGGTCCATTTCTCGATATAACACGTTCACCGAATTTTGATTTCAATATATCGATTGCTGTGGGGCTATTGGCACGGCACCGTCTTGTTGAAACCACGTATCATTATTGTCTAGCCCATTGATTCCCAAAGTGGTCTATATCGACCCCTAGGGGTCTATGACAACCTGCAAGGGGTCTACGTCAGCGAAAAAAAATTTGGGGGTCCATGAAATGAATATGGGGGTCCACGATAGTGGATCTCAACACATACACTGATAGTACCTATTTACTTACATCATACTATCTTATAATATCAAAACCTACATTATTTATAAAAGTACATATGAAGTAAAAAATTTATTATATATGTTTATAAAATTGTGTAAGTTGTAGGATGTTGGTATTCGCTTTGTGGTCGCAATACATTTTGAACTTGTAAAAACCTGAGAGTCGCAGTCTCAGAGCTTCGCTACCTTGCACTGACTTGTTCAATTCGTCACTCTATAAATACGAATGTGGGACAAATACGTTTATTCGTTTCCTGAATCTTGGAAAGGAAAGTGCTAAGAAAATATTTTAAAAAATATAAACAGATAGTATATCACACAAATTATAGTGAGTCAGTGTTATTTTGGTTGAGAGTGCTGGAGAAAAGTAAGTACATTATTTTTTATTAAATTTTAGTTTTGTACTCGTAGTTAGCAAAGATAGATAAATTACGCCAATCATGACTTTAGTTATTAGTAGTTAAATATTCAATCATGCAAAATTACACGAGTACTCTTCAATAGTTTCTTTTTGAAAGTTTTAGCAATCGGTAATATAATTACAGTGCAATCTCCGTAATTCGAGGTAATTGTTGCAAGAATTATGGAATGTTTTCGGAAAAATCAAAAAATATTTTTAATATAGAGCTGCTGGATTTTCTGTCTTATTTAAATAATTTAATTTTGCCCACAGATGACTGATGCCATGTCCGTATCTAAAAAGAAATGTAGACCGTACAGTGTTGATTATTTGAAATTTGGCTTCATTCCATCATTGCCGGACAAACAATCGCCTATGTGCCTTTTATGCAACAAAGGTTTGGGCAATGACGCTATGAAACCATCTAAACTGCAAGATCATCTGAGAAGATGCCACCCTGATAAAACAGAGAAAGATTTGAAATACTTTCAAACACTCAAAGATAAATTTCAGAAGAGACCTACACTGGACAGAATGTTCGCTTCGACGTAACCCAAAAAAATGATGATGGTTTGCGGGCGTCTTACAATATCTCGTTACTTATAGCAAAATCCGGAAAACCGCATACTATCGGAGAGAAGTTAATTTTGCCAGCCGTTGAAGAGGTTTTAAAAACTGTTTTACACAAACCTGCATCTGATATCATTAAAAGAATTCCCTTAAGCAACAATACTGTTGAAAGACGTATTGATGAAATGAGTTCTGATATTGAAAGATTCTTATGTAATTATTTGCAAACGACCCATTTCTCTATACAACTGGACGAGTCAACTTTACCTGATAATGCAGCATTATTATTGGCATATGTTCGTTTTATTATGAATCAAGAAATCTACGAAGAACTGCTCTTCGCAAGGACTTTGATAACCGACACTAAAGGTGAATCAATATTTCATGTTTCGAAGGATTACTTCATTGAAAAAGAAATTCCTTTATCAAATATAATATCAGTAGCTACACCTGCCATGGTTGGACGTTATCGTGGATTTATAAGCTACTTAAAACAAAATGTGTCAGGGGTGTTAGCAATGCATTGCGTCATCCATCGACAACATTTAGTTGCTAAAAATTTTAGTGTTAGATTGCATGAATCACTTCATTTAGTCATTGATGCAGTAAACCGAATCCGAAGCAACGCGTTGAATACGCGGTTATTTGTGCAGTTGTGTAAAGAAAATGACGAACACTTTCATCAATTACTCCTTCACACTGAAGTACGCTGGCTGTCGAAAGGCTTATGTTTGACAAGATTTTTTGCACTTTTTGAGACTATTTTAGAATTTCTGGATACCAAAGATAAAATTTTAAAAGGTAATTTAATGAAGAGGAAAACAGACATCGCCTATTTAACAGATTTGTTTACAAAATCTAACATGGTTAATTTGCAATTACAAGGCGACAGTTTAAATTTGATTAAAACAAAGTCCATCTTATCAGCATTTCTTGCCAGAGTTAAACTAATGAAGCAAAATATTGGACAAGGCGAATTTTCTCAGTTCCCCAATTTGTCACAGACAAGCTGCCAGGAAGACGACGTTTCAACTTACGTTCAACATTTAAATGCCCTCTATTCAGATTTTGAATCTAGGTTTGAGGATATTTTGACTATGGTAATACCACCGTGGATAATTAATCAATATGGTGACATAGAAGAAACGAATGTCATAATACAAGAGGAACTGACTGAACTAAGTACAAACGAAGAACTTAAAGTTCAGTTTAAAAACGGATATCAGCAATTCTGGCTGCAAAACAACATACCCGTTACTTATCCCGTATTATGGAATATAGCGAGGAAATTTTTAATTTCCTTTCCATCGTCATACCTAGTGGAAAGGGGGTTCAGCGCTGTTACCAATCTCCTAACGAAAAAAAGAAACAGACTGGACATCATTAGCCTAGGAGATTTAAGATTAACCCTTACAAAATTGACGCCAAATGTTGATAATTTATTATTAAAGCATCAGGTTCATCCTTCTCACTAAAAATATTGACTTATTGCTTATGTTATTTTGTTTATAGTTTATTTTATGTTTATTGGTGTCTGACCAATAAATGCCCGCATTGGGAATAAGTGCCCGCATTGATTTTTTTAAAGACCCCCCTTTTATAGAAAATATTTTTTTTTAAATTATTCAGAAAATTCAAGGATAGGTACACACTAAAATTCGTTAATTTTTTGCCTATTTTTAGATAACTTAAACGTATAAAAAGCGGAATTTAATCAAACTAACAGTGAAATTATTGTAGAACATACGTTTATGTTATAATTAATAAACGAACTCGCTTATTGTACTATTTTAAGTAAAAAACTTTTCCTTTATTATTTTTCACTTTTTTTTATTTTATCCCTCTTATTTTTTTTTTCAATGCGGGCACTTATTGGTCAGACACGTGTTTATTTAATGTTACGTATATTTTACATAACAGATACAAAATTTTATTTTGAGTAGTTTTAATTTAAATTCAATTAATAAATAACATGTGTTTTTACTTTAAGTTTTTAACACTAAATTTCACTACAGTTAGAAATTTACAGGAAATCAATATCAGGTAAGTAGGGGGTCTACCCAACACGGAAAAACATGGCAAGGGGTCTACGACACAAAAAAGTTTGGGGAACTCTGGTCTAGCCCATCCAATTAACCAAAAAAATAACGTGACGGTCATTTTCATCAACGAAAAAAAAAACGACATGAAAACCACACCATACAGTTATTTTTGGTTTGATTTAAACGCACCTTCACAATGAAAGTTCAAAATTGTCCCTATTGGAAAACTCGATACCTCAGATAGAGGTTAGTTGCTATCCTCTAGTTTGTTGTCCTGACCTGAGGCAAAGCCTAGACGATGCTAATGAGTTGCCAAAAAGCACAAAACATCCATGATTGACTGTCTGTGGTCCAGACTCGCAAAAGCAAGTCCTTGACTCAAAATTGATGACAGTTTTTTCGACGAATGTCCAACTTCATGGCCACATAATGATTATTTTCAACACGCTAAGAATAAGGTGCAAACACTGAGAGCGGTTAACGATACGCCAGAAAGAGCAGCCAAGTTAATGCAAGTCTTCCATGGCTCAATCACTGCTGATGAGGAACAAAAACAATTTTTATTACGTTGGCTGGTATATTCTGACTGTAAAAATAAAACTTGAAAGGAAAATTTAACGGGTGATTTTTTTCCTAGTATCTTTTTGGCAACACTGTTTTTGACAGATGACGCGTGAATCGTGTCTTGTGTCATTGTCAAACTTGTTCAGTTTGGTCTAGAATTTAACCATGCATCGACTTACGAACGAACAACGATTGCAAATTATTGAATTTTACTAACAAAATTCATGCTCGGTTAAGAGAGTGCATCGATCACTGCTTCCAATTTATGGGCAATTTGGTCGGCCAACTGAGGGAGCTATTCGGAAGCTTGTGACTAAATTTCGAACCCAGTTTACATTATTGGACATTAAACCACCAACACGCAGACGTAGAGTGAGGTCTGAAGAAAATTTGCGGCTGTATCCGCCAGTGTTAGTGATGACCGTGAAATGATGATTCGCAGCCGTTCGCAGCAATTGGGCCTCTGTTACTCCACTAAGCGGAAAATTTTGCGACAGGATTTGGGTGTAAAACCTTACAAGATACAGATGGTGCAAGAATTGAGGCCACAACGTTTCCAATTTGGTGAATGGGCGCTGGCAAAGTTGGAGGAAGATCCACATTTTTAACAAAAATTGTGTTCAGCGACGAAGCTCATTTCTGGTTGAATGGGTACGTTAACAAGCAAAATTGCCGCATCTGGAGTAAAGACCAGCCAGAAGCATTGCAAGAGCTACCAATGCATCCCGAAAAATCACTGTTTGGTGTGGATTATGGGCCGGTGGCATCATTGGGCCGTACTTCTTCAAAGACGACAATGGCCGGAACGTAACTGTGAATGGCGAGCGCTACCGTGCGATGATAACAAACTTTTTTTTACCCAAAATGGAAGAGCTGGACTTGGCTGACATGTGGTTTCAACAAGACGGTGCCACATGCCCACCGCACACGAAACAATGGCCCTATTGAGAGGCGAGTTCGGTGAACAGTTTATCTCACGTTTGGGGCCCGTCAATTGGCCGTGTGATTTAACGCCGTTGGACTATTTCTTGTGGGGCCATGTTAAGGCTAATGTCTACAGGGATAAACCAGCAACGATTGACGCACTGGAAGCCAATATTGAAGTATTTATTCGTGAGATACCGGCCGATATGTTGGAGAGAGTGTGCCAAAATTGGACCTTGCGCATGGGCCATCCAAAGCGGAGCCGCGGCCAACATTTACATGAAATAATCTTTAAACATTAAATTATATCGACCGTTCTATCGACTCAAATAAAGATTTAATCGTTTTTTCAAATTTTTTGTTTTTTTTTTGAAAATCAAATCCTATACCTCTTAAAAAATCACCTGTTAGTAAATAATGTTTTTAATGATATCTAATAAATACAAGATATTTACAAATAAAGCAGTGTTTTATATGTCAAATAAGAATCCCAACAATATTTATTTTTTAGAGTCAAATGGAAAAATATACTACCTACCTTATAATTCATAAAAGCCCCTTTCAACCCCTCGAAAACCCTCATGTAATGCGAGGACTGCACGAAACTCCCCAAAGTGCTCTTCATGCCATCCCTCCTCTCATTCCTTTCGTCCTTCTCACTCTTCAACGTGGTCAGCATTTTTTTGTCCAAATCGCTCTTTCTCCTTTTGATCGGCGACAAATTCGCCGCGGGCGGAAGACTCGGCAATATCGTTTTCGATTGAGGAGGTAGCGGCGTCAGTTCGTTCAGCACGTGATTAAAAATGTTCAACAGTTTGACGATATGCGTGAGGTACTGTTCAGAAAGGTTGCCGAACGATTCGCTGGAGAACATCGCCCAGACGAGAGGAGTGAATTCCGAGTCGACGTGGGGGCCAATCAAGGCCAAGGAATTGCCTGAAAACCAAACACTGTTAGTACATCTTGAGAAAAACCACAAAAAGTCCATTTTTAGGGATAAATGTAACACTAAAAAAGTGATTTGCTCGACAAAAAATACACCCTGGTATAACAAGAATATTAAAGCAGCTCAAAATTTGAGAGACAAAGAATACAATAAATGTATATTCACAAAATCAAATGATGATTGGGAGGTATATAAAACTCTTAGGAATAAATGTGTATATGTAATTAGAGAAGAAAAAAGGAAATTCTACGATAAACAAATCGATAATAACAAGTGCGACAGTGTAAAGATGTGGAAGACTTTATAAAGACTGATCAATTCGAAGCCGCATGATTGTGTAAATCAAGTTCAATTCGAAAACGGTACCGAAACAAATTCTTTGCTGATTGCAAACAAACTAAATGAATATTTTGTGGAAAGTATTGTTGATATTGTGGGTACTGCCAATGCTGCACCTGACTATATGAAAATCAGTTTCCAGGGGGAAATGTTGCATACACTTTCAAAATTTCACAGCGTATCATTGAATTATCTAAAAAAAAGTAAACAGTTTAAATATCAAATAACAACTGTGCCGAAATCGCTACTAAAACGTGCTGAAAAACTGTTTCGAAATTTTGGGATATCCTGTATTAAATTGGATCAATTGTTCACTGAGAAGCAGTTCTTTTCCTGAAAATTTGAAATGCTCTACAATAACACCAGTTCCCAAAATAAAAAATTCTAAAAGATGCAGCGATATGAGACCAGTAAATGTGTTACCAGACATTAAAAATTATTAGAGTCCATAGTGCATGACCAATTAATGCAGTTTATAGAAGAAAACAAAATTTTAGTGGAGGTGCAAGCAGGTTTTCGAAAAAAATATTCCACAGAAACAGCTTTCCAGATGGTAACTGAGAATTGGAGAAGAGCCATAGACTCAGAAGAAGTTGTCATAGCAGTATTTTTGGATTTGAAGAGGGCATTTGAAACGATTGAAAGAGATATTTTGTTAGGTAAATTGAAGGCATATTTTATAACAGGAAGTGTTTTAGATTGGTTTAGAAATTATTTGTCTAAAAGGATGCAAGTTACAAAAGTTAATGACACTATTTCATCAAAAATTGAAAATACGTTGGGTGTTCCACAGTGCAGTATCCTGGGACCACTTCTTTTTATTTTAAACATAAATGATTTACCTGCCATAGTCAAAAAATGCAAAATTCAGATTTTCGCCGATGACACTATGATTTATATAAGTACTAAAAATATTCAGTCTGGTATCTCTTATATAAATGAAGACTTGAAGCTTGTCTCAAAATGGTTAGCATCTAACAGACTAAAATTAAATGCAAGTAAAACGAAAGCCTTGTTAATCGGAAAAAAACAATGTACAAATGTTCAACTGAATATTGATAGTGAATATATTGAATTCATAGAAAATTTTAAATACCTGGGGGTTTTTGTTGACTCTCGATTAATTTTTGATATTCATTATGAAAAAGTTATAAATAAGATTAGTAGTAAAGTGGGATATTTATCGAGAGTTTCTGGATGTCTGAGTTCATATAGCAGAAAAATTATCTATAATACCACCATTCTTCCAAATTTTTTGTACTGTTCGACTATTCTATATTTAGCAAATAATTCCATTTTTGAAAGACTGCAAATTTTACAAAATAAGTGCATGAGAATAATACTAAATATACTCCAATTAGGCAAATGCTTAGCAAATTAAAATGGGTCAATGTAAAAAATTTTATCAAATATCTTGTAATGATATTCATTTATAAAGTAAAAAATAATATATTTCCATCAAGTCTAACTAATTTAACATCATCAAATGTCGACCATCATTTACATAATACCAGAAATAAAGATGACTTCCATTTAATGACCAAAAAGTATAACATATGCTACAAATCTGTATTCCATCAAGGGTTGATTGAATATAATAAATTATACTCGGAGATAAAAGACCAGAAAACTTTGACAAAATTTAAAGTAAAATTGAGAAATCACTTGTTAAATCTACAATTATAGGTTGTCCAGCATTTACATCATACACCATATGGCTTGAATTTACTAGTTCTAAGTTGTTTACAATTGTTCTGTTTATGTAGCCAAATGTGCTAAATAAATCTTTCTACTACTACTTTTAAAAATTCGTTAATTTGAGTTATAGTCAACTTTCGAAAAATTTAAGAACTCGCTTTTTTTGAATAGTACAAGTATCAAAAAAACACAAAAAAATTTCCAAGATCAAACATCTGACATAGCCCCAAACTTTGCTAAAAAGAACCTGACTTGATTTGCTCACCCTGTATAAGTGGATAAATAAAAGAAATATACCGATCGAACCCGGTAAGTGATGTCAAAGAGATGGTCTAAAACCTCCCGAATACTGCAAATCGATATCTCTTTCCGCTCCGAAAATATCGAGATTTGAATTTGGGTAAAATTTTCTATGTTGCAAAGCAACTGTCCATCAGTTTATGTGGCATATGAACTACAAACAACAAACTTCTAATCATTGTGCCATATAGACTAATATCGATGCATCATTTGAACGTTCATCTTTGTTAATAAATTTCGATAACCTATATTCAAATTAACTGTGCATCTTGGCTACAATTTACCGACTTTAACCTATGGCAACGTCGCAGTCAGCTGCATGCCGATTGAACTACTAATGTTGCACTACTATCCATGTGGTATTTGAACTACTTGCAAAGTAATATTTGAACTACTATCATTGTGTCATTTGAACTACCGCCCATATAACATTTGAACTACCGTACACGTATCATTTGAACTACTAACATTGTGTTATTTGAACTACTGTGTATGATGAAATTTGGACTATTCTAAATGCGTCATTTGAACCATCATGATTGTTCTTTGTTATTTATACAATTTCCAATAATGTATTCGTCTTGTATCTTTGAAATGAAGTGCAATTCTGAAAATATTTTTTGATTAACAGTACCTGCATATAAATTTGCGGTGAGGTCCAAAACCTTCATGTGGGTTTGGATATCGTAGATGTGAGTAGAACTTGCGAACATATTGACGCACATCTTCAGTAGATCAGGTAACGTTTCTTTGGTAATGTCTTCAGTTTTTTTGAAATCTTTGGTACACCAGGCGTGTCTGTACACTGTACATGGATACGTCTTCGAGAGGTAAGACAATGTTTCTAAGCTGCCGCTCTGGGAAAGGAAAGTAATTCAAAAAGTAATTTAATGACATGATTAGTTGATTAGTTATTATTATTAGAAGTATTAGAAGAAAATGATATTAAAGGGAATTTCATCCATTCAAAAGATCATTATATAGGGTCCAATGGGAAAGTTCACTTTTTGACTTAAGAAAAAAAATACAAACTTAATGAAAAGAAAATATTTATTACTATAAACATATTCGTAAATTCGTCGGGCTTTATTTCTTAAATATCATTCTGTCCAAATTCTGAAACACTATCTTGCAGAGTTCCGGAGTGATGTTTATTTCTCGTCGAATGTTGTCTTTGAGCTCCTCCAGTGTTCCTGGATTATTGGAACACACTTTTGACTTTATATAACCCCACAAAAAATAATCGCATGGCGTGAGGTCGGGTGACCTAAGAGGCCAGTAAATGTCTCCAAACTTCGATATAACTCTTTGAGGAAAAAGTGCTTTCGCCGTGTCCATCGATTCTCTGGAAGTATGGGCAGTGGCCCCATCCTGTTGAAACCACGTGTTTCTGTTAAATCGACGTTCAGTTCTTACAATAAGAGCACAAAAGTGTCAATTATGTATCGCTCGGAATTGACAAACCGTCACCTTTGGACTATGTAGCTGTTGTTGATGTTTCTCTTTTTCCGTAATACGTAATCACTTTCCTTTAAAGCATGAATTGATTGGATTTTATAAGGATGAAAACCCATTTTTTTCTTCATTATGCCATGCAGTGTTGACCTAGGGTGTTCCCAAAGCAGCGGAATGCTTAAGTACAGAACGCCGATGATTTGAAATGACCGAATCACTTATTCGACGCACATATTCTTCGGTTGATACAGTCGGTGTGGGGCCAGGAATGGGTCGACTTAGAGCCTGTTCCACGGAACCTCTTAATCCACTTTTTCAATAGGTTCTTACTTGAGGCATCTCTTAGTCGGCGAATGTCGTATCTTAAAGTAAGCCTCGATAGCAAAAGCACGTTGCGCTCCGGTCCAACGTTCCATCGCGACTATTTAACCCGCACGCCGAATCAAGACCCCTCCCCACTCGCGTATAAGGTTGCCGCGAAATTCAAATTTGAAATGTGAACTTTCCCACTAGACACCTTGTAACATTTACTTACGATGAGGTGTTTTGACGTCGATGTCAAAACAAAGTTACACAATTTCACGAGTATTTTTGACAGCGAGAATTCAATTCTTCTGCAAGGCTTTTGCAACATTTCATTGAACGGAAAAGGCATTTGTCTTATGAAGTTCTTCCGATTTACGCTTGTATCTGAACCGGATTCTTTCAAACATTCGAATAAATTTTCCGTTTGTAACACAGCCTTTGTGGTGACAGCATCTTCTCTCACCCTGTATTCGGCAAAATATAATTGCGGTATTATCCTGAAAATAAAGAAATATTTGTTTACATATTGAAAAACATGAGTAACAAAAAACTATTCTGGTACTTAATACACAATTTGAACCATTTTCACATATCGTAAAACGATTTCAATGGAGGAATCAATCAATTTTTTATAATTCCAGATTGTGAACTTACTTTACAATCGCGTTTCCTGCGGCCGTTCTGACGCGCTGATCTGAATCATCCAAGAGCTCAAACAGTACATTGTATATAATTTTTTGCTGAAAGTCGCTGCTATTCGTCACAAATTGTACCGAGATATAATCTATTTTCGACACCAATTCACATAGCTCCACCTAAAATAAAAATTTAAATTTCGAAATCTAAAAACAAGAACACAGAAATTTGGTATACCTTAACCAGCCAGTAGGGATTCTTTGCCAGAAGAGGTAAGTGCTCGAGGACCGGTAACATCGCAGAACTATTTTTTGACGCCAAAAGATGACCTAAACTGATTTCTAAACTTATCAGGGTCTGTCGAATGCAGGTGGAAGACTCATCAGTTAAACCCTAAAACAGAAATTTAGTAAGTAATAACCATGCGGTAACCGAAAAAAAAAATACGAATGTAAAAAAACATCGTTTTTTTAGGTGCTTTTCAAAATCTACTCCCACAAAAAAAGTAAATCTACTAAGTGACATATAAATCCGAACACCCAGTTTAAATGGTTTTATTTTAATAAAAGTTGCTGAATGTATTTATCATACTGTAAATAACAAGTGAAAAAATTTTCAGCCTTATCAGTTGGACATTCCGGTTTATATACTGATTTTTTTTAATTCACTAACGCTCTAAAAATGAATATTTCAGCCGCAGTAAAGAATCAACGTTGGCGGATTTTGGTTCTTGACATCCTTTACGATCGGTTACGATGCCTAGAGTACGGAGACCTGTACGATTTCGTCAACTTAGTGAGTTTGATAGGGGCCGTATAGTGGGACTTCGGGAAGCTGGACTTTCTTTTCGGGCAATTGCAGTTAGAGTGCAAAGAAGTGTAGACACTGTGGTTAGGTGTTGTCAGGCATGGCTTCGAGAAGGCCGTACGCAAAGAGCAAGGGGCACTGGACGCCGCCGTAGAACAACAGACCGTGAAGATCGCCGCCTATGATGACCGTTTCTCCACTACCAGGTCCATTGCAAATGAATGGTTTGCAGAACACGGAAGACCTATTGGCATGCGAAGTGTTTACCGACGAATGAGAAGTTTTGGCTTGTTTTCATACCGGCCACACTGGGTCCTAACTTTAACTCGAGAACACCGACGTAATCGCCTTGAGTGGTGCAGACAACGGTCACTCTGGGATCAGGAATGGAACAGTATTGTCTTTAGTGACGAGTCTCGATTTTGTTTAGGCATGCACGATGGTCGTGCCAGAGTTAGAAGGCGACGTGGTGAAAGGAGGAATCCACAGTTTTTTGTTGAAAGACATGTTCATCACACTGTTGGAGTTATGGTTTGGGGTGCTATAGCTTATGGTTCCAGGTCACCTTTAATCTTCATCAGAGGTAACATGAACGCGCAGTGTTATATCCACGAAGTTCTAGAACCCCATCTTTTACCCTATCTTGACATCCTGGCAGATCCAACTTTCCAACAAGATAATGCCCGACCACATGTTGCAAGAGTCACAATAGACTTCTTTCAACATAATGATGTCACATTGTTACCATGGCCACCAAGATCTCCCGACTTATCCCCAATTGAGCACGTGTGGGATATGATGGGTAGGAGATTGCTCAATTTGCAACGCCCTCCTCAGACTTTAGAAGCACTTCGAGATGAGTTGGTGGTTGTCTGGAATGAGATACCACAGGAGGACATTGACCACCTGATTAGAAGCATGCCTAGGCGCGTTGGAGAATGCGTAGCACATCAGGGTGCATCCACACATTATTAAAGGTCAAAGGGCTTTAAAGCAGTGCAATCATTTTGAAATTTTTATCATTTACTTATTATGCTTCATTAAGTACTTATACAAAATTTTATTAAAATAAAACCATTTAAACTGGGTGTTCGGATTTATATGTCACTTAGTATAACTAATATAAGTCAAAATTATTTGGTAACCAAGGTAAAGTGAGATGATAGAAGAGCACAGATGGGGAATGATGTATGTCACGTGATGTTTTCTGTATTGACTTTCTCGTGGACGGACATTCTCTTGAACGGACGCGGACACGAGAAAATGTTCTAACCGGACAAAAAACAAAATAGAAACAAACGCCTTGTCTTATTTTTTTTTCGCTATTGCATTTCTAACCGCGCGCAATCTTCGCTGGGACTTTCTCGAATAGGTCGACCTTAATCTTTCGGTACAAACGCAGCCTGTGTGGTGCATTTCTGCCCAGCGTGAAGGGATTATAAAGAGTTTTAAAACTGGTTACAGAAGTTTAATACTCAAACAGTAAACCTTGCAGTTTAATTGACAAAAACCGCTTGGGACCAAAGAAACACAGCAGAGCAGGATTTAAGCATGAAAATATACAAAGTGAAGACCAGTTAAATGAGGCTGATACACCTGACCCAGAAGATAACTTACCACTTGATGTACTTTCAGATATCATCAAAAATAAGAATTTATTCAAATTGATTGATAAGGATTTATGATTTTTTGAATAGAGTTGAAAGTTTGTATGTTGAAGATCCAGACTCTGGCCATGAAATTGAAAATCCAGTTGAAATACAAGAACTTTCCAAAGATGCTGAGGTCGATGAGATTCCAGTACCAACAGAAGCTATTCCAAATTATGGTAAAGCTACTACCCTGACCAAGCAGCTGGAAAATTTTGTCGAAAATCAGGGAGATACAGAGTCTTTTCGTCCTTAAAGTGACTTTTTATTTCATTGTTTTGTTCTACTACGTATATATTATATATATACAGTAATGGACAAAAGTATATAGACAAATTAATATTGTGCTGTATTTCTTTTTTAACTTGTTTTATTAATACACCAACCTGTATCCATAATTCCTTATAGCATAATACTCACTAATACATAAATAAATTCATTAGACTCCCTTCAATAGAAAATTAATTGAAAAAAACTGGAAGTATGAAGGACAAAAATATATAGACAAAGCAAAACAATTATAGAAAAAAGAAGCAAAGTTCATTGAATTATAGACAACCAACCATGTTTGTGTTAATATTTTGTAACATAACCATTTTTTTTTATTTACATAAGCTGCATCAGCTAATTAGCTATTAGCAGCGGATTTAATGTGTACATAAATCAAATTTTATGTATTAAATTACAATGGCTCAAGAGCAACATTAGATTTCGGACATTGCAGGTGGCTCCAATTATGTCTTTTAGAGTTTTATCACAGAGATTAAACTGATGTCTTTGTTGTTCGAACATTGGGCACTCCACTAGAATGTGTTTTCCCGATAAAACGCTTTCGCACATAAAACACATTGGTTCAGGGTCACGGGTGATGAGGTAGCTGTGGGTGATTCTTGTGTGGCCCAGTCGGAGGCGGGTTATTATCACTTGCAGTCTCCTTTTTCCTGTGACTGTTTGCAATTCATTGAGCTTGGGTTTCACTTCTTGTAGTTTGGAAGGGTTGTTCTTCCACACACTATTCCACTGGTCTATTGTTTTGCCTTTTACATATACCTTCATATCTGATGCTGGAACTGGGAGGTTGCAGATGCCGTTGTTCGTTGCCGCTCTTTTAGCGTTTGTATCTGCTGTTTCATTCCCTGCTATTCCTTTGTGCGATGGAGCCCACATAAGTACAATAATCTGGTTGTTGTTGGTGAGTTGAGTAATTGTTTCTTGTATTATCTTGGCTATCGGATTTTTTGTATATAACTTATTGATGGAGTATATTGAGCTAAGTGAGTCTGTAATGATTATCCATTTTTGGTCAACGGTGCTTTCTATATATTTTAATGCTTCCAGAATCGCGTAAAGCTCTCCTGTCAGAGTAGTGGCTGAGTCCGGAATCTTCAAGGTCTGTAGCATAACCATTATTATCAATCACCGCCTGGTATCGCCTCGGCATAGATTGTAGAAGTTTCTTGATATAAGATTCATCAATCTGTCTCCACTTTTGCTCTAAAGCGGCAAAAAAGTTAATCCATGAGTGAATCATTTTTATCTCATATTTGCTTATCTAAGTATTCCCAAAGATTTTCAATCGGGTTTATATCGGGAGACTGTGAAGGCCATTTCTGAACTGGTATTTTTTCATCCAGAAAGAATTTCTTTGGGAGATTTGAAGTGTGCTTCGGGTCATTAACTTGCTGGAAAATTGATTGTCTTCCATATAGGGTAACGTGACATGCTTTAGTATGTCTGTGTATACAAACTTAACCATAATGCCATCTATTCTATGTAAAGGTCCCATCACAAACCCCGAAAAGCACCCCCAAACCATAACAGACCCGCCTCCATGTTTGACAGTGGGCAAAGTGTACTTGGGGTTCAATCTTTGTCCACTAGGATGTCTAACGTAATGAACACCATCTGATCCAAACATATTGAACTTGGATTCGTCACTGAAACGTACCCTCTTCCAGTCACAGATGCTCCAATCAAGATTTAACCGTGCAAATTGTAATCGGTCCTTACGGTTTTTCCTCGAGATCAGCGGCTTCTTCCTCCGGCGACTTGCAAATAACTTCAAATCATTTAATCTTCTACATATAGTTTTCGTAGAAACACTGACAATTCGTTTTGTCTCGATTTCGGCTTTTATTTGTCTTGGGGTTTTAAACGGGTCTTTGGACGAAATTACTTTTATTAATCTAACTGGTCTAGCATTTAGCTTTCTAGGCCGACCACTTCTCTTAGAGGCTTCCAAGATACCTTTTTGTTTAATATTTGTTCAATATTGCCCAAACTGCTTCAGACTCAAATTTTTGGCAATGTCGACTTGACGATAACCATCTTTGTATAACTCAATGATCTTTGTTTTCACATCGATAGAAATTTCTGGACCACGCGGCATGGTCTCAAAATCACTCAACTTATTCCACAATACTTGATGAACACAAACTAATCCTCTTCTGACACGAAACTGTACTAAACTAAAGAATTTGTCTACATATTTTTGTCCCTCATAAAAAAGTGCTTATATACAGACTTGTATTGTGTTCATTGCAGATAATGTAAAAACAAGGAAGTTAGTTTTTCTACTAATAACGCATTTGTTTATGGAGCAATGAAGTATGAATTCATTTTCTAAAGGTATTTAGGTAAATATTCATATTTGTCTATATACTTTTGTCCATTACTGTATGTAAATATTTCAAGAAACGGGGAACATAGCTCTTATTGGGTATTATCGTCAAGCCCATATAGAGGACCAATGCCACAAAAAAGGGGGGCGGCACGGCGGTGCATGCAGCATCAAGGCCTTGTAATGTGCTCAGCGTTCAAGAGTCCGCAAGATTATTACGTAAAAAACATATATAGTGTCAAAAAAAACGAAAAAAAGTCAACTCTCTAGCTAGATAGTTCCTAGTGTGCACATAGTTCATTCCGCGTTTACTCGCTTTGACCGCTGTGAGCGTCACCAAAAGCGCCATCTACGGACGAATCGCTCAACGACACGACAAGCTCAAAGGTTATACTGCAAGTCAGCTCCCCAGCATGCTTTGTTGGTTGCAGAATGCCGAGATAATCTAAAGAGGATATATCTGAGATCAGAGAAATTAGAAATGACACAAAACATTTTCGCAGTGCCGCACATCTGCTTGACATAGCAAAACAAATTTCAATGACCAAATAAAAAATCTTATAAACTTTTCACATCATAAACATTACCACACTTACCTCCAAAAATATCTCAGCCAATCTCTGCACCGAAAACGCCTCCCCTCTATCCCCGGCGTTCCTCTCGATCCACCCCTCATACCCGTCTTTACCACCTTGAGTACTCACAGTCCTCGCAAACTCGCCCAGCAACATCCTCACCGCGCCCCTCAACTGCGGATCGCAGTGGCCGCGGAACAAAAGAAGATCGCCGACAGCTTGACAGGTCTTCCTGCTCTCTGATTGGCCGCCGCTCTTGTCCAACGCGACGAACATGCCTGTGGGGCAGAGTCGAAAACACGTCGAGAGGCAGGTTAAGGCTAAGTGCTTGACGGATACCCTCACTGTTTTGTCCGGGATGTAATTGCCGGGGGTGCCTGTCAGCAGGAACTGTTTGCAGATCAGACGGATAAGGTGGAGAAGCGGGTGGTTGTCGTATATGCTGCCTACATCGATTTCCTGAGAATAAAAATTATAACGTACTCAGTGACAGAAGTGTTACATCCAGAAAAAAATAATTTCTTCAACTTGATTTTTTATATCGCCTCCCAATGTTGCCGTTTTCTGCTCCAGTTCAAACGTTGACGACAGTGGTCCGCAGTCAGATGTAGCACTAACCGTGCTAGTTTAGCATAAGTCGGTTCCTCTGTAACTATTTTTGCATTATTATTATTATTATATAACAACAACTTTGAGTTGAGTACAAGTACTATAAACTCAGACACATAATAGATAATAATGTACAGACAAAAGAAATATAACAATTTGACAATCTTAGCACTTCTGAAGTAGACATATACAGAATGGGAACAATATGTTAAGCACTGCGGTGTCTATCATAATTGTTTTTGAAACTGTTGACGGATGCCGAATTCACTTCATAAGATGGAAGACTGTTCCATGCATCGAAGACACGGTTTGAGATAAAGCGCTGACGAGTAGAGGTTCTAAAAGCTTCCTTCTGCAATTTGAAGTTATGACCTCTGAGACGAAACAGATGCGACATGTCCACACCAAACAAATTATGCAGTGCTCTGAAAGTGATGATGAGATCTCCTCGCATTCTTCTATCAGCAAAAGCAGGCAGGTTATATAACTCGAGGCGGTCTCCATAACTTGGCCTACGTGTGCCATAAGGCATACGTGTGTAGCACGACGCTGAACGGCCTCTAATAAGCTGCTATCGCGGACAAGGTTTGAATCCCATACCGGAGCAGCAAACTCCAGTAGGGGTCGTACGAAAGTTGTGTACAAGAAGGAGGAGGTACTAACGGTGCAACCGCTAAATGATCTTTCCATCATATACAGGGTGTTTCAGTTTATTGTTGCATAACTTTAAGATTCGATAGAACTTTTGAAATTAATGCATAAAGTCTATATAAACATGGGTCGAAAAATGTGTGGCTTCCGAAACACAGGGTGTTTAAATTTACTTTCTAAAATAGTTTTTTTTAAATATTTCGAACAATATTTGATGTATAACAGTGAAAATTGGTATAGAAGGGTTTTTTGGTACGACAAAACGAACCATGGGCATAGTTTTACTGTAGCCGCTAGAGGGCGCTCTCTACTGTACCTGTAGTGTATTAAAATGACCGAAAATTTTTCTTAGTGCAATTTTTTGCTTTTTGAATAGAAATACTGATTCTTCGCACTTTTCAACATAAAAAAGCTCTCTTGTGAATTTTCGTTATAGTTAGCCGTTTTTGAGATATTTCGATATTTAAGGTTCGATGCATTTTTAATTATTTATGATAAAATAATAATAATAATAATAAATGCCTTTATTTCCAAACAGTTTTCAAAAAAAAAAAATCAGAAAGAGAAACATGAGTATTAACCAAAAGAAAAAGGAAAATATAAAAAAAAATAAATAAAACAAATGTCGACTGTCTGAAAACCACAAGGGGGAGTTCACTATCTAGTGCTCTTCCACTCATCCCTTGGAATTGTAAGAAACATTATGCCAGTAAATACATCCATCAACCATATAAAAACATCAATATGAACAGCATGTAAGTTTTAAAAAAAAAATAAGATAGAAAAGTGAGACATGTGGTAATAGATTTAAAAAAAAAAGAAAGTCTAGAATAATATATAAATATATATATATATCATATATACATATATATATATATACATATATACCCATACATACCGCATAAACAAACGCCAATATGAGCGACAATTAAGTTTGAAAAAAAAGAGCAAAGAGAAAACGTGGTGGTAAATGTAAAAGTCTAGAATGATATACAAATACATATACGTACATTTATGCATCATATGAAAAAAAAAATATAAATAAAATAATGGAATGCAAACAAAATAAAATTGAAATTCCGCAGTAAGAATAATTCTACTTTATACATTCAAGGTAAGAATCACGCAAAACCGCTTTGAACTTGTGAATTTCATATGATTTGAGGTACTGGGGGATAGGATTGTATAGCTTATATATATTATACGTAAATGATCTTTCATAAAATTTAGTTCTGTGGAATGGAGCGGTAATGTTTTGTTTCGAACGAATATTTACGGAATGGATGTCTTTTCTGAATGTTATTTTCTCGTAGAGGTAATGCGGCTGCCTGAGAGTTAAAATTTTATGATAAAAGCATATTGTGAATATCTCAAAACGAGCCTTCATATTTAGCCACCGGAGTTCTTTCAGCTTATGACTAACTCTTTCAAATTTTCTTATGCCATATATAAAACGTATGCATGAGTTCTGTGTTCTCTGTATTCGCATGAATGTATCACAATCTAAACATACAGAATAAATTGGAACACAGTACGAAAACTGTGATAAAACCAAGGTTTCGCAAAGAATTCTTTTGATGTCTAAATTGAGAAAATTTCGGTGAGGATATAATAATTTTAGAGCCAGATAAGATTTTTTGATACAGTTTGATATGTGCTCACGAAACCTCAGATTATAATCCATTGTTAAGCCTAAGTTTTTAACTTTATCACAGTATTTTAATCTAATATTATTTATGGTTATATTTAAATTCTCAATCACATAAGAATGGTCTTTACCAAAGATCACAGCAGCTGATTTATTTGGATTTAATATTAATGAATGCTCTTGCAATCTTTTAGAGAGGTTAGTCAAGTCACTGTTTATTTTCAACTCGGCAGCTGGCCAATCTGAACTAGGAAAAGAATAGTACAGCTGGGTATCAATAACGTTAAAAAGTCAGTATCTCGATAATTTTTAGAAGTAGGCTGTGCCTGCAAATATTTTTGAAATTGAAAGCAGAATAAGGTTAAACGTCAATTAGTTTTGTTGTCGGTTGAAACCTGAAACGTTTTTTTGCAATTGTGAATGCACGAAATTTAGTTTCTTTTACCTGTTTTTTTTTGTAAGTTTTATAAAAATACCATTTTTATTCTCCAATCAAGAGTTAGCGGATATTCATTTTGTGTATGGCTTTGTAAATGGAAACGCAGCAGAAGCAGCCAGAGAATACGCACGAAGATTTCCAAACAGACGACATCCAACTCGCTCAGTATTTGTAAGAGTGCATCGCCAAATAATTGAAAATGGTTTTGGAAATCTCCAAAGCGATCAAAACATAAATGTTCGTCAGCGCAGATTTACCCGTATGATTCTGCGTGAGTTTGATAGAGATCCGACCACAAGTGTTAGGAGAGTTTCTGGTGCCTTGGGAATTTCAGCAAGCCATGTTCACCGTGTTCTTAGAAATGACCATAGACGTCCTTACCATTTGCAACCTGTGCAAGGACTACAGCCAGGGGACGGAGAACGAAGAATCACATTTTGTCAGTGGATTCCAGCTTGATGGTTGTCCAGCTCATTATTCGAGAATAGTTAGAAACTGGCTGGACGAAAATTATCCAGAAAGATGGATCGGCCGTAGAGGACCAGTCGCCTGGCCTCCACGATCCCCTGACCTAAATCCATTAGATTTCTTTGTGTGGGGATTTCTAAAAGAAAAAGTGTACCAGACTCCCGTAACCAAAAGAGATATGCTAATAGACAGAATCAGGAATGCATGTGATAAAATAAGGCCTTATTTGAATAATGCTATACCACGTTCGATCATTCGTAGATGTGAATTGTGTATTGAACAATTGGGTTTACATTTCGAGCAACTACTTTAGATTTTGTATGTTTGTCCTAACTATCCAATAGCATTTTAGTTGTAAATAATTAATTTAATTTGTTAAAAATAATATTGGAAAATTAAACAAATTAATATTCTGTTTTTTGTGTTTATTTGGAGTTAGGAATTATTGCTGTGTTTAAAAACACAATCTAAACGATCATCTTAATTACTTGTAATGCCCAAATCGAAAATGTAAAAAAAATATTTTCCCATAAATAATTAAAAATGCATCGAACCTTAAAAATCGAAATATCTCAAAAATGGCTAAAACTATAACGAAAACTCAGAAAAGAGCTTTTTTATTTTGAAAAGTGCGAAGAATCATTTTTTTATTCAAAAAGGAAAAAATTGCACTAAGAAAAAATTTTCGGTACAGTAGAGAGCGACCTCTAGCGGCTACAGTAAAACTATGCTCATGGTTCGTTTTGTCGTACCAAAAAACCCTTATATACCAATTTTCACTGTTATACATCAAATATTGTTCGAAATATTCAAAAAAAACTATTTTAGAAAGTAAATTTCGGAAGCCACGCATTTTTCGACCCATGTTTATATAGACTTTATGCATTAATTTTAAGAGTTCTATCGAATCTTAAAGTTATGCAACAATAAACTGGAACACCCTGTATAGCAACCGCTTTGCCTTAGAGGTTATGTTCTGAATGTGCGCCGCCCAGGTGAGCCGGTCAGACCAAGATCTGCGTGAAGAAAAACAGTCTCTAAGGTATGTTTGCCAATCTTATTTGTTAAGTTAGGATTATTCTTTCCCAGGTGGAGAACGTAGCATTTCGAGAGATTCAAAGGCAGGAGCCAAAGTTCTGACCACTTTCTGATCAGCTTGATGTCTTCTTGAAGCACAGATGCGTTCACGGCAGTGTTATAGACTTTAGTATCATCTGCATAGATGGAACACATAGAAGAAAGTCGGGTGGGAAGGTCGCTTGTATAAAAAAGAAAAAGTATTGGCCCTAGCACAGATCCTTGTGGAACTCCACTAGTAACACGATGGCTAGAACAATAGGCGTCTCCACCACGGACAGCTTCAATCCATAGCAACAAATTTCCCCTGATTCCGAGATGTTCAAGCTCTGGAAAAATCCAGATAAACCACGTGGACCGGTTCATTTGCGTCTAAAGATCTGGTCCAATTGTCGATGCATTGTAACATGTTGGCGATAATTGATCTACCAGGAATAAAACCATGTTGGTTGCTAGGCAGCAGGTTGTTCTTGAACGCAAATGTCATAAGTTGTTCATGGACGATCTTTTCGGCTATTTTCGCAGCTATAGGCACAAGACTGATAGGAACCATCAGGTTCATTCACAAAATCTTCACTGAAAGCATCGGCAAGAAGATTGGCAGATTTTTCGGCATCAGTATGGATCTCAAGTATCTAAACAGCTTCTTATCTTTCGATGATACAAGATTTTGCTCATAATTGCGCTTGGCGTTTTTCAAGTTCTTGGAAAGGATGTTAGAGAAAGATCGATGATATACATAATCCTGTTGAAGTCTACTTCTATGGAATCGTTGCCATAACGCTTTTTTATGCCTCAACATCCTTGAGAGGTTATGGTTGATCCAAGGCTTTCTCGGGTGACTGAATATCTTCTTTGTGGTCGTATGCTTAGTGACTTCCAGTTGGATTCGACGACAGAATATATCCCACATATCTTCAGTGCTACGTTGTGCAAGCAGGTTGGACCAGTTTATTTCAGACAATGCTCGATTGAAAGCACTGTTATTAATGTGTTATCTGCAAACATGGTGACGCGCAAATAGTTAACGTATAATAGGAAGAGCAGTGGTCTTGATACTGAGCCGTGCGGAACACTTAGCTCTACAAGAAATTCATTTTGTCTTTAATAAGAGCGGTTGACGCGAGACGGACCATTTCTGAACTTATAGTGGACCCATACGTTCATAAGAAAATTGCGGGTTCCCATTTCCTTTCATGTTTAAATCATAGTATGTTTTAAGCAAAGCTGAAATGTTCTGAGGTAGTGGTAGAAAAAAAGATCGTATTAGACAATATTTTACTGAAAAATCGAATAAACCAGACGAAAAAAAGGGGGAAGCAGAGCTTCCTTTTTTTGAATTTCCCGATAGGTTATTTCAGCTATATAGTCGCCAGTTTTTCTACACATAGAGAAGAAAAAAGGAAATTCTACGATAAACAAATAGATAATAACAAGTGCGGCAGTGTAAAGATGTGGAAGACTTTAAAAAGACTGATCAATTCGAAGCCGCATGATTGTGTAAATCAAGTTCAATTCGAAAACGGTACCGAAACAAATTCTTTGGTGATTGCAAAGAAACTAAATGAATATTTTGTGGAAAGTATTGTTGATATTGTAGGTACTGCCAATGCTGCACCTGACTATATGAAAATCAGTTTCCAGGGGGAAATGTTGCATACACTTTCAAAATTTCACAGCGTATCATTGAATTATCTAAGAAAAAAGTAAACAGTTTAAAATCAAATAACAACTGTGCCGAAATGACTACTAAAAACGTGCTGAAAAACTGTTTCGAAATTTTGGGATATCCTGTATTAAATTGGATCAATTGTTCACTGAGAAGCAGTTCTTTCCCTGAAAATTTGAAATGCTCTACAATAACACCAGTTCCCAAAATAAAAAATTCTAAAAGATGCAGCGATATGAGACCAGTAAATGTGTTACCAGACATTGAAAATATATTAGAGTCCATAGTGCATGACCAATTAATGCAGTTTATAGAAGAAAACAAAATTTTAGTGGAGGCGCAAGCAGGCTTTCGAAAAAAATATTCCACAGAAACAGCTTTCCAGTTGGTAACTGAGAATTGGAGAAGAGCCATAGACTCAGAAGAAGTTGTCATAGCAGTATTTTTGGATTTGAAGAGGGCATTTGAAACGATCGATAGAGATATTTTGTTAGGTAAATTGAAGGCATATGGTATAACAGGAAGTGTTTTAGATTGGTTTAGAAATTATTTGTCTAAAAGGATGCAAGTCACAAAAGTTAATGACACTATTTCATCAAAAATTGAAAATACGTTGGGTGTTCCACAGGGCAGTATCCTGAGGCCGCTTCTTTTTATTTTATACATAAATGATTTACCTGCCATAGTCAAAAAATGCAAAATTCAGATTTTCGCCGATGACACTATGATTTATATAAGTACTAAAAATATTCAGTCTGGTATCTCTTATATAAATGAAGACTTGAAGCTTGTCTCAAAATGGTTAGCATCTAACAGACTAAAATTAAATGCAAGTAAAACGAAAGCCTTGTTAATCGAAAAAAAAAACGATGTACAAATATTCAACTGAATATTGATGGTGAAGATATTGAATTCGTACAAAAATTTAAATACTTGGGGGTTTTTGTTGACTCTCGATTAATTTTTGATATTCATTATGAAAAAGTTATAAATAAGATTAGTAGTAAAGTGGGATATTTATCGAGAGTTTCTGGATGTCTGAGTTCATATAGCAGAAAAATTATCTATAATACCATCATTCTTCCAAATTTCTTGTACTGTTCGACTATTCTATATTTAGCAAATAATTCCATTTTTGAAAGACTGCAAAATAAGTGCATGAGAATAATACTAAATAAAGATAAATATACTCCAATTAGGCAAATGCTTAGCAAATTAAAATAGCTCAATGTAAAAAATTTTATCAAATATCTTGTAATGATATTCATGTATAAAGTAAAAAATAATATATTTCCATCAAGTCTAACTAATTTAACATCATCAAATATCGACCATCATTTACTTAATACCAGAAATAAAGATGACTTCCATTTAATGACCAAAAAGTATAACATATGCTACAAATCTGTATTCCATCAAGGGTTTGATTGAATATAATAAATTATACTCGGAGATAAAAGACCAGAAAACTTTGACAAAATTTAAAATAAAATTGAGAAATCACTTGTTAAATCTACAATTATAGGTTGCCCAGCATTTACATCATACACCATATGGCTAAGTTGTTTACAATTGTTCTGTTTATGTAGCCAAACGAGCTAAATAAATCTTTCTACTACTACTACAGGGTGCGCCAGAGAAACTTACTTATTTGAAAGGTCAATAAAAACAAAATTACTTCAATTATTGTTTTATTTTTTTTTATTCGAGAATACAATATCCCAATTTTTTTTTCATGTAGTCTTGAAAATGACATCGGATAAATGGCGACCTCCATTGCGCATACACTGATGAAGTCGATTTTTGAAATTCGTATCCACTCTTTGCAGCATATCAATCGGTATGTTGGCAATGGCGTCGCGAATGTTGTTCTTGAGGTGTGCTATGGTCCGTGGTCGATCGACATAAACCAGAGATTTCAAATAACCCCATAAAAAGAAATCGCAGGGAGTCAAATCTGGAGATCGTGCCGGCCATTGGAGATCGCCTCTGAGAGAGATGAGGCGGTCGGGGAAATGTTGTCGCAACAAATTCATCAAGTCTCGTGCGGTGTGTGCTGTGGCTCCATCTTGCTGAAACCACACGTTCCTAACGTTCATTTCTTCGAGTCTCGGAAGAAAAAATTCCTCGATCATGTTCCTGTAACGAGCTCCATTCACGGTAACTGCGCGTCCGTTTTCTTCAAAAAAATAAGGACCAATTATTCCCATTACCGACATCGCACACCAGACTGTAACTCGCTCACAGTTAAGTGGCTTCTGGTGAAGCTCACGTGGATTCACACCAGACCAATAACGCATGTTTTGCTTGTTGACGCAGCCGGAAATGTGGAAGTGAGCCTCGTCACTGAAAAAAACGACCGCGTCTTCAGGCAGGTTGTCAACCAGCATTTCACATGCATTTTGACGGGCAACAAAATCGCTTTCAGTTAATTCTTGAACAACAGCCAATTTATAGGGATGAAAATGGAGGTCTTCATGGAGAATTCGTCGAACAGTAGTGTCAGAAATTCCCATAGCAGCTGCGTGTTTGCGAGCCGAACGCCGGGGAGAACGCACAACTGACTGCCTCACTCTTTCGACATTTTCCGGAGTTCTGATGGTCCGTTGAAGTCCATTTCTGGGTTTAGCGACACTTCCACACTCCCGAAATGAGTCAACCCACGACAGAATCGAATTACGGCCAGGAACGAGTCTGTGAGGAGGAATTTCAAAGCGAGCGCGGAAGGCACGTTGCGTAGCAACAACTGAGCGACCGTTAGAAAAGAAGCTCTCGACTGCGAAGGCCCGCTGTTCTCTAGACCAGAGCATGATGGCAACTGACTGGAGCGAGAAATAAACTTGGGAACTTCCCCCTCCAGATGCGCCGCCTCTCGCCCCTCTACCCGCCCAGCTCACCGCGCGGGAATTTTTTCAAATAAGTAAGTTTCTCTGGCGCACCCTGTACTACATATTTCAGACGTGGAATCCATTTTTTCACTTCCGCCTTGGAATGGGATTAAAAAAATGGCGGATGATTCTGTATTTAACAAACATTATTTTTTACCTGTGCTTCATCTTCAGATACAGCTTTCTCTTCCGAACAACTCTTTTCAGACGAGTTTTCGCTGATAGTCAACGCTTCTAGCTCTTCTCCCACACTATGCGTCTTTAATTTGCTGACAAACTTTTCGCCGCCCAATTCGTTCATTTTCTGATAACCATAACCGTGACAATCGTCCTCCGGTAGAAAATTATCTATTTTCTCTAAGGATTGAGATTTGCTGATGGTCTTTGCAAAATTTATGTTCATCACAGACAGTTTGGATTCGTCTATCCATTTTTCAATGTCAGTATGGATGGTTTCGGTTAATTCCGATTCTGAGAAGACACTTTCATCGCCCATTGTTGTATTTGTAGTTATACTCAGTTGACCTGAAAAAAGTTTGTTAAACATACAAAAAGTTCCTATATACGAGAGGGATGTCTCAACCGAGAACATTTTCGCGCCATAATTTATTACAACTTTCAGAAACAATTATCGCAACAAGAATGCCTTGCTGAGTTACTGTCTGTTTTCGGCAACGAAGCGCCACATCAGTCGACAATTTCCCGTTGGTATGGAGAATTCAAACGTGGACGGGTGAGTCTTAGCGACGATCCCAGGGTGGGTGCACCAAAATTGGCAGTCACCCAGGAAAACGTCGATGCTGTGCGCAAACTCATCATTGAAGATAGACCGTGTGACATATCAAAAGATTGAGGCGTCCTTGAAGATCTCAAAGACCTCAATTCAAAAAATGTTACATGAAGAATTATGAGTAAGAAAATTAGTTTCTCGTTGGATACCTCACATGTAGACTGAAGAGCAGAAAGCAGCCGAAAAATCAAAAAATGTGTACAGCATTGTTAGTGGTGATGAATCGTGGATTTACTGTTATGAACCAGATAATAAACGACAGTCGGCTGTTTGGGTGTTCTTCTAATTAATCTTGTGATATGCGAATCTAAGATAGAACTTACTTGGTGATCTATTTCTTATTGCAGAATTGAATATTTTCGACACGCCTAATCCTTTATCACTGAGCAGCTTTTTCTGAACTTCTGAAGTGGAATTTTGAAGCAACACATTCAGCGTCTCAAGACATGCGTTTACAACATTGTGATCCTTGTGTGTAAGATAATGGTCACACAATTCAAATACCTGAAAAGACATAATATGTAGACTGTATATTTCCTATGAAATGAATGAAAAAAAAAATAAAAATAGTTTATAATTTTATACTCACTGACCTGCAAGAGTTTTTGAGTGATCATTTCAGAAGGTATATCCGGGTCATCTCTGGCAAATGATATATGTGGAAGTAAAGATTTCATACAAAGCATAAATCCTAGTATGTTATGGGTAGTTTGAGTTTCATTTACTGGTACCAAGATATCTATAAAAATATATGGGTGAACGTGGTGAAAATTCTGCAAAATCAGAGATGCATACCAAGAAGATAGTTTAAACAGCGTGTTATGAAGAGGGAAGGTTTCTTGCAATTCAAAATAATAGCTAGGATTGAAGTTACTGTGGTCCTTCTTATTACTGGTGAGGTGTTTCCTATGTTTTTGAGAAACGCTTTTAGCAAAACCTGGAAATAATATTAAACCAGAATTTAGACAGCACAGTATACATAAAGTTAAAAACATACCCTAATTTCATTTTCAGATGTGAAACATCCCAAAGCCTTCATTATCTTCAGCAAACTCACAGCCAATGTTTCATGTATGGACTCTTCAGTTCTTTCAGTGATTTTCATGATACTTGGAAATAAATTTGTTACATATATTTTGCCTTTTTGGGGTTTTATCTGATATGCCATTACAGAAAATAACCACAAAGCTGCCCTAAGGGTCTTGGCATTTCCATTTTGCTTGATTTCTTTGTGTAGCTCAATTTGAATCCTCCCTATGTGATCACTCAACGCCTATGAATTAAATAGAATATTTGTACAGCTTATATGCAGGATATTTCTAAGGTTAAATACTTAAACCTTTGTGGTGATATTTTTTTTGTAATCGGTACTTGTGAACATAAAATGACCAAATGCTTATACACTATGTTCCTGGATCAAAGTTTGTTTATTGAAGATCCAGAAATTGAAAATCCAGTTGAAATACAAGAACTGTCTGAAGATTCTGATGCCAATGAGGTTCGAGTACCAACAGATGCTATTCCAAATTATGGTAAAGCTGTTACCATAGCAGCTCAAAAGTTTGGTTGAAAATCAGGGAGATACAGAGACAATTATGCCATTTTTAAGAAAAAGAGGAGACTAACAACACTATATGAATTTTTGTGTGCTTAAAGTCACTTTTTATTTCAGTGTTTTGTATTACTATATATACAGTAGCGGACAAAAGATTGGAAAAAAATATCAACATTATTATGAACTATTTCATATACCTAAATTAAAACTGTGAAGAAACAGATAATATAAATATTAAAGTCTACCAAATTCTCTGAAAATAAAAATACGCGTTTTATTTAAATATCACAGCTTTTGATACAACAAAAGTATGGAAACATTTCAGTTTTGCCGTATTTATTCGTTCTGCGATACTCTGATATAGCGTGCGGTAAATATTAACATCAGTGAGAATGGCAAAAGTAAAAACATTTTCAAAAGATTTAAGAGAAAAAGTAGTTGAATTATTTAGAAGTATTTTTATAGTTCTGGAGCAGGCCCAATTGTTAAAATTGTTCAGAAAATGGATCATAAGCTTTGCAAATGTATTCTTAGTGAACACATGCTCTCTTTTGCTGAAGAAATGCCTTTATTATGGACATTACAGCAAGATAATGACCCCAAGCATATCTCAAAATTCATAAAAAACTGATTAAGACTAAAAAATGTTCTTACACAACCCCCGGACCTAAACCCCATAGAACATCTCTGGGAGCATGTTAAAAGGCAACTGACAAGAAAAGATTTTAAAAATAGGAACAATTTATTTGATTATGAGAAAAATACTTGTCATTTCTTTTATATAGACACGGCTCTTGAATGGACATTTTCAGTTAGTCCCATTGGTGTCCATCCAAATTAAATTTCACTATTTATATATATTTTATAACACTGAGCTAAAAATGGACTATTTTGGCCCTAGCTTTCTTTGATTCTGCTTAAATTTTTTAAATAAAACTGCATGTTTATTCATTCGGCTTATATGGAGAATAAGACATGGAAGTAAAGATTTTCTGTACCCTGATAATTCGGTTCAGGCATTCCTCGCTAGTCATGCGGATATCCGCATCAGGATCATCACACAAGTTCAAAAACGTCTGAATTGTAGAGCCTAGCAGGTTTTGAAAACTGGGCGATATTTTGATTGTAGGGTTTGAGATAGCATCTGTTATCGTGTAGCAGTGTTGTATTTTTTCTTTTTTCCTAAAATAAAAGCTTTTTTAGTATAATCAAAATATGCTGAATGGTCACATTTTTTACTTTATGGTATCAGGCTGCAGGTTTTTAGAGAGGTTTTTCAAAGCATCCAAGGATTTCTGTAGCTTGTCTTGAGTTGCCATAATTACTATTAGAGCTCTAAGCTTACAATAATATTCATGAGTTTCCTAAATACGGCATTTTTTCATCAGCATTTTTTTGTTTTTGTACTTTGATATAGTTTGTTCAGCTGTCACTGCACATATGACCGCATGACAGGTGTCAACATTGTCTAGTGTGTAATATTGATCAACGACCTACGTTTAATTCCCTTTATAGCGACTTGTAATTCCATCACTACAACCTAACAGTCAATGTGTAATTAGGGTTGCCTACAATATAATAATATAACCTTTATCAAATCCACTGTTACATAAAACACATGATATCCCCTTAGAACTAATATGCTGTATCATTCCGTATCATACTCAGGCAGTAAGTTACATATTTTCATGAAATAAAAGTAAAGAAACTTCAAAAAAGATTCAAAAGCAAGTGCTGCTATCTACTAGTCGAAAGCTAAGCCGTTGCCAGCATGGTATTCTTTCATTCTACGGCATCGAGATGGCGCCATCAAAATGTTTGTTTTTTGCTGCTTGTTGAGTGTTAATTAATTGTAAGTTGTTTTAATCAGTAAACCAAAATATAATGATCAAGTAAATTCGAATATCCATCGACAAAAAATCGAAAAATATGTTGAAAAGCTTTTTAAGCAGGTGCTACCATCTACTAGCCAATTACTTAGGCAGACGTTGCTAAGATGATATTATTTCATTCTATGACGTTGAGATGGCGCCACAAATAAATTAGACTTTCTACGCTTATTAATGATTAATGTATCGCAAGTTGCTTGATTAAGACGTAGTGGTGGGATAAAATTCAATATCTACCAACAAATATTCAAGAAATGTATGAAAGCATCTATTAGTTAAGTACACATGTAGATGCTGTCATCATGGTATTGTTTTACTGTCAACCTTGAGATGGCGCCACCTTTGCTTGAACTGCCTGAAATAATAAATCAAAAACTGGTAGTGAGATGCTTCTAAATTTCTTTTAAAAAAATTGAAATGATTTAAGGGAAACACTCAAAATAAGGTGCTGCTATTCTCAAGCAGAAATAAGAAGTATTATTTATGTTACGATAGGAATCTGTAAGACACTTTATCATCCTATTTTACTTACTGAGTGGTAGATGGCGCCCTCATAGAATCTGAGTCATGCATCCAAACGCGGAGCTGAACGAGAGAAAATTTGCTCCCTGCTACCAGGGTATCAGAAACGCAAGGACATATGAATATTTAAGTTACTGTGTGTTGCCTGTATCATTTTTCCTAAAAGTGTGTCAATCTGAGAATCACAGTATCAAAATCAAAGTAGACCCTATAATAGACCCAGTGGTTGCTTTGAAAAGGCATTTTTTGCTTCTCTAGAGCTCTATATAAACAAAATTGAGAATTTCTAAAATATGCTTTCTATTCATCTGTTTTAGATGGTTCTGGGCTTTATAATAATCAACGCAGATATATGGATATATTGTTAGCTGTAAATTTCGTTGAACAGATTAACTGATCTATTGCTCCCAATTTTTTTATGAAAATTATCTGGAGCTTCTGAAACGCCAAAAAAGAGTGGTTTTTATTGTCGTTTTTTTGCCTTTAGCTTCGTCGCCACTGGACCGATATTCAAAAATTACCAAAGCTTTTTGGTCTTTAGCATACCTAGTAGTAATCTTGCCTGATTATTTCATCAAAATCTAAGCAGTACTTTTTAAGTTATAGATGGGCTAAGTATCAGCAGACAGACAGGAGTGACATGGCTTTTCTTGATGTAGACTTCATAAACATACTCATTCTCGATATTTTTGGGATCACTGTCTTCTCGCATTTATGCTATCCTGATACAAAAAGCAGGTTGAAAGGTGTTTCTATCTGGGTTGGAATAAAAAACAAAGAAAAATTCTTTCAAAATTATATTTTATAAATGAAAACGTCGTATAATATATTATTAAGATATGCCAAATTAACGTAAATATAAATAATGTATTGCGAAAACAATCCTTAAAATAATTAGTTGTTTCTTAGCATAATTGAAGCGCATATAAAGCGATTGCACGGCATTGTTAATTAACAAAAAAAAAAAAAATCAGCACCGTGACCAAAATAAAGCAAAAACTTAAATGAAAATAAACATAGTGAGAAGTCACTGTTTCGACTACATTTTGTCATTTTATTTAAGAACACATTTTGGGAGAGCTTTGTTAAATTCTTGAATGAAATAACTTGACGCGCAATAAAAATCGTTGAGAAAACGTGGAGAGTTCGCTTTCATCAGGATTTTCACTAGTCGAAACAATGTTTGATCACAGTAAAATATGACACTATCATAATAGAGGTTCCACTTTCTCTATTTGTAGTTTTCGTAAGTTTCACAACCAACGATAAAAATCTATAAAATAACAGTAAGTATAAAATATATATTAAAACATATCTTTGTCGTCGCATGTTGTGCAGTTTCCCCAATATACAGATAGATACTCTATAGTGTACAATATTCGTCACGTATTGTGATATACAAAAACCTAAACTCTAATATATATAAAGAATATTACAAATTCTTACCATTAAGCTGCCCGTAAAAATAAGTCACAAGTTTATGTACAAAATATCGTCAAGAAATTAAAAAAAATCATTTCGAATAATAACGTAATTGGAATGGATTTTTCAGTGACAGCATCAAAATAACTAGTTTTATATTGTCGAGCAAATAAAAATGAACCTGGTAAAGTTTTGTTTATATAGCCTCTATTTTTTGAACGGTTTAAGAAAGTAATATGAAATTTGGCTTATGCATGAAGAATATATATTAGCGTAAAAGTGTTAGTTGAAAATTTCAACATTTTCTTCATCTGAGTGAAAAAAGTTCCAAGATGGCACCCAGCTATTACGATAAAATTATCAGCTCCCACTTTTATATTAAAATATCGTATGCAAGTAACAATTTCAATAAGGGGCGGCTTTTTTAAAACGCACAGTACAACTGGCTGCTTTAGCGTCTAGAAACAAAATGTAGAAAAGGCTCTTCATTTAGAGATACAAAAAAATGCTGAGTAAAGAAATAAATATTATTAACACTCGCTAAAAAGTAACATAATAAAAGAACTCTAAAATATTTTCAACGGAACGTTTTGTTTAAAAAAGTTGCTTTCTGCGCTGTCACTGATATATACAGATGGGTCAAGTCAAGTGTCAAACGCCTTCCCCAAGTGTATACACGCGTAAAATACAGTGTTGCCACATCCTATTAAATAGGGGGCGGTCCGTCATTGTATCGTAAGGTAGGCATCATACTGTTTGCGATGGAGTTGACTAGCGAACACGAGTAATCATCCTCCGAATAAGGAACCAATGAGGCGGCTCCTAACATGAGCAGCATCAATGCTTGAATTGGCATCGAGGCGCGTACTACTCGACCGAGGAAGCGGCAACTACGCCGGAGTACTGATGTGTTGATTTGACCGTCAGTACCACCACTGGAAAATTGATAAAAAAAACGGGTTAGAATATGGGAGTATTTTAGTATGTTTCAACAACAGTTCAGAACTAAAACTCACGATCGGATGAAAAGTAATTTTTATAATTTGGCATTTTGTTATGCTTAACACTAGTAAATGAAATTGCAATAACTAAAAATATCTGTAACTACTAAGCTCTCAGAAACTGCGTTCTTCACAAAACCTAAGAGATATCATTTTAACAAACGTAAAGAAAAACATGCTTTAAATATAGTCAATATGATGCCAAAAAAAAAAAAAAGTTGAAGAAATTATTTTTTCTAACACTTCTAATGTCACCGACTATATTTTAGGAGTAAGATCAACGGTCAGGAATATAGTAATTTGTGTATGCTATTACTGCACTGATGTAGCTTTCTGTTGGATTTCTGATATGCAGACTTAGCGGTTTTTTAGTATCGTCAATCTATGATACTATTTTTCGTATGTGTATCTATTAGTTTTTCGTCACTTTTATAGTGTTTGTCTGTAACTGGATCTTGTATCTGTTGAGAAATATATGAAGAAAATAAAATAAACCAAAAGTACGCTCATTGGTCGAAGCTGCTTAATTTTTTGAACGTATGTATGCTCCGTAGAATTTTTTTGTCATATATGAATTTATGAACCATAAACGATACATAAAAAATTATATAGTAACTTATTGCATCTCATTTTAAAAAACAGATCGGACTAGATTTTTCATCAAACATCTCGGAAACCTAATGTTACAATAAAGGTTTGTAACAATGAGGGTTTGCACAGTTTGATACAGTTTAAAACCGTTCTGAACTATCATTGGAACATGCTGCTTATTGTAATTGTAAAAGTCAACCAAAGCAAAAACTTGGCATGCAATCACAAGGAAAAATTGAGAACATTTTTATAGGTGATCTTTAAAGGCGCTTAAAAATGCTACACTCATCGAAGCTATCAGGTTTGGAAATGGTTTGAAAATGAAATTTTTCACCGATAGCATTAGTTATTTTTTTCTCAAAATCGGTCACAATTTTCAATGTACCATTTTGAATGTTCGACTAAGGGCCGTATTGCTAGTCGTTCCTATAATTGTAGGATGCCTTTATGGCTTCCTTGATTTTCATAGTCTTCTCTCTCCTTTCGAAAGTTGGGGGATTTTCAGATTTTTACTCTATTCCGGGTCAGCATCAGCGCTCTCCTATTGTAAAGTTATGTTTTTTTTTAATTGTAGGAAATTTCAGGTCAAAAGCATGGACTATTTGATGCGAATAGATATTTGTGACATAACCTCAAAACAGAGCGGTGAGACAGTAGGAAACTATGAAAATCAAGGAGGCCATAAAGGAGTCCTACAACTGAAGGGTACAGGAGAAAAAGGTTGAGTGTCACAAATTTGGTGTTTTGTAGTTAGAACCGGCAACATGTAGTCTTAACGCAGTACAATCCCATCAGGTATCGGAAACTGAAACTGCAAAGAAGGGAAAAAAGATAAATGTCACAGCCGTTGTATAAAAAAAAAAGATGAACGTCCACTGATCGTCACCGAAACTAGTAGCTACTACAGCAATTTACCATACATCAGTCTGCGACGAAAGAAATAAACGTTAAGTAATCATGTTTAACCATACCATTAATTTTCTAATGTTTGTTCTATATTTATTTTGAATAAAGATGTTTTTGGTTCATTGTTTTTTCATTTCTCAATTAAAAAAATACTTATTAAATATTCTGTTTGAGCTATTGAGGTTAGAAAATCACCTTTTTTTTATACCTAAAGTGTATCTAACGAAGCTACAAAGTAATCGTAAACAGTGGTTGATTCGTGATCAACGCGTGATCGGTAGCCATGGCGCTCTGTCGGCCTCTTCCTGATTGGCTTGTAGCGACGAGCCTCCAGACAAAGTCGCACGGTTGCCACGCTCGGCGAGTTTTCGCCAGAGTGGTTGATCACATTCGCATGGATCACAAATCAATCTGTTGGTGCAATACGTGCAATAACTGTTGTAAAGGACATTATATAACAATAAATGGCATCACAAAGGTATATTCCAATTTGATCTGCAGCAAATTATGAACGGCATATACGGAGATGCGAAAACAAGCTCAAAAAGGTAAAGAAAATTTTTGTGCAATCTTTATAGTTAAATTTTTCCTAAGAGATTAGCATCAGTGAGGGAATTTTTTTCTATTGTCTTATTTTTCACATTAATGCGATGTCGAGGTATGTGGCCCTATCGCAATTGAAAATAAGGTTTCGATAATCCTTCCATAAAGTTTCGATGAGTACATCTGAAATAACCTTGAGATATTCTTCAGGGAAATACAAAAATCTCCTTTTGTGTTTTTTTGTGCAGATTTATCTATTAAAATCCTATCCGCAATCTATTTTCCGTGCACACACCTTCAACCGAATGTATGCCATATATGATATTACCGTTTCCAACTTTCACCAAGGTTAATAGGAACCATAACAGCTCCCTACCCTTCCCCCCTATAAGAATATCGATTTGTAGCCTCACATTTCAAGGTTAGACTTCTTGTAATGTTTCTGTTCAACATTCGGCGATTTCTGACAGTTTTCTCAATAAAACATGATCATTGTGACATTAAGCCTGGCAACGCTGCATAGTAGAGGGAACTCTCAGCGTCACGTTGATGGTTCGTCACCACGCACAGGATTGTAATCAGTTACGGATACCCGTTTATGAGCGCGAACGTTTTATGCACGTCTTGACTTGATTTTTCTTGCGGAAATTTAATATTAGTCTAAAATGTCTGACACAAATACAGCTGATGAAGTGGTTGAAATCAGCTTAACGTCACCCAGAAAAAGGGCTAAAAAGCTTCATCTTAGCGCAGGTGAAAAACAAATTATTCTAAATATCTACAACAACCAGATGCAAGAGAATAGTGGATTGGCTATAGAAAATATCGTATGTAAGGTTGCTGAAATTTCTGGAGTAGGTCGATCAAGTGTTTACAAAATCTTGAAGGAATATAGACAAAATCACTCACTATCTGAGCCAAAAACATATCCAGCGAGAAAAAAAATCATCGAAAAAATAGATGACTTTGACAAAAGTGCCATTAGAAGAAAAGTACATCACTTTTTCTTCAGGAATGAAATACCTACAATAGATAAAATATTGAAGCAAGTGAATGATGATGAGAACCTGCCAAATTTTAAAAGATCTACGTTCCATAAGCTGTTGAAAGAACTAGACTTTCGATTTTTGAAAAGAGGAAGGAATAGTTTATTGATAGAAAAGGAGGAAATTGTTATCTGGAGGAGAGAATACCTTAGAAAAATTAGGCAATTCCGCGCTGAAGGAAGAAAAATTTATTATTTAGACGAAACATGGGTGAACGCGGGGCATACGCAGGGAAAGGTTTGGGTAGACAGATCTGTGAGGTCCTCAAGGCAGGCTTTTTTAGATGGCCTTTCGACGGGATTGAAAAATCCTGCAGGTAAGTTTCGAAGTATATGAACTTTTTTGGATGCAGATAATTCATTTTCTGATCGAATCAATGATTTGGAAGCTCCGAACTCAGTTTTGCTATCTCATCTAAGTTTCTGAGTATTTCCTTCACCCAAAAACTAATCTAAGACCCTATCCTACACTAACCTAAAAAGAGTAAGTTGCTTAATTTCGTCATTTAGTGCGCTCGCTGAGAAGTAAAATAACTAATTACTTTCAGGCAAGGGAAAACGTCTGATCATTTGCCACATAGGTAGCGTAATGATAATATAAATTTGTTGTCATTATGTTCTTGACATCGTGATTTTATCATCGACGTACGTCCAGTGATTACTTCAGTATTTAGGGTATGACGTAATAGTCATCTTTCATGATTTTAACTATATGTTCTAGGCCCTGTGTAGTAAATTTCCTGTTAAGGTAGTTCTCATATTAGAACAGATCGTAAAACATAAAGCATTTTACTGGTTAATTAACCCTTAGATCTTACATTTAACAAAAAGTTGAATTCAGGCATGGACGCTAACATTAAGAATGTTTGAAATCATAAAAATCTCAAAATACAAAATTGAATTAAAAAATGTTTGGTCGGGGCTACTCTGTATATCAGAAAATATTTTTTTACTTATGATTTAACTTTTTTTTCAATTTGTTATAATAAGGAATCTATGGTACTGCGTCAAATCTTTGACCCACCCTGTACAACGAGTCTAGGTGTCTTTAAACTTTTAAATTGACTTTTCTCAAAACTTACTTTTTGTGACCTTCTTTTTTTCCTGTACCATTCAACGACTGACGATACGGCCATAAAATACGAAAATTACTGAAAATAGTGCTGTAAAAGATGTAATCTAATTCATGCAAAAAAGCAAACACAACAAATCCAGTTTTCTTACTCTCTTTAAACAACGTTCAAGATAACATGAGCGCGCATTGAGTCAAAAGTTCAGCGTAATTTTTAGGAAGTTGTGGGTGCGGATATGTGCTGCTGTGAATCACAAAAAACTATCAAGCAAGCAAATGAATCAACGCAGCAACGATGCTGTTTTCCTATTGGTTGACCAACCTGAGTTAAGCCAGTCTCTGTATGGCTGATTCATTTTACTGGGCGCCGAGACAGATGAGATAATAGCGATTAGACGAGTTTTTTGCGACGGCTGGGCCAGGAAATTTAATTCGCATTTCTATCGGATACTGCTCGGCCAATAAAAAAGTAGTAGCAGCTGACTGGATGAAAAAAATGGATGGATGTATTTTATTTCATTTCACAAATATTCAAGATACAAACCAGTCAGTTACGTATCGGCCACCCTGTATTTTCAATATCTGAATGTTACAATTAACAAATATACTGAGTCGGTAAAACAAATATTAGTGATTGCTTTTACTCGCGAAATGTCAAGTAAATACTTTAATGTGTTGAAACCCAACACCTAACAAAAATATGAGTGAACAGGCTTTTTCACAAGGGTTTGGAAGTGCAAGTTTGCAAATGGAGGATAAACTATAAACACACGGTAGGTGATGTTAAGTTAGTATAATCACATATCGATTACAAAAGTTGCAATAAACATGGAGAAATCTTCAGCTAAACTGAAAAAAAAAATGGATTTTACTCAGACATCAAGCATTTTTTAAGAATTTCTGCTCAATTTTACATAATTTCATAATATTTAATAAACTGATAACATTTCAATGACAAACTTTCACTTTATATTTTACAGTGTTTTGTTTTGAATACTTGATGCTATTTGCTGCCAAAAATCTGACGGGAGATCTTGAGGCTCGCATTGGGTATATTTGAGGGTCTGTTTGGTACTCGTACCCTATTGGTGGAAAACAACGGTTTGTTAGATTGTGAAATCGGCCCTTAGTCTAGTTTCCATATATCATAGTGATTATTTCTGATATATGGATTCGTTGTTAATCAACTGAGAGAGTAAAAAAAACTGGATCCATAAAAAAACAAATAAAAAAATATAAAAAATATTTACTTGTAAGCGTCATCGCCTGGTGCCTCAGCAGTGGTCCCATCCTGAGTCGCATGGTCCAAAAGCTGTCCAAAACGCAAAGGAAACGTGGTGAAACAGTGCTTAGAACTTATTCTTAGGCTAGACTTTTACTATGGTGCTACGTCACAAATCAAAAACATGACAAAAAGAAAAACGGTTCTACATATGAAAGCCAATCCAACCCATTCTTTCTTATACTCAAAAAAGAAAGAACTGAGTTTAACAACAAACTAAAACAACTGCTATAATTTGTCTAACATAGGGCGAGGGAAAAACTGTTTGAAGTGGAGAGAAATTCGGTGTATACATTTTAATGCAAATATTGTAGAGAAAATCGGTTGCAAAGTGATTTCTTTAAATACTTGAGTCATTTGGTAATAATATAATGTATAGACTTATATTCCAAAGTAAAATGTAGCAATAAGTACTTTCAAATAAAACCAACAATTTGTTCAGCTCATCGAAAGAATGTTTTAAAATAACATTAAAATTTTCATATTGGTATTTTCCGCTTTTTTCAATTATTAAATCGCTTACAGAGGAATTAATAATGACCCAAAAAACTAAGACTTTGTCCAGAGCGAAAAAAAAAATTTATGACGCAATTTTGGGCACGACAAGTGAAGATTAGTTAAAGGAGGTCATTTTTTAAATAAATTTTACAATAAAAAGTATTTTTCCGAGCGGATGTGAATATAGTTCCTGGACTATAAGAAATACAATAGGCCAGGTAAAATAGAACCTTTTGTGCCATTTTTCGAAGTACTTTTTCTCTTTTAATGTTTGATGCAATACCATGTACATTTTTTCGAATTCCTCTCCATTTCGCAGTTCAAAGGAAAACAATAACTACAAAAACAGTTAATATCTATCACAATATCGCTATCACCAGTTAGTTACATCATCGGGTTTAAAACTAATCTAGACAGGACTAGACTTACAACAAGACGCAACGGTTAGACAGACTTACGTCATAGGACAGTGGGGATAAATGCTCAGCCCCTGAGCCTGAGCTGGAGGCTACTGCGATGCCGATTTCGTTAGGGTCCCTGCCAAGGACCGCCCCTAGTTTGAGGGTGTAGATGCCAGTCAGTCGGATGAGGGATTGAAGCTTGAGACGCAGGTCCGTGAGTCTCCTGTGGACAAAAGTATGGTCAGTGGAAGCGAAGTCTAATTTTGTCCACGCTAGGTGGCGTTAGTGTCGTTAAACTGACAAGAGTAGACGGGAACATGTCAGATTTGTTAAAAAGACATCTTTCACGATATTTCATCACGTCCAATGAGATGAAAAGCTGATCAGCAATTGATGGAAGAGTATCACATACTTATAAAATTTTAAAGCCGGCCCTGGGTAGACCGTATAGTTTAAATACCTGTGTATGGAACTGGATCCTTCCGGAGCATCTTCATCTCTGAACAGCTGGTTCGCCGCTTCTTGCAGACTCAACACTCGGGGTTCGCAACGTTCCAATTCGGCGCGAAGGCCGACGAAATTGTTGTATTTCGTCTCGATGGTTTCCGTTGGAGCGGTTAGATCGACCGGTTCCGAGGCTTTGATCTTGCGTTCGTTCTTTTCGAGCCAGACGCATAGCTCGGAGATGATTGCGTGGAATTGTTGGTTCTGTAACAAACGGACGAATTTTCCTGTGAGGTTGAGTCACGATAAATTAGAGAGAAACGATACAACTTTGACTCAACACGATTAACGTTTCGATTTTTATATCCTCGACAAAAAGTAAGGAGTATAGTTGAAAATTTATCTGACCTTAAAATGACCTTGAACATCATGGCCATGTTGATTATCCACAATTTGCATTTCATGGATTGAAAATAGATGTTTTCCGTTAAACATGCATTATTTGATCTTCAAATGACCTTGAACATATTTGAACATAAAGTTTCTTGCTCCTTTTATTTCTGGTGTCAGCAATAGGGGGTTTTCCATTTAAGAAAACTGACCTGACCTTCAAATGTGCTTGAAGGTCAAGTCAGTATAGATCATTCGTTTCGCATTAATGTGAAGGCGGTTGGTTTCGGAGAAAGAAATGCAATATCCAAAGTAATACAATCGGAACATTTTTTACCCAAAATTTTAATGCAAAAATAAATACATTAAATTCAACGTTTCGATTTTTATATGCTTGACAGAAAGTAAGGAGCATAGTTGAAAATTTATCTGATCTTAAAATGACCTTGAAGATCATGGACGTGTTGATTGGCCAGGATATACGTGAAACTAAAATTATCCATAATTTGCATTTCATGGATTGAAAATCGATGTTTTCCGTTAAACATACATTTGATCTTCAAATGACCTTGAACATACTAGAACATAAAGTTTCTTGCTCCTTTTATTTCTGGTCTCAGCAATAGGGGGTTTTCCATTTAAGATAACTGACCTGACCTTCAAATGTGCTTGAAGGTCAAGTCAGTATAGATCATTCGTTTCGCATTAATGTGAAGGCGGTTGTTTTTGGAGAAAGAAATGCAATATCCAAAGTAATAGAATCCGAACATTTTTTACCCAACAATTCAATGCAAGAATCCATTGATTTCAACGATTCGATTTTTATATCCTCGACAAAACGTAAGGAGTAAGTTGAAAATTTATCAGATCTTAAAATGACCTTGAAGATCCTGGCCTTGTTGATTGGCCAGAATATACGTGAAACTAAAATTATCCACAATTTGCATTTCATGGATTGAAAATCAATGTTTTCCATTAAACTTCCATTTGATCTTCAAATGGCCTTGAACATACTTGAACATAAAGTTTCTTGCTCCTTTTATTTACGGTGTCAACAATAGGAGGTTTTCCATTTCAGAAAACTGACTTGACCTTCAAATGTGCTTGAAGGTCAAGTCAGTATAGGTCATTCGTTTCGCATTAATGTCAAGGAGGTTGGTTTCGGAGAAAGAAATGCAATATCCAAAGTAATACAATCGGAACATTTTTTACCTAACATTTTAATGCAAGAATCCATTAATTTTAACGTTTCGATTTTTATATCCTCGACAAATAGTAAGGAGTATAGTTGTAAATTTATCTGATCTTAAAATGACTTGCAGATAATGGCCATGTTGATTGGCAAGGATATACGTGAACCTAAAATTATCCACAATTTGCATTTCATGGATTGAAAATCGATGTTTTCCGTTAAACATACATTTGATCTTCAAATGACCTTGAACACACTTGAACATAAAGTTTCTTGATCCTATTATTTCTGGTGTCAACAATAGAGGGTTTTCCATTTAAGAAAACCGACTTGACCTCCAAATGTGCTTGACGGTTATAGTCAAGGTCACGTTCAAGGTCGAAATTAGATAAATCTTTTCAAACTTAACAACTTTAGCACATAACATTTTTCTCTATGAAACGTATTTCTCACGATATTTTGATCTACTCATAATGAACCCTTTTCGGGTTTTAACTATCGAAAAAATCCACACCCTGTGATGATCTTTTAGATTTCTTTATATTCTGACTTAGACTATCCCACGTTTCCAGCTTGACGTCATCTTTTGGGATACTCTGTATACCGAATACTCTAACTCATACGTTAAACATGGCTAAAACGAATTCAAAATCCATTTCCGAGATAATACAATTATTATAAAACTTACGTTCATAAGCGCTTTCTGTAACTGCACCTGCCACTCCGCGGCATGTTGACAGATGACCTCCCACCGCTTGTTGTCCTTCTCTAACCTCTCTCTGAGGTCAGTCGCCTTCGATGTATCCTCACTGTGGTCAGCCAAATGCGTTCCGACGATGTTCAGAGACCTCACGATGCTTTTGTGGCTGTCAAGGTCAAGGAGGAATTCCCTGTGGTCTTGAATCACATCCTCGAGCTGTTCGATGTTCGACGGTGGACTGCGTTGGGACTTCTGAGTACCTTCGGCGAATTGCAGCCATTTTTCTAATCGCCACAGATCGTTGTCTAGTTGAGCCCAGTTGCGTTTCGTACATAGTGGGCATAGTAGGCGACCTGCCTCGCTGTAAAGGTCAGACTTTGTCAGTACGGCTCAGAAAAGTAAAACATATGTGAGCATGAATATGTATTGCGCTCACATGTGAGCGCCAGCTATGGAGAAATAGCGCAACGGCCATTTTGCTGACATTACTGCAACCAGCATTTCGCTAGTATGGTTTGTGGGTAGCACGTAAGATAGGATGTTAAACTGAGCAAGGGATACAAGCAGGGTATTACGTATCTTGAAAAGTGACATCATGTCGTTTTTTTGACACTACATAGTTTTTTTGTGACATTATGTAGGTTTCCCTATAAGAGGTCAACTTGTTTACTAGATATGTACGCGTTACTTACACTCACCACCATGAAGTGTCAATGTCGTTGAAATCGCGTGATCTTGAAACGCGAATGACCTTGGAGCGATGTGACATTGAAATTGTAAATTACATTGACCTTGGAGAAGGACAACCTTGAGGATATGAGCGACCTTGAGGTAGGGACGGGTAACCTTGAATGTATGTCTTTAAATATGTGAAGAGATGTAACAGACTTCAAGGTCGAGCGAACTCAGGGTCAGTAGACTTGCAAAGTCATTCGAAGGTTTTTAGGGTTTCAAGATCAAGGCCATTTACAATTTCAAGGTCATATCACTTCAAGGTCACGCGATTTCAAAGTCACACGATTCCAAGGTCATTAATGGTCGTGTGACGTCAAGGTCGGCACCCGAGGCTGTTCCGGAACATATAAACCCTATCTACTTACATTATTTTTTATTTCCAGTCATTTAAATTGTATAGACATTTATTTTGCGATGTTAAGTAGAAGGTACAGATCAGCGCCTAGATGTTTAAGGCATTGCAAAAATGTTTTGTGTGTGAAGCGTTATTCCCAATTTTTATGGGATGTGACTGAATCACACACTACGCGGGCACGGTGGTGATTTCCCGTAATGTGTGTCAAAGTTTTTGAAAACGCAAAAAACGGGTAAAATCGTAACTTGTAACGTTGAACATAACCTCTCTACTCAACCAATTTTCTTTCTGACAGATTTTCTCAGAGATATACTCTACAATATGTCACTTCATTTCGAATAATAATCGTATACTTTGGCCTAAAAAAATACGTGCTCTTTTAATGCACGGATATCAAATACTTTTTTCCCAGCATAGGGTAGTATCGTCAGTTGTTTCAATAATTTATTGTAGGATCCTTTTATGGCCTTCCTTGATTTGCATAGTTGTCTACTATTCCGCGTCAGCGCTTTATTTTGAGGTTATGTTACAAATATCTATTTGCATCAAATTGTTTATGCTTTTGGTTTATATCATCTGGTATATCAGCCAGAAATTTGCTACAATTAAAAAAAAACACAGGAGAGCGCTGCGGCTGTCACGGAACAGTAGAAATACCGCAGTCTTTCTGAAGGAGAGACAATTCTATGAAAATCAAGGAGGCCATAAAGGCGTCCTACAATAAATTGTAAGAACGACTGACGAAGCGGTTCTAACGGCCGTATTCACCATTCCCTAACAGAATGTTAAATTGTTTAACACATTGTTAAATCTATTAGCAAACAGTCCGTTAAAGTCATGGATAAGTTAACAGCGCGATGTTGGCATGGTAAACCACTGAACTGACTGTTTAATATTAAAAAGTCAAAAGTGTCATCACGACTTTATTTTGCCTGCGGAGATTTCGTAGAAGTGAATTACAAAATACAGTCAGCGGACAGCGAGTAAAGGCTTGTTTTGTATAAATATACTAAGTGACATATAAATCCGAACACCCTGTTTAAATGGTTTTATTTTAATAAAAGTTGGTGAATGTATTTATCTTACTGTAAATAACAAGTGAAACAATTTTCAGCCTTATCAGTTGGACATTTCGGTTTTTATACTGCTTTTTTTTAATTCACTACACGCTCTAAAAATGAATATTTCAGCCGCAGTAAAGAATCAACGTTGGCGGATTTTGGTTCTTGACATCTTTTACGATCGGTTACGATGCCTAGAGTACGGAGACCTGTACGATTTCGTCAACTTAGTGAGTTTGATGGGGCCCGTATAGTGGGACTTCGGGAAGCTGGACTTTCTTTTCGGGCAATTGCAGTTAGAGTGCAAAGAAGTGTAGACACTGTGGTTAGGTGTTGTCAGGCATGGCTTCGAGAAGGCCGTACGCAAAGAGCAAGGGGCCCTGAACGCCGCCGTAGAACAACAGATCGTGAAGATCGCCGCCTAAGTTTATTGGCCTTTAGGGACCGTTTCTCCACTACCAGGTCCATTGCAAGTGAATGGTTTGCAGAACACGGAAGACCTATTGGCATGCGAAGTGTTTACCGACGAATGAGAAGTTTTGGCTTGTTTTCATACCGGCCACACTGGGTCCTCCCTTTAACTCGAGAACACCGACGTAATCGCCTTGAGTGGTGCAGACAACGGTCACTCTGGGATCAGGAATGGAACAGTATTGTCTTTAGTGACGAGTCTCGATTTTGTTTAGGCATGCACGATGGTCGTGCCAGGGTTAGAAGGCGACGTGGTGAAAGGAGGAATCCACAGTTTTTTGTTGAAAGACATGTTCATCACACTGTTGGAGTTATGGTTTGAGGTGCTTCATTAAGTACTTATACAAAATTTTATTAAAATAAAACCATTTAAACTGGGTGTTCGGATTTATATGTCACTTAGTATATCATACAAAATGGATAGCCTCAGTAGAATTGATATTCTCGACATATTAGAATCTTCGGAAAGAGACACAAGTGACATTGAAGATATCCCGAGAGGAAGAATTGTAAGAACTAGGAGGTTTCCCTTGATTGAACTATTGATTTGGAGTTCAAAAGGATATTTAGAATAAATAAAAATATATTTAGCCGACTGGAAAAAAATGTATTGCAAAATGTTATAGAACCGATAAGTAAATTAGACTCCCAGGCAAGCTTCTCCCAACACTCATTTTTGTGCTTGTTAAATCCAAGTTAGTCTTTTTGTTTTCAATTATACTTCGATATTTTTTAACCAAGGAAATTATTGTCTCTTTTCCGTTGATGTATAGTTAGCTGCTCTTTTTTCTCTGACATTTGCTTGATGCAAAACCATCACAAAACTGACAACACTATGAATGACAACCACATGACAACACACAGCAGCTATAAAGTGAGGTTAGATGTGGTTCTCTCGTTTTTTGTCAAGAGGCACCAACTTGAAGAAATTTAAGATTTTTGTTTGTTATCAGAAGCCGAAAAGTTTTGGTGAATACCAGTATTGTTTAACAGACTGTTATATTTTGTACAACTGATAAGTAAACAGTTTGGGAAACGCCGAATTGGTGAATACGGCCGTAAGTGTCTTTTTGCGGGATGAATCATTTCGGCAGGACGATTAACTACTTTCATCCCAAAAAAGTGCCATATTCAGCTAACTTCACTGTTCAAAAAGTAACTTAAACATTTTATACTTCATACCTGGTGTCGCAAGAACATGTATTTCCCAGCAAAAAAAACATGAGTAATCTTAGCACTGGCGGATTGCAAGAAAGTGACTAGGTACTAGCTTTAGAATGAGTTTTGTAAATACTATCATTTACGCAGGTAGGTAACACAGATGTCCAGGTATATCAGAAACTTATTACCTGTAAGGGTGATTTTATCATATCATGATAGGTACAGACGGATTTGGGAGTAGGTAGGGCTTGTTTCCTAAATATACGGGGTGAGTCCGAAAAATATTATTTTCTGTGTCCTCGATGTAGGATGGATATGTGATGGCACTGTTTATCAAAGACAGTGATATTAAGAGTTAGAGTGAGAAAGATACTAGTAAAAGCGCTACTTACTGTTTGCACAAGAGGTTATAAGCATCCATACCAGTAGCTCTATAGAAAGGAAAAACCAAATACCAGTTAGTATAGTTTAGACAGAACAGCCTGTTACAGAAAAATTAAAATGGGAATAATGTTTAGCTACGAAACTTGTGTATCCATAAATATACACAATAACTATGATGATGAAGTAAAAATCAATCGATAATCTACAGTTAGCTATACTACAACTATTTAAAACTGTAATGACTCATACGCGTGATCAACACGTGATCGGAGCTCGATCCCGGCTTCCTTCCAGTACAGCCGTATAGCGTACGACATATGTCGTTTCTGTGCCTTTGCGGTGGTCAACAGCACAGACAGAGATGGAAATAATGGCTGATTGTTCTCCGCCGGTAGAACCAATGAAATCAAAGACCGGCAGACTCATAGGCGTCGGCAACGCATTGGAACGTGTTTCGTTGAGCGGTCGCATATTGTGTGTTTCTATAAGAATTGTTGTGTGATTGTTATTGTTGTGGTTTCTGTGGTTACTGTTTTGGTTATACTTAACCGTGGAGAGTACAAATGGCACGAGTGGAAGTACTGAAAGCCAGGGAACAAGTAGACGGCTTCGTAAAGCACTGAAGAGGGACGCGGTAATGAGGAAATCCCTGCACGAAATTAATTTTCGTTACGAAACGCGTAATGGGAAGTCAGTATTGATAGAGAGACCTGAAATAGTCGCCTGGCGTCGAAAACACCTACGCGAAATGATTGAATATAGGCGACAAAGCAGAAAAATCTATTATTTGGACGAGACATGGGTAAATGCAGGTCACACAGTTAAAAAAACCTGGATAGACAAAAACGTAGTGAGTAACCGACAAGCAAGCATTGAAGGTTTGTCAACAGGTCTTCGTGGACCGTCAGGGAAAGGTCAAAGATTGATCGTAACTCGTATTGGTAGCGATAGTGGCTTTTTAGAAGAGTGTGACTTGATTTTCGTCTCTAAGAAAGGAGGTGATTACCATGACGAAATGAATGCCAGCTGCTTCGAGAGCTGGTTTCAAGGGGTGCTTCAGCGAGTTGAACCCAACTCGGTGATCGTCATGGATAATGCTTCCTACCATAGTCGTCGAGCCGAACGTGTACCGACTATGGGATCTCGAAAAAGTGACATGCAGCAATGGTTGCGCGAAAAAGGAATCCCGTTTGACGATTCATGTGTGAACAGCACAAACCTGCGAACATTAGTTACGTGACTGATGAGATGGCCCGTCAATGTGGTGTCACTGTGCTGCGGTTACCGCCCTACCACTGTGAACTGAACCCAATAGAGCTCATCTGGGCTCAAGTGAAGGGTTATATTGCGCGCCATAACACAACCTTCAAATTACCAGACGTTAAGGTTTTACTTGAGACTTCCATACAGCTAGTAACGCCCGAAGCTTGGCAGAATGCTATCCGTCATGTTGTGAAGGAAGAAACAAAAATGTGGCAGCTTGACCACCACATCGACACCATCATAGAGCCAGTTATAGTCAATTTCAACGAGGAAAGCGATAGCGCAGATGTAAGTGGAAGCGACGATGAATAAAGGTGATTCCCAAATTTTTGACTTACAATATGTTTCAAACCACTCTTCATTAAGCATGTGACAAATCTAGTTCACCCATGTTAAACATTCATACCCCGCCTATGAACAGCCGACTACTGGTAGTTAAGTGATGTTCACGTGAACATCGATGAGTCATTACAGTTTTAGATAGTTATAGTGTAGATATTAACAAAATCTTACCTCAACTCCCTAAGTTTCTGTTCCTTCTCCTTCGCTTTAACCAGCAAAACTTGAAACCGTTCCACAAGCATCCGTACCATTTCCGAGCAAGCCTCAGTCTCAGAAGCATTACACTCGTTGATCAGAAGGTCATGTATATGCTTGATCAACTCCACACTCGCTTGGCAATTCGCTGAAATCTTCGCAATCTTCTTACTGCTACCCGGCAATTCAGACGAACCTTGTTTCGGTATCTCTTTGTTCACCAACATCTCCAGCTCGTCGAGATTAGCCTTGCATTCACCTAGCGCAGCTTCCAGTTCTACCAAGTACGCATCTTTAGCGCTTATCGATGTCATTCTTTGTAACTGAGGCGGCAAGGTGTTAACTTGCACTGCAGTGTCCTGTTCAAACTTCAAAGTTTCAACTTGCACACTTTCGTCTACTTCTCTCGGTTGTCGTTTCACCTGCGTCATTATTTCCGTTTTTATTTCGACTATCCTTTCGTGTATGTTCTTGCAGAGGATTTGGTATTCGTCTATCATCTCTTGGATCTTGGTAACTTCTTGTTTCTTACTCTTCTTCATGATCTGTAGACCTAGCTTATCGGCAGTTTCCAAAGTAGGCGTTTGGTCGTTCAGTCGCTTCTCTATTGCCTCTAATTTCTTCAGTCTTTCTTCTAACGGCACTTTTTCTGGCGGCGAGAGATGCTGCAATTCAGTCACCTGTGCATCTAACTTCGTCAGGCCGACTACAGCGTCTTCATGAGCAAGCGAGAACTCTTTGAAAGGAATCAGCTCGTTCTGAAGCTTTTGAAGTAGAGATTGCGCTTTCGGCATGAGGTTCTCCCATCTTGCTATCGTAACTCTAGCTCTCGACGTTAGCTCCTGGATGTTCTCTGGATCAATTCCTGAAGCAGTAGCCAGCTTCGAGTAGGTTTGTTCTAGGATTTGGAATGTAGGTACACGTGATTCTATGTCTTTAATTTCATTTTCGACCGAGTAGATCAGCTGTTGAATCTCTGCTTTGCCGAGTTTCTTCACAGGTTTGTCAAGATTCTTCAATTGCTGCTCTCGATCGTTTATCCATTGTTCGTGATCTGTGCTGAGCTTCAACACTTCTTGTAGCAACTTCCAGATGAAGCTGATTTTCCGTTTTCTTTCTGCAGATTGTCCACATACAACTTTCCATCGTTTCTCGAGATTCTGTACAGCATGCGTGACGTTATCTGTAGAAAAGTGAGCTTTAAGAACGTCGGGGTCGCTCAGAAGTAGCTCGCATAAGTTAAGTACTTCGCCAATGTTACCACTTTCGCGTTCTATAGATTTCTTGAGCTTGTCATGATCTTGTATCTTCCTATCTATAACTTCTTTGGTAGCAGCTTCGAAGATCAGCGGTTTAGCTAGTTGAAGCTCGATCTGCGTTAACCAAGCTCGAATTTGGGCTATCCTCTCTTCTAATTGCCATATGGTCTGCATCATATCGTTGATCTTATTAAACCTACTCTTCGCCAAGTTCTCTAACCTTTCCCATCTCACAAGTACTTCATCCGTTCTGTGTTGGATGATCTGCTTCGATGTTACTTCAGCATATTCATCTCCGCAAGAATCCACCAACTCTTTACCGGTCTTCAACAGCCAGTTGTACTCTCGTTCTTTCAGAGCCATCTCAGCTTGAAGCTCAGTTTCAAGTTTCCTTAATAGCTCTTTGGGATCTGATGGTACAGCCGTTTCTTCAGATATTTCGTCCAGCTTGTTTTCTAGATCGTTGATCCAAGCGATGAACCTAGCTTGTCGCGTCTCGAACATCGACTTCACTCCCAATTTGTCTTCAAGTTGGTGGCATATTGAGGCTATTTGGTGATCTAGGTCGCCTTGTTGATACCGTAAGATCAACATTCGTTGGTTGATAGTCTTCATATCTGAAGGGCTCAAACACTCTTTCAGCTGTTCTTGAGATAATACTAGCTCCTCAAGTTGTTGCGTGTAAGTATTCAATCTCGCTCTAGTTCTTTGGAGCTGCTCTAACCTGTTGGTGCAGCTGGCATGCGAAGCTGGCGAGTGGCTTACAGATTCGTTGATAATTTCTTGGGTTTCAACGAAAAGTTTTTGCACCTTTTCGACTTTCTCCTCGTGCGTCTTGACTAGAATCTCGATCCTTTCCAAGAACTGCTTCCAAGTGTCCAATCCTGCGCGAATGTTAGAGATTCTTTGTTTGATAGCTACATGCTCCATTCTGATAGAAGTAGCTAGTGCATCATCACAGAATTGTAGTAGAATATTTTGCTGTCTTTGAAGAGTATCTGCTTGCTCTTCACCTTGAGGAATCTTATCTAATAATGTTTGTATCCTCGTCAGTAACTTTGGTATCCTTCTAATGTGCATATACCTCAGCTGCATATGGTCCCTTTCCTTCTCGACGCCTTTCAACCAGGCCAAGAGCCTGTTTTGGTCTTTCTTGTATTTCTCCCAAGCGTTCAATCTATTCTGCACCTCTGAATGTCTATCCATGATTCTGGATAAGATCTCGTTGTGCAAGTTGCTCAAAGAACTGAACTGCTGCATGATGCTAGGTTCGATAGTTTGACCTCCGCTAGATGGTTGTAAAACGTTCTGTTGAGTCGTTAGAAGATTCTGGTGGACTTGACACAACGACTGATGTTCTGACAGACTGTGGCAGTCGCCAGGAATGGTACCTTGCAGGAACTGCTGGACATACAGTAGGTATTCTTCCCACAGGCGGAGGGCAGCTGCCCCATCTTCATTCTTGACTAGAGTCGTACTCAATCTATGGTACTGTTGGAAAGTTTCTCGGATAACCTGTTGCCAAAGCTCAAGGACTTCTATCACAGACGTTTCGGTTGTCGTGGTCGATATTTCGACGGTTTTGTCCTTGATTTGTTGGATTTGACCTTCGGCTTTGCTTAGGGCTAACAGGTGATCGCGAAGGACGACTAGTTTGCCCTCGTTTTCAGTCGGGGTAGTTTCTTTAGACATATCGACGATTTCCTGAGAAAAATTTTTTGATAAGTGAAAAATCGGGGAGGATATTTTATTAAATTCTTAGAAAAAATAATAATAGGCTGAAATTTGGCATGGTAATATTGGAAAATACTGTTCCTAAATATACTAAGTGACATATAAATCCGAACACCCAGTTTAAATGGTTTTATTTTAATAAAAGTTGGTGAATGTATTTATCTTACTGTAAATAACAAGTGAAAAAATTTTCAGCCTCATCAGTTGGACATTCCGGTTTTTATACTGATTTTTTTTAATTCACTAACGCTCTAAAAATGAATATTTCAGCCGCAGTAAAGAATCAACGTTAGCGGATTTTGGTTCTTGACATCCTTTACGATCGGTTACGATGCCTAGAGTAGGAGACCTGTACGATTTCGTCAACTTAGTGAGTTTGATAGGGGCCGTATGATGGGACTTCGGGAAGCTGGACTTTCTTTTCGGGCAATTGCAGTTAGAGTGCAAAGAAGTGTAGACGCTGTGGTTAGGTGTTGTCAGGCATGGCTTCGAGAAGGCCGTACGCAAAGAGCAAGGGGCACTGGACGCCGCCGTAGAACAACAGACCGTGAAGATCGCCGCCTAAGATTATTGGCCTTAAGGGACCGTTTCTCCACTACCAGGTCCATTGCAAATGAATGGTTTGCAGAACACGGAAGACCTATTGGCATGCGAAGTGTTTACCGACGAATGAGAAGTTTTGGCTTGTTTTCATACCGGCCACACTGGGTCCTCCCTTTAACTCGAGAACACCGACGTAATCGCCTTGAGTGGTGCAGACAACGGTCACTCTGGGATCAGGAATGGAACAGTATTGTCTTTAGTGACGAGTCTCGATTTTGTTTAGGCATGCACGATGGTCGTGCCAGGGTTAGAAGGCGACGTGGTGAAAGGAGGAATCCACAGTGTTTTGTTGAAAGACATGTTCATCACACTGTTGGAGTTATGGTTTGGGGTGCTATAGCTTATGGTTCCAGGTCACCTTTAATCTTCATCAGAGGTAACATGAACGCGCAGCGTTATATCCACGAAGTTCTAGAACCCCATCTTTTACCCTATCTTGACATCCTGGCAGCTCCAACTTTCCAACAAGATAATGCCCGACCACATTTTGCAAGAGTCACAATAGACTTCTTTCAACAAAATGATGTCACATTGTTACCATGGCCACCAAGATCTCCCGACTTATCCCTAATTGAGCACGTGTGGGATATGATGGGTAGGAGATTGCTCAATTTGCAACGTCCTCTTCAGACTCTAGAAGCACTTCGAGAGGAGTTGGTGGTTGCCTGGAATGAGATACCACAGGAGGACATTGACCACCTGATCAGAAGCATGCCTAGGCGCGTTGGAGAATGCGTAGCACATCAGGGTGCATCCACACATTATTAAAGGTCAAAGGGCTTTAAAGCAGTGCAATCATTTTGAAATTTTTATCATTTACTTATTATGCTTCATTAAGTACTTATACAAAATTTTATTAAAATAAAACCATTTAAACTGGGTGTTCGGATTTATATGTCACTTAGTATAGTAAGTTTCCGCGACTGACGTTGTGTGGTTACATGCTTATGAAAATGTCCTTATTTCAGGATATAAATAAGACGCTTCTTTTAAATGCCAATATTTTCAGAGAGTCAGTTCAGCAGTGGGCTGTGTAAGAGTTGCCATTGCAAGTTTCCAAAATTTTAAAAATGTTTGAGACATTTTTAAAACTACTAATATTTGAAAAAATTGAATTTTCAGGGCCTTCAAATTTTTTTAGTTTTTAAAATTACAATTTTCCATTTTTAAAATGTTCAATATCATCGAAATTGTCATTTTGAAATTCACAAAATTTTGAGATTTTCAAAATATTCAGAAATTTCTAAATTTAGAGTTTTTAAATTCTGGAAAAAAAACTCGTACAAATGTTAAATCCTCCATTGAACTTTGTCAAGGACCTGTTACTGTTTGTTCAGAATACAGCCGACGCTCGATAATGTAAACTAATTTAATCCAAGTGTGGTTCACATTATCGAAATCTTTACATTAGCGAACGTGATTTATATAATATTTGATTTATTAAAAGAAACGTTTAATACATACGATTTATAACAAAATAAACAAATATTCTAACAGCGATAAGTATTTTTTAATTATAAGAAAAATAATTAACAATTTTTGTCTGCGTAAATTTGCGCTTAGCATTGTCTTCTAATGCCTGCGCCCGTAATTTACGAAGAACTAAAATATCCGTGTATGAAACTTCTTTTCTTTCAGCCCAATCTAAAGCTTGGTTAAAAACTTGTATAGCTTGCGCGTCAGTCACTACACTTCTGACTTCAATGGGATCGTTCTCATCATCCTCACTGTCCATATCCTCCTCCTTATCAGCATTATTCGTCTGCTTATCTTCGTTCCATAAATTAATATCAGCAGGAGTACAAACAATGTTGGGATTCACTGTTTTCAATAAATCAACAACATCCAATGACACACTAATAACATTATCATTATTGGATCGCAAACGTTCTCTAATTACGCTTAAGGGGACATCGTCTTCTTCATCATCTTCATTATTGGTACAAAAGAGATTGTTCCAACATTTTTGAATAGTTTGCTGGTTAAGTTCATTCCAGGCCATATGTAAATCTAAAACAGCTTCTCGTAATGTTACTTTTTTAAAGCCACAGATAAGTTTTCAGGATTCTTTGATAAGACAGACGAAAGTAGAAACTTCCTATAGTATAGTTTGGTGAGTCTTATTATATTCTGGTCCATCGGTTGAATTAACGGTGTTACGTTGGGCGGCATGTACATGACGAAAATTGACCAATCCCTGCTCCTCAGTTGTTGCTGGGGAGGATGGCTTGGTGCATTATCCAATAGTAACAACGCTTTTATTGGAAGCTTCTGTTGTTTTAGGAAACCTTTTACCTACAAATTGAAAACACATCTTCAAATTATGAATAGAGCATTTGTGATAATTGATTGTCATACCTGAGGGACAAAGCACCTGTGGAACCATTTCAGGAATATACTGCTAGTCATCCAAGCGGTTTTTGAACCGTCATAATCAACAGGGATATTAACATTTTTAAATGAGCGCGGATTTTTTGCTTTCCCAATTACCAGTGGCTTTATTTTGTGTGAACCATTAGCATTAGTACAGGCTGGAAACGTTATTCGTTGTTCCTCCGGGTTTCTTCCCGGGGCAGATTTTTCAAATGATGCAGCATAGGTTTTCTCTGGTAACGTTTTCCAATAAAGGCCACTTTCATCTGCGTTGTAAATTTGTTTCATTCTTAAATCTAGCTCGGTAATTGTTTTCATCAATTTTTCTTTGAATGGTTGCACTAATTGTGGTTGTGCTGATAATTTTTCACCAGATATAGACAGCAGTCGAATTCCATATCTTGTTTTGAATCATTGTAGCCAGCCATCACTAGCTGCGAAATTTTCAATTTCTTTCAGTTTTTCATTTAACAGTCTCGCTCTCTGTTTAAGTACTTCGCCACTAACTGGGACATGATTTTCCCGTTGTTTTAAAAACCACTTATTCAGAAAGTTTTCTATTTTAGGTGACTTCGCAATTTTTAAAGTTTTTCTTTTTCCCGGACCTCCAAATGTATTGCACGTTCTTTGTAAAATTTGAGTTTTCATACGCTTAATTTTACAGATTGTTGCTTTCGATACTCCATATTTTTTTGCTAACTGTGTCACTCCCACACCTAGTGCAACTTCGTCTATGATTTTCACTTTCTCACTCAACTTTAAACACTTTCTTTTATAGCATGTGGATGCCATAGTCGTAAAATATATTAACGCGTGCAATGTATTCACTTAAGTTCAAAAATGAAATACATACGTACGTATAAACGTATCCTAAACGATCATACGACTGACCGAGTTTGTCGTATTTTATCGCAGAGGTGAATCCCCTACACTCTACATGATAGATCGGGGACTCCCCGACGCCCGACATAAATCATCGAGGCTTCAGCATTTTACCGTCGCGCTGTTTCCGTGCGCCGAGAGTTGTTTACGTTATCGAGCGTACACATTGTTTACGTTATCGCGCGTTCCGTTTGATCCTATAGAACGAAGTTTGTGTTTACATTAGCGCAAGTTTTCATTATCCCGTGTTTACGATATCGAGCGTCTGCTGTACAATTTTTAAACGGCACTCAATAGGCAAGTTGACACTTTTTCTAGATAATCTAATACTTTATTCTTTTTCAGAACTTACAGGCATTAAAACTTCAAATTAAACTTTTTTTAGCAACTTTTCTTTATCCAAGGTACGAGCTCTATCGAAGTATCACCAGACTCGTCAGCCTCTGGCGGTCAACACTGGTGACTTGGCTATTAAACGCGAGTTAGGATCTTTGTGACTGATTCTGTCAATAGATGGCGTTTTGTGTTGTCTCATTTCGATAAAAAGTAAACATACCTTTCTAACACCCTCCAGCCATTCTTTCCTTTCCAATGCATCCTTCTTCGCTCCCTCTTTTTGTCTGATGTTCTCTTCGGCCGCGTCTGACAGCGCTCCGATGGCATCTTTGGCTTCCTCCAACTTTCTTCCGAGCGCCGTTACTTCCCCTCCCAACAGGGAGTTAGCGTCAACCCCCACCGCTTCGGCGATTCCGGATACTAACTCCTGAAGTTCCGCTAGGCGCTTGGTGTGAGCCGCGAGCGTTTCTTCGCATACCTGTAAAGAAAAAAATGGCGTCAAGTTGATTTCCAACTTCCGAAGATCAAACGAGAAATTCCTGGAAAAAATGTGGGAACCTTAACAACCCTATACTACAACTATTTAAAACTGTAATGACTCATACGCGTGATCAACACGTGATCAGAGCTCGATCCCGGCTTCCTTCCAGTACAGCCGTATAGCGTACGACATATGTCGTTTCTGTGGCTTTGCGGTGGTCAACAGCACAGACAGAGATGGAAATAATGGCCGATTGTTCTCCGCCGGTAGAACCAATGAAATCAAACACGCGCCTCGACCGGCAGACTCATAGGCGCCGGCAACGCATTGGAACGTGTTTCGTTGAGCGATCGCATATTGTGTGTTTCTATAAGAATTGTTGTGTGATTGTTATTGTTGTGGTTTCTGTGGTTACTGTTTTGGTTATACTTAACCATGGAGAGTACAAATGGCACGAGTGGAAATACTGAAAGCCAGGGAGCAAGTAGACGGCTTCGTAAAGCACTGAAGAGGGACGCGAAAGAAATCGTGCTCAACGTGTTCAATTATCTGAACAGAACTATGTCGCAGGGAGATGCACTCGCGCGTTGAGAAAGTATGACAGGCGTTCCAGAGTGGACCATTCGCAGGGTGGTGCATGAAAAGAAGAAAACTGGAGCTACTACTGATCCAAAGTTTAATTTGAAGGGACGAAAGGCCGTTAAATTGGATGACGATAGCAAAATGGCGTTAAGGCGAACCGTACATTCATTCTTCTTTAGGAATGAGATACCAACCCTCAAGGTTGTACATGCAGCGATCAAGGAAAATGAAATTATACCCCAAATGAGCGTCGAGGTAATGAGGAAATCCCTGCACGAAATTAATTTTCGTTACGAAACGCGTAATCGGAAGTCAGTATTGATAGAGAGACCAGAAATAGTCGCCTGGCGTCGAAAATACCTACGCGAAATGATTGAATATAGGCGACAAAGCAGAAAAATCTATTATTTGGACGAGACATGAGTAAATGCAGGTCACACAGTTAAAAAAACCTGGATAGACAAAAACGTAGTGAGTAACCGACAAGCAAGCATTGAAGGTTTGTCAACAGGTCTTCGTGGACCGTCAAAGATTGATCGTAACTCATATTGGTAGCGATAGTGGCTTTTTAGAAGAGTGTGACTTGATTTTTGTCTCTAAGAAAGGAGGTGATTACCATGACGAAATGAATGCCAGTTGCTTCGAGAGCTGGTTTCAAGCGGTGCTTCAGCGAGTTGAGCCCAACTCTGTGATCGTCATGGATAATGCTCCCTACCATAGTCGTCGAGCTGAACGTGTACCGACTATGGGATCTCGAAAAAGTGACATGCAGCAATGCGCGACAAAGGAATCCCGTTTGACGATTCATGTGTGAAAGCGGAATTGTATGAAAAAATTAAACAGCACAAACCTGCGAACATTAGTTACGTGACTGATGAGATAGCCCGTCAATGTGGTGTCACTGTGCTGCGGTTACCGCCCTACCACTGTGAACTGAACCCAATATCTGGGCTCAAGTGAAGGGTTATATTGCGCGCCATAACACAACCTTCAAATTACCAGACGTTAAGGTTTTACTTGAGACTTCCATACAGCTAGTAACACCCGAAGCTTGGCAGAATGCTATCCGTCATGTTGTGAAGGAAGAAACAAAAATGTGGCAGCTTGACCACAACATCGACACCATCATAGAGCCAGTTATAGTCAATTTCAACGAGGAAAGCGATAGCGACAGTTTATTACTGTCAGATGTAAGTGGAAGCAACGATGAATGAAGGCAATTCCCAAATTTTTGACTTACAATATGTTTCAAACCACTCTTTATTAAGCATGTGACAAATCTAGTTCACCCATGTTAAACATTCATACCCCGCCTATGAACAGCCGACTACTGGTAGTTAAGTGATGTTCACGTGAACATCGATGAGTCATTACAGTTTTAGATAGTTATAGTATAGTAAACTGGCAACTTATGGAATCGGTGGACCGGCCTACCTCTGGATATAATCCTTCTGAGAAAACAGATCGCAGTATGTGACAATAACTCATAACTGCTCAGGACAACTAATACAAGTCAGTTCTAGTACGATAAATATATGGATGTTGGCGTTCCACAAGGATCTGTGTTGGGGCCTGTTCTGTTTGCACTATATGTAAATACTCTTGAACAGTCGTTCCCCAAAGCACACTTTACTTTATACGCGGACGACACATCGATTATTTTATCAAATAAAGATGACGTTATCCTAAATAACGACTGTAACAGCTTGTTACATAGCATCGATAGCTGGTTCGTGGAGAACCAGCTGCGTCTAAACTGTGAAAAAACAACAGCAATCATATTCCACAATGACCAAAAATCAATCCCTCCCCTGCAGCTTACGTTGGATAATTCAGCCCTGCTCATCAGTGAGTGCACCTGGATGAGTGCCTCAATTTTAAAGGACATTGAGGCTACCTACACGCGACCAGTTATTGATGTTATATCACAGTTATACCGAGTCGCGAATGCGGTATGCATTGTGTTTCTGGGGTTCCCCGGTGAATGCTTCAAAGGTATTTCGAAGTCAAAAGAGAATAATAAGGTGCATAGCAGGTGTTGCCAGTATATACAGTTGCAGAGACTTGTACCCGAAATTAAAAATTCTAACACTGCCATCGTTGTTTCTTTATGAAATGGCAATATGCCTATAACAGAGATAATTTCACCTTGAATAGTACTATACATACATTCAATACTCGTAGGCAGCACGACATTCATCTACCCTTTGCTCGATGTAAGCTGGGTAGTAGATCTGCCTCTATTTTATTATTCAATAAGCTGCCTGAGTATATTAAGACAATTAGCTCCTTAAATAATTTTAAAGCTGAGCTAAGAACGTATTTTATTAATAAGACTTGTTACGCCATCAGTGACTTTGTGGATATTTAGATGTTATTTTTTTGTATTGTTTGTTATCCACTGATTGTTTGTCCTTTTATATATTTTTATATTGTATTTCTGTTAATTTATTAATTTTAACTGCTGGAAAGCTAATTTATTTTATCTGCTGTTGTTAGCCTATGGTGTCTATTTTAAAATATTTAATTTAAGCTATTGTTTGTTGTTGCTTGTCATTTTACTGTTTGTTTCTTTTTTATGTATATACATACTGTAAATTATTTGTTGACGAACCCTATACATGTTTTATACATATCTAATGGGTAATAAATATTATTATTATTATTATTATATCAAAGGTATGGGAGTTACAGCTCGTCAAGTGTAGGAAGAGATGCGAATTATTACTTATTATCTATGAATTGATGTATTGTTAGGAATTCGTGGGTTAAATTCATACAATTTTAGGCTAATAACACTGATCAACAGCCAAAAAATATCCTAAATAAAATCAACAAAATATTACTATTTTTAATGTGCTAAAACCGGAATGAAACTTATTTTTTCAATATTAGTTCAAGTTTTAGACATACGGTAATTATATGTGTTCCTGCTGTGACAGTGTTAATATACTGTAATTCACAAGAATGCACGTGTTACATTTTTATAATCGGTAAGGAAAGATGATGTAATCGGCATGATTGTGTTACGTTATACATACGTGTACATTATATTGTTTTATATTGGCCATTTTTTCCTCAGTTGGCTGACAGCGTTCATGCAAGACGTCTCGAAAATGTCTAAACAATCCAGATCAGTTTTGTTACGTGTGTGGTGCTGTGACTTTTGCGTCTCAGAGACGGTCTATTACTCCAGTAATAACAAAGGCATATCAGCTTTATTTCGGTTGTAAACTAGGTGATCAAGACAAACAGTGGGCACCCCACATCTGGTGTAATACATGTGCTTCAAGTCTGAGGAGCTGGTTAAATGGCAAAAAACGGTCTATGCGCTTTGCTGTCCCAATGGTTTGGAGAGAGCCTACAAATCATATTAATGATTGTTACTTTTGCATGGTACCTTGTGTTGGACAAGCCACAGGTATGTACAAGAAAAAAAAATCGGTTATTAACTACCCAAACATACCATCTGCGATGAGACCTGTGCCTCACAGTGACGAAAATCCTATTCCAAAACCCCCAGAATCCTACACTTGCGAATCAGAAAACGAATCAGATCATGGCGATCGGGTGATTCGTCAGGAAGAAGATATGCCATCAACGTCAAGAGATCCTGATTTTATACCGAGCACGTCATGCCACCAACCGCACAAAATAACACAGTCAGAATTAAATGATTTTGTAAGAGATTTAGAACTTCCAAAATGTAAGGCAGAGTGACTTGGATCAAGACTGCAGCAGTGGAACTTGTTAGAAGACGATGTTTCGGTATGTGTTTTTCGTAAACGCCACAAAGACATAGAACCATTTTTCAATATGGAGAATAACTTGGTTTTCTGCAGTAACATTAACGGCTTACTGGCGGCTTTAAATATAAACTATAACCCAGAAGAATGGAGATTGTTTATACACAGTTCAACATTGAGTTTAAAGGCAGTGTTATTGTATATTGGAAATATTTTACCATCTCTTCCTGTAGGGTATGCAGTTCACATGAAAGAATCATATGACAATATAAAGTACCTATTGACATGCATAAAATACGATGAGCACCAATGGCATATTTGTGGCGATTTGAAAGTTGTTGCACTTTTACTTGGGCTGCAGCTAGGCTACACAAAGTTTTGCTGTTTTTTGTGTGAATGGGACAGTCGGGCAAAGGCACTTCATTACACCAGACAAAACTGGCCTGTTCGTCAATTCCTAGAGCCAGGTCAAAAAAATGTACAGCATATGCCATTAGTAGATTCGAAAAAAATTTTATTACCACCACTGCATATCAAGTTGGGCCTAATGAAAAACTTTGTCAAGGCATTAGATAGAGATGGGTCAGCTTTTCAATACCTGCGTCAGAAATTTCCAGGACTAAGTGAGGCAAAGGTTAAAGAAGGTATTTTTGTTGGGCCACAGATTCG